CCTTGTTATGCAGGACATTGATGGGTTCATGCAGTGGAATACGTCACGTGTAAAACCTGTAAATCGCCGGACACGCTTTTGACGAAGGAGAACCGTATCTTCTTCATGTCGTGCGAGTCGTGCGGCAGTCGGCGCAGTGTGAACACCATCAAGAGTGGTTTCCAGGCCCAGGTCGGCAAGAGAAGCAGGAACAAGACGGGATAGACCACTGGATGTATTCCTTACAATTCATATGTACATGTACGTGCGATTCCACTCCTTCTCAGAGGGCTCCCGAACAGACCCCCTCGAGCCACTCGACGTCACTGGGGACTTTGGTCAGGTTTGTCATGCCATTGGCCGTGATCTCAACGACATCTTCGATTCGTACACCACCAACGTTCTCGTAGCGTTTCAGGACCTCGTGGTCGATAAGTTTGGAGTCGCGAATGTTGTTCAGGAAATGGGGATTGAAGTAGATGCCTGGCTCGACCGTCTGCAGAATAATGGTCAGCAAAAAGATCATCCTCGAAGAAGGCATGTTGGACTCACCACCACCATGCCCGTCTCAAGCTTGAGTCTGAGCCTGAGATATTTGTAGAAATCAGGATGCCCTAGAATTATTCCGGTTTCGATGCTAGGATTGACCGCCGGCTTCGAGGCACTCGGGACATCGTGCACGTCCATCCCGAGAGAATGTCCTGCATTTATGATCAGAAGTAAATCGTAAGAAAGAGGATAGGGCCGGACCCAGTCCGTGCGGGTAAAAAGCTGTTGTGATTCCGCTCGCAAGAATAGCTTCTTCGGATGCCCAGGAACCAGAGTTCGGAGACGACGGAGATTTGAAGATTCCCAGACGCTGGAAGCCTTGCGTAAGGACCCGGTGTGAGAGCAGATGGACTGCGTCCCAATGTATGCCGGGTTTGATGATTTCCATGCAAGCCTGAATTCGTCTGGTCAGACGCAGTGAAGTTTAAGACGGCCCTGTAAACTTGCCTTTTGCATGTCTAGAACCAGAGAGTAGATATCCTTAGCTTCGGGAGTGAACTTTCCCCCATTGCCGATAGGCATCGTACGCGTGATGTCGGCAGCATAGTTGGTCCACTCGCAACCAGCGTCAAGCAGAAGGACCTGAGGCTTCAGCTCCTTGCCGGCCGAAAGCGATGAAGTGTTGACATGATCGCCGGCAGCACGAGGGCCCCAAGAGAACTCGCGATTGTTCCCACCATTGCAACAGTAGTGGAGAGTTGCTGCACGTGTTGAAGCTGCTACAATTGGCAGGTATGCCGCGTGCACAGCGCTGAGATTCACTTGAATGAGCCGTCAGGAAACCCAAGGACAGACGCACCCCTCTCTGCGGAACGATGCGACGAAGATTGCTTCGGCCTCGGCTTCTTTTTCAATCAACCACTCGCTCGGAAGCAGAGGTCGGCCCGTGGCAGTATTTGCCTTGATTTCCCCTTTAACTGCAGCACCCAAGACACGCATGACTACTTCGTGAGCACGTGAGCTGACATCGCACGCCTTGCGAATGAGATCGACTTCGTATGCATCTTTGAGGAGACGGGCCTGATGCAAGGCGCTCAGAAGGAACGCGTCAGTCACTGCTAAGCCGTCTGCTGAAAGAACAGGCTTAAGAAAGTCCTCAGAAACGACGGGGAATTCTGGCGACCCGCGCGGCAGGCAGTGGAACAATGCGCCGGGGAGAGCTTTGATGAGCTTTTCAATGGCCTGAGGGAGTGCGGCGATGTTTTGAACTCCGGTCACGTCGTGTGTTTCGATAGCAGCGGCCAGACTTGGTGGGGGGACCTGAAGGACGCATCAGCGCGATCCGCTTGTCCACCAACGTCGGACTGACCGACCACATCAGGATCTCCGATGTGATTTCGGGAATGAAGAGTTCAATCTCAGGTTTCGTATCCAAAGAAGTGCCGGCTTGGAATGCGACAAGCAGGTGGGAATCCGGAGTGTCACATCCGGAGAGATAATAGAAATTGCTTTCCTGTCTGAAGGCAATTTCGCGGTCCGTGTCGTTACGGTAGTGTACTTGAGACCAGTGAGTACTGAGAAATATCAACGTATAGTTGACTCCAGGACCGACCTATCTCGCCAGCAAGCAAAAGCACTTGTGGCTTGGTGCGCTCTGATTCAGGCAAGAGTGCACATAGCTGCTGGCAAGTCTTGATAACGTGTTGTTTGGCTTAGGCCGAGGGTAAGCCGTTTTACATAGGATGATGCCACCAGAATCCAGGTACCTGGGTACATCGGCGGAACGTCCTTGTCGTCTTTCAATGAGCGGAGCTGAGCTACTGATGATCGATGATCTGTGATGTCACTTGTTTACGTATGATGACGCGACTGACTCTCACGTGTAGCTTTGTTTACGGCTTGACTTGGAACGACGATGTCGCGCACGCTCACTTCGGCGCAGATTATTGCACAGGGCCATTACCTCGAACCCGACTTCGACCCATCATCCCTGACCGTATCCCAGCTTCTTGGCGTCCTTGGCTATCACAACATCTCGTATCCGACGCCGTATTCGAAGCCGAAACTCATCGCCCAATTCAATGCTCAAGTCAAGCCTAAAGCTACCAAATTCCACAGGGATCGGCTGAAGGCACAGAGTAGTATTGCCAGTGACGAGGGGATCATGGATGGGGTAACTGGGGAGCCAGTGGCTGCATCGAGACCAGTAAGTTCAGTTCTTTCATTGCTCCCTTTGCCTCATGCCGTCAATAACAGCAACCTGCCGTTCGCCGCTCATCACGCCGACTTTCTCGGGCGCCTATCGAAGAGAAAGAGAAGGAACTATCGCCTGTTCGCCCAGATCCCGTACGTTCCTCCTTGTCCTGTTTTTGTCGTTTTGCCAACGCAAGATTGGCGCCGACAGCCTAAGCGCCGAAGGTCCTCCGCGCAGCCTAATCTTGGAGGGCCCTCCCGTACCAAACTCGAAAGCAAGCCCTCTGTGGTTGTCGAAGAGAGCGAGCCCGAAGAAGAATATGATATTCCGGTCCGTAAGGTGGGACGAAGCAAGAAGACAGTAAGTGTATGTTTGATTACGGCATTAGATCGAGGCTTAAACGGTATCTCGTAGTCTCAAGCCGCGGGTCAACAAAGTCGACGTGTTTCACGAGCAGAAGACAGCGGCTGGGAAGATAACAATGTATTTCAGTCTGGCGCAGAATCATCTTCTCCGGCTCGTCCACCACCTAAAGCAAGTCGCAAGAGCGTGGGCTTGCGAAAGGCGCGCAAATCAGTAACAGCGCCTCCAGAAATGGCGCCCTCATCATCGCCGATTCGGGGACCCGAACTCTCGTTTGCTTCGCCACAGACCAAGTTCGAGCCTCAGTTGCCGGCGAGCGTGACACGCGGCCCCCGGATGATGGCTCCCCAGTTCATTACGCCCGCGGAGGATCTGGAAGAGACTATCGAACTTGTCGACACCGATTACCCTGGCGATGAGCCCACAGAGGACTACTTTGGGGCTCAACCTGTGGACCTTGATGAAGTTGTCGAAGAATTGCAGGATAGTCAAGACCAGGATGAAGCAGATTTTGATGATGAAGACTTGGATCTTGTCATCTCACAGCGACTAGCTGAGGGACACACCGATCTCATTCCGGCGGCGCCGTCCGGAAACAGGCCAAATGTCCTAAACGTATTGTTCCTCGTGTTAACGTGTCTCCTTTTCTACGGAGGGGTCGAGTACAAGCGCGAGTTCTCCACAATCGGCTACTGCGATATGGGGCAGTCAACGAATCATCAACTAGAATACTTGCGAGCGAGACGGCATGCTATCGAGACGTGCAATGTCGAGAACCGGACGACACTTCCCGACGGCAGTCCTTGTCCACTACCGATCCCATTCCCTCATCCAGACACATGCACACCGTGTCCGTCTCACGGCACGTGCACGCAATTTCAGGTCGTGTGCGACAAAGGCTACTTGTTGCAGCGTCACTGGCTTATCCGCGGGCTATCTACGCTGCAAGTTCCGGACTCGGTCAAACAGGGTGCGACCGATATCGCCAATGGATTCCGGGAGGCTCCAGCGTCGGCCTGGGACCGCAGTGCGTGGAGGATCCCCGAAGGAAGTCGCACATCAATGGCCTCGGAAGGTGGATCGAACAAGAACTTGGTCGGGTCTACGGCCAAAGAATCTGCGAAGGCTCGAGTTGGGTCTTCCCGGAAAATGAGGGTGGAGATGCCCGTCGGTGGGGCGAAGAACTTGGACAGCTGAGTGAAAGGGTGGCCGAGATGTCCCAGGTGGGCAGTCTTCCTTGATGCTGGCTGAGTTTCATCCTGAAATTCCAATGCAGGCCAAGAACGCACCAGGTCGAAAAAGCGACGATGATGTGTTTCCGGATGCGATCCAGCAATTGATTGAATGGGGCGGTGTTTTCTTGGGAGAGGCTTCCGATGGAAAACGGTACATCGCACACAAAACACCACAGTTCACATGGAGCTGTCAGGTTTCGATGAAATTTTGGGCCCTGTTCGAAGCATATCGTTCGGTTCTAGTTGGTGAGTGAAAGTGGGGGGCTTGGTTGCGATCTCGGCTAATCACGTGCAGGCGTGGTTGCTATTTTTGCTGCCTACAAAGGTACACGGCGTCGACAAAGCCGGAAGGCGATTGAGGGCAAACGCGTTGCGGAGCTGGTGCAGATGTCGATGGAGAGTCTCCGCGCTCAAGACTGTTCTTACCACGAGGACGGCACTGACGGAATGTTGCCATATCTGTCGTCCGTGCAGCTCCGGGACACGCTTTTGGCGGATGAGCACTCAGTCCCAGCTCGGGAACGTCTGTGGGCCCGAGTTGAGCGGGTGATCGAGGGGAATGCAAATGTCCGGGCCAACTTGGAGGAAGTCGAGGGTGACCAAGAGATGCGAGTGTGGCGATGGGTCGGGCCATCGTCGCCCCGGAAGTTGGAGGGTTGATCTGGGCTAGTCTAGTAGAGTGGATCTATCTTGTCTATGTACTTGTCACATGTACCATTGGTTTTTTTCTGGACCGGTGTGTGGATGACAACGGAAGAATCGGGGTGGTTGCCGCCAGCTGACCGGGCCCGATGTCCGAAAGAAGGCCACCCGATTAGGGAATTTCTTACTCGAGGATATGTTGTCTCCAGATGGGATAGTCATTGTTCTCGGCATGGCATCGGGTGGTGAATGGCAGCCACAAGGCACACATCCCATGTCACGAGTAAGAATCTATGTACACCTGAAATACAATCTTCCGGATGTGCTGTTCCGACCATAAAACAATGCGGATGTAGCCGACAACACCTAAGGCCTAATACCCGGCGGGTTGTCCAACAGGCATATTGGCATTAATCTTTTCGATCAGTGCACGCTTCATAAACTGCTCTTCGGCAAGCAGACGGGTAGACTAATCACAAAGTCGTTTAGATGACTGGGGATTCGGAAACGAAGAAACACGAACGCGGAGAAATCGCTCCAGGTCGATGCGGCCGCTGTTGAGCGCCTTGGATAGGTGGAAGATCGTGTCCTCGATGGCGTTGTCCTCGGCGACCAAGTTCACCACTCTGTGGCGCACGCGATTGAGTCCCGGGGATGCACGCAAAATAAGCTGCTCACTGGTTGCCCACGATGCTGACCCCGCACACCAACTCGTCGACGCTGGGTTCGCCTCTGCCTCTCACGTCGTTGACCCATGACTCGGCGCCACTGACGACAGCACCAACACGGCCAACGACACCATTGCACACGTCTCGCACAGCCTCCAGCCGGGCCATCTCGTCCCGGATGGCAGGTTCACCCGCGAGCAGCGCACCTTGGTGGGCGCGCAGCCGCTCTGCGTCCAGTGCCAGCGCAGTCGACAGCGAGGCGAGCGACGAGGAAAGCTTGGCATGCACTTCATTGTGCAAGGACACAATCTGGGGATTCGGGGGAACGGGGGTGCAGCGGAACCAACACCCAAAGCGGGAGCCTCGTCCGCATCGAGCAGATTAGGGATCGGGGGCGATGCAACCACGGGCGGCGGTGGTGCTGGTGGATATTGGGGCTGGGGCGCGAACTGCTGAGGGACGAAGGAGGGTTGTGGCTGGTATGGTGTTGGGTTGGGCGGCGGTGGCGGCGGCGGTGGTCGGGGAGGAAGTTGGTAATTAGGTGGGGCCTGCGCTGGTGCGGCAAGTGCCGGCGATGGAATCTGCGCAGGACTCGGGCCGGGGGCTGGGCTCTGTGTCTGCATCGGCTTGGGAGGCAGGACGGGAGGTCCGTGCGGCTTGGCATAGACGGGTGGCGACCGTCCGAATTCACCCTGCATGGCCTCGACCAATCCCGAGACGCTACATCCCTCGCTCTTGCGCACCCATTGCTGCAAGTACTCGATCCCCAGACGCCCGCTGGGGTCAAGGTGTGGGCCCGGTCGCACAAGCATGTCTGCTGTCGGTACGACGTACGCGAGGGGAGGATCCTGGGGATGCGAGCGCTGGATCCATATAGCTACGGGGATGTGATACGCGTTGCCGCGATAGCTTATCGGCAGGAGCCCGTGAACGCAGAGCAGAAGCTGCACACGACCGTCATCGTAGGCTAAAGATGTCCTCTCATCATATATATCTCGAGTTTGGGCAGGGAACACTTGCTGTACACGTCTGACTTGGGGCGAAGGCTGGGGAAGCGACTCAGAGCACCGTCGACATCAGCGTACACTCTGTCTGGCGCGGAATATGGCTGGACATTATCGCGCAGCCACTTCTGTGTCAAGGACAGGGCCATGGAATTATCAGATCCACTAGTCGCGACTTGCCGTCGCTATATGTCAACGAGCGTACCGAACTCCCGGGATGGTTTCGCCCGAAACACGTTGATGGGGTTCCGCGGAGATTCTCTGCTCAAAAAAGGAAGGATGAAAGAGGGTAAGCTCGTCAGAGCCAAATTCTCGGGTCGGACATACTCATCAGGGCTGTGATTATCACGTAAGCATCAGATCTCAGACAGTCGGAATCGGATCTCGTTGTTGACTTGCCCAGTAGCACACTATTTAGTCCATCGGGCCTCGGCTACACTCTAGTGCTCAATATGCCCCCGCAAGACGACCCCGCTCCAGGCACTTCAAAATCGCTCACACCCCTACGCAAGCATCGCAAACTACTCAAGGACGGCAGTGGGACTGCGGTGTGGCCAGAGGCGATCGAGGCCGTCTTCGTTCAAGGTACAGCTTTTTTGTACTTTCCCGATTTTCTTAGCCCATCTACATCCAGGCCTCCGTGAATACTGGGACTCGCCATGGGCCACGTATTCACGTGGCAGGAGCAGATGGCGCAACCAATTTCTCGTCGAATATCTTGCCAACCACGGCATCGAACGAACGAAGAAGCAGGTGGCCAGTCATATTCAGGTATTGTTTCAGATCGCTCTCTACGTCGCGAGACTCTTACAGGGCTGCAGGTGCTGCGAAATATGTGGAAGGGCGACTCTCGTACGTCTTTGCTTCCGTGGATGCCTGGATCTACCTTATTTACTTCCGCACCACCCCTAGAATACCATCTTGTCGCTGGAGGAGAAGACTCGTTTCCCCAAGAAGGACAGCAATCGGAGCAGGAAGAGCCGCACTTTCGAGAGGGACGACCGCCGTCGCATTTATTTCGTGACTCCTTCGACGTCAAGAGCGAAGCCCACTCCCCCCTGCTCACCATCGACCCCGACGATGATCCCAGCTCCTCCCCCACCACATCTCTCCCAAGCCTCTCCTTCTCGCCGACCAGCCCCATCTCCTCTATTCCTGAAATCGATTCTCCACCGCACGCCTACGCCGCCCTTGTTCCGACGAACAATGCGCAAAAATATTCCCCTGGAGTGCCTTATGGCACCTTTGCCGGACAGTCCTTCGGGGCAGCCGTACCGGTCCACCCGATCCGAGCGACCACGTTCACCCTCCGAGCGAACGGAATGACGCCATTGACCATATCTCTTGACCGTCTGTACACGCCGAATGCGCCGCCGGCAAGGACCCCTCCTCTTGCACTGAAGCTCAAGGTCAAGCTTCCCGCCTGGTCGTTTCCAGGGCCTGCTGGCGCTGCCGTCATCACTGCTCCGTGCGCAGAGGCTTTCGTGCATTCCACCCGGTACGACGACCTCAACCATCAGGTTGGAGCGAATCAGGACCCGGCCGTCGCCCGATCCGCATCGGGTACACCCGAGATTGTGTTCCCTCCCTTTTTTTCATCATACGCGCCTGACTCGGTGGACGCGATGACGATCACGCAGAATCTGGTGGTTGACGGCCACACGCTGTTGTTTGTCATGTACGAGATCGAGTTTGGGGGGCCAGGATCGACGACGCAGGCCAGCCTGCACTCTTTCCAGCCGTGTGTGTTGGCGGGCCGAGAGGACTACGGACACATGTCGTACGAGCAACCAGCTCAGTACCCGGCGCCGTACTACGCGCAGTCGCAAAACGAACAGCCCCATGGACGGCGTATGTATGCGTCTTCGCTGTCTGCTGCCTTGACGCCCGTCTCGTAACGTGGGATATCATCCCTGCACGATATTTTATTCGCGGATAATCTCGGCCCGAGTACACTACTACACGCCCCACTCCTTTTGGACCACCCACTTCCTTCCCTTGTCCGCGGTGTCAATAGTCTGTATTCTCATTTTTTGTATGTATTGTATCCTATGCACTATGCGGGGATGGACATGGTGTAACCAGTACAATGTTGTAAATCCCTTCGCTCACTGTATTTGTCTTGGCTATCGCCGATCGGCCAGCGTGCGAGGCCATGCGCCACACCATATGATTTGCGCTCATCACCGGCGTCCTAGACGCTATCTGCAACAACCGTGGGTGCCACCGAACAAATCAGTCCAGGCAGTCTCCGAAAGCCGCGAGTTCATTGAAGTAGCATATATTGAGGATCGAAGTAATCTCTGTGTGGGCCTCGTCTCATGAACCTGCGGCCGAGACACTGTAAGTGCCCCCAGGATCAGGCATCTCGCGCTCGCGGCGGCGGCCGATGTCGGTCTCTCGGACGCTGTTGGTGAGATATCCACCGACAAGTCATGCAAACGAGCGGATTTGCTTCTGGTGAAAGAGATTGCCGATCGGCCTGGCCTATTCGAATACAGGACTCGGGTACTCGACCTACGCTCGACTGGACGATAAGACTTTGGCAGCCTCGGAACGGACGTCAGGATCCCAGTGCTGACTGCTCAGAGCAGGAAGCTCCCAGAAGCACGTGCCAAAGGGATTGCACAACTGGGGATCATCCACTTCCGGTCGGTAGCTGCCATCCAGCGCACGCTCTTCCGTCGACAGCATGGCCGCGATCTTCCCATCTCGGCCAATCAGCCCTGCAACGAACTTGATGGAGCGAAGAGCTGCTTTTGGAGACCAGTGTAACGATGCTGTAAGCAGCCGTTTTGCAAATGCTGCGGCCCGCCAAGGTGGTGCTGCACTTCCAGCTGATCTCGGCGCAAACGACAGCTCCAACGCGCGGAACAACTGCTCCGTCACTTCAGGCTCAATGTCTGACAAGCTCAGAGGGAGAAGGAGAGCATATAACTGGGTTATAAAGTCACTGAGATCAATGTTCAATGCTTCACCTGATTTGCCACATCAGCGCCATCATAAAGAAAGAAGACAAAACCTACCTTGTCCACTCAATAGCTCGAATGCAGTCACGATGCACTGGAGACGAAGTCGCACATCACGTGTCATGTCTGGCTCATCGTCTTCTTCGCTCTCGATCTCGCGCACCACCAAGTCCTTCAGGACTTTGAGGAGATCACGGAAAAAGTCAATGTTGACGAGATGCGAGTATCTGGCTATCCCTTGCAAAGCTGCGGGTAGCAATGCAGTGGGCCTGTCGTGCTTGATGATCTTGAAATACAGAACGAATAGCAGCTTGAGCGTCTCGGTGTGCTGAGACTAGTGTGAGCGTGGGACCAAACAAGGGAAACAGACGCACGGTGGCAGACCTCTCCTCTTTATCAACTTGTGCCTCAGCTTCCCGGAACTCGCGATCGATCTCTCGCTTCTCTTTCGCGACCTTCCGCGCCGCTTTACTGAGATGGGGCTGGGACGTGGCCTTTCCCTTTGATCGTCTTGCAGCATCCTTACTGGCCGAGCTGCGTTTGGGCTGGTCGGGCTTGTCCGCGTGCGAGTCAGATGAGCGGACGCCCAGTTCCGTTTTGAGCCGGAGATGCATGAGACATGTCAACACATTGGGGTTCACATTGAATCGCTTTTCCTTGACCATCCGGTTGATCACACGAACGATTTCGAGCGATGCTGTGCCAGTGACATCATTTTTGAACGTTTTCACCAACGTGTCGAGACAGTTTTGCGACATCTGGAGTCTGGTTAGGAGGAAACACGACGTCCCGGTCCCACCGCACCTTGTCCCAGGACTTTCTACTCAGTCTTGCCACGATGCAGTTCATGAGATTCACGCGAAAGTTGAAATGTATCAGTTCTGTCAGTAGCGTGCACATCGCCCCCAGAGCGATATCAGCGAGTTCACTTTTGGCTGTGCCACAATCAGTTGTGTAAGTAGAAGCGCAAGATAAAACACACCTTTCAGCTCAGCTTCAAGCGCTCGCAAATAGTTCTGATAGACCACCACTAGTCCTTGTTCCCATTCTCGTGTTCGTGCGACCATCTGGCTAACTTTTTCCGCTTTCTCCTTGTCCGATAATGCACGGATTCGGTATCCAGGGATGATGTCTTTGAATACTGCGAGCTGGGAAAGGATTGCGAGTTTGCGGATCACGGGGTCATTAGGAACGGGATCAGGATGTGTCGGCGTTGATACTTGAGCGAGAGAGAACGTATGCAAACGACGTAGAAGACCGAGCTATGGAGAGTCAGACTTGAGCCTGTCCATTTCACAGGTAAAGTGCTCACGCTGCCTTCAGGATCAGCCATGATATCCTGACAGATACTGGCAATCTGCTCCTTTGCTCCTTGGATCCGGTGACTCCGGGATTGGTTGCTCAAAATGTCGACGACGGCGGGACGCCCAAATCTGGCACCCGTGGCAACATCTTCTCGTGCGGGCTCCTCGACTCGTTCGTCTTCCTCCTCGCTCTCTTCGCTACTGTCTTCGCTGGTAGAGAGTTGCTTGAGTTTCACTCCAGACTTCTGTACACGCCCGTTGGCCAACTTGATAGGTAGCCGTTCGATTGCGGTATCCTTCGCGGAATCCCAGGATGGCCTGTGTTTCCGGGCGCAATTTCGTAGGGCATCTCAGCATCCGAGTCCGAGTCCAAAGCGGAGTCCATTCCACTTTCAGAGAAGCCGGATGAGCCCCCGTCCTCCTCCGATATCATCCCAGAGCTCCAATCGTCCTCGTCCTCGTCCTCCTCCCCGTCCGAGTCGAGCGACGGAAGATCGTCCACTTCAGGTGCTTTCCTGATCGGTTTTTGCAATTGTCGCAGTCTTTCTGTTTCTTTTTTGCTCCTAGTGTGAGTTCAAAGTACATCCTACGTTGCGGCAATAATTCACGACGCACCTTGAAATCGCTTTCTGATCCAGGCCATCCAAGAACGAGAGGGCATCGCCATATTCTTCCAATAGCTCTACATCCTGGTCCGAGAGATCTGCCTCATCATCGCTGGCATTAGCAGGTACGGGGATCATTCCTCTGTCCGCTGCCTTCTGCTTGTTCTTGTCCTTCGGCTTGACATTATATTTTTGGGGGGCCCGACTTGTTTCGAGGGTTGTTTGGCGGGGCCGAGTTTGCGTTTCTTCGAAGGGCCCTGGAACCGTATGTTCACTCCAGGCTCTGCACACGGAAAGACAAGGACGTACCCCAGTAACCGGTGCAGACCTCTTTCCTGCTGCCATCGCCGTCTAAAAGAGAAAATGATCGGGTCAGCGGAATCTTCCGAGCGCGTAACGCGCTTGTGACGGCGCGCGTTTACTCCCACAAGTCAAGCACTGATCAGTGGTGCATCATGGACATTCCACCCACCGAACACGTCTTGCGCGCCCACCACGTCGGCCTACTGACACTTTTCTCACTTACGTTCAAAGAGTTCGAGGGAAAGCTACCGCCTGCCTTTCTGCTGCACATATACCGGCTTCTGTTGAACGAGGTTTCCGAGGTGCGCGTCTTTGACTCTCCTTGTGACTGTGTCTGACATTATTAGGTGGCCCCGCCGAAGTCGTTCACCGAGCTTCAGATGGACCTTCTTTCAGCGAGCAAGGCGGAGCTCCAGATCTCTCGCCGCTTGATAGCGGGTTTCGATGCTTGGGTCAGTCAACCCACATATGATCGAGCTTCTCTGAATCGGGATAGAGGGATGGTTTAGCAACGGCTGAGCGGCTGGCTCAGTTTCTCTCCGGTGACTTCGATGCGATGTTCATTCGCAATCTCCATCCCTGACTCCTCATGTCAGCATTGCCGAATCTGTTTCAAGAGAAGGTTGAGGGCGAAGAGGTATTGAGAACGTTCCGTATCTGGCGCACCTAATATGTTTCAGGAAATTCCACCTACCTTGGCAAGTCGAGCTACGCGTATGATCGTACGACAACATTGAGCAGATTCAACAGCAACGACGCTCAATCTTCGGTTACTTCTGTCGGCGGTGCCATGCAAGCTACCTGAAGCTTACGTTCTACGGCGTGGGGAAGCTTCAGAAGGACTATCAATCGTGGTGTCGGGGAGCGGATCCGGTCGAGATCAAGTTTCCAGCTGCCAAGGATCAGTTGCAGAGTATGGATGTTCATATCTCTGGTGTACCAGTGCTGATCACCTGTTTTGTAGGCCACATCTATAACTACAGAACGATGGCGGACAAAGTAGTCTGGGCACGACCTGACTCCTACGACACGTCTGTATTCCTTCTTGCCCTATCTATGCTGCTGGCATTAAAAGTTTCAAGTTTCAACAAAGCGATGGCCACAGGGAATGAGAGTGTAGCTGTCGAAAATCTCCGTCGGTTCTTCGAGCAACATTTCCACGAAAACAATGATTCGCAAGTTTTCCATAGTTTCCGCTGTCCGCATGAGCTCAACTCGTCAAGGCAGTGGTTTTCGGCAGCATGCGTTGCTGCATCTCGTGCGAATGCATTATGTGCGCCAGGAATATGTTGCTGCTCGCAAGGTAGGCCCGTTGGCTTGCCTGAGGCTACGCTTAACAAAGTCTGCAGTTACTGCACGAAGCAATTGCAATCGCCCGACTGAACAACGACAGGGTAACCTTGCAGCACTGCACAAGGTAAAGCCACCTGTCATCATAGAAGATCTTGCCCTGGAAGTTATCAGTCTACTACATCGCCTGCCACCCACAATTCCGCGTAAGCGGCCGACCCTGAATGAAACACAACCAGACTTGCATCCCATGGAGATTCTGTACGACGTTTCAAAGCTGATGGACGAGGAGAATGTGTGTCGTTTTGTGGCATTAGATTCGCGGGGCTGATTCTCGCGGTAGGGGCAGCCTCTGAGCGCATCGTTTGCGAGAATAGTGGAGGGGGTCGGGTTGTATGACCACTGGTTTGACACACAACCTATTCCACCGGCTGACACCGAACAATGGGCTCAGCATGCTGTGCAGTCTGTTCTCTGGACCGCAGCTGGCTGTCCCGGTCTTGCTGCGTTGGAGGAAGATCTCGTCATCGCTTTCACGGACGAAGGCGGCAGTGATAATAACCGGACGACTGTGATGCTAAACAAGCTGTACCGGGTGCGTTATCATGCGTTTCTGAATATTAATGGCGCTGAAAATATGCAGCATGCCAGGTCTGGGTACTACGATCAGGCTTTGTCAGCCTTGCTACATCCCAGCATGTGGCGCGGCCTCTCCCTCATAGATTATGGACTATGGGCTCAGGAAATATGGCATATCCTTGTTTTGAGAGCGACCCGGCGGTAAGGCGAGATCATCTTTGGTGTGCGCTCGCTCAGGCCTCCCTCAGAGGACAAGATCGCGCTTACCGAGAGATCCTTTTACCGAGAAGACCTCCTGGGGAATACAAGCCCAGGACGTACACGCTTGTCCCTGCGGGCCCCAAGCTTTCCAAAATACAGCAGCCTCTCTGGGAGGTCATCCAGATGAAGGTAGGTCATTCTGTTCCTCCCTTCTAGCTCATGAACCATTGGGCAGCAATGCGATCAAGCTACGAGCACCATGGATGATCTGCTGACGGCGCTATGGCACTCTGAATTTCTGGGTCGGCTCAGTTCATACAGGACAGGGATTATTCTGTTGGCGGACGTGTCTCTCGAATTTGGCATGTCTCAAAGGTCATGCAACATACTACAAGACATCATGCCCCAAGTGAGCAGCAAAGCATATGACCAACGATCTATTTCAGGCTCAAAACCTCTCAGTTGATCGCAGGGTTCGATACAGAATTACGAGCACTGGCATGTTTTACATTGGCTCGTTGCACGATTGTGGCCGGGGAGACTTCCGGTCCGTTGTGTCTTAGAGAATGATCTAAACAGGCTGAATATGCTGCAGCGGAGTCGCTCGAACAGGCTGTCAGATACCTCACGATTGCCGAGACTGATTTCCTCAGCCTAGAGATGTTTAGCGCGGCCATGGACGTGCAATACTTCCTTTCGGTCGTTTACCACAACTTGGAGCAAGACGCAGATTGTGATGCGGCAGCTAGGCGGCATTTCGCGTCTCAGGAGTCATTGAAGAGTCTGGAAATCACGCAAGATGGATACATACCAGTGTTGGAGATTGTACGAGTGGTCGGTGCGGCTTTAGCCAGTCGTCATGTTCCGGTATCGTAGTCACGTGGACGTGTGTGTTGTGCTTCGTTGAAGATTCCGCATTCAGAACTCGACTTTTGACTTGAGATCCTTCGACGCTATCTGAGGGCCCCACCAATCGAGCATGGACGGCCCTCCCCCAGTCGAAGAGGACTTTTCTACACTTCCCGTCGCGGAGCGATTATCTCACAAGAACTGGAAGGCACGCGTGAGCGGCTATGAATCTCTCGTCAAGATCTTTCAAGCTACCGCATCGGACACCGATCCCGCCTTCCGGCCCTATCTCAGCAACCCTGACCTGCTGAAGAAGATTGCCATAGATGCGAATGCGGTCGCGCAAGAGAAGGGTGTCGAATGCCTCGTCGCGTTAGTCAAGTATGCGGGGGAGTCGGCCGCCAAGACCCGCGAAACAGTTGTGCCCGCCTTGGTAGACAAGTGTTTCGGGTCTACACGAGCGGGTACGAAGGCTCAGGCGATCGAGCTCGCGCTGCAGTACGTAGAGGTGGAAAATGGTGGCACGGGAGTTGTGGTGGGTCCTTCATACCTTATTTTTGTCCCAGCCCACCCATTCTCTCAGACCGACATTCTGCCTGGCTTGGCAGCCAAGCAACCCAAGGCGGTTGCTGGATGCGTGACAGCGCTGAAGGAGGTTATTCGGTGCGAGGCTTCGTTTCAATAACCTAGTAGTCAACACTGACGCCATAGTCTATTCACTGCAGCTCGTTTGGAGTACAGACTACGCCTCCACCGCCTATTCTCAAGGCGCTACCGAAGATATTCGCGCATAGCGACAAGACCGTGCGCGCGGAGGGTACCGCATTGACCCATATCCTGTATCAGTACTTGGGGCCTGGCATAGAACCATGGCTCGCAGACCTCAAGCCAGTGCAAGTTAAAGAGCTTAAAGAAGCTTTCGAGTCTATGGAAGCTGGTGGGACTGGAAAAGGGACCGTCAAACCTGAGCGGATGACCCGTGCTCATGCGAGAGAGGTCGAGGCGGCGGGAGATGCAGGCGATGAGGGAAGCGGAGAGCCAGAGCAGGCAGAGGAAGAGGGTGCGTCTCATTCTGTGACCATCGTCCTGTTGAGTGCCTTATCCCCGTGAAGCGCCTCTAGATCCTCGTGCCTTCGCTGAGCCCGTCGATGTCAAGCTGCCCGGTTCGTTACATGCCATGCTTGGATCATCAAAGTGGAAGGAACGCAAGGAGATGTTGGACGACTTGCTCGCACTAATCAACGCCGCGCCTCGTATCAAGGACGGCCCAGAAATGGGAGACCTTGCGAAGGCTTTGGCAGGCCGCATACAGAGCGACGCCAATATCGCCTGTGTGATGACTGCCGCTGCATGTATGGAGGCTCTTGCCAAAGGCATGATGAACTCATTCGGGCGCTATCGGGAAACGGTCGTCGCGCCGATGTTGGAACGCATGAAGGAGAGAAAGGCCACGGTGACGGATGCGATAGGAACTGCGCTTGACGCGATATTCGCGACTGTGCGTGATCTCTTCCAGTTGCTGCCTGAATTGACCCCGGTGTTTTATTTTCACAGACTACGTTGGCCGATGTTATTCCGGATCTAGGTCCGGCACTCGGATCGAAGAATCCACAAGTCAAGGAAGGAACGCTTAAGTTCCTCGGCCGCTGTCTTGCTACCTCGACATCGCCCGTGCAGCCTGCGCAAATCAAACCGCTTGCCGAGAGCCTCTCCACTCTGCTTGAAGATGGATTCGAAGGTGCACGAAACGAAGCCGCAACATGCATGGGAACGTTGATGAAGATGGTCGGAGAGCGACCTCTGAACGCCGTGATGGACGGCCTGGCTGATGTCCGCAAGGCTAAAGTCAAAGAGGCCTTTGAGAAGGCCACCATCAAGTGCAAATCAGGCGCAGCTCCAAAACCGGCGCCCCCGCCCGCTGCTGCCCCGGTCGTGAAGAAGAAGGCGCCAGCGCCGAAATCTGCACCCCCGCCAGCAACCGAAGAAGCGGCTCCATCGCCACCGAAAGCTGCAGCCAAACCTCCAGCAGCCAAGCCGCCTGTGAGTTCTCACTTTCTCACTCGCATCGAGACTGACGTCGATTTAGGCAAAGAAGCCTCCAGCGGCCGCGGCACCGAAAAAGGCTCCTGCTCCTGCTCAGGCAGCTAAAACGGCGGGCAAAGCAGCAGCGCCAGCAGCCGCAGGATCTCTCGACACCTTCAAATACAAGCACACTCCTGAAGATGCAGAAGGACTTGCTGTCGAGTTGATCCCAGCGGAGATGATGGCTGGCCTCGCCGACTCGAACTGGAAGACGCGCCTGACTGCGTTGGAAGAGATGATCACTTGGGTAGAGTCACTAGTAGACGAGATTGACGCCGAAGTGGTCGTCCGGGCGCTGGCGAAAAAAGGATGGGCGGAGAAGAATTTCCAGGTGTCAGCGAAGATCTATGCGGTGTGCACTTTGTTGGCCGAGAAGGCGCCGTCTTTTGGGAGGTCGTGTGTTGCGCTCTGTGTCGGGCATCTTTCAGAAAAGTTGGGCGATTTGAAGCTGAAGAAACCGGCTGGCGAGACATTGATGGCCTTTGCGGAAAAGACTTCGCTGCAGTTTGTTTTGAATCAAGGTGAGTCCAGATTGAATGAATTATACCTCATAGTAACATTGGCGCAGCATACGAGCCTCTTTCGAAGCAGAAGGCCCCCAAAGTTCTCGCCGATGCTGTCGCCTGGATCAATTCGGCACTCATTGATTTTGGGATTGCCGGGGTGTCCTTGCGTGGCCTGATCGACTTTCTCAAGACTGCATTGGGAAACTCCAATGCTGCTGTGCGTACCAGCGCGACCAAGACCTTGGTTACTGTCAAGTTGTTTGCGGGATCCAGTGAGTGATCACTCTCTTCCCCAGCACAGCAGCCTAACCCGAAGGCAAGGCATCAAGGACCTGCTGGAGGACCTCAATCCCCAGTTGATGAACACCATCACTTCTGAGTTCGACAAGGTCGAAGGAAACCCAGCGCCGGAACCAAGCAGAACATCGGCCGACCTGGCAAACATGACGACCACAGCATCTGGCTCTGCCTCGGCTGCCGGTGCCGGTGATCCAATGGATGATTTGTTCCCTCGGGTTGAGCTTGATGGTCTGCTCAAAGGGACGACGATTCTCGCCGATGCCAAGAGCGATTCCTGGAAAACAAAGAAAGAGGCATTGGAGAACCTGCAAGGCATTATGGACCAAGGCAGCAACAAACGACTGAAGCCAAACATGGGTGAGTGCCATTCCTCGGCAGCGTAGATGGAGCTCACTTCTGACGCAGGGGAGATTGGTCAAGTTTTGAAAGCACGAGTGACGGACGCGAATAAAGCCGTGCAGACACTGGCGCTCGACATTGTGACGCGAGTTGCGACGGGAATGGGCAAGCCGTTCGAGAAACACGCGCGACTGCTCGTTGGGCCCATCGCGACTGTTCTGTCAGATCAAAAGGCGCCGATTCGTGCGGCCGCAGTAGCGACATTATCGGCGATTGCGACGGCCTGCGACGGCTTGGAGCCGATGATGGCTGGACTGCATGCTGGGCTGGAAACGTCGAATCCCATGCAAAAAGGGACCCTGATGCATTGGATGGCAGATTGGTTTCGCGATCACGAGCCCGGGTCCTCGCTCGATCTGAGCAGTCTAGTGGCAGGCGTGGTCTCTTCTTTGGACGACCGAAACGTCGATGTGCGCAAGGGGGCTCAGGCTCTGCTCGCTCCGTTGATCGTTTCTGCCGGTTTTGATTATGTGATGCATCAGGCCGGCAGCTTAAAGCCTGCCTCGAGAAATTCAGCCATACCATTGATTCAGGCCGCCCGACCTGCAGAAGCACCCAAGCCAGCCGCAGCTGCTCCCGTCAAGGCCGCCGCTCCCACCAAACCTGCGGCAGTTGCTGCGCCAGCGAGATCTGCAGCAGTAACGCCTCCACCCGAGTCTCCGACAGCCGCAAAGGCTGTCAGCAAACTTGGAGTGCGCCGCAAACTGCCGCAAGGGAGCAGCCGACCAGAATCACGTGCAGAGACACCAGTCGAAAGCGCCCCTCCACCAGCTTCGCGAATGCTGGCAAAGCCTGCGGCGGGCGGTCTCCGCCGGCCTGGTGCCCCGAAAGCCGCTGTGCCGGTGGCATCTCCGCCACCAGCCGCCAATCTGGCACTGACCGGTACCAATCCAGACACCAAGAAGACGCGACTGGGCAAGGACGTGACGAAATGGATCAACGAGAGCGGGCCGACACGTAAGGACCTGGCGAGTCGCTCCAGAACCAGATGGAGCCTCATGCATCGAAGGAACTAGTGGCTCAGCTGTTCAGCCATGACCATAACGCCGTCAACGACCACATCAACGGACTGACGACCATGTGCGAGTTATATGCCGACACCGATCCTGCTGCCGAGGCCGTCTGTCTCGCCAACTTTGATCTGCCGCTGAAATACGCCTCGATCAAATTGCACGAGCCCCAACCTAACTTGATCTCCAAGTGTCTTGAGATGGTGGAAACGGTCGTTGCCTTTCTGCGCCGAGTCGCTTGCCAGCTGACGGACAGCGAGGCTACATGCTTCATCCCGACAATCGTATACAAGCTGGGAGACGCGAGAGAGCCCGTGCGAGCCCGGGTTCAGCAGATCATCCAGGACCTGCCGAAGATCTATGCATACAGCAGAATGTTCCAGATCCTGCTCGACCACGGTCTGAAATCCAAAGTGGCAAAGACACGGCAGGGCGCCCTCGATGAGATGGGTGCCATCCTAAAGAAGTCGGGGATGGGCGCCTGTGAGCCTTCCAAGGCCTTCCCGATCATCGCTGGGATGATATCTGACAAGGACTCGGGCGTTCGCAAGTCAGCTCTGGGAGCACTGAGGTGTGCCAACCCATAACTTCATTTGACATTTCTGATGATTTTACAGCGAGGGATATACCCTCGTTGGGGAGAAGGTATGGTCCCTGGTCGGGCCGCTTCCTGCCAAGGACAAGACCCAGCTCGAGGAGCGGCTTCGCCGGGTGCAGGGTCCAGCCCAGGCAGAACCTGCGCCGCCAGCCCAAGTCGCTCGACTTGCTGCCACTGGTGTGCAAAGACCCGGTTCTCCCGCTGGGATGAGTCGGATCGGAGGGCTCAATCGACCGGCCAGTCCTGCCAATTTCAAACCTTCCCGTCCGGCATCTCCCGGCCCTTCCAGCTTGCCTCGCGCCGCGTCTCCCGTACGTCGCACTGCCGTGCCTGCCGCCCCGGGGTCCTCTTCCCCCACGACAGGCATTGCCAGGCCTAAAAGCATGCTCCCTTCCAGACTCGGCTTGCCTCGCGCCAAGCTGCCTTCTGTCGCTTCCCGTGATCCCATCATGCCTGCTGAAGAGCCACCGGCGCCTGCACCAGCGCCAGCATCTCGGGTGCCCTCACCGCCACCAGAAGCGACCAACAGCGATGATATCACAGTGACGATTTCGAGCATCCTGAGCAGCGATGCCTCGCGGAGTGTCGATGCGCTGAAGAAGATTCAAAAGATCCTCTCTGTAGGGCCAGAAGCAGGCCCGTCATCTGCGCAATACCGAGAGCTGGCAGAACACACCGAAGGACTGATTGAGACGATCACGTTGCAAATGGCCCACATTTTCGAACGGCCGGACAATCTGGTTCCAGAGGAGAACTTCCGTCTGGCAAAGCATCTGATTCAGACACTGAACACATTCTGCGACCACGCGTTCCTAGCCGAATCGCTCACCGTCGATATTCTCACGTCGCTGCTGGAAGAGCTGACCCTGAGGCTGCTGGAAACGGACGACAGCCATATCAAGAAGGTCAAGGACTTGTCAAGGTTCATCAACATGATTGTGCTAAGGCTGTTTGCCACGGGACGGCGAATGTCCATCTTCCGGTGCGTCTGTCGAACTGACATCGGCCACCTTTGTTTGACAGGCCTTGTATAGGGCTCTATTTGCGCTTTTGCTCCAGATCGTGAAGCCGTTCCCAGGCAATGGAACACCACCGGACGCAAAGGAAGCTAAAGTCGCCGAACTCGTGCTGAAGTGTGTGTGGAAACTGGCCAGGAATATACCACAAGATCTGGCCGATGAGCGACTAGACCCGGTCGAGCTATTCCCTGCGATCGAGCACTTTCTGCAGTCTGTGCCGCCCAACGAATGGCGTGCGAGGGCTACAAATAAGGTTCCGTGCGGAGACATGCCTTTGCGGACGATCAAGGTTATCATCCAGCACGTGGTTGGTGCGTGTCCTTGGTTTGTCAATCTACGCGCTGGCTCACCTCTACAGCATTCTATGGTGACGATGTGTATGACCTGCTTTCTGCCTCATTCGATGACCCATCGGCGACAATCACCTACCCCTATGTGTATCGTATCCTCAACTCGAACACCCGTGCTGCAAACGAAGCAGCGCGGCCGGTTAATGGCGTCTCGGCAGGACCGTCCTCGCCCTCGTCCAGTCGACCCATGTCACCTGACGAGGCTCCAGTGAAGCGACACTCTGCTCCCAGCCACCGTTCCACGCCCAGTTCGTCGGCCGACAGTGTCCAGAACGGCTTCAGTCCCAACGCCCATGACGATGACGACCCGGATGCCCAGCTGCTGGTCATCATTGGCCACATCTCCAGCGAGACAACGGGTGCCCTGCACAAGGAAGGGATCACAGAACTGCATCACTTTCTCAAAGCCCATCCGCACAAGCGTCCGAGAGTGGAGAAGATGCTCGAGGCGACCGGTGCTGCATTCAAGAAATATATTACTCGCGCGCTGGCCAGTCGCGCTGCTGAAGACCAGGAGAGAAATGTTGCGGTTGCGGATACCTTGTCCAGTGCGTCTCACTCCATCTGTATTTTAATTGCTATCACCAGGCTGATTCGAGAACAGAACTCGAGTCCAATCACCGTGCAGTGCCAGAATCTAATCCCCGGGCCGCATCACCGGTGGCAGCCGCCGATCCCATACCGGCACAGCCACGATCCCCACGACATCATTCGACCGTGCTCGGTGATCAGCAGCAAGAAAAGTTGTCACGGCTGCACAATCTGTTCCAGTACCGCTCGAGTACACAGAGTACGGAGTCCTTTTCTGCACCACAACGGACTTCCCTCCAACAGTAGTCGTTTTTTTTGCTTCGTTTTGTTTGGATTTCTATGCTGCATGCTCATGTGTAAATACCAACGCATAATCAATTTGTACACCGGCCTTGATGCAATCATCCTGTCTGTGCTCTTCTCCAGTCGCGCTCCCCAGCCAGTCGGCCATCGAGACATGACGACCACCGCGCCTCTCCAGCACGTCCCGCATGGGCGCCAGACTTATGAGACCGTCATGTTCTTCTGGCGGACCGTCACACAGATCTTTTTCCGTGAAGTACGACCTAGGGGGGCGTTCAACATCCCCATGCAGGGACCCGTCATCTTCGTCGGCGCACCGCATAACAATCAGTTTCTGGACCCGCTCCTGCTGGCACTGGAGGTATGGAGAGAGACGGGGAGAGCAGTGCAATTCCTGGCCGCTGCGAAAAGTATCGTGCGTGCTCTGAACGAACGCGTCTTTCTCAGTGTCTCAACTGTTGCCTCGTCGCCGTCCAGGAACGCAAAGCCGTGGGCTTTTTCATCCGTCTCATGAACAGCATCCCTGTCGTGCGTGCCGCGGATTCGGCTAAGGCAGGGTCAGGCAAAATCACGCTTTCCGCGGCCGACCCGTGTGTTGTTCTCGGGTCTGGCACGCGTTTCACAACCGAGCTCAAGCCGCGCATGCAGCTCATGTTGGCCAAGTCCCTGGGCTCGCCGATTGCGGAAGTCGCAGAGATCGTTTCGGACACGGAGCTGAGGATCAAGAAGGAGTTTGGCGGCGGGAAGGGCACGGGTCGGATTCGCGAGAAGGTTGAGGAATTGAGGGCTGCGGGCGAGGACGGAGGGCTGCAATACAAGTGCATGCCGTTCGTCGACCAACAGGAGATGTATCAATATGTGTACAACTCACTTAACGAAGGAGGGAGCATCGGTATATTTCCTGAAGGTGCGCCGGGCGCATATGTTCTACCGCTCTGTTGACCTCGAGTTTCATCAGGTGGCAGCCACGATCGCACGGACCTTCTTCCGTTCAAGGCCGGCGTGTCGATCATGGCCCTAGGTGCCATGGCGAACGACCCCAAACTCCAGGTGAAGATCGTGCCCGTTGGACTGGCGTACTTCCATGCGCATCGGTTCCGCTCTCGGGCGGTTGTCGAGTTCGGCAAGGCTATCGATGTCCCGGCGGACTACGTGACGATGTTCAAGCAGGGGGGAGACCAAAAACGAGAAGCTGTATCCAAGTTTCTGGACCTCATCTACGATTCGCTGAAAACCGTCACCGTGCGGGCTCCGGATTATGACACGCTTATGGTATGCGGAATGTTGCTTCCAGTTCTTCTGTTGATATGACGTGATCAGCTTATACAAGCTGCGCGCCGCCTGTACAAAACGCCAGGACAACATCTCACCCTCGGTCAGACTGTCGAGTTGAACCGCCGTCTTTTGGAGGGCTACGTTCATTTCAAGGACGAACCCCAGATTCAGCGTGTCCGCAAGGAAGTCTTGAAGTACAACAGACTCGTCCGCGACCTAGGGTTACGCGACCATCAGGTACGAGTAACAGGCCAGTCTTATGGGGCGATGCTCATTTGTCTAGGTCCCTCGAGCTCAGAGAGCGCTGTGGAAGACCCTCGGTTTGCTCTTGTACCGCATCTGTCTGTTACTTGTTTGGACGACTTTCGCTCTTCCCGGCGCCATTCTCAATGCACCCATATTCATTCTAGCAACCTCGATATCACGCAGGAAGGCTAAAGGTTCGGTATCTTGCTCTCTATCGACGCCCTCTGATTGGAATATCAGAGGCACTCGCTGCATCGCAGGTCAAGATCGCGGGAAGAGACGTGCTTGCCACTTGGAAAATTCTCGTGGCCTTGGCAGTTGCTCCTCTACTCTATCTCTCGTATGCCGCATTGACGGTCCTGATTCTTGCTCGCGCCGGCGCCCCTTTCCGATGGAAGCTGCTTGGTCCGATCTCTGTGTTGTTCGGAGTGCCTGTGATGAGTTTGGCGGCTCTCAAATTCGGTTAGTCTGTCGCCGGTTTCTCATGTTTTGGCTCACGCAACAACAGGCGAGGCCGGACGAGACGTCTTGTTCTCACTTCGTCCACTGGTAATTGCACTCTTCCCAGGTCAACAGCGGTCTTTGGAACAGCTCAAAACGAAACGGGAGAAACTGGCCAACGAAGTGGTCGATATTATCAACACGTTCGGGCCTCAGATCTACAACGACTTTAACGAGGTGGGCTCAGACGTGACCTGCCTCTGCTCTTGCTGAAGACTTTGGCAGTGGAAGATCTTGGTCCCAAGCGCGACTGTCCCTCCCTCAACCGGACTCCTGGCCTTTGGCGACGGAAAAGTGGAAATGGTGGTGTTGATGCCCAGGGTCTGCTGATGCCGCATCCGATGACCTGGCTGGATGAGCGACTGTTTGGCTGGTCACGCAGCTCTGTTCGCGGCACCAGTGCCTGGGCTGGATCCACCGATGCCAGTCGAATTGGCACACCCAACGAATCTGAAGATGAAGACGCCGGCGACTACGAGAACGTGATCGCCCTGTTGCCGGATCCAGGGTCAAAACCTCGCAGTCGGAAAAACTCGTATGCCGATCTCCAGCGCCTGAAGATGACAGGGCTCACTCCTGCAAATCATTCGCCGTCTACCTCTCCTCGACTGGGACATCGGGAGCGGAAAGCCACGCTGTCGGACGGTGTCCCCGTCCAGCGCATCGCGGCGGTCTCCGGATCGGACCAGTTTGACGAGGCCACTCAGAGTCTGAATGATGAAATACAGATGAGACGCCGGAAGATGGACTCGCATGACTCGTGATTTGTATTCATTCCACATCTGTACTGATACACGCATTTCACTTCACCCCGTCAGAATCTCGACACCAGTTTCTGTGATCCTGTTGGACAGTCAACACTACGTAAAAGAGACAGCGCCAAGACGCACAGCAACGTCTCTTCGAACTGAGCACTCCTCCTCCCGTCTACTGTAGTCGCCGTCCAGTTGTCTGGCCAGTGCACAGTTTCCCAGCTCGGACCAAGATTGATCATGGGCTCGATGGTGAAGATCATGCCAGGCTTCATGGTCCCTATGGCTTTATTTTTGGCGTAGTGCGGGATATTTGGTGCGCAGTGGAACAGCTCGTGAATGCCATGTCCGGTATACGTCCGAACGGACGAGCAGCCATTCCCGCGGGCAATAGGCTCACTGAAAACAGTCAGAACCAACCCCAATCTCGGCAACAGCACGGACATCACTTTGCCAATGTCTCGGAACAGGGCACCGGGCTTGCAAATCTCAATCGATTTGTCGAGGCATTCACGCGCTGTCCGGATAAGTTTCTCCGACTCCTCGTCAATCTTGCCCACAGGATATGTCCCGTTCACGTCACCATGATAACCTGCAGCGTGGAGATGAGAAGAAGCACACGAAAGCATGTTGCGCACAACCTTGATAGAACACACTAATGTCTGCGAGCTCCGGTCAGATTTAACCACGCAACACAGATTGCACGCACCCAGGTTGACGATGTCGCCTTCCTTCAAGGGCCTCTGATCCGGGATCCCATGGCAGATGACCTCGTTGATAGAACTAATGGGCTTAACGCGTGAACGTTGTGCAAAATCGCAATCAGACGCAGACGGACGTGCACACGGATTTGGGGAAGTTTCGGTAGTTAGTGGGGAGGGGTACGCGTTTCGCTCGATGGTCGCATTGTGTACAATTTCGTCTATGGCATCTGTCGTGATTCCGGGGCGAACGGCGGCTGCGGCAAGGTCCAAGATCTCTCGAGACATCTGGACGGATTGAATGGGCGTGAGATCGGCAGACGAGAACGTACAGGCGACGTACTCGGCACACAGTTCTCATCTTCTCGATCTCCTCCGCGTTCAATATCCTGATGGCTTGTCCCGCCGCTCGCGCTTCAGAGCGAGGAACGCCTGTCATCGGTCATTGAATGAAAACGGCCATCCATTCCTAAACTCGTTGGCGCACCGTCATCGACGTAGTCCGGCCGCTGGATATGATCCGGCACTTTTCGCTTAGATGAGAGTGGATAGGCAGGTCGCATCGGTCCCGTGTAGCTGTAATTGGGGAATGGATTGTAGGTCCCAGCTACGGCATGTGTATGTCACTTTCATGCATGCAGACAGAGAAGATGACATACCAGGACCTTTCCCTGCGTCTTGCACAAGATTGTGAATAATCTTGTGGCCTTTCTGCGCACAACGATTAACAGGTTAGTGTAGACTAGGCCAGCCACAGACCCCTATAGCAGCATTGAGGCGTAAGATGGAACGGGCAGACATGATCAACTTACATCCAGCCTTGAAGCATTCTTGTCCACAGAAAAATGACCCGCGGATGCCAAGTCTAATGCAGAGCAGATTGAGATGAATTCGAAGGAAGTCGGACAGCCAGTACTTGTTACACGTCGGGCATTCTAAACGGGAGACAGGGTTTCCGTTGGGGCACTGCGGATTTGGCACAACTTGTCCTTCCCTTCGGACGACATGATCACAGGCGCGAGAGACAAAAGTAGTCACGCAGATGGTCACATTTATTCGCCTTCGCCACTGGCAGATGCGAAATCGAGTTAGTGTATTCAGCAGAGCTATTAGAAGGAGAGTGTAACATAGGCTATTAACTATTTTAGGTATCGTGAAACCGTGCTTTAGATACAAGGAAGATGCATGCGTCGGAAAGATATACAAAGCGAATGAAGTGCGGGGGACGTAACAAAAAACGAGGATGCAGCGGAGAGAGGGAGATGCAAGAAGAACAAGGATGTGAAAACAATGCGAGGATTATGAGAAGCATATGGTAACCCTGGAGAAAAGATGGAGCGAATCTGGCCAAGTCACTGCAGTTGTGTTGGTCACGATCGCAACTTCCTCTTTGACAAACGACCCATCAGCGATGGTACGGAACGATTTCGAGTTTGAACGCGGACTGCATGTCCGTACATGCCTTCCTCAACGCCCTAAAAGAAGAACTGGTCAGCATGACGCGCTCGACGCGACGAAATGACGCGGTGCAACGAACCTGTAGTGAGACACGCCGAATATCTCGACCAACATGCGCTCGTTTGCGTTGACCCACGCGGCGGGGGGCAACCCTCGGGTGGTGCGGTGGACCCCCTCTGGAAGATTCTCCTCGAAGACGACGGTGACAATGCCGGTTAACAAGCATTGGACGAGGTTGAGGATGTCGTTGATGGGAGGACATATTTTGCGGACAGATTCAAAGGTGTCGCTGTGGAACACCATCTGCCACTGGACGCGTCGTTCGGGAGAGAAAAATGATGTGGCGTGTACGGGGAGCTGGAGGCGGAGGGCGGGCCCGGCGGGGAGGCCGACGGACGAGCGCCAAATAGAGGTTGTCTCGACGCAGAAGAGCATGCGAGAGTCAGAGGAGTGGGAGTCGGTCCAATGGTACTGGTTGACCAAACTACCCTTGAGGGCGCTGAGATAACGGTGGGCGCGGGCGTATGTGACGCCCAGCGCATCGGCAGTCGTGAGCGGGATGCGTGTCCTACGAGCCCAGTCGTCCATGTTTTTGACGTCGCTGGAGAAGACGACCTCTGCACGAGAAGGCTTTCCTTGCATTTGTGGGCGCAAGCGAACGAGACGGTATTAATGTTTGAAATGAAGCAGAACTGAAGAGGACAGGGGGTGTGGATACACGGAGGAGGGGAACGGAGTAGATACAGCCCAGAGGGTGATGGAGAAAAAAAATGGTAGGCGGGGAACAAGCGTACCCTGAGTGAGAGCTAGGACGGCAGCTTAAATAATGCCGCTCGGGTCTGGCGCACTCGTCCAGCCTCGTGTAACGATGTCAAGATTTGGATGCAATATTGAGCCCCTTTCGCTTAGGTTTAGCCGAAATCCCGGCAGCTCGGCTCTTTTCGGACGTATTTGGGTGCAAATCTATGCGTCGGCCTCCTCGTCGGGGCAATCTTCTCATAGCAACCCCAATACGGAATTATCATATTGAAACCCAAAGCCCGATCGCTTAGAATTCGAATTCACTGCCCAGGCTCTGCTTCTTCCGTGTAGTATTACTGACGCCTTGGGCACGAAAGCTGTCTGCGCTCGACGTCGAACTTTGTTAGACTGCGTTCTGTGGATCCCCCTCAATACATGAATTCAATTCAGCAAAATTCACAGAGAACAGACTAACAGTATTTTGGGCGATGTCACATATTTGAATTCGTGTCGCAACTATGTTGGTCCTAGCCGAACAGTGACGGAAGCAAATTTGCCGACCGTGTTTGACGGTCTTGGGGGGAGAGGACAAACCCACGCACAGGAAAAGAACAAGCGCAATGTCCGCCATCTTGTTTGGGAACAAGACTGGCGCATCAGGGTGCCTAGAAAAACGCCGGGACTGGGACCTCGCTCGCTGTCACGCAGGCCCAACAATTTTCAGAGCGCGGTGGTTACCAGGGTCGGGCTACGGCATTTCGGGGATAGTCGCATACCATGGCAGGACCCGCTCCGCGGGCCTAGAATCTGCTGCCAGAGCGACAACCACTGTCACTTGTCGGGTCGGTCCAAAGCTCCGTTTGTACATATCTCCAGAGGAAAGTTGTCCGGCAGCACACGAGCGCAAGTAGCATGGCATTGGGCGCTGAGTAGATCCGATCACCACACGCCCATGCCATCCACGTGCAGTACTGCGTGATCTCACGTGAGATATTGCCCTCCCATCTTGACTCGATTCTGAATACATTCGCGATTCATCTATCATCGTGCAGACAACTTCGTTAACACTTGTCTGACATTATTGTGCCTATGGACGTCTGTGCGACGTACGAACGAAAGCTTCTTGACAAGCAGGTACGGCCGAGCGTCCATATCGCCTCAAACTCATGATCAAGCCAAGATATCGCCTCCGCTCGCAGCTATCCTATCGCTTGCTGGGCTATGTGCGGCAAGCACTGGTGCGCGTCGCTGGAAATCGATTGGCACGCAAATCATAACTTGTTATTCCAGCTGGAACGATGTTCGAGCTAGTAAAAGCATTGAATGAGGTCCGCTGCCTCAAAAACAATCATCCGCCTTCACCCGCATTTATCGCTCGATACAGGGCGCAGATGCGCTCAAGAACCATCCTAATCCCATCAGTTTGAACGGCCTTAACGCTGGTTGCGAACTGTTCATAGCTTTTGTTACCCTCTTTCCCCATGATTTTGCAGTAAGTGCATCTGAATACATCCCGTAGTATCTCCGCTCAGCTCTTCATCTTTCTTAGCGATTTTCCGATCTCAAAATGGAGCTGATGAAAGAGGGTGAAGCGTACGTTCGACAGGTACGTCAAGGGCACCATCTTGACCTTGTATCTTATAACACGCTCACAGGCCCTCACCTATCGACGGAAGATTGGGGAGCTCGCGGTTGATTTCATTAAAGATAACTCTGTGGTAGGTTCAGGCCCGAAGCGACTATCTTGTAGTGCTGATGGCTTGTGTCGGGGAGATTTTGACGCATTCGTATTCCAGAGTGGTCATGGAGACTCTCTTACTAGCTCACAGCAAGAAGCGCATCTCTGGTGGGTGATCAATCGTGCACATGAATCTCGCTAGTAGTGAACCTATGCCGCGCTAGTGTTCGTTACTGAAGCACGACCCCGAGGACTTGGGCACGTCTTGCCGATCTGGGTCCGCTTGAGCCGTGCTCACATTCCCACACAGAATGAAAACTGCCGATGCTCTTACTGCGGCCGGGATTCCCTGCACTGTCATTCTAGATTCAGCGGTGGCATATGCTATGGAAAAGGTCGACCTGGTGCTGGTTGGTTCGGAGGCTGTCGTGGAGAGTGGTGGGCTCATCAACGCTATCGGGTCTCTCAACATCGCCATCATCGCTAAAGCGGCGAATAAGCCGTTCTATGCACTGGCGGAAAGGTGTGCGCTGTCGTTCTGAACGCCGGGGAACTTGTGGACAATTGACGCCGGATCTCAGCTATAAGTTCCACCGGCTTTTCCCGCTGTCGCAATACGATCTGCCTAGTCAGACTTCCGCGATCCTGTCTTTCCGATCGCCAGAGCATGTCTCTGAGAAGAACGTGCCGGCCGAGTCAGGGACATCTGCATCCATCACACCCGAGGACATTGCCAAAAATAACCCAGATGTGGACTACACCAGGTAATGCGGCTTATTCACGCGTCCGGTGCCTTGCTCACCCTATGCTCCAGACCGGATCTCATCTCTCTTGTCTTCTCCGATCTAGGCAGCTTGACACCGTCTGGTGCGCTCACCTCTGATGGCCACTGGTCCCCGACGATTGAAGCACTGACCATTGACAGGTGTGAGCCAGTATTTGGTCGGCATGTTCGCCGGATAATCTGCGGGGCGAAACTCGTTGGGAAGCGTGGCGGGGTGTTAATCGATTAAGGGGAAACATGAAGTACTCGAAGTGATGCTGTGGAATAGTTGCAGGCATATGCCAAGTGCGATGGGGATCTGCTTATTGGAGAGGCATGTGGCCGGCAGATGCATTGGCAGATCTGGCTTGCTAGCGCCATACGGAGAACGGATGGGTCGTATGTAAACGAGCCAACAACAGAAAGGTGCCGCGGAGGCAAATCCAAAAAGCCCACGGTACCGCTAACGCCTGAGAAGATGTGCATTTGATCTCGGCTAAAGTTTTACAATTTATATAGCAGACTGACTACGACCAACATGCGAGGTATCTGATGAGAACGATTCTCAGAAGGAGCCAACCACCGGGGATTTTGGTCTATTACCAACGCGATTCTCTTCTCGAGGCAAGTATCCAGCATGATCTCGGACAGTGCACATCAAACGCACCTCAGTGATACCGAACCCGTATAAAAACAAAGAGCATTCTTTTGGCAGCTCGCTATTCCTCCAGCAGTATTCTCGTCCAGATGTGCCGGTGGCGCAGGTGAGTCTCCGTGTCATGCTTCCTTTGCTCCCACACACGATTCGACCGACTCCAGGGTCCAGCATCATTACACAGGCTGCCCACATATCTATGAAATTGTATGTTTAAATCTTTCTCTCGTATCCCGAGCATTATATTGACGTTGGAGCCAAGCCGCAACAAGAGGTCCGTTCTCCGCCCGGATCTGCTTCGTTCTCCCATTGAGATTGCCCAGATACAATGTGAGAGCACTCAATGCCGCTTCAGTCCCAACCATCCAAGACACTGCGGTCCCTCGTGCACAACCAGTTCGTCCCTCCAGCCAGCCTCCCTCGTCGGCCGATGCTCACTTTCTGCGATGCAGCATGTTGGCAGTAGTGAGTGGCGTGTTGTGTCACGGAAGTGTGCTGACCGGCCCGTGAAACAGCCATCAGTTCCCTGAATCATACAGTCCGTTACACATCTCATCCGCGGAAACAGATTGACGAGCCGAGACCAGATCGGACGTTCCAAGGAAAATGTCCGCAATGCATCAGAGAGGGGAGATGATAGTGCGGAATGAAGAACGAGTTTGGCTCCGTGATTTGTGATCGCTGTAACCGTAGAGAATGTTGTAAGTATGTGCATAAGTAATCGTACAATAGCGCGCGCATGGACGGCGAGTTGCCAAGTGACCAATGACGTCTGCAGTCTGCCCACAGATTGATGATTATCGATGGCCGGAGGTCAGATGCCCCAAGAACTGACCTCAATTGGTGTTATCGGTCAGCAAGCAACACACTCCTCCCGGAGTTACGCGCCTGAATGTCTGATCAACCCACCGTAAAAATCTTCTTCTCCCAGCCTAACTTTGGCAGCCACCTCTTCGATCGATGACATCAAGACTTAGGCACGTCACGCGTATCTCGTGACCGTGAAGCCTTTCTCATGCACACCAACCAATGGCTCTTCCCTTTGCATGCCCTGCAGTCAACGCCCACTCGTTGGCCGCTCGAGAAGGAGTTGTATGATCGTGCGCGAGGAGTCGAATTTCTGTTCCGGCTGGGAACAACTCTCAGCTTGTATGTTTTCGCTGCTGTCCTCATGCATCGCGCTTATGGCTTGTCCAAGGACGACATCAGCCATCTTGACCGCAGCCACATGGTTCCACAGATTTTACATGCGCTTCTCACTCGAGGACTATCATAGACAGGTCGGCACCTTCCGGGCCCCATCTCTCCGCATGATCGCAGACCTTTTCAGGACGTAGCCGCCGCGTGCATCTTCCTCGCCACCAAGACAGAGGAGTGTGGACGCAAGCTCCGGGATGTCGCCCGAATATCGCAGGTTAAGGCTCTTGGGCGGGACATAGCACAGGACGCCAAGGCTCGTTCGCTATCCGGATCGGCTCGTTTACGTTGGCTGACTGTGGAAGATAGGAGGTGGACCAATGTGTGGCGGCTATCCTTCTGACAGAAGAAGCTCTCCTCGAGGCGATCTGTTTTGACTATGTCATCGAAAGCCCTCACAGCAAGCTGGTCGATCTGTTCGACGCACGCGATGAGGTCACCTCCGTTCAAAATCTGGCTTGGAGTTTTGCGCACGACTCGTATGTGGTCATGCAGCTAACGGTCGCTTCCTCTTTGACGAACATGTGACAGATTTAGGACACCACTTTGCATTCTTTATCCGCCACAGGTCATTGCGGCTGCATGCTATGTGCTGGCCCAACAGACTGCAGATGGACCCAACTCATTGTCTCTCGACGCGCGAGTTTCGTCCTCGGCCCCTCGGGCTTCTCTGCCGACTCCCCCGTCGCACAAGCCCGCCTCACCAGATGCCACACGATTCGCCATCGAATACTTTTCCTTCACCGACGTCGAACTAGTGTCCGTTGCCGGTAAGAACACATGCAATCGCGGCCGAAATGTGCTCATTTTAATCAGAGGCTCTGAGCATCATTCTCGAATTCTATGGCGCACAAGACCAGACTGTTCACTATCATCTTTCCCCGGTCGTGGCAGTTCGTAGAAGGGTTACTTCGGGTCGTTAAACAGCTGATCGGCGATATAGATTACTCCACCGACCGCACCAACCCGACCGACGTTATATGCTCCATTCCCGCGTACCTCCGCTTCCGGCAGTGGAGAAGCCGTCCAAGCCCAGATTAATCAAGCCGGAGTGAGCCAGTCCCCTTGATATATGAAGGGGCCGAATGGATTGCTGGCGCGGGTTGGCTGTTGAGGCGGGACAATCGATTCCAAATCGGAGTCGACGCTCTCCTTGTCTTCAATCCAGCTGTCCACCAATCGAATCATGTTCAGCGTTTGGACTCGATGGCCAGGTATTCCGCCGTCGGAGAAGATGGGCGACATGTCACGGAGATAGGGGTTGGCTTTGAATTCGTCTGCCAAAATTTAGTTGGAATTATCGACTGCTGTGTTATTTTGGATCTCACCATCTCCGCCCCAGTTCGACTCGGAATTTGCTGGAGTCGCATAGTCAGCGAGTGTCATGTCAGGGATATGAATTGGGCCCAGTGTCACGGGCTCGGGAACCTACACGGGAGACGTTGAGACTCGGTCTTGGGCTGCAGTCAAACAAGGAAAAGGGCGTGGGCACGTTCCCAGTCCGCTTGCAACAGCACGTCGTAGATGGTGCATGGACTTTCGATCGAAGCATAGGTCGGCTCGCCACGAACCTTGGGAATGCTGTAGTGACCTGCCAGACGCATAGCAGTGGCAACCCAGAACGTCAGACGCTCAAGAACGGTTGGGTCGTGGCTGTCATATCTTATCACCCCAGTCACAAAAGCACTGGTCCAGCCTGAGGGGGGATCAGGGCACACGCACACAACATATTGAGCAGTGGATGCTGACCTGCTGAGAAGACCCCGAATACCCAGTGCGTGTAGGAAGTGAGGATGAAGAATGGGATATTTCGGTGAACACAATTGTCCCAGATCTGAAGTTTGTGTCAACCTTCCGTCGATCACGACCATGACATGGTAAATAGACGATACCTTGGCCCAGATTCTCTCGTGACCGCAAGTTCGGTTGGAAATGCGTTTCCTTCCAAGCGGAATGGGGGAAACTACAAGGGTGATCAGTGGACCCATCGGCCCCAGATCCTCTACTTACCGTCCGACAGGCAGCAAAGTCTTTGATGTCCTGCTCCGATAGAATCCACGGGGGCTGGAAAGCGACTACCAGAGATTTTCGGCTCACTTCGGCGGGGATCGTCTCCTCCTCTGGCAGAGTCTTGGTCCATACGAACTGCCGAAAGAGTTTTCCATCGACATCGAAGTCTGTCTCCAGACGGAATTCCCAGGACAAAGTGTCAGGGAAGATGAGATGTATGATGCGCTGAACGGTCATCATTGGCAGATTGTCGAGCCAGGGTGAGATTCTAAGGGTTTGTTAGTCATTTTCGATGCCGAAGAGGAGAGAGAGAAGCAGTGCCTCGTGATATCTGCTGGGGGACGTTCTGCACGATATGGAATATCGAATGTTGGCGGACAGGGTACAGTGATGTTCTCGCCTGACACGGGATCCTCGTCCAAGACGCCGAGAGAAGTCGAAGGAATTTGAGAATCTATCCCTGGGAAGAAAAGGGCTTCATTCTATACCACCCGATAAGGCACACCGCTGGGGACTCACAGGCGGCAGTCGCGTCCTCTAGCGTGGTTTCATTGAAGGCATATATGTTCTCCAGCCGCCTCCACTCTTCTGCTCGCGTCCTGAGATGGTTGATGTGGCTTTTGTGTCCTGGAGCTGGTAGCGAAGGTGCTGCCGGATTTTCACGCATCGGGGGCAGGCGCGCTTCCCGGAGATACCAGCGTAAGTTATCAGTGGCCCGGGTGGTCGCATTGTTCAGCGTGAGCATGGTCTCCAATCTAGTGTGGGATGTCGAGTCGATCGAGTCTGTGTATGAGGGTGGTCGACGTAAGCGCCTTGAGTCCTTATACTCATGATCGAAGAACAAGGGCCACTAAATGCGGGTGGTGTGCAGTAAAGCTCATTGTTCCCAATTGGGAACGTGGAAGTGATCTGATCGGACGAGGTGTTACACTAGTTATATAATACATGTGTGTGGACAATCTCTTCAAGGTCTAGAGAAGCACTCCTCTGGATACCATGGAGCATTGAGGACATTGACTCGGGCTTTCCCGAATGGGGTTGAATGCAGGCGGTGCTGTTTGTAGGCTTGAGAGGCAGAACTTGCCAAGACAGATCACTCACTCATCAAACGAATGCAGCTCGGTGATCGGCATTGTCCTTCGAAGAGGGAGGGACATCAGACAGGAAACGGTTTGGAAGAGAAAGTATTATCACCTCCGCGGCTGTGAACATGTTGTCGACTGAACAAGCAGTCTGCTCTCATGCAATCCTTCCGCCGGGTGGCAAGCGCGACGAAGTGTCCGCAAGGCTTGTGGCTGCGGCCATCAATAATCTTCCCGAGCACTCAGTGCGCGGAGAGGATGCAGGAACGGGATCTCACGTTGTAACACATTGCGCGGGAAAATAAGCCAAGTCGGTTGTCGTACGAGCATGTGCCGCCCTGCGTTTTATGTGGTGCAGTGCAGACCATCCCTCATAGCATACGTCCGGAAGATGCCACTGGGCAACATACATCCGCATGCTCCAGGTCATGCGCTCAGATTTACAGGCAAAGGACATGCCCATTTCGAACGAAAGCGGCGACTTGGAAGGAAACGTGCATCTCATTATGACCCGTGTATCCACAAATATGCCGCGGGAGATGACACGCTCATGGTGGACACGAGTTCTGAGTGACCTGGAGCCGACCCGACGACCAGGCGAAGAAACGGATTCGGATCATTCGCCGCTGGATTCTGGCTCCCCATCACTTGTAGCAGCTGAGAACCAGCAAGTCGTTACGCCTCAAGCTTTCCGAAACATTTTAGGCGGGGACGGGAATAACAAGCTTTCATTGTAAAGTAATCGAAGTCTTCAAGCTCCTCGCTGTCTGATCTTGGCAACAAGTTGAACGCTTTGTCGAACCTAAATTTACAGTCAAGCACCAGTTATCAGCGCACATCATATAAACGCACCTGATGTGCGAAATGGTGACGCCATTGGGTAGCCTGAATCCTGCGCCGTTTCGGCCCTTTCTTCTCGTGCCTCTGCTGAGCGAACAGGGTTGCCCGCACACGGTTGCGGTTGAGTATCCTATCCAGCTTTTTGACTGCTTCGGCAAATTGGCCAGTGGGTACGTTCACGCTGCGGCCTGAAGCACACGGTCATGTTCAAGTCCTGAATTCTCCAATGCGTAAATACCTGAATATGCATCGGCAATAGGCATATTGGTGTGAGTGAGGGCAACGACCGACTTGGCTTTCCACATATCCTGGAGAGTGTCCTTGCTCGGATCAGTAATACTGTTGCCCAGCGCATTATCCCATGATTGTGGTTGATTCGTGGTTTTCCGTGGTTCCACGGTTCCCTCGATGGGAAGGCTGGCGAAGCGTTCGCTTTTCCTTATGAGGGGTGGCCGCCTCGTGTAGCTCGATGAGGATGTCGGTCCATTTAGAGCCACCAGACACGACGAAAAGGACCGAGAAAGCGACGATGACAGAAGTGGTTTTAGTGAAAGCATGGAAGCCAGACTTCGGTCGGGTGAAGTAGAATTTGTTGGCCAATGCCAATGTTGTGCATGGTGGCTGTACGGAATCACGTGTGATCCCTGATCGCGACGCGATCTTGTGGCAATCGATGTCTTCCGAAGCACTTGTTGAAGAGTTTGAAGTAGGTTTCCACCCAGAGAACGAGAGGCAGATCACCCATTTATCCCAGGTTCTCGAAGCTATATACCCCTCGGAACTCCAGAGTGCGTGCCTCTCCGTGTCATCTGAATGCCGTTCAGAGCTTAAAGTGCTATCGAAGAAATTTCGGAAACTTGTATCCAGCTCGAGGTCGAGCCCGAAGACTATGATGAAGCGGATGGAGATGAAAGAAGTGCGCCATCTCGGATAACTTTATGAAATATCTCATCTCTTTTGCAGTCAAAGTGACTTTGGAAGTACAATACCCTCCTCAATATCCCGACATCCTACCGGAGTTGTCCATAGAACCGATCGATGGTGAATCAGAAATTAGCGACTCGGAAATACTGGAACTACTGGAGGATCTTCGTTCTGTGGTCTGTAAGATATACCTTGTCAGTCCTGCCTTCACTAATATAGTTGCGTCAGGGAGAAGAAAACCTCGGAATCGCTATGACGTTTACACTAGTATCTCGTCTCAGAGAGCAGTTATCTGCACTTGTGAAGAAGAGATATGAGCGACGTCGAAGAGAAGATATGGAGAAGGAGCGACTTGCAATCGAGGTACGTGCCGTTGGCGGCTGTATCGTTTGTCTACAAGCTCGTATCACTGACCGTAATAGGCGGAAGAGGCGCGGACGAGAGGAACACCCGTCACTGTCGAATCTTTCAGGGCCTGGAAAGTCAAGTTCGATCGGGAGATGGTGGAGTTACAGAAGTTGCGCGAGGAAGAACGATTGAAAGGCCTTAGTCCGAAAGAGAGAGACGAATACAAACGTGTGGGAGGCCGTGCATCCGGTAAGTTCTTGTGCAAACTCCCCGGAGCGAGTTCTTGATTTTTGCTTCGTATCTCTAGGTCGACAGCTGTTCGAGAGGAATAAAAACTTGGAAGACGACAACCTCATGGAAGAGGGAACAGTATCAGTCGATGTCAGCCAATATGACCGGTCCGCCGCTCATCATGAAGAGGAAGACGACGAGGAAGATGCACTGGCCTTCAGTGACAGTGATTGATTGGAAACGGTTGAGATTCTGTTAACATCGATCACGACAAAATGTATTTCTACAGACCCTGTATGTCCATTCCGGCCCAAGAAGTGGCGTCTACGAGTCCTCCACCTTCTATTTCTCGACAGCCTCCGTCACGACCTTCCTCCACATAGAACCCGTCCTTCAGGTGCACTGGGATACCCCGTGGCAAGTGGGAATGCACCATGTGGTCACCACAAAGGACGAGCCATTCTAACACAGGCTTGGTGATCCAACGACTGGAGTGTGGCCCTTTCTGGAACCAGCCCAGATGACCGCCTGAAGCGGTGAGGGCCATGACCACCTTGCCATTCCCTCCGCCGTCCATCGGGACATGCTGAACGACTGGATCATCGTCCGCATTAACCGCGAGAAAGGGAACCTGGATCTGAGAAACGACTTTGTGACATGATGCGCCTAAATAATCTTATTGGAAAATGAGATTGAGAAGAACAAACATCGCCAGAGGGATCAGTCACTCACAATCCCGAGCAGAGGCGTATGGAAAGTCGGGAGGAGCTCCACCTGCAATGCGAGTAAAGTTTTCGTCGAACTCTTCAAGCAATGGTTTCTGCAGTTCGTAGACGACCGGAATGTACTGGGCTACCAAGCGGTTTGGATCCTTGGAAAGGCTCTTCTCATGTTTCTTGACAATGTTGATCAGATTTGTGGCCATGGCCCTCGAGTAGACCCGACCAATCATATTTCGCTTCAAGCTGGGATAACCCTAGTCAGAACGGCTCTGAGCAAGGATACAGATATATACCCTTCATTGTTCATAGAAAGATCCCAGGGCTATTCTGGTCAAGGCCCGCACACACAACAAAAGAGAACGACGCACACATGCCAGAACACAACCTGAGACCAAACGGCTGTTTTCCCCTTCCTCCGCGAGATAGCGAGTAAGTACATTTGCTCCCAGAGAAAATCCGAGCCCTAGCAGCGGTGCACGGGGATACAACTGAGAGATAAACACCAAAGCTTCACGAATGTCGCCAGTGAACCCTGCAGAGTACAATTGAGGACTAGACACAGGGACACCAGCACCTTGAGAGGAGTCAGAACAAACTCCGTACGCGAAGATGGACGTTCACATCCTCTGAAATTGACAACCACCGCTCGATACCCCAGTCCTCCCTCCGTAACCGGTTTGCAAGCAGGAGCCAATATGGCTCGCACGTAGGATTCGTAAGATCCTGACGACGTGATGTAGGAACGCGATCATCGTGTCATGATGAGCCGACTTGCCTCCGGTGAGCCCATGCAGCACGACGATGATGGGAGCGTCCTCTTTGGCAAGTGAGGAATCGGATGGCGCAAAGTCCAGTCCGCTGAAAAAAGTCAGACGTTGCCCCTCAGTAGTGATCTTGAAGCAGCCTTACAGCGTTCCTCCCTCTTTCAAGCGTATCAGTTTTCGGTTATATTGGACCACGTCTGTCTTGGTGAAATCCCCGAGAACGCAGTAAAGCGTTTGGAGATGGCCGTTGAAAAGATACCAGACGCGATCAAACTTGGAGAAAAGGCTGGGGACTCTGTAACGGGAACTAAGCAGAAGGCGTGGAAAGTCCATCAAGCGACACACCTCTTCTCCACCAGGTTTTTCAGATTATCTTCAGAGGAAGAGCCATCTGGCTGACGAATCTCGATGGAGGCAGGTTTTTCCCCATAGTGAATCTGGATCATGTGTGTTGGGGTCCGCGTCACAATGCTGAGGAGGACACCCATGAGTTCCGAGAGTAGCTTCAAGACCGAGAAAATCATGGCCTAAGGCAGATAAGAGAGACGGGGAGCGGTGTGAGGTGATAGCGGCGCCCTCGTACGCTAGTGGCTTATGTAGCAGACAAGCTCGTCAAGAGTCAAGTCGCGAAGGAGAAGTTACATCGGGCCATCAACTCGTGATTGACGTGTTGCATGCAGAAGATGCATGATTATCTTATCACTTGTTTGTTATCTCATCGAAGTTGTTCACATTTCACCGAACCAGGTTTAGGCTGAAGGCCATTCGCATCATATTAGATCAAATTGAAGCGGTGGGCCACATATTGTGGGTGCTTGCTACTACAGAGTCAATCCAGACGGTGCCACTCCTGATCATTTGTTCTCTGTATCGCACGAAATCGCGGAAATAGAGCGGAAATAGCAGAGAAGTGAAATAATCAACCGGATTGCAAGTCACAGACTTCCACTTACTTGAAGGTGTTCGGTCAAGGGTCGGAAGATAGCCGCAGACGCATTACTGAATATCACAGGGCAGGGGCTCCAGTCACGTGTAAATCACCGTACATAAAAGGCAAACTACTTGCCTAGAATGGACTCGGATAATTGCACCTCGATAATGCCATGACCAACGATCGTCGGTGATAAGGACTTACTTAAAACTCAATCCCCAGCGATCATGCAGTCCAAGACACATGGAAGAATCAAGTCGCTCAAAGCGAAAAGAAGTTTGGGATCAGTACCACGACGATCTCGCCACGCCCAAAATCAGATCTAAATGTTTCATACTCTCTTTGAGTTCTTGGGTTCCCATTTTCGTTCTATTGAATCCAGTCTAGAGGTCTAGATACATAACTTCGGCGACGTCTAATCTTGAAGATTTCGAACGCCGGCGTGACACAATCGATAACACGTCTGTGACCGTCACGCGACCCGTACTACTTACCTGCTTCGCGCTCCTTTTACCTTTCTTCTCTGATGTCTGTAGTCAAAAAGTATCGCTGCCGGGTGTGTATTGCAAGACTACCAGACGAGACTTTGATTAAGAATTACACATTCGGCAGTACTTCGAGGAGAACGGCACACCTATTCCGCCCACCTGCAATCAAGGCGAAGCCTGTCGGTACGCAGATCAATCTCGGCCGTGTACGACGATCTCATCCAACAAGATTTGTGCATCCCGAAGACCAGAACTGGTAAGCGAATCGAACAAAGCGCGTTGCACTCCTCAACTCCCTGTAGGCCAGGCCTCAAACCCTTTCAGGACACTCGTCTCATAAACAAGCCCAGCTCAAAACGCAAAGATACATCACGCGCCAGTTTCTCGTCTTCTGACAACCGCGGTGCTGCCCTAGCCTCCCAATCTGAGCTGTTTCGATGCAAGGTAGAGGGCGATGAAGTACCGTATTCAGGGCACAGATTCGGCAGCAGAGATTGGGATACGCGCTACGAACGCAACAGTGACAGTCACGAAAGGCGTAACGGCCATCTCGGCCACCGCGATCTATTCAGCAACTCGGACCGCAGACGTAGATCATATTCGAGAACCAGAAGCAGCAGTCCACGCCCTCGAAACACTGCAACGGGATCGATGGGATCGAGAAAGTATGGTTTAGACCTTCGCCGCTCCAGAGTGAGGCCAAGAAATGTCGTACGAAGATCTCGAAGAACTGACTTCGCTGTAGCAGGAAATAAGTCGTGAACTGGCATCTAACCAAAGCAGTTCGAGCTTTCTACGTCCGGCATCAGTCGAGCCGCCAATTTCCAAGGAAGATGGGACAGATTTTAGAGCACATAGCACACGTGCGGAAAGACTGGTAGGGCTGTTCAAGAGTTTGGCAAGGTGAGTGCTTCTTTGTTTGCCTCGCACGATACATGATTCTCACTGATCAGATTGTCGAATCAAGTCGTTCAAGACACCGCAGCATGTGAATTACAGGGCCAGAAGCTGAGAACATACACCCAGATCTCATCTGAGTTGTCAAAAATCTCTATGTCTGCTGCTTCGTCGGTGACGGGAACTGTGGCAGATATCATGATCGAGCACGAACAATGCAAAAATCGGATGGACGAGAGCTTTGAGGCCCTGGGAGGAGTATGGGACCAAGTTTTTGACGTGTTTGTTGGTCAGGTGGTTCAAGCGATCGATACCAAGCTACAGAATGCCGTGGGGGTCTTGGAACAACACAGGGAGAGCCAGTCAGAGGAGATCAAAGAGACCGAGCGACTGCGGCTGGCAAGCCAGTCCCACAGCAGAGATGACGCGAGTATGGCGGAAATTTTGACGCAAATGAAGATGAAGTTAGATGAACAAGCGCACGCTCTCAAGAGACTGAATAGAGAGAACCAAGAGGTAGGAGTCGTGATTGCATTCAGAGAAGTTTGACGACTCTGTCAATACAGCTGAAGAATACATTGAAGCACACACATTAACGCTTGTTCTCGTCTGAACCATCGGCAACCTCGAGATTTGCACTGCGACCGTCAAATTCGCTGCAGGCGAACGGCGAATCGATTTGGTGATCTTGGAATTATTAGTCTTACACCATGTGCAATCGAAACCACAAGTCCAATTGCAGGGACGGCGGTTCAAAACCAGAGCGTTCCGGGAAGAGAGACCAAGTGTGATGCGATCAAGCTGAAGGCACGTGCCGACCCGTGTTGACACAAACGCGTTGGAACTTGCCGTCTTATACTACCTTGCCGGCTGCGATCCAACACGACGCGCTGCACAGCCGCGTCAATGTCCATCGCTCACAATCCTCCCCCAACATCTCTCGGGGATGATCCCGACGATTCTCGTGTCCATTTCGGACCTTTCATGTCTCCCGAGAAAAAGTATCTGGCGTCGGACCTCGCAGTTCCCCAAGCCTTCTTCCCCCTGCGACGCTCCCCCCGATTCTCGTCACCCATACCGCCACTGCAGACAGTGCAGGTCAGCGGCGTGGAGCTAGACATCAACGCGGAGGACGAAACCCATTCGCGATCGGCGACTCCAGAGAATGAGAATTGGGTCCAAGACGGTGTGCATAGTTGCTGTTGACCATCCGGGTAACGAGTTGAGTGCTTGACAGAACCTTCATCGGCCCTGGCCTCTCGCATATCTCGGGCACACGACAATCCGTCCCCTCCCCCTCCTGCTCCGGAAGAGCTCGATTCGGCTGCTCCCGAGAGCTTGAAACGACTGCTCCTACTCCGGATAGATACCATACACCAGCTATACCATTTCTGCTATCACAAACTGCTTCCATGTCTGATGCACCGAGGGAGGTCTTCACAGAGGATCTCATTTCTTTCGACTCTGTCACCACCCCGTTGCCGAATGCGCCAGACGCCAACCCTAACCAGCCGTCTTCGGTTCCATCTATTGACGATCTGCTATCGTCCTGGAGTCCTCCAACGCAAGCCATTCGAACAGAGGCGCCTCCGGTTGAAGTGCAACCTCAGGAGCTCGAAAATGCTGAAGAAGTCGCCGTCATACAAGCCCTGATGGGGCCCAACGACATTGCCACCACATCATCTCTAACTCCACCACCAGATTCCGAACTGCCCCGGACTCCGCTGCGCCGCTCGACCCGTCCACGAAGAAGCGGCACTCCGCACGCGCATCTATTTCCGTTGCCAAGTAGCGAAGACGAGTCGGATAGCCGAACCCCGTTGGCCTCCGCAAGGACGCGACGGAAGGGGAGGGAAAGAGAGGAGGGGGTCGATGGTCTCCCTATTGTTGGTCCCAGAGCTACAAGTCCTAGGCGACAACCTGGTGCCTCGCATGCATTCAATCGCGAATTAGGATCTCTCTCCCCCAGCTCTGTGAACCTTCTCACTCAGCTTATCTCGCCGCCGTCGCCGCCGCCTGTGGTAGAGCAGCCGAACTTTGTAGCAGATCCCGCCCCGCAGTCTGCACCGAATGGCGTCAATAACACACCTGCTCGCCGAATTCCCATTGACCTCGCTGTGACAAGCGGTCAGATATCACCGCAAAGAGGGGCCCAGCTTTTGGCTCAGAACTCATCGCGAACCGGCGGCCTCGGGGCGATCTCGCGCACGCCCGTCCTCCGTGTATCCTCGCATGAATCTCCCGCTCGGAGAGTGCCTGTGAGCCAAATCAATGAACTGACGAGTCCGACGCGTCCTGCCACGGGATCGACGCGTCCCAATGCAAGTCCGACACGTCCAAATCACTCGAACGCTCCCAAGTTTGGTGTCAATTCGGTCTTCCCCTCTGTGCCGCATTCGTCTCCCTCCCGGAAATTGCCATTTCCTCTGACGCCTGTGGGATCGGATCGACCTCGCCAAGTTCTGGGCGCAGAACCACGAGTGCTCACTGCAAATGGCGAGTCCAAGGTACCAGTATCAGTCCCAGTCAAGAAAGCGTCTACTCTGAAGCAGACGACCAGCCGAATTCCGCGAGGAACGAAACCTTACGCGCGACCCAGCCCGTCTGTCGGTGTCACCTCTGTGGCGAAAACAACTTTGTTGCACGATTCCTCGTCGCGCCGCAAGGTTGAACCAGCCAAACCAGCGTTGGTGTGTGCTTTTTCCTTTTCAATCAATGTGCCTGACATGCGCCTAGAGCAAGCCGTTAGCATTATGAGAAGCAGTAAGATATCCCTCGCCGAGCCAAGCAACAGCCAGGCCGGGCCCAGCACCACACTCAAGCGCAAGCGTCTGCCCTCGCCACCTCGCAAGCCCCGGCCTGTGGCAATGCCGAGGATGCGCATGGTCGAACCACCTGAAAGCCACATTTCTCCATCCAAGCCTGTCTCCCAGCCTCCTAGCAGTGAGACGGTTCTTCCAGCACCAGATCTGTTGCCGCAGGAGACTGTCGCTCCCGAGGAATCCGCAGGAGATGGTCCCCGACGCACAGCTCGGGTCCGGAAAGCGGTGTTCCCAAGTGCGCCCGCTATTTCCGAGCCTCTGTCGTCCAGGAGGAAAGCCACTGCGGTATACAGCGAAAGCGGGGTCTTCGCCAACATGACTGCGGTCGCACTGAAGGCTCTGACCTCTGCCAACACAAACAAGAACCAACACTACCTGGCCGCCAAGCTGGAGACGCAAGTCGTGCGAAGAGACGGGCAGCGACCAGAAAGCCCTGCGGTGAAGATCCGAACGATTGCCCAGCGAGAGCAGGACGAACGCGGTGCGCAGCGCAGGGCAAGGGCTGCCCGACGAGCAAATCAAGATCAGAGCAGCGACACTGTCAACGATGAAAGTGACGGGGAGAGCGATCCCAATGTTTCACCTGTGCGCCATGCCAGAGGGCCGGGCGACGAGGAACAGTACCTGACACCTCGTTTGCTTCGCGAAGATGACAAGAAGCGCGTGAGATGGGATCGCGGTCTGGCTACGACGGTCTATCTGGACGAGGTTGAGCCACGTCCGAGACTCGTCACAGACATCGCCCTGACCCCCATCTGCAAGGTATTTGCGTCTACTCGTACTGGGCGCTAAGCTGACATACACCCAGACTTTCACACTCGACTCTCTCGGCAACCACCTCCACGCCCAGTCTCCGTTGCAGGATCTGACGTCAGAATATGTGGTGATCAAGAAGTTTGTCTACGACAATGATGTGCCAGAAGAGCCTGCGGTTCTTCCAAAGACCACCCGGTCAAAGAGCAAGAAGAAGAGCTGAGATGCTCTGCTTCCATTCCTACTATGTACAGTCTCAGCACAATCTATAAACCATTTGGCCATCCTTCATGTTGCGCGGTGAGAGATGATTGCGCTGGCTTGGTTGACCGGGAAGATCAGCGTCTCCGCGATGTTCACGTGAGCCGGCCGCGACGCTGCCCAGACGATTTCCTCTGCGATGTCCTCTGCAGTCAAGGGCTGGAGTCCAGTGTACACGGCTTTGGCGGCATCGGCGTCCCCTCGGAAACGCACTAGCGAGAATTCTGTCTCGACCATTCCTGGCTGGATCTCGGTCACACGGATCGGCTGGAGGAAAACGTGAGCACCAGTGAAACAGCAGAATAAACGACGGACCGTGTTCACTAGTTCACGCAACAGCGAGCCTGAGAATGCGTTCACAGCATGCTTGGTCGCAGTGTAGATGCTGCCGCCCGAGTATGCCTCGATGCCGGCAATCGATCCAATGTTGATCACATGCCCGGAGTTTCTGGCCTTGAAGTCTGAGCGAGATGAGTGCACAGTCGGCAAAGATATCATCCACAAGATACCTCGGACAAGCAGCTGAGTCATGGCAACCAGGCCGAAAACGTTGGTTGCGAACATGCCCTCAATCACGGACTCGTCGATATCACCAACATGCTCCCGGCCGACGACGTATCCAGCGTTGTTGACTGTGGGAATTGGCTCTCAGCACGGTCAGAGTAATAACAGAGCTTACCGAGGATGTCAACGTTGCGGAGACCGCTAGGCACCTTGGACCACAATTCGCAATCGCACTGCGATCGGAGACGTCCAGTTGGATTGGCGCGAATGTCCCACCCTCCTGACCCCCGCAGCCTTGTGTGCTTCAACGCAAGCCTGTTGCACGGCCTTGAGCGCCTCCTCTCGTCGAGCCAGCAGGAGGATGTTCGTCCCAGCCTAGTATCGTCGTTATTGGATGGCACGGAGGGCAGGCGGGTGCGAACCTTGGCGAAGAGAACTGCCGTAGCCTACATACAGCACAGAGCGATCAGCAAAGGCGGATAGAGCGGCGATGCACGCACGGCGCCAATTCCGGAGCTGGCACCGGTGATGAGGACGGTCTTCCCGAGCAAACGAGATGCGTTGAAAACCATGGTGGGTGGAGGCTTATAGCAAGAGGGCTTGCTTCGCACGCCAGTCCTTTTGGGATGACGTGACTCGGACGGCTTATCGATAATCTAGCCGAGCGTCCGCTTCAAGATCGATTTCGGACCTATCGGCTTTTTCATAGGGAGCAATGACTGAACAGGACTATCATGGAGGCGTATTCAGTCCTTTCACCGCTCTAGTCAATTCATTGGAGCTCGCTAAGCCTCTCCCTCTCGAAGCTCGCGAGATTCCGAATGCCGGACGAGGCTCTTTGCTATCGTGACATTCCTCCGTCGACGCCTCTTTTCACTATCAAAGCAAGCTCATTGCTCAACTGCCGGACACTTGGCCCGCACTACCCTCCAGGCCTCAGTGCGGCTCAATTGGTATCCCTCCATCTGTGTGTTTATCGTCGCATGAGCGATCCTATCTTCGGCCTGTACCTGGCCACGCTCCCTTGCGACTTCGATACACACCCTCTAACAAGTTACGTCGAGAATGGCGAATCCCCATCTCTTCCTCCCTCCGTATCGAAGTCGCTTCTTGAGCTGAACGGACGATTTGTGAAGGATTGGGATCAGGTCTGCCGATATGTGGTGCGCGGATGTGCTGTTTTCCCGTCCTCTTCTCATAGATTGCGTGGGGCCAGAGAGAACAGCAGACCGTCCTCTCGAGCAAGCATCCCATCGTCGACTCAGAATCCTTTGAAGGCACACTCAAATCCGATTTTCTCTGGGGTTGGCTGAATGGCAAGAATTCAGTCTCCGAAAAGCCTCGGCGCACTTATAAGTCACCCAGTAAACACCCGCTGCGTCTATCACCGCCTCAAGAAGACGCGCGCGGATCCAGATAATTTCACGCTCTGTCCGATCCTGGATTTTGCGAATCACACTGTTTCGGGACCAACGGCGCGGCCTCGTCTAACGGAGGCGGAAAGAAACGACGCTGCCCCGATAGCCAAGCTCGGGGAGGCACTCACCTTGTTGTCACCGACGACACCGATATGCGCTGGAGAGCAGATGTATCTGACATATGGCCCTCATTCAAACCGGAGATTGTTTGTAGAATATGGTTTCGTCATTCCGTGCTCACCGGGGGATCCTCGAGCAGAGGTCGACGTGGACGATCTTGTGGAGCCGCTTTTCAACGATGAGAAGAAGCGGGTGTTGCAAGATGTCGAATATTGGGGGTGCGTGCTGTCCTTCAAATCCTTTTGTATTCTACCACCAACGGTTCAGCGACTGGATTTTGGACGCGGGACCTGCGGTATCTTTCCGACTGATCACGGCGCTGCGCCTGCTGCACTGCGACACTAGTTCCTCCGTTCTATGGCACGACACGCTCACAGGAGCCCGCGACATTGTATCGGACGATAACGAAATCGCTTGGAAACGCACTGTACTAGATGTTTGCACTAGCATCTTAGAAAGAGCAGCAAAGCGCCCAAATCCCATTGGTGTAGATAGTGTGGACAGCCTGTGGTTGGAGGAGGAGACCGTGGCCCAGGCAATATGTGACTATCTCGTAAATCAGATCACATGACCGTGTAATCCGATGACAGGCGTGATGAGTGTGATCCGGCGGTTCAGGGTCCTCGACCTGATTCCTGGGCTCTGAGATCTGAGTTCGGGATCGGAAGCGGCCTCCATACTCAAGGCCAACCGGTGTATTCCCTCCATCACATACTATCTCGCCGGAACGAGTTGTTGGGCGCTGAGCGCTCACCGCCCGACGTGAACCCCTGTCATGTTTCAACTGTGCACAGCCGAGGACGGCAGTCGTAAACAAACAGTCCGGCCGGCCTCACGTCAGAAGCAGACCACCTTGCCCACCACTTTCTCCGCCCTCTCTCATGGCCGTCGAACCACTGCTGGCCACCCGGCCTCAACGGGTGCGTAACTGCGTTTTCGATAGTCCCCTGCTCTGACCGTCGTGTGCCTATGTTGTAGGCTTTCATCATGACCAGTGAGCGCCTACATAATCTCAAAGTTTCATCTCCTCAATCACGAGTACCCAGTCACCGCTCGTTAGTTCGACTCACCAAGACCTGGTTCTGGAGGACGATACTCACCTGCTTCGTAGAGGCTCTCGTTGTCCTGACGATGGTGGCTATCGTTTTTCGCAAGGCATGTAATCAGGTTGGCCGGGTCGCGAGAACAATATATAACGGACGTTATACATCCAGGTGGAGAACGAAGTGTCTTTCAGCGGCGGTTACAAGGCGAGTATCTTCTGTTCTCAGTCTACTCATTATTCACATTGCTCCAGACATTACCATGCTACCTTGCGCTATTCGCTTTGGCCGAGTATGTGACCCCAAGTGCTCAAGCGATCATCGATGAATGTTGTGTACAGAGTTTTCGAGTTGATCATGGCATTCGATGCGCTGAGGCTGCGGAACGTCATTCAATTGGCTGGTATCCTCCGTGCGTGCCTCATGCATATGTTCCGTGCCGGTCACCGATCCTGCGCTTAGTGTTCCACATGGCTCTGATCGTATTCGCCGCCGTTCAAATCCACGAAACCAAAGCAGCTCTCGTCGGGGCCGTTGACTGCGTCAGCGATCCCAGCCAGAAAGTATGATCCCTACTGTCTCACTATCCACATTATGCTCATTGGTTACAAGCTCTGTCGCCTCTGGATTTCCGTCCAACCTTTCCTCATCGTTGTCCCTTGCATCATTGCCGCTGCTTGGTTCATCATGATGTTCTGGATCAAAGAATTGTACTCGGAGTTCGGGTGAGCACTTCTCCCATGATTGTAGCCTCGGACTCTGAAGCCGATATAGCTGGGCCATTTTCCACGTGGTTGGAGCGAACCCCAAAATGAAAAGTCTGTCAGCCTCCTGATTTCAAATCTATTTTGCTCATTGGTTGTGCAGGAATGTACCAGTGGTATCAGATCATGCTCTGTGCCCTGAAGTTCGATTTCTTTTTCTTCATTGGGGTGACGATGCAGGTCCTCCCCCTCCTTCCCGCCTGACATGCACCAGCTTACTGCTTATTAGTTGCTCATCGTCGTCTTGTCGCGAAACAGTGCTGAGTTTGGAGTGACGATTGCTGCTATTCCAGTCGTGCTTATCTTGCTCGCGCTCTGTGGGACCGCTGTGAAGAGGGAGATCAAATGGCGAGTCTCAGAATCTCCTTTGGGCGGCACCCGTTTATGTTTGCCCCAGGCTCATGTCAATCTCTCTGGTGATGATGTTGGCCGCTGAGAGTTACTGTGAGTCCTGACTATGTTTCCGTGCGAACAGGATCTCATGACTTGTAGTCCGTATGTCTGTTTCTGCCCCTCCTTTTACAGGCTCTGAGTCATCTGTAGTGTACAAGCTGGTCAGGATATACTCTCCTTCATCTCGAGATGATTACGCAACGACCCGAGCCTCCTTGACCATATTCAGTCAGTGCATCTCTCTTTCCATCTGATCCGTGGTTGATGATCACTTTTCAGCCATCGTTGCTTTCCTGCTTCTTTTCGCGACGTTTGCTGTCGGCCTGCGCTGTTTCGCCGACTTCGACAAAGGCCTACTGCCGTCCAAAGTCAATGGTCAGTCCTATACGCCTGTCGTCACCAAACTGGAAATTTTTGGCGGTAATTAACTTTCTCGTTCATGTAGATGTGCCCGGGAGACCCCGATACTCACAGACGGAAACTGCAGGGAATGCCAAGGATCAAAACGGCTCTTATTATGGTGGCGCTCCCGTGTCTCAGCGCATATCCATAGAATGATTCCATTCTCTACGATCTATCACGCATTGCATACTGTACCATCATTTTCATCTCACTATACCATCTGAACCGGGGAGGCTTTCGATCGTAATTATGCTTTCTACTATCTAGATGGACTCTATGATATGCCCTTATACTACAGGGAATCTCGGGACTTACTTAGTGTCGGCAGCCAGATTTGGATAATTGCATCACAGCTTTTCACGTCATACCATGTCCAGCCCCAAATACGAGAAGAGGCCGTTGTGGCTATCTTTCATGGAGAGGGTGTGTTTCGAAGAGTTCTGGACGTCGGACCTCAGTTTATGATATACGACATCCGCAGACCAATTTCACGGTCACTGGACTGACGGCACTGGCCATAGTTCTGACGCGCTCAGCGGGCGTCGCATTTTTCGGCGCCGGGGCACTCACGTGCACACTCTCGGTCAAGTACATCCTCAAGAGGATTATCCGGCAACCGAGACCAGCATTTGGCACGAAGACGACGTACGGGATGCCCAGCACCCATTCAGCGACCATCGGGTATTACGGGACGTACGTGACCTTGGCGAGCATATACCTGCCGCTGCATCCCTCCATATCCATTGGCGAATGGGCTCGCGTTGCCGCTCCCGTGATAGTCGTTCCGTGGGCGGCCCTCATCGCGACATCGCGCATTCTGCTGGGGCATCACACGATCGCGCAGGTCGGTTTGGTTCAAGGCACGTTCGCAATCGAGGATGCTGACCCAAGTCCAGGTCGTCGTCGGCGTTGCTTATGGGATGTTATTTGCGGGAAGCTGGTTGCTACTTTGGATGGGGGGAGCGAGAGAGTATGGGCCCGCAGTCGAGGAGTTACTCAACCTTAGATTTTGATCTTCTATCAATCTGATTATCACGTCCTTCACACACCTCTCATCGCACTGCCACCCAAGGATCATTGGCGTCATGGCCAAAAAGAAAGCTGGAAACGCTGCAAGCAAAGCGGCCAAGAAGGCTAAAGCTGCCCAGAAAACAGAGAAGTCTGTCAAGAAGAAGACGAACAAGCAGAAGAAAGCAGACGACGAAGACTCCGATGACGATCTAGAGGGCATTCTCGAAAAGGTTCTCGCTGCTAGACAACAGTCCGCTTGGGTTAAGTCGATGCTGAATACGAGGGACAGATGCGTCTGGAATGGGAAGAGGCTCACAAGGTTGTGTCATCGGGGTATGATCTGGCGCAGGGTCTCATCCCATCTCCCTGGCGCAGGTGACCGAGGAACTCGCTGATGGTCCGCCATCTCGACGCGCCAATGCGACTCTAACAGCTTGTCCCAATGGAGGACAGCTCTGGTGCATCGGCGGCGAATACTTCAGCGAAGACGGCAAGGCGGTTCGTCTACACTCTGATCGGCGTTGGAAATCGACATTCAATCGACATTAGTATTTCTACTCAGACGTCTATCGGTATTCACCTGAAAAGGTTCCGGTCGGGGACTGAAGCTCGGTTTCTGGTGTCTCACGTGTTTTTCCAGGACGAATGGAGACGATTTGTGTCACCACATTGTCCGGGACCGCGTTCGGCGCACGCCGTCGCAGCCTCGCCCGCAGGCGGAGGTAAACTCTTCTTATTTGGTTCGTTCTATCCCATATACGCAGTTCATTTCTGATGGATCATCAAGTATAGGCGGGTATGTTGCATCTTTGCGTTGATCTGCTCGGACAGAAACCAGACCGTCCACAGTGAATTCTCCTCTCTACACCAGACCTCGTTCCACCATTACCGAGACTTTTGGTATGCCTGTTCGCTGGGGAACTTTGTTCGTCGTGCGGCTTTTGAACAGACGTAGGTGCTTTGATATCTCAACACACACCTGGGACCGTGTCGAAACGAAAATTGTGCCCAGCGCCCGATCTGGGCATCGGATGGCCATTTGGAAGCACTTCATTGTCCTTTTCGGTGGCTTCTATGACCCGGGGAGAACAAGTGAGAGCATGCGCCGCTGCTTACATCGTTGATCTCATCACTCGGACTTAGCTCGATACCTGCAAGATCTTTGGGTCTTTGATCTGCAGGAGTACAAGTGAGGAGACTATGGACAATTCAAAATCCAAGCTGATTTCTCGCAAGGTGGAGGCAGATTGAATTCAGAGAGACGGATGCCAAACCTTCGTGAGGCGGAAACGATCTTCTGAATCCGCCCCGACACTCACTCGGGTTCCAAAGGCCCCGGAGTGGCTTCTCATTTCTATCTGCACCCGAGGGTATCCTATTGCACGGTCAGCAATCCATCTTCAGTCCTTTCCCCCACTGAATGTGCTCGAAACAGGTGGATACTGCAAGGAATACATCAAAGGTAAACGACCAGTGGGTGTGATGCTGGAAGATACCTGGTTCCTCAAGTATGTGGGATCGTGAAACCCCGTGTGATTCCTCTCAAAGCTCGATCGCAGCTTGTCTCTCGTCACTGCTGACTCAGCGGCGAGCCAGCCCAAGTCTGCGAATGGGCCTTTGATCGCAAAATGGGAGCGCCGGAAACGGCCGTCGACGAGCTACGCCCCTGCGCTTCGCTCCGGCTGGTGCGCTTTCCTCTCGATTCTCGGCCATGAAATTTCTGATGTGGTCCCAGCACGATGACCATGTGGACCGCAAAGAATACGGGTGTACTTTTCGGTGGGGTAACTGACGAGGACACCGGTGAAGAATCCATGGAAAGTACATTCTGGAATGATCTGTGCGGCCGTTCATTGCATCTCCGCGTCTGCTATGTTGACACCAGCGCAGGAATGGCTATCAACTGACTGGAAGGGCAGATGGCTCTCGATGACTCTCAAGCGACCAAAGAAACCCGGAGGAAAGAAGAAAGCACCGGTGGTGCAAAACGGCAGCGATGACGACGAGCGGGCGCCAGACCCCGTCGACCTCGATGATCCAGTGCTGACCACACCAGTCGCACGATACAATGCCATGCTTGCCATCCTTCGGAACACATTGTACATGTGAGCGACGGTCTGCCAATCGAACGTAGCTCATTCTTGACAGCTACGGAGGGATCTATGAGCGGGGGAAGAGAGAATATACTTTGGATGACTTTTATTCCATCCAACTCGACAAAATGGACCGCTACGTCTGTCTGAAGCAGAGTGCTCTCGTATTATTGGATGACGACGAGGAGAGTAGCGAGGATGACGACGATGGAGACAGTGACGATGACGATGAAGACAGCGACGACGAGGAGAACGAGGAGCAGCAGCCTGATCCAGTCGTGGAGAATACCATTGACTCAGACGCCACCGACGAGGACGAGGCGAGTCGCGATTTCCCGGGCAGTTGCCAGAACTGGACGCTTTCCAGAATTCTCTGCGGGTCCAAGCAACAGCATTCATGGGAATATCCAAGGAACGGACTGCCGAAGAGGCACTTCGCACGCCTCTTCCAGGGGAGACCCTTGCTATGTTCTACGCGCGCTCACGTGATTCACATATTTTTTTTACAAGAGAATGTACTGAAACATGCATTCAGGACTCTACTGGGCTCAGGTCGCGCTTGGGAACACAGACAACCAAGGAAAACAACTTCGCCGCGATGGATTTGCGCTTGCTCAACAGACGTACGACGAGTACAAGCCCATATTAAAAGAGGTGGAAAAAATCCTTGCCGAGGCTGGACTTGACGAAGAGGAAATCAGGCAATCCGCAGCAGGCGGTGGAGTCAAAGGAGATTCCAGTCGTTACAGGCGCTGATTCATCAGTACTATTTGTGCTTACGAACTGACATGCGTGACGATTGATGTGACGATACGCGTTTGTGACACCTAAGCTCGTATTCCACAACCGTGACCAGCATGGACGGTGAAGATCCTATAACCCAATTCTTCCCTGACCAAGAGTCAGTCGATCTCTATGCTGTGCTTTCTCTCACTAGCTCCGCTTCATCCGACGAGATAAGGAAAGCTTACCGTCGCCTCGCTCTCCAACACCACCCAGACAAATTGACTACAGCCACCGACGAGAGGAAAGCCGAAGCTGCTGTCAAGTTCCAGCAGATAGGCTTCGTGTATGCGGTCCTCAGCGACGAGAAAAGACGGGAGCGCTATGACCGGACGGGCAAAACCGACGAGGGATTCGATGATGTGGCAGAGGATGGCTGGGAAGCGTATTTCGAAGACCTCTTCGATCGCGTCACGCGCGGCAAATTGGACGAGATGAAGAAAGAGTACCAAGGTGCGCTTCCCGTGCCTGTCCCCAATGTTCGTGTTCCTCATTCGAGCTCACAGGGTCAGACGAAGAGCTTGAGGATCTCAAAGCCGCATACGTAGAGACGGAGGGTTCAATCTCCGATATCATGACCTACATCCCTCATTCGACATTCGACGACGAGCCGCGATTCATCGTGGCTATTACTCGACTGATCAAAGAGGGTGCGCTTGAGTCTCTGGCTGCGTGGGAAGCTGGCGTCAAGGACGAAAAGGCTAAACTGGTGAGAAAGAAGCAGGGGGAGAAGGAGGCAGAGGAAGCGGAGCAGATGGCGAAGGAGCTGGGAGTGTGGGATGAATTCTACGGGAGCGGGAAGGCGACAGAGCGTCAGAGTCGCGCCAAGGGCAAAGGGAAGGCAAAGCAGACGGCCGCGGAGGACGAGGATGGGGACGTGTCGGCGCTGCAAGCTCTGATTCTGAAAAAGCAGAAGAAGAGCGCGAATTTCTTCGACAGTTTGGCCGAAAAATACGCAGAGCCGGAACCCAAGGCCGCTCGGAAAGGGAAGGGGAAGAAACGGACCAGTGATGACCTTGAGGAGGCATCAGCATCGTCACGGAAGAAACAACGAGTTGCTCCGCCCCCGATCGACGGCGAAGAGTTCGAGAAGCTTCAGCAGAAGCTATTGGGCGACAAGCCCCGCTCATCTGCCAAATCCAAGACGAAAAAGAGCAAATCGTGAGGCGCCAATTGGAAACTGGAATGTGTGCAGATGGTATATCTCCGACGAATGTTGTACATTGTAAATACAGATGCAAGTGAGGTTAAACGTAGCGAACCGAGTCTATGCCCATGCTGCGGCGAGCATGGATGATGGCGACGAGCTCTTTGATGCTCTCCTCGAGGATGACCACGTTGTCCAGCAGCTGAGACAAGGTGACATTCGCAAGTTTCTCTGGCTGCTCCTCCGCGCGATCCCGTTTTGTTGACGAAGGGTTGTCGGACCAGACAGAGCCAAAGACATCCTCGTCCTCGGCAATGTATAGAGAGGATTTCGCTGGTGTCCACGGGCCATTTGGAGGAATGGGAGCCACAAACGGCTCGACACTGATGGAACCAGTCTGCTGATAGTGTGGACCAAAGGGACTGGCTGAGATCCCCCGATTCCGCTCGTCCTTTTGAGGCGTCGTTAGGTTGTTGGGGATGGCCGGCTTTGTCGGTTTGCTCTTTTTGGGAGTGAGGAATGAGTTGACGAAGGAGGTCGCAGCCGCTGGGATGGCAGACTTGGGCTTCGGCGCCTGAACCGGTTCTGGCGCTGGGGGGAGCTGAGCTGGCTCGTCTGTCAACTCGAGAGCGAGCGATAATGCGTCGTTCAGGTTCTCCGAGAATAACAACCCCTGCCTTCGTTCGAGAAGAAATTTGTCAAAATTGTCGACCAATTGCCGGTAGCGTTCCAGTTGAGACACCAGACCGTGGAATACGGTGTGAACAATGGGCCGCGAGGCGGCATCCATACGGGAGGCAGGCAAGATGTTGGTGTCTGTCGAGAGTTTTTCCTCTATGACGAAATCGACCGAACGGTCGTCGCCATCGCCAAACTCGGGATATTCGGTTTCTATTGTCGGAGGCGGTTCGTCGGACGGATCACCCAGCGAGAAGGTCAGCCATCCGGCCATGGAGCGATCTGGATGCAGAGCTAGCGTCGCTAGGACGCCAGTGAGGGCGAGGTTGAATTCGGGCGTGTTCGAGAAAAACTTGCGGAGGGACTCGAGGATGAGGGACAAGATGGGGTCATTAGGGTTAAGCCTGTGCTTCAGTTTCTGGCGCTCGCTGATGCTCATGTCAAGCTGGAATGCGGGCTGGCTCTGGATTGCAATGATCGCATCACACAGGTAGTGGTCGTATCCAGTGCTGAACGCATCTTCGTTGTGCGACGGATCCACGCGAGAAACCAGCGTGAGATACAGTCCCATCTCGCGCTCATGGGTAGAATATGTGATTTCGGGCTGATAAAAAACAGGGCCGCTCGGCACGCCTTCAGTCTCGGCGCCAGGATAGGTGAAAGTGTCATCATCATCTTCGTCTTTGGGAATGACTGGCATCTTGGGTGGCTCAGGAAAGTTGGTGGCCTTTGGGTCGGGTACGACAATGATCAATCTGTCAACGCAGAATTGGGGATGTCGGAGAAGCATCGACTGGAACAGCTGAAGTGCAGATGTTCCAGTGGGTTGCGACTCGGTTCGCAGATTGGACAGCAGCAGGTCCTTCAGAGTGAACCGTCCCATGGACGTGAAATATTCGGACTGTCGGTTGGATTCGGGAGCTTCCATTTCCAAAAGCGTCATGGCACTGCTCTTTCTCCGTCGCAGTTTGGCTTGTTTGTCAGCAGACCGCGATTGGGGAGGGGCATTGCCACCGAGCGTGAGGACCGCGTGCGATTTCTGGCGCGTGCGGACTTCGTCGTTGTCTTCACTGAGCAGGAAATTGACGAACAGATCGGAAAGTTGCTCCTCTTGCAGGGTCCTGATCATCACTTCGATATAGGACATGACCGCCACAGCACTGCCATCTGCATCGGAGCATTCAAGCACCGATGGATACAGCACATTCTCCAAGAATATACGTCGAACCGCATCCAAGATCGATTGCACGATGGCGGTCCCAACAAGCGCCGACGCATCAACAGTGTCGTGTGCAACATTTCGTTTCAGCACGTCTTGAAGGAACTCCAACAGCTTGAGGAAGTGATCCAGACGGAGCTTGAAATCTGGGTTGGCGGAATCTTCAATACCCATGGCTCGCGCTCGGTCCTTGGCCACCTCCATCCGTTCAACATCGTCCTCTGATTCCGGTCCGGTCGATCCGATCATCATCCCTGTGCCAGAAGACGTTTGCAGGCGGAATTGTAGCTTGGACGGAAGCAGAGAGTAGACAGCACCCAGACCGGCTCCCAGCACCTCCGAAAAGTCACCGTCGAGAATGTATTCGGCGAGTGCCAGTGCCGCGTCGGTGTTGGGATCGGAGGACGGTGGATCGGACGAGACCGACGCATCGTCCACGGATTTACGCCCGTAGTCCCCGCCGGGTGACATTGCCACATCCATCAAGAACAGTAGGCCGGCGCGTGCGAATTCGCCGATTTGGCCTTCTCGATGGACGAAGCGGAGCAGATAGTTGAACAGGAGGAATTCGTACTCTGTCTTCTTTGTGGTCGAAGTAGGAGCAGAGGTGACCGTATCCTGAGAAGGCGTCGGAGAAGCACGCCGTGCAATACTGGATCCATCCGCGTTGGCGTCCAATTCCTCCTCTTCCCCCTCCTCTCCCTCTTCCTCGACTGAAAACAGAGGCTCAGACCGATACCAGTGCTTGTCGTGGAAGAAGATCATGAGCAGTTCACGATAATTCCGGATACGGCTGCACAGAATGCACAGAAGATTGACCACTGAGCCATGTCAGAGGATCCGAACTCGGCAAACGCAGAGGAGGACGTACAATCCTCTTCGTATTCAGATGGTTGTGCCCGTATCGCGTCTCGCGCAGCACCCATGACCTTGTTCTTCCCATCCAGCTGCTCCTGAAGATCGTCGCCAGCACAATTGCGCAGCAGTCGCAAAACGGCGCGGTGCACGGCGGAGTGTATTAGGAAGGTTTCGTCGAGGAGGACGACCATGTTCTGAACGGCTCGTAGAACCTCGGCCTGGATGCCGGATGGTCGATCGTGCTCGCTCAGGCGGACGAGTGTTCCGAGGACATCTTGAGTAATATCAGTTCTGAGAGGATACAAGAGTGGCTTCTCTGACACACCGTTCTTCAACAAATATTCTAAGCAAGCCCCAGTTCCTCTGAAGCGACGTTGAGATGTATAAGGCATAGATACGGTTCTGGAGACCTACCCTTCCTCTATCCGATTCGACTCAGACACCAAGGCGTCCACCATGGATTGGAGTTGGGCCGGGACATCCGTCGACTTGATTCCCTTGGTCAATTGACGTTCATCCGGATGCGTGAGGGTGCTCTGCGGGTGGTTTCAGTAGGAGCATCTGACCACAGCAACGCAAGCCAGACTTTGACGCGGTTCCATGACCTATGAAATTCCTGTGCATGATCGGTGACCGGTTTGGGTGCGGGAGCGTTGCCAGGTCGAAGGAACTTGGAGAAATAGTCCATTCACGTTGGCACTCGCCGGGAACGGATGGTGGATTCTGAGCGCGTGCCTTTGGCATCATGATGACTGCCATTTGATCGACTTGTCGGACATGATCTCTTGACTGTGACTGTAACTCTTCTCACTCTGTTGACTTTGCCCAGATCGTCTCCCCCTTGATACAGCTTGTGTGAGCTTGGGACTGATACCCATTTCATTCCCTGCTTTGACTCCTGATTGTTAATGGACTTGCGCAACAACCGGAGGAATTTGAAGTCCTTGACCCGATCCAAAACCAAGCCGGTGACATATCAGCGCTCAGAGTCATCGAGATGCTTCTAAGAGCGTGTTTCCACAAGAGCACATATTACTATGCGGGTGGACCTTTCTAGCCCGATGCATTTTTCTTAACTCTTGCGTCTACTTTCCCGCTCTTGTGCAATCTTCACATTCAACTTCGTCGCACAAGATGTCTTTCTCTTCATCAGATTCGAGTGCCAAGCACCGTCTCTTCCTTTTAGACGCTCTTTCTTATCCGCCACTTTCACTTGGACAGAATTCACTTGAACAGAACGTTTGTGACTGGGTCTGCACAGAATGAAAAAGGGCTAATTCTTGCACAGGCGCCGGCCGCAGCTCCTCTTTCGCAGCTGGAAGACTATCGCGAGACTTGCTCCTTGCCAGATACTCCGCGGCCTCTAGCAGAATGGCATCGTCCCCGGGCCAAGTCGTACGGCGAAGCACTGGCACCAGAAACACTGGAATTGATCCAAGACTTCGAATCACGTATTGCAGTGCTGGAGTCGCGCCACACGAGCATATCGATGGAGCTCGAGGAGTCGCGCGATGCTCTCGAGAAAGAGCGCTCGTTCCGCCATTCGAGCGACCGCTTCTCCACGCTGTTACATACCCGTTTTTCCGTGGACGGCACGGAAAGCGACCAAAGCGATGCTGACTACGAACGCGGTCTCCGCGAGGAGCTGCAAGAGACCGTCAAAAAATTCGGGCGCAGTATGCTGTCGTGTCTCGTGCATTGCGTGACAAGGAAGACGAATGTTCCGCGATGAGCAAAGAGCTCGAAGCCGAGCGAGCAGCTCGCCAGGATCTCGAGCAGGAGACGGCGCGTCTATCTCTCCAGAACGAGACGCTCTTCGAACACAATGTCCTGCTCGCAGGGCGCGATGCCGCCCTCCAGGAGAGCATTTCTTCGCTTGTGGAAAGGTCTCACGTGGAACAGTGGATGCGGTGTGTTTTGCAGGCAGAGCTGCAGGGCCGTGCAGAGAAGGATGGGACATCTGCGCGAAATCCAGAGCCCGACTGGGATGTACCACAAAGCGAATGGAAGGACGAGCGGGACCTCCAGGACGAGCTTGTGTCGACTCGTGATGAGCTCGAGTTTGCCAAGAATCGGCTCTCGATAACGGAACTCCAAGTCTCCGCACTGCAACACCAGCTCTCCCAGTCCATTGACTTTTCGACGCAGGCTTTGCACGCAGAAAGAGACCTTCGCGCTGATCTGGAGAGCCGTGCACAAGCCATCACAGCGGAGAACTTGGAACTGAAACGACGACTGGGGAATCTCCTTGACGCCTTTCCTGATGGGCATGCCCCCAGTGCTTGGATCAAGCGGTCACATGCTACCTCACACCAGACGGGTGGGTTGCTTGATCGCCCTGCACTCGAGATGTCCTCCTCTTCATCAGAATCGATGTCGAGCGAGGGGGACTTGCCGCCCCAGTCAACGGATATCCTGAGGGCGACTTTGTCGAAACACAGCAAACATCTTTCTTGGTCGGTGCTCAAGCTGAAAGCCAACTCCAGCATCTTTGTGAGTCTGCGTTTCGACAGAGATGCATTCGTGCGCGGCTGACCAGAGTTTAGATTGACCGCTCGACTGACCTGGTCAGTTGATGGCTGTCGAAACAAATATTTTACATTACATGCATGTACTCTGTCACTACACTCACATTACTTACAATTTATCTTGCAATTTCGAGTTCTTCGAGTCCCACTTCTTCCAATCAAAAGCAGCAGAAGTCCCACGCGACAGAGCCCGACCCGACACGCCGACACGCGCTTTTCTGTTGCGGGCCGCGTCTTTAGACAGCCTGTCCATACCGTCAGGCAAAGGAGGCGGATTGAAACTGGAGATGGGTCGGAGGTCAGTCGTTCCGGTGGATCCTTCACTCTTTCGTCTAAAAGGATTTCGAGCCAATGGAGCGGACGTCACGGCCTGATTTGTAGGCTCGGCTGCTGCCGAATCTGATATTTTGCGTCGTTTCTCTGCCAGCGCTTGACTGTACCGAGCCATGGCCGCTTTCTTTTCCTTGGAAAGCACGAGCACAGCCTCAGCGACTGGACGAGTTGCTGGGGACTGTTCTGGCCTCTCAGGAAGACGCCAGGGTGGCAGAGTTTTATAGAGCATCAGCTGCGCGCTTTCAGCCGAAGGCAACAGCGAGGACTCTGCTGGATACACATATTTCCGGGGCAAAGTCTTGGGAGCGGGAAGTCTGTTGGAAAGGTAGAAAGACTTGGCTCGCTCTTGCAAGGCATGGGCAAACAGCTCTTCCTCGGCCAAGTCACCCGGCCCATAGTCGTCTGGGATGTCCTCCAGTCCATAGTCGTCGTCTGGGATGTCTTCCAGTCCATGACGGCCTAGGATGTTCTCCGGTTCGTCGGGATCAGACGACACTCGCCTTCTTCTTCGTCTTTTAGCCGTCAGCTGGGGCTCTTTCGGAGCCGAGCTCAGCACAAAATTCGTCTTGCCTTGGGGAAAAGTAACACATGTGTTTTCGGTGACATACGACGCAGCAGGAGATACCACACGTCGAGCGGGATGGTAAAGAGTGTTGATGTGTAATGAGAAGACGTTCACGGATGAGAAGACATCATCAGCCAGTGTACATAGAACCCGGACGGATTCCACCAGCGGAGTGGGATGATAGAGGGAATGCTTCTCGAATGTCGCAGGCTTGAATGCGAGAGAAAAAAAGTGATCTGAATGGCATTTCGTGTCACGCAAGTCTGCAACAAAATCAGATAGTTTGGAATTCAAGAAAGACTTGTCTACCTAGAACACAGAGCAATGCGAAGGGCAAGAGGTAGTCCTTGATTTTATCGTCGATCCCTCGGCAGTGTCGAAGCCTTAGAATGCGAAGGCTCCAGGGACCTTTCGGAACCACCGTCTCTCCAGCGTCCGAAATCACACTGATTCCTACAGTCTCAGAAAGGACTTTGATCCCAAACGACGACAGCGCGGTTGAACTAACGTCAAGGGCACAGAGGTTATGCAAACATTTCAGATTCACAACTGTCGTGTCTGATAGCTCTGAGCAGCCGGGAAGCTCGAGCAGTGTAACCATCGCAAAGTTTGGGGTGGGTTGTATGCATTGAAGCAAGGGGATGTGTTCATCTGACAATGGAATGTCGTATGTCTGGAATATGGGTGGCAACTGGTCGTACAATTGAACAATCGTAGCCCAAAGGCGAGGGTCGACAAGGCCCCAAGAGAAGTCCGGCTGGAAAAGAGAGGGGATGAGGGCGCGGAGGAGATCATAGCCCGCACTGGATCGCGGGGGTCGGTAGTTCAAACGGACTTTGTTGATGCTAATCTGGTCGACGCCATATCGGGCAATTTGTCCGACGCAGAACCAGCTGAGACTGGGGGTATAGGGAAGATTTACCGCTGGACGCTGTGCTGTGTACGGGCCCGGGATATACGGGGGAGGGTGTACGAACGCCTGCACGGAAGGATCATGGGTGTGCACAGCCCGTGCAGGTACCAGAAGAACCATGGATGGATCCAAGCCGTGGAGATCTAAGGGAAAGATGCACTGCTTAATACCGCTTACCGCCTCCGCGGGCCGCAGGATGGTCACCGCTATAACGCGAAGAGAGAAGAGCCCTGCGGATGAGGCTGAGCGCGTAGTTTGGTCGTGCTTGAGATCAGTGATTGCCTCTCCAACGATTTGTCACGTATCCCGTTTCCAAGTTCTCTATCCTGCTTCGTCCTGGCGCCGACAACTCACCTCTTTAACGCTTCTTCTGATTGACCACAATCCTTTCTTTCGTCTAACCCCTCCATGTCCCACCCTGGCTACGGCCTCCAGGACCCGCGCGGCCACAACCCCTTCACGGATCCTCGACAGCAACCTGGCATCCAATATGGGCAACGATCTCAGTACGAGGCAGAGTCCGACGAGCAGTATGGTTCTGCCAATGCAAGCACCACCCGTTTGACGGGGGGAGCTGCTTGTGGGTCAAATTTTCCATGTCCTCTCAGCCGGCTAAACAAGCATCCCAGGGGACGCTGAGGCTAACCGTCGTTACAACCCATCTGTGGACTCCCATTCCAGCATGCCCAGTATATCCCCCTTCGCGGACCCGGGCAACACAGCAGAGCCGTACCCCGCGTGGTCTGCGGACCGTCAAATTCCTATGTCGACTGAGGAAATTGAAGACATCTTTCTCGACCTCACTCAGAAATTTGGGTTCCAACGGGATTCTATGCGTAACATGGTCTGTCATTGAAGCTATGAAGCCGCTCGTTTTATTGATCCCGGTCGCTAGTTCGACTTTCTGATGCAGCTGCTGGATTCCCGAGCGTCCCGTATGACCCCGAATCAAGCGCTCCTCACTCTGCACGCTGATTACATTGGTGGTCAACATGCCAACTACAGAAAGTGGTACTTTGCTGCCCAGCTGAATCTGGACGACGCTGTCGGACATGCACAAAACCCAGGGCTCCAGCGTCTCAAGTCAGTCAAAGGGGGCAAGAAGTCGTTGGACAGCGCGCTCAACCGGTGGAGGAACGCTATGAACAATATGAGTCAATACGATCGCTTGCGACAGATTGCTCTCTTCCTCCTTTGCTGGGCGGAGGCCGGCAACGTTCGTTTCACGCCGGAATGTCTTTGCTTCATCTTCAAATGCGCCGACGACTACTATCGCAGCCCTGAATGCCAGAACCGCATGGATCCGGTCCCGGAAGGTCTCTATCTGAACACAATCATCAAGCCGCTCTATCGCTTCATGCGTGACCAGGGATACGAGGTTGTGGACGGAAAGTTTGTGCGAAAGGAGAAGGATCACAAAGACATCATCGGCTATGACGACATCAACCAGCTGTTTTGGTATCCCGAAGGCTTGGCGAGAATCATCCTCAGTGACAACGTGAGCATCTGTTCTCTTCCTCCAGCTGCGTGCTGACCATGTTCTCAGTCGAGGCTGGTGGATCTCCCCCCCACTCAGCGTTGGATGCGTCTCAGCAAAGTTGACTGGAACAGAGTTTTCTTCAAAACCTTCTTCGAGAAACGCTCCCGATGGCATCTGTTGACCAACTTCAACCGGGTCTGGATCCTTCACGTCTCGTTCTACTACTTCTACACGGCTTTTAACTCTCCGCGGGTGTACGCTCCCCGAGGCCAGACCAATCCCTCACCCGAGATGACTTGGTCTGCGACGGCGCTCGGTGGTGCTGTGTCGACGCTGATCATGATTTTTGCAACCCTGGCTGAATACTCCTATATGCCGACCACATGGAACAATGCGTCGCACTTGATGACCCGCCTGTTATTCCTCGTCGTCATCCTAGCTATCACTGCTGGCCCGACGGTGTACATTGCGATGATCGACGGCACTCAAAAGAACCAGATTCCACTGATCATTGCTATCGTCCAATTCTTTGTCTCGGTGGTCGTCACACTGGTGTTTGGACTCGTCCCATCTGGACGGATGTTTGGTGATCGGGTTGCGGGCAAATCACGCAAGTACATGGCCTCGCAAACGTTCACTGCATCATATCCTGCGCTGTCAAGCAGCGCCCGTAGCGCGTCCATCATGCTATGGGTACTCGTCTTTGGCTGCAAGTTCGTCGAATCGTACTTTTTCTTGACGAGCTCCTTCAGTAGCCCGATCGCTGTCATGGCTCGCACGAAGGTGCAGGGTTGCAACGACAAATACTTCGGCAGTGCTCTGTGCTCGAACCAGGTCCTGTTCGCGTTGGCGATCATGTATGTGATGGATCTCTGCCTCTTTTTCCTGGACACATATCTGTGGTACATCATCTGGTCCGTCGTCTTCAGTATCGCGCGCGCATTCTCCCTCGGCTTGTCCATCTGGACGCCTTGGACAGAGGTCTTTACAAGGATGCCCAAACGCATCTACGCCAAACTTCTTGCCACGGGTGAGATGGAAGTCAAGTACAAGCCCAAGGTGTGTGATCTACACGAGCAGCTGGGCCCGCTCGACTTACACTGTGTGCCAGGTCCTTGTCTCCCAAATCTGGAACGCCATCATCATTTCCATGTACCGTGAACATCTACTTTCCATCGATCACGTGCAACGACTGCTGTACCACCAAGTGGATGGACCGGACGGTCGCAGGACCCTGCGTGCGCCGTTGTTCTTCACAAACCAGAATTCCAAGGCACCGTTCTTCCCGCAAGGGGGAGAGGCTGAGCGCCGAATTTCGTTCTTCGCCTCATCCCTCACGACGACATTACCCGAGCCTCTGCCGGTTGACGCAATGCCGACCTTCACCGTGCTCGTGCCCCACTACTCGGAAAAGATTCTTCTCAGTCTTCGCGAGATTATCCGTGAGGAGGACCAGAGCACACGTGTCACTCTGCTCGAGTACTTGAAGCAGTTGCATCCCATCGAGTGGGACAACTTCGTCAAGGACACTAAGATCTTGGCCGAGGAAACCGAGGGCAACGAGAAGAAAGTGGATGACCTGCCATTCTACTGCATCGGTTTCAAGACTTCGTCGCCCGAGTACACGTTGCGGACGCGAATCTGGGCGTCTCTGCGTGCGCAGACCCTGTACCGAACCGTTTCTGGGATGATGAACTACTCCAAGGCCATCAAACTGTTGTATCGTGTCGAAAACCCGGATGTCGTGCACAACTTTGGCGGCAACACGGAGCGGCTGGAGCGTGAACTCGAACGCATGGCACGCCGCAAGTTCAAATTTGTGGTGTCGATGCAGCGCTTCTCCAAGTTCAACAAAGAGGAGCAGGAGAACGCCGAGTTCTTGCTGCGCGCATACCCCGACTTGCAGATTGCCTATCTTGACGAAGAACCAACTAAAGGTGGCGAGGCTCGCCTATTCTCTGCCTTGATCGACGGACATTCCGAAGTGGACGAAAAGACCGGCAAGCGTCGTCCCAAGTTCCGCGTCGAGCTGCCAGGCAATCCCATTCTTGGCGACGGAAAGTCGGATAACCAGAACCACGCGATCGTGTTCTACCGAGGCGAGTATCTGCAGCTCATCGATGCCAACCAGGACAACTATCTGGAGGAATGTCTGAAGATCCGTAACGTTCTGGGCGAGTTCGAGGATTTCAACGTGTCGAGCCAGAGTCCGTATGCTCAGTGGGGCCACAAGGAATTCTCCAAGGCGCCCGTTGCCATCTTGGGTACCCGCGAGTACATCTTCTCGGAGAACATCGGTGTGCTTGGTGACATTGCGGCCGGGAAAGAACAGACATTCGGTACCATGACGGCGCGTGCGTTGTCCTGGATTGGAGGCAAGCTGCATTACGGTCATCCGGATTTCTTGAACGCCATTTTCATGAACACTCGCGGTGGTGTCTCCAAGGCGCAGAAGGGACTGCATCTGAACGAGGATATCTTTGCGGGAATGAACGCCTTCGGTCGCGGTGGTCGGATCAAGCATTCCGAGTACTACCAGTGTGGCAAGGGCCGTGATCTTGGCTTCGGCACGATTTTGAACTTCCAGACCAAGATCGGCACGGGTATGGGAGAGCAGATGCTCAGTCGCGAGTACTACTACCTGGGAACCCAACTCCCCATCGACCGGTTCCTCACTTTCTATTACGGACATCCTGGTTTCCACATCAACAACATCTTGGTCATCTATTCGATCCAAATTTTCATGTTGACATGTCAGTCTTTCGTTCACTCTCGTTGCGCGACGCTGATCTTTTCCTTGCAGTGGTCTACATTGGAACTCTGAATAAGCAGCTTGCGATCTGCAAGATTGATACGTCTGGCAACGTGCTCGGCGGCCAACCTGGATGCTACAACCTCATCCCAGTCTTCGACTGGATTCGTCGCTGCATCGTTTCCATCTTCCTGGTGTTCATCGTTGCTTTCTTGCCCCTTTTCTTGCAAGAACTGCTCGAACGTGGGACCGGCAAAGCTCTGCTGCGTTTGGGGAAGCACTTTTTGTCGCTGTCTCCCGTCTTCGAGGTGTTCTCGACGCAGATCTATTCGCAGGCCATTCTGAGTAACTTGACGTTTGGTGGTGCGCGGTACATCGCCACGGGACGTGGTTTCGCTACTAGCCGGATGTCGTTTGCCATCTTGTACTCGCGGTTCGCCGGGCCCAGTATCTACATGGGCATGCGTAATCTCCTGCTGCTGCTCTATGCGACCATGGCCATCTGGATCCCGCACTTGATCTACTTCTGGCTCTCCGTCCTCTCGCTCTGTGTTGCGCCTTCCTCTTCAACCCGCATCAATTCTCGTTTGCCGACTTTATCATCGACTACCGTGAATTCCTGCGATGGATGTCCCGCGGCAACTCGCGGACCAAAGCCAGCAGTTGGTACGGCTACTGCAGGCTGTCGCGGACGATGATCACAGGTTACAAGAAGAAGAAGCTCGGCCATCCCTCAGAGAAACTGTCTGGCGATGTTCCGCGAGCCCCATGGAACTCAGTGTTTTTGTCCGAGATCGTCTTCCCGATCTTCATGGCCACCATCTTTGTCGTTGCCTACATGTTCGTCAAGTCTTTCCCTGATCCCCGGACTGGCCAGAACCCGAGCGCGCTCATTCGGATCGCCATCATCGCTGTCGGACCGATGGCCTGGAACGCCTGCATTCTGCTGGCCCTCTTCTTCATCTCGCTGTTCCTGGGCCCGATGCTCGAGTCGTGGCCCAAATTCGGTGCTTGGATGGCCTCAATAGCACACATTTTGGGTCTGGTTGGAATGGTTGTCTTCTTTGAGTTCTTCGTACGTCCTTGGCGCTCGTTGATCTCTCTGTGTGGCCGGTGCTCACGTCCTTTTTCTGCAGTGGTTCCTTGAACTCTGGGATGCCTCTCATGCTGTGCTCGGTCTGATCTGCATCGTTGCTGTCCAGCGAGCCATCCAGAAGATCCTGATTGCTGTCTTCCTGACACGAGAACTCAAGTCGGATGAAACCAATCTGGCGTGGTGGACCGGAAAGTGGTACGGCCGTGGGTTGGGCAGCTCAATCGCCCTGTCGCAGCCGGCCCGTGAATATATCGTCAAGATCGTCGAAACGGGACTGTGGACCTCGGATTTCCTGCTCGGCCACATTCTGCTGATCATTATGACACCCCCCATCCTCTTGCCGGGTGCCAACAGGCTCCACTCGACCATGCTGTGTACGTCTGTGTCCTATCATGTTCTGGCCCGTGCTGACCATCCGATTCATTCTAGTCTGGCTGCGCCCCTCTAAGCAGATCCGCGCGCCGTTGTTCTCGATGAAGCAGAAGAGGCAGCGAAGATGGATCGTCATCAAATATTCGATTGTCTACGTGCTCGTCGTTGCTTTGCTCGCTGCGCTCATTGTTTTACGTGCGTCGTCCATATTCCTTTCTTTTTGGCCGCCCAGTTCTCATCATTTCATCCCAACAGCGGCGTTGTTCCGGAATTCGATCACGTTCCACTGCACGCTGTGCTCTCAAATCTAACGAACTTACCTGCATCTGGGGCTGCACTCATATACCTGACTGTGATGCGTACACACCACTATTTTGAGCCTGTATTATCATATTTTACAAATTAGAGAGGATTATTGACATTGCCATGGACCAAGATACATCCCTACAACTACAAATACAACAAGATACTACCGCGTAAAGCGCACGCCCGGGCCGTATTGCTCCCCCGCCTTGCGCTCCATGATCTCACGCAGCGGCCCCAGCAGTCGCGTGAACGCCGGCGCGTCCAGCGCTGCCACTTTCAACTTGGGCAGTTTCTGATCTGGGCGCGAGATGGCGCTCACCGTCGCAGCTCGCGGCGCCAACCGCAGCAGCGAGAGTTCTGTTTTCCTTGAGTACACACAGACGCACGAGTAAGATCGTAAGGAACGCACCGCCAAAGTAATCCCCCTTCCTGAGATGTCCCACCTGAATCTCGCTGCGCACATTCGTCTCGTCCACGCTCGCCTTGGTTACGATGGCCTCGCCCTCCTCGACGAAGAAAAAGGTGTCGCCCATCTCCCCCTGCTTGACCACGGCCTCCGCGTCCATGTACGTCCGGCTGACGAGCGCGTCCGCGATCTTGCTGCGCTCCGACGCGTCGAGCGACGAAAGCAGCGTCACGGACGCGAGGAACTGCTCGTACATCGTGCGGCGGCGGTGCGCGGCCTTGAGGATGATCGTGCGGAAGGTGATGCGGTCCAGGGCCCAGAGCGTCGACGGCTCGATCGACAGCACCGTCGCTGCTCGCGGGTGGCCGTACATCAGCGCAAGCTCGCCGAAGGACGAGCCCGGCGGGCATTCGGCCACCTGGCGCCCGTACGTCGGGTGGTAGCCTGGCTGCAGGAACTTCTCGTCCGGGCTCACACTGCTGATCGACGCCCTGCTGTTCGTCAGCCACGTCGGGGGCAGCGGCTCAGGGCGGATGAAGCAGTGGAGCAGCCCAGACTCGACCACGTAGAAGTATTCACCCTCGTCGCCCTGCCGGATGACCACCTCGTCCTTGCTCGACCTCCGCTCCTGCATGGCATTGACGACCCCCGCGGCCTGCTCCTCGTCGAGATCCCGGAAGATGAGATTGTTCGCCATCGACGCCTTGATGCGCCGAACCTGATCGGCCGTTTTGGGGAACACGGGCAGCGGGTCGTCGCTTGGTGCCTCCACCGCGATCGACTCCGCGGAGACGGACACCCGGCGCGCGAAGATCGACGAGTTGGGCGGATGCAGATAGTCGTCATCGGCCCCGGTGGCATTCCCATCAAAGCTCGCAAACGGGCTCGGAGCCGTGGGCGCGACTTGCAGATCCCTGAACTGGAATACGGGCGAGGTTTCAGATAGGAGAGCGTTCCCGGGCACGTTCAGAGTCCCGAACGGGCTCTGAGATGCGCTGTTCCGCAGAGAGGAATGGGAGGAGCGGTGCAAGGAGGAGCGCGCAACTGCGGTTGCTTGAGAGAAGGGTGAGACAGCAGTAGGGCCAGACGACGAGCCCAGGGGGTTGTCGACGAAAAGCTCCGAGGGGAGATCCCTGCCAAAGGAGTGCGTGCGCTGGGAGAGCACGTCGCGCGTGCGTGCTCTCTGTTCTTCCAGGCGCTGTTGGAACCAGTTCGCGCAAAACTGGAGAGCATCTTTGGGCTGGACGCGATTGATATCGCGCGTTAAATCTGCTACTAACGCCTCGAACGTAGACATTATGGCGGAGGAGAGATGATGAGCTGAGAGAGAGAGGGCAGATGATTCCAAGGTGGCAGTAGCGATCAATCAACGCGGCTTCATAGATTGACAATGACACCTCACGCGCTCAAAGTCACCACAGCGCGCTCAGTCAGTACACGACACTTGATATATTTGGGACCCAGGGAGGCTCGTCCACTCTTTCCCCGATTTTTCTGTAGTCTCTCCTTTGCCATCAACACGCATTCCTCTTTGGGCCCAGGCCCTTGTTCCCTTTCAGGCCAGCGCCAAGTGTCTCACTGGGAACGTTCACCAGCCAACACGGGGAAATTCTTGTCAAGTTCTTCGAAACCAAGCAAAATTGCCCGCAAAATAGCGGCTTAGATGGTGTGCTCGTAGTGTACAGTAGTAGAAGTGGTACACAATGCAGATAAATGGGTGAGATTGCTTTGCTCATTGAAACGCGGTGTTCCGCCTTCCCTAATCCGCGAAGATGCTGCTGTAGAATCTGGGATCGTGAATGAGGTGTATAGTGTCGTTGACGAGCTGCATATCTGTCCGATAATTAAACGCCGCAGACTGGCGAAGACGAGTTCGACGCGAACCGAGATCTGGTCCCAGGTCCACTGCCCGGGCGAGCTTGATCGCCTTGTCCCCGACCACATCTCCGATGACTTCAAAGTGCGATCCGTTGGCAGAGAGTTGGGACTTGCGTGCTGCGTTTCAGGGCAATGCATCTCGAAATTGGGGAGCTGCTCTTACGGTACTCAGATCGACGGAAACCTCACCCCCGTCGCATGCCTGCACAAGCCATCCGCGCCCCTCCGCCTACCGGCTGTCAGCAAAGCATCGGCCATTTGGAATGGCAAATAAACTCACTCGAAGAGGGCGACAGACCAAACGGACGGTCTTTCCTTTGAACCTCGGGAGAAGTGCCGAGTTGACGCGCATAGAAACGAGGCCATGGTCCGCCATCAATAGCTGGGTGGCTCAACCGTGCGCGTAAAGAGGAACGAAAAGAAGTGAGTTAACGGTACGCGTGATGTCATAGCTCACGTGCTCGTGACATGAGTGTATTGATTCTGGGACTAATATAACACAAATGCACTAGATATCTAGATCCATGAGCATCTGGTCTGTGATATCATCGTCACCATATTCGTCTTGTTCCTGCTCCTCCTCTTTTGCCTGCAGGGCAAGCGCTTTCTGTTTTTCCTGTGCTTTGAGGACATCCTGCAATGTCCACAGCGAAATGCCTGTCGAGTTTTCTTCGGGATTCTGCGAGATCCCGCGCATGAATATCTTGGAGAGATTCAGGGCCATGTCTGTGGACAGATTTGCAGCCGTTTCGGTGATATATTGGTTGATCCAGCGCGGCAGCTTGGCGCGCTTGTCGCTCCTCGCAAAACGCTGCGCACGTAAGCATCACGAAGCGACCGGGCAGAGAGCGAGAGAGCCCGCGCACCTTGTCCGCGAAGACCATCAAGCCCCAGTCGGTCTTTCCTCGGAGGACACGCCCGACACACTGAGCAGCATTGCGCATGGCATCGAAACCAAGGAACTCGGACTCGCGTATTCTGTACGCGTCTCGCAGATATTCCAGACGCGCTTTGAGTATCCGACTTTCTGTGTACTGATACGGAACCCTGCATATCCCGCCGTCAGACACGGCTACAGGAGACATCTATGACATACCCAAACATGATCACAGCCCGGCCGTAGTTGTGGTCGAAATCGATTCCCTCGGAGACCTTCCCTCGAGCGACGGAAAGCAACACAGCCCCGCGCCCATTGTCACATGCCTGGGGATGGGTCAGCCAGCATCAAGAAAGGAAGTGCGCGCGGTACCCGTCGGTAATTTTCGAGAGCGATGCTCGTCTCATTGGCATCCGGGGTCTCGACGAAAATCAACTTGTGCTTCCAGACTTCGTTGAGAATGCCCTGGAAATGTAATGAGGTCAGATTCATTGGGCAGGGATGAAAGACGCGGACCATGTCATTCCAGGCTGCGACGATGGACTCCATGTAGAGGTAACTGGGAAAAAACGCAACGATTCCGTCTGGTACAATCTTGCTGTATTCCACCAGAATGCTACCATAATTGCGAACCACGGCAGGGTCGTTCCTGACCTCGAACCGAGAGCTGACTGCGACTTGGTCGCTTCCTCGTGTGATGACCAGTGGCAGAAATGCATTGCGAGTTAGCGTCATCGGGTACGTTTCTTGAACGACAGGCGTGAACTGGAGCATCTTGGGATACATGTCCAGGGGAGATATCGTCCCCGAGGTGATCACCACGCTACTGAAGCGCTCAAAGACAGGCTGGATGGCAATCGACGGATCGAGGCAGGTGAAGTGGAACACAGGGTTTGGCACCGAGGCGTTGTCCGTTTCAAAAGGTTCCAGAATCAGCAGGAAGCCTTTCTCGTAGGTCGAGACCAGCGTCGCAAAGCTAGCCACTTTCTGAAGTGCCGAGTATTCGTCCAAGCGACTCAATTCTAATGTGCGAATCAAAGACTGCAGGCGCTCAGCACAGAATCTAGACCTTCTCGTCAGCTTGCAGCCGAATATCGATCCGAGCAATCACCTCAATGGTCTTCGTTCGATATATGTGATATCTTTCAGGTGTTGCAGGAAAGACAGCGGTGTTTCAGCCACGACGTGCAGCACGCGCATTCGAGTCTGAAAGAGATGTATAGGCTACATCAGCGCAAGGTTTGCTGATGCCCACCTTGAGATACTCCACGAAGCGCTTCAGGAAAGCCACGAAGTGTTCGGCCTTGCGGATGTTCCCCGGAACGGCCTCAGTCAAAAGATCGTCAGGTAACACTGTTCCTAAATCAGCTCGTGTCTGAGTGAGCAGTCTTAGGACCTACGTGGGTTCGACATAAACGCATCTTCATCCTCCTCAGGATCTCTGAGACCTTGCACAAGACGCGCGTATTCATCTTGAAGCTTCGCAGCATCCTTGGTTTTTATCCTACCATAGTCAGAAAGGATACGGGACCCATGATTTTTGGTAACCCACTCTCGATCTCATTGCCCAGCTTGATGATGCTCCTCCCTGCAGAGTCCAGCATCGGCCGCGTCAGATCTATGCTCAGGGATTCGATGCACACATTGTCGATGTTATGCGCCTCGTCGAACACCACGATAGCGTCTTTGGACAGCTCTTTGGACACCTGCTCGGCGACTTTGGGGTCCAGGAGATAATGGAAAGAGTAGATGACGACATCGACAAATGGCATCTGGGAGCTCGGTTCGGCTTGGGATGAAATGCAACATCGTTGAGCTCACCATCCTGCGGACGGTAAAGTATGGACAGACACTCTTTTCCCTCCCGTAGTCAAGCACATCAGCCAACGTCCAGATACCCGGGGGTATCAGGCTGCCGGGCTCCATTTGCCCGAGATTCTAACATTGCCGTAAGATAGTCGCACAGGACAGAGTGCTGGAATGACGAACTTCATGCCAGTCACAAAGCTCGACAGAGCCTGGATCTGCCCGCCCCTTCTCGCAAGCCACAGCATTGGTCAAATCCCGGCACCGCGCATCGACCACTTTGCCCTTCTTTTCTTTCGCGACCTACACGGACTGAGGCGGGAGGCTGGAGATTCAAATGAGCACACACCTCGGGGTGGATGCACAGGTTCTTTCGGCTCGTCAATCCCAGCCCGGTGAAACCGCGCTCCTTCTCCTTCTCCTCTTCCGTCTCGGCACATTCGATGCGGTACGCGACCAGTCGCTTCAGCTCGGCCAACGCTTTCTCGATCTCGGGGACGGTACGCGAGCAGTAGACCAGTTTCCGGCGGGTGGGGTAGAACTGGACGGGGTGGAGATCAATGAGGTCACTGAGGTCAAGGCGATCATAATACACACTTGTTGGTAGGACACGATCAACGAGAGTAGGGACACGGTCTTCCCGGTCCCAGACGGCATCTCGAGAACGCAATGTCCCTGCACATATGATATGACCGGAAGGTCGCGGAAAAGCACTGAGCCCTCACTGTCGCATCCAGAGTCCTCTTCAGGTCACACATGTACGCATATTGTTCTACAGACGCGCTCAGAAGCTGCAGCTTGTCACACAAACTTGATTAGGAGTGACCTGGGTAGATGCGGTCATAAGGGAAGATGATCTACGCGTGTGATGAGTAGGCGGCCCATCCGCGCACACAAATGACACAGACAGGTAGGTCGTCAATGAAGAATTTCATGATGGTAGCTTTGTTAGGACGCTTCCAGACGTTCAATTCTGCCTATATCATCCGATATCGGAGAAGAGGGGGTACAGATGCAGATAGTGAGGTGAGTGACAATGGTCGAGGAGGTCAAGGCGCGACCACGGGCTTGCCCAAGTCAGGATTGTTGTGATCCGTGATTGGATCAATTGTCACGCGATCGCTTTGGCACTCGGACTCTTGCTGATAAGATCCACGCATAGTCAAGCACAAAAAGATTGATCATAAATTTATCTAGTTCCATAAAAGTCCGTGAATGAGCGCAGGCTCCCGATTTCAATTGGGAGCGAATTGTTGGGCTGCCTGTTGGATCACGTTCTGGACCGACTCTTGCCTGCATCACCGATGAGCGGACAACAATGACTCAGAAGATGCGGAGACATACCCGACACCGACAATCGAATACCCGTCTGAGGGTGAGACTCCAGTGGAGTTCTGCACAGGCTCGATCCCGTTCTCTGTGATGGTCGGGGCTATGGCGGTACCATTGGCAGTGGTGAGATTTCCTTGTCCCCACTAGGCGGACGCGTCAGGCCGCAAGAGGAGGACCGTGAAACGGAGAACGCGCCTGATACTGAATGATTCCGGCTAATCCACTTGCGATCCCCTGCTGCAACCACTGCATGTACGCGTCGTTTCGCTGGGGATCGGTCACACCGTAGGGCGCGACACCAGGATTCAGCGTCACATTGCCTATGGGGCGGTCGCACTCATGCCAAAAGAAGAATAGCACAACTGCACACACCGATCTGATCATTGGCGAAGGGTGCTACAGTAGAATTGAAAGGCACAAAGGAAGGCGCGCTCTCCTGAGTAACAAGACCAAAACCAGACATGATGATAGGCTTGTTGGCCGTCTGTGAAGATTGCGAGTGCATCCTGATCCACTGCAGCCCTGCCTGGACGGTGTTGTTGAATGCAGGAAGATTCGGGTCATCGGGCGCGTATTGATTCTGGTCTGGGAAAAGCTGGAATGAGCCAAATCCGATCTGGGCAATCTGAGGGGACGGTCAGATGCATCGAGACATCACGCAAGAGCCAAACATGCATCGAGTATGTCCCCAGAGTCGACCCCGGTGGAACCATCAAACGCCGATCCGACACTGTTGTCTTGCCGCACGGTAGCTTGTGCGAATCAACAGTTGGTCTTGATGGTGAGCTCGGAACTCACGTGTTGCCACCCATTTGCCCCGCACTCTCACACCAGATGGTACTTCAGACTTGAGTCTCAGCGCTCGCGTTACCTTGCGGGCTGCCTTCCTCTCTTGGAGAACCCGGGCTCGTGTCAGGGGCGATGGCACATTCTGGCGCTTCGCACTCCCAGAGGACGGCTGGGGTCGCGACGGACTCGGAGTTGTTGGCTGTTTGTTTACCTTAGGGCAGTCTGCGCAGAGGAATCCTTGAGTGCTAACAAAGCATGAGCGGGAAATGATGCTACACAACAGAAAGCTGACCCCGATGAAACCAGATGATTAGGGTCAATACTGCTGATGTGCGTGGCGATTCTTTCGTGCCATAATGTCAGGGTGGTTGTGTTGCAAGACGACGTCGAATTCAAGGACGAGGTACACCTCGGGTCGTTGGCGACTTCCCAAGCCAACACGGACGCGTTGTTCACGTAACGTGATACAAGCTGGGTGATGTAGTGTTCGAACGCGGTGATCATCGTCTAGGTTCGTCAGGTCCGCATCCCATCCAGAGTGCGGATTGGCGTGCTGACCTCGTTTACATAGAACTCATCGTGTGTCTTCCCTCCGAACGAACGAACGTACGCGTCCATCCCCCCATAGTCGTTACTCAATGAGTTCCTCGGTAGCGAATTGTTTGTGAGCACGTCTCGTTTCGCGATCGCCGGGTGAGTAGTATCGGTTAGATTATCTGTTGGAAGTGGATTCCAATTGTTCGTGAGTGACAGGAGCAAGTAGATCCCATGCTTCTCTGCCATTGATATGATCTGGAAATGACCTGAGTCAGGGAACGAACAAGTCCATCAAAAGTATCTACCCGATCTAATTTCGGGAGACCCGTCGTCTCGTTCAAGTTCAACGTGGACGTTCCATTCACCAGAAGTTGGAACCATGTCCCGTTCCTGAAACAGTAAACGGCTTGAAACGTTTCCGCAGTGCCATATCGCGTACTGTGGGATCTCTAGAACGTCTGGACGAGGGATTTAGACGGATGGAGCATCAAGCCCAAGACTGGTATTCACCGTTGAAGGCCCAGGTCCGCACCACCGTTATATTCGCCTCTGCGGATGCAAAATTTGAATAGATCGAGCCCGGAAACGATCGACCGACTTTTGATCGATGCGAAGGTGGCATCGATGTCCTCGTCGGAGTTGAGGGCAGTCAGCCAGTACGCATTGGTGCCAATGAACTTGAAAGCGCTGCGGCGGAGAGGTCAGATCCACAGCAGACGGATGTGCCGAAGCATGCCTGTTGTTGACGCGGAACTCGGAGTTGCTTGTCGAGACAAAGTGGGGGTTGCCGGTGGTGGGGGTGGCCCTGGCCTCCGATGCGGCACGCACAACGATCGCTGCACCCAGCAGGAGCAGGGTTGGGAGTAGGAACATGATAAACGCCCGCTGTGGGAAGGGAACACAAGGATCGCATGTGCATGTCAAACCTATATAGCGTGTCGGATCGCCTGAACCAGTTCTCAGGCTCAGCTTCGGGCATCCTGTCTGCGACCATTGAAAACCCACAGGCCTATGGGAAGAAAACCGATCAAGGATGGTACCTGTGCAGTGGCGGTCTCTTCGATGATGGACTGCGACGCCCCGATCTACTGTTAGCGCACGATCGCGCGTCGCGACTGAGTGAGCTCTGCGAGCCATCGGCTATCTTCATCCGCGTTAGTAGCACCCAAACAATTGCAGCGCAGAGAGTAGACGCGGAAAAAATTCATTTCGGAAGACACGAAGAAGATTGACAGTGTAGCCAGAACGGACATCAAGGAGAAGAGCCGCTCGCTGCCGCCATGCCGAGCGCTCGTATGTCACATGTCACGCACATCATCCCTCTTCTCAGACATCAATTGTAATGCTGAGACGTCTTGCGTTCCATGTAAAGACCAGGGCCTCGCAACAATCACTAACTCGACGGAATTATGCATCCACGTCAATTCCTCCGAGTCGAAAGATTCAACGCACTTTCGGAATAGCTGTTGGGGTCGTGGTTACCTTGGGCGTGAGCGCGCTGGTCATTGACAAATGTACCCACGCATGGCTGGAGTATGACCTTGACCGTCAAAAGAAAAGAATGCAGGAACCAGACATACGTGAATATGGGTGGGACTTGGAGGCGGAGAGGTGGACGGGAGACCCCACTCAAGGCGGGACGGATTCTGGTCTTCCCTCAGCGGGGCGAGAAGCTGTACGAACAGCTTGGTTCTCATACCACCGTCCTGCCAACTACAGTTCCTCGGACGTGTCACCTGCTGACGGGCCAAATGTTGTTGACTCATTGATCATGCGAACGGAATCCTGTCTTCGCGGGTGCGTTGCACAGATCTGCCTTTGTCGAGACTTAATTCGCTGCTTAGTGCGATTGCAATTGCAGAGGACCCAAACGTAATCAGTCATCTCCATCCGTCCACACTCCCCGATCTTATCTTACGGCGAGCGTCTGTCTTGGAACGTCTCGGGCCCGAGCGCTTGGATGAAGCTCGAGTGCAATATGGGGAAATGTTCTGGAATGTGATGGGTGGAAGGGGTCTGGAAGGGGCTCGCATTGCTGTGAAACTTGGAGATCTGTCTCGGAGAATCGGGGATGGTGATGAAGCTGTCGCATGGTGGGCAAGAGCGATTCGGCTTTCCGAAACGGATGGGGTGTACTCAAACACTGGAACGACTTCTGTCATCGTTCCCGAGTCGCCTGGCTCCTCGCCTGCCGCACAAAGAAGCATGCTCTCTGCGTTGCTGTCCGCGTCCGCCTACTACGCATCGACAAGGCAGTTGAAACAAGCGCGCAAAGTGACCGAAGACACTCTGCATCTGTTCGAGCCACTACAGTCATCGGAGGGAAAGCCCAGACCCCCACACATGTTGCATGTCTTGTTCGTGAGACAGCGCTCTGCAGTCCTCTCGACGCATCTCGGCGAGATCCTTTGGGCACAAAAAGCACCTGCGGAGCAGTATGAGCGGAGATTACTGGCGTCGGTTCTAGGCTCCGAGGAGGTGGCCTTCCATCTCGTAGGAATGACTTTCAAGGGTGCCGACGAGTTGACCCAAGCGAGTCCTCTGCAAGTGCAGAAACGACCCATTCTCGGCGCGTACAGCAGCCATCCCGCTCTAAAAAAGCCGGCCGAAACGCTGCTCCAAGACGCCCAGCGCAGCGCCGCCGCTACGTTGAACATTCTCGGAGAACTGGTCGAGAGGGAAGGGCCCGATCGCCACCACATTGCCCTGGCATACTATACCAAGGCCCTCTGCTGGCTGGGGCAGCCTACTAGCGCCGACGGCGAAAATTGGGAACGCATGGACTTTGTTCTGAGAGAGGAGTGGATGCCTATCCTGAATAACTACGAGCGCCTTGTCCAAGCACTTGTCGCTAAACGTAGAAGTACTCTAGATCTGTCTGCCTCTTTATAAGCGACGCGTATCATCTTAGTCGCGTGACCGCGTTCTGCGCCTGACTGCTTCAATCACGCCGCGGCCAGAAATCCACATGCTGGGTAGGCTGCTGAGAGTCTATCGTCCCACCATCCCATCGCGACCGATTCTACGCACCAGAATGGCCTCCGAACTTGCCCTCAACCGAGAGCGTTTCCTTGCAGATCGGACACCACCACTGTGCAGCCTCGAAGTCAAGGCCTCATTCGACCAACTCAGGCTTGTCGCCGCCTCGTCGATCATGGATGAATCACTGATCGACACCCCAGCTCCGTCGAGAAGAAGTATACCTATTGGCTCTCGAAGGCATCGTGGGCGGGCGGACGCATCATCCAGGAGCAATGGTCGCCTCAGGCCACGGCTCTCCATGATCTCTTGATCCTCACCTTCAGCGACGGCGAGGGAAAGCTTGCTGATCTGCCCGCTCTGAAAACGAAAGCAGGAGTGGCAGAGTCTGACTTCGAGGATCTTCTGCAGTACACGTCACAAGTGCGCAATGTTCACGTCCGCCGGTATGGGGCATACCATTGACCAGGAACGCGCGTTAGACTCTGAGCAATCTCGTCAACTTCAAGACCTTCGGATCTACCAAAATTGTTCCGCGTCTTGCAGCAGAAAAGTTCGAGGCTGTTGTGACCGCTTCGGCCAATGCTTCCGCGTTACCTCTATGGAACTCGGTGCGTATGCTGTCCGACCATTCATTCCTACTAGTGTCGAACTCCCGGTGTTCAGCTCAAGGATCATATCTACTCTCTTAGCCCAGAGTCCTCCCTGTTTATCGGAAAACCAAGTGAAGGACAGATCTCGAACTATTACTTGGGAGAGACGATCACGGACGAAGAGGTCGCGAACATCCAAGCTGCGGCTGAGAAGATCGAGGTGGACATACTCAACACTCGGATCCAGAAAGACAGCGCGACCTCCTTCACTCTCCTCGTCGCTTCCTCGCAACTGAAGCCGGAACAGACCGTGGACCTGGGCGACGGCGCTCAGCTGACGGTCAAGTACGGAGACATGCAGAAATATCTCGCTGAGGTCGTCGTGAGCCTCAAAGAGGCAAAGAAATATGCGCGGAACGAACAACAGACGAAGATGATCGAGGGCTATATCAAATCGTGCGTGCTTGCTAGACGTGAGCACGCGAGCAGATGACGGATTCGGCAACCCAGCTTCGAAACCGGATCTATTCAAGATCACAAGGATGGCAGCAGACATTGGGTCAAGGATGTCGGGCCGGTCGTCGAATCTTACATCGGAGTAGGGATGGCTCAGAGGCATGAGAACCGAGATTCTGATCGATCGGACAGTTTGTGGAAACATATGTGGACCCATATGGAGGACGCGCGGAATGGGAAGGTGGGTGCACTCTCCGGCCTTGTCCGTCGTCGTCTGAATCGATCGCAGGCTTCACCGCCATCGTCAACAAGCAACTGAGTGCAAAGTACGAGAAACTGGTCGACCGCGCCCCCCATCTGATCCAGGATCTGCCTTGGGGAAAGGACTTTGAAGTCGACGTGTTCCGCAAGCCAGACTTCACCGCTCTGGAGGTAGGCGCGTTGCAGCTGTCCGTTCATGTCATTCCAATCGCTCTTTCAGGTAGTCTCATTCGCAACTGGAGGTGAGCCTGTCCATTGCTTGAGCGAGTCCCGTTTAAATCGAGCCCAGGTATTCCCGCCGGTATTAATGCATGCTCTTTTTCTTCCTCTTGGCTGCGTTGACTCAACTCGGTCAAGATCCCCAACTATTACGAAATCAGAGAGTCTGCCGGATTCAAGAACGTGTCGCTGGCGAATATCTTGGCTGCGAAAGCCCCTGGGGAGGAGCTGACGTTCATCCATCCTGACGATGTGGATCTCTACAACGCATGGGACTCGCGCGCTTTCGAGCTCAAGTGGCCAACCACGAATTGCTTGGCCACGGATCTGGAAAACTTTTCCAGGAGAACACGGATGGAACGAAGAACTTTGCGGCCGATCAGATTGTCAACCCGCTGACTGGCCAGCCGATGTGAGTTTCACATCAAACTTGAGTGCTAACCTTCGCGAATGGTTGACGTCGGCTGCAGCTCGACTTGGTACCGGCCTGGGCAAACAGCTGACAGCGTCCTCGGCGAGGTGTCTTCTTCGATGGAAGAATGTCGGGCGTGAGCACTGGATTTTCCTCCCCAACACATGACTGACCCTCTTTCAAGTGAGGCTGTGGCACTGTATCGTATGTGGTTTGCTTGTTACCACCGCAAGCGTAGCTGATCAAGTATCCAGTGGCCAGTAACCTGGAGATTCTCGAAATCTTCAAGGTGAGTAGTGGTCCATGACGTTCGCGCGGATGCTGACACCATTCAAGTACTCTGAGACGCAAGACATCGAAAACATTCAGTACATCTCTTTCCTGTTGATGGCCCGGGCTGGCATCCGCGCGCTTGAGTTCTACGACCCAGCCACCAAGAAACACGGCCAAGCACATATGCAGGCACGGTACGATCTAATCTATGTGATTTGATGCCGATCTCAATCTTCTAGTCTTGGGATCATGCAGCACTTGCTCAAGTCTGGCCTTGTCACTATCGAGGAAGTGAGGAAAGACGGGGTGTTGGAGAATCTGTACGTCAAGGTGCGTTGTTTTCTGGGACGTTGGCTCGCGTGTGAATCAGCATAGGTTGATCGGAGCCGGGTCCTTTCTGAGGGGAAGAGCGTCATGGGCAAGCTGCTCGTCGAGCTCCAAGTGCGGAAGAGCACAGCAGATGGCGCCAGTGCGCGTGACTTCTACACCCAACTGACCACTCCCTTGGACACTTTCACTGCGGAGGTCCGCAACTTGGTTCTCAAGAAGAAACTAGTTGAGTGTTTCGTCCGAAACTATCCAATGTGCGGTTCTCATGTCGGCAGCCGAGAAAAATATTCGTCCAGCCGACGTTGCACATCGACGGCCAAGGGGAAATCCAGCTGAAAGAGTATCCGCTGACAACGGCCGGAGTCATCGAGAGCTGGATCGAGCGAAAGTTGTGATTATTGACTAGGATATGCTCTCTACGACGGCAACAACAGTCGTCACACTGTATTCATCTCAGTCACGCATCAAAAAAGCAAAGTAAGAACCCACTCGTCGACTTTCTGGAGCAAAAGTATAAGTGTGATAGAAGACTCGAGAACAAAAGACTTACCCCGCCTTGAAAACTCCTTCCGTGCCCATGCCGGAAGGCTTCGACTTCGAACGGACTGCGTCGTCGACTGTGCATCGCGGCATGAGCGTAGCGGATGAGTTCCTGTGCGATTGTCTGTGCTTGAGCCTCCCGGGATGCAGCTCTCTTCCTGAAATGGTTACAAATCTCAAGGATGTCGGCTGAAAATATGTCTGTTTGAAGGCGATTTATGGCAAAAATGGAAGATAGCCTACCAGGAAAGAGATTGTCGGACATGCCATCCGTCTACGGCGCAACGTCAGAACTTCGACCGCGACGAGATCCAAAGACACGCACATATAGGATGATCAGATCGTCATCCTCTAACTGAAGGGTGTGTCGATCGACAACCGAGGCAATCGGCGACACGGGCCTCCCACGAGCCTTTTCGAGCTGCTTGGGGAAATTGAAAGAATACTGCTGCGGGGGAGCAGAATATATCATTGACCCAGACCGGATAACACAGAATCCACTGTCACCGTAGCTTTCTCCGCGCGTGAGGGTCGTTCTTTCCCGTGGCGCGCAGACTCACTTGACAGATTTTAGTGAGCCTGAGACGGCATCTAGTGTGAGAACGCAAGCTGTGCTGGATCCCAACGTCACAGACTCGTCGGCACGTAGTGCGTTGTATCCCAATTGTAGACATTCCTCGGGATCTCCGTGATGCGCATTCTTCTCCGCATAGAACATCAGAGCTTGGGAGAACATGCTGGAGTCCACACCTGAAGCTCGTGTGAATTATTCGTATCAAAATTGGGGAAAGCCGCACCCGAGTCGATCCAACCGCCGACTCCATCTGCGATTCCAAGAGCAATACCCTGGAACGGTCACGTGATGCCATCTGGGGTGAGGGTCATGCGCACCGAGTCGTCCTTGAACTGCAAGAGATAGATTCACGAGTCACGAAAAATGTTTGCTTTTTAATGACTCAAATACACGTACAGGTGCATAGAAGAAAAAATCTTCTCCCGCGCTTCGAAGCGGCTTGTGCAAAGCCGTTCTCTCTAGCGTTTGCTCTCGCCAGACAGCAATGGGATTATCAGGGCGGAAAAAGGTGCGGAGCTTGGGTGTTTTTGGCCCGCGGTTCCAGTCGGCTGGTTTGCCAGCCCAATCCGCTGCGACATGGAATTGGAGTGGGTGGCGCAGGGCTGTGCTTATCGTCCTTGTATGAGAGAACAGTCGAGAGACTGGTGCCATAACATGGGATAAAGCAGGGATTGACAGCGTAGGAGAGGAAGCGGGAGAGGATGATTATGCGCTATGACCCCGCAAGATACCGCGGCAGTTGTTGCAGGGAAAGAAAGTCGCTGATCTCACGTGCCATGACAGCATGTCACTTCTAGCTTGCTTTCAGCCACCACCGCCTTCCATTCCCTCCCTCCGATCATACAAGATATGTCCATAAAACCAACACCACGCGCGGAGATGGCCTTTTTTATGAAGATGATGGTCCTTGGCAATCCGCGCCGCACCTTCCTCCCACCTGCACGAGTTGCGAGCACGTCAGTCATGACAACTCCATGAAAGAAGAAGTCAGGCGCGCCTCTCGACTCGTCAATCTTTCGGGTTGACCTGTCGATGCAATTGGGTGGCAGACGCGCGCGGGAAGGACGGACTGACCATAATATCTGTGGTGCGCACGAGTTTAACATCGGGTCGATTCGAGTGGAAGCTTACCTCCTACAGGTGCACTGTCCACAATTGGCCGGGTGGGCACTCGACAACCGACAAAAACGGGAATAACAATCCACTGCCATCTCGCTGGAGAAGATGGAGTGGGTGCATTCCAGGAACTGGGCGCGGGGTGACAGTGACGATGATGTGTATCCCGATTTACATCGCATTGACGGAGTGGATTTGAGTTTGAGTAGGTGCGTGATACCAAGGGATGGATGGGATCGGGAACAGGACAGTGTGCGGGATTAGCTCAGCGTCGAGATCGATCTTCTTGAAAGACGATCACCTTTGTGAAGTACAGGCGCCGGTGACACATTGCCTCGCCGTGATAGAGTTTCCCGCGATGTGGGTGTCTCGTCGGCGGAGGTAGTGCTATGGCCTAGAGGGCTGATCGTAGATGCCGCCTGACGTTCTGTCCCGATATCAGTGAGCGGAACACTGGACTGGGGATGCACCCGGGCTGTTGTACCTTTCCTCGATATCGCTGGGACGTTCTTGCTGCGAGGACCTCAGCAAGGGTTGAGACGGTGACTTGTGCTTGGCTGAATTCCTTATATCGCGTGGGTGGAATTGGGGCAAATGCGCCCGGATAATCTATCTGTGCACAGTGCATTGAATGATTCATGATAAGTAGATCAGGGTCTTTCTGATCTTGATGTCAAGCGTGCCATGCACCTGCAGTGGCGGCCCTTCCACGCTACCCGTTTTTGGTAGGTTCTCTTGTCGGCTTGTCGCAGACAGGTCTCTGATAGGGCACGTTTGTGACCAGGATAAGTATGATTGATTAAGCAGTGTCGGTCTAGTGTACAATTGCCCCAAAGCACTCCCCAAAAACCCAGTCGACTCAGTCGCTCTCATTTGGACGAGAGAGCTCCTCCTCGAGGACCTGGGTTATGTTCCGGATAGGTTCGCCGCGGATGACTCGCTTCACCTCGTCCGAGTCCAGAGTCTCGTGTTCGACAAGGGCGTGGGCCAACTACGGATCTTGTGTCAGAAGAGAAGACAGCTTGCAAAGGCAATACGCACCCGATGAAGCTCGTCTAGCCGCGTAGTCAGAATCGTAGTCGCCCGGGTTCGGCCGCCTTTGATGAGGCTGGGAGATAACCGTGAGCTCATCCGGCCAATTAAAATTTGCCGACTCACTTGGTCACTTCTTCTTCGATCTCGTCCTTCAATTTACTGCTGAGAGTACCATCTCGCGGATCATAGTACACTGGCCCCAATTTTGAGAAACCCCATTGCTGGAAAAGCGTGAGCCGCCGCATGGACGACAGAGATTGATGACGCACAGTGACCATGGACCGTGCGGTGTCCGTGGCATTTCTGATGTCAGAGCTGGCGCCACTGGTGATGTTCTGCTCGCCATATACTTGAGGAAGGTCAGGAGACTAATGATGGAGCATGCGCAATGTACGCACTTATTTCTTCGGCCACTCGTCCACCCATGGAGACATCGATTGACGCGAGATATTGCTGGAAGCTGACCGACGTTCGATCTTCTTCGGGAAGGAATGCTGTCTATTTGCGGTCCAATATTCAGCGAATGTTCAGCGAGAAGCAACGGAATGACGGACATAGCCCAACGCATGGCCTCGAGGAAGACATGTGACCTTGTGCAATGGCATCGCTCCCTCGGTATACAGTGCCACGAGAGCATGTCCGCCCTGATCGGCATTCAGCACCTCGGAGCAGATCCTCAAGATCTCGCACCTCGTGATAGGCAGTAGCCAACTTATTCTTGGGATCGATGTATCGACTCTTGCCTTCCGCCCCCATGAGAATTCGGTCCTTCGCCCATTCAAAGTGTTTGAGCGAAACTTCTTTAGCACGTTCCTTGGAAGCCTGGATGGCAGCTTGACTGCGAACCTTGGGGTCAGCATGAATGCTATAGAAAGCCATGGCGGTAGTCGCTCACTTGACCATGTTCTGAAGATCCGCGCCAGAAAATCCGGAGGTTCCGCGGGCAAGAACTTTGGTATCTACATCTGGACATGAACGAACGTCAATGTGTGTTGGAATGACGCAGAGGATAAAGAAGAACCTTGGCCCGTTATCACATTTTTCATGTGATGCTTGAGAATCTGAGCTCTTCCACGGATGTCCGGTAATGGGACAGCAATAATTCTGTCAAAACGGCCTGGTCGCACTAGAGCTCTAGACGGACGCATGTAAACACCGTGGAATCTCATATCGCTTGTCACTCACTGATCGAGACTCTGCGGGAAGTTGGTGGCAGCGATGACGATGATGCCCTCAGCCTGTTGGAATCCATCCATTTCCACAAGAAGCTGATTCAAGGTCTGTTTCATGTACTGCTGATCCTTGCTGCTCCGCTTCCCACCAACGGCATCCAGCTCATCGATAAAGATGATGGCGCGCTCCTTCTTGCGAGCAGCTTCAAAAAGCTCCCTCACACGTTTAGCGCCAACGCCGACAAACATTTCCTCGAAATCAGACCTAAACACGTTGAGTAGCAGTACATAGATCAATTTTGAAACGCACCCGGAGGCAAAGAAGAAAGGAACACCGGCTTCCCCAGCGACTGCTCGCGCTAACATTGTTTTTCCGGTACCGGGAGGACTGAGACAACTGAGACAAGGCAGGAAGGTTATAATAGAGGCCACATACCCAGTCAACAACACGCCCTTCGTCAATTTACCACCCAATGTTGCGAACGAAGCGGGGTCCTTGAGGAACTCGACCACATCTTGCAGCTCCTCCTTCGCCTCGTCCACACCGTGAACATCACTAAACTTGACTCCTTTGCCTTCTGCAGGTTCGAACTGCGCCTTGGAGGGCCCGGCTTTCATGAGCCCAGTGTTTTCGAAGAAGACAGACAAGACAACCAGGAAAACTGGATGGAAATGAGAGAGGGCAACGACAGTCTACAGAAACGCTCACAGAACGAGCCTACTGCCAGGCCGAGAATATACCGAACCAGTGATTGACCCCAGGATTTGTCTGTAAGATGTCAGAAGGCGGTTGGCCATTTGTGGGCGCCAGCTTACTCTGTTGGATAACGACTGGGATGGGTTCTGTACCAACGCTAGCTCCTCGCGAATCCAGCACCGCGGATAACCGATGAGAAAACGTGTCGCTCGCTCCAGGCTGTCCGGCGCTAGCGAGAACAGATTGGCCAATGAGTTGACTCTCAGAGAGGAGCGGCGATGGCGTTTTCGAGTCTGAAGCAGTTTCCGTTGCATCTGAGCTATCTTTGGCTGATTCCGCCGGGGAAGTAGGCGCTGGCGCAGGGACAGGATTGGCGGAGAGAAGTGCATCTCGTCGTCGAATGGCAGGGAAAACCGAGGCAGCTTGCCCCGTGTTGACGAGACAAGTCAGATATAGCCGGAACGCTTCTCCAGAGTGCAGTACAGGTGATGTTGGGTCCTATGGCAAGTCTCAGCAGAGCGAGCTAGGCATAAATAGTCACGCACGAATTCACACATCTTCTCCCACCGGCTGATGACCACCTCGTAAGAGGGTTTCATTTTGGTAGATACTAATGCCTGAAATAGAGTCATCTGTTTCGTGACATCATGGCGGTTGACGTCCGCCTCGGCCTCCAACTTCGATATTTCAACCACGACATGAGGTGATGGCGATGGCGACGACTTCTGCCTGGAGAACACGGAGCCCAACGATAAATGTCTCGATTGCGCTAATATTATCGACAGCGGAGAGTGCGCCAAGGGAGATGAATGTGTTCTCGGCGGGACGCGTAAGAGACTCCGGGGTGAATGTGAGAAAGAGCGGAACGTCGCAGTGCGAAGTGGACAAGGCCTCGCACGGCAAGCCGCGCTGAACTGGAATTCCAATCAGTCTGAGCCACACCGGAGGCTGAAGAGCTAGAACTCACAAGTGACATGAATTGGGGACGAGAAAAGTGTGGTCGTGGGTGGCGGTGCAGCTAGACTAAAGTTGCTTGGTCAGCGCGCCCAATCTCAAGCATGAGCACTCCTCAACAAGCAGGTCCGCATCAACGCGCGAGATCGATTTCTCTTTGGCTGACCTTTTTTTACAGCTATTGTTGTGCTTCATCTGATTGTCGAAACATGCAATACTGCACTCGATCCACAATCAAGCTCCGATGAAGCAACCAACTCCGAGCCTCACGCCGTTGATGTCCTTCGCAAAGACTTGACTTCAATTGCGTCGCTTTTGTATTCGGCAGTTACGAAAGTGTCACTCGCATTAAAGCCCTCCAAGCCGACCTACTCTGCCGCGATCGCTCCGCTCAAAGATCTTTCCCTCCGCATCCCGGCATTCTTCATTGCTGTAAGCTGTATCTGCCCAGCGTTCATGGTCAGACTCTGGTGAATGAGGTCGAAGTCTTGTCGCAAGATGTGTTCCACTCTTTACGCGCTTTTGTTCAAATCTTTCTGGATATCGAGTCGAGTGGAGAGCGGCAGAGTACTGGTCAGGCGGGCGACGAGTACATGGTCCGAACAGCAGCCGCGCACACTATCCTTGATAAAGCACAAGGATTATCCCAAAACAATGCAATCGCTGTCAAAAAGCGTTGGGTCGAAGACGCTGGATCCTTGAACGATGGAATTGCCGAAGTTGCTGCCATGATCGAGGACGCGAACTCCCCGGACGGGGGAGATGACGACGGAATCTTCGACGATGGCTGGGCTGAACTTGGTCTGGATAGTGGACAGGCTATGTCTGCTGAAGAACTGGAATGCACGAAGAAGGTCAGTCCGATCAAATTGCACAGACATGCCTTGACGATCTCTACTAGGTGCATATGATCCTTCGCTTGATGCAGACATTGCACAAGCGCGTTCTACGGGACATTATTCTAGCACCTGCGACGACTACGAAGCAGTCAGACCAGTTCTCATCGCTTTCGCACACTTTGCCATCGACATTTGACGAGCTGATCTCAACACTATATGTTCCGCAAACTCGAAGTATAGTCAAAGACGAGCTGGCCGCTTTCCGAAAGACAGTCGACAACTGGAAATCATGCGTTGACTCGCAGATGATAACATCAGAACTGGAGAAAATCAATCTAGACAGCAGCACCCCATCTCCTAGTAAATGGTTCGATAACTGTTTTACACAACTGTACAAAGCAATAGATATAATGGATAGCACGTTGGACTAAATGCAACTTGTTCACAAATCATTGAACGGCGGGTCGATTGTTACATCTCGCCTTCTTCCCTGGTTTCTGAATGATTGGGAGAAGCTAGGAACGAGCGATGGCGGAGTGCCCCGGCCAGCTGATTCGGATATCTCGAGGAGCTGTCACGCAACTTTTCCTCGAACCGGATGATCTTGTCGGTTTGGTCTTGGAGGTCGAAAGCTGGGGCCTGTTGACGTTTCTGTGCGCGCCATTCACCAACACTGAGTGGAAACGCACAGATTCATTGATACGCTTCGCTCTAGCTTCCTCGCGCATCTTATCGAGCTCCCGCCTTCGTTCCTCGTCCTTCCCTCGACGACTGAGATTGGACACTGTTGTGCCCCCAACCTAAATAAATGACCCCATCAGCGGTCAGAGAATACCAGTCTATTAACAACTAGTAGGACGCACGTTTTTAAACAACGACGCATATAAGGTCGGGTCACTCAAATCGACATCTACAGACCCCATGTGAGGTTTCCGCTGATCGGTGGTTGTTAATTGGGATTTAGACTCTGGTACAATGACCGGAGGAGGTTTATGCGTCGTCGGAGACCCAGACAAAGATGCCCCAGCTGTTTTGGTCTTCTTGATTTGAGGGAGCTTTTTCCTCGGTGGTGCCGGTACCGCAAGGTTGTCATCCTTGAGTGGAGACGACACAATCGAGGATGATGCCGAAGCGAAACCCCCCAGATCCCCAGACGCTTCGCCCGCGAGCATGGACGATTTCGTTCGAGGCCGTTTCGAAGCAGGCCCTGCGGCTGCTGCACTCACTTCAGGAGCCCTCTTCCGTTCGTCTCTCGCGGTAATCTCTTTGGTAGCCTCCGCTTTCTTCCTTCCGCTTTTCGCGCCTCCTTTGACTGACTTGCTTTTGACTGAACGTTTTGTATCGGAGAAGTAGTCATCCTCGCTCAAAACCGCCTCTAGCTCAGAGTCTTCCTTTTGCGCAGGATCGAAGTCTTCCTCCGAATCGGAGAAAACGACTGTGCCCCTCTTTTTCTTCTGAGCCGGTATCTTTATTCTGGGACGAGAAGAGGAAGCAGAAGAGGACATTATCACAAGCGAGAGCCTAGATGAGGTGAGTGCACATGAGTCGAAAGAACAACGGTATATCACAGCCACTGGGGCAGCGGCTACATAAATCAAATTACATCATTCTCTATTACTTGCTCTCGTAGAACTTCATCAAGTCCTGCACGTCATCTTTGCTGCCCAGGAACACAGCACAGCGCTGGTGAATGCTCGTTGGCACGAGGTCCAAGATGCGCTGGGTTCCGGTCGTCGCAATGCCTCCTGCCTGCTCAGTCAAGAAAGCCATTGGGAATGCCTCGTACAGCATTCTCAGCTTCCCGCTCTTGCTCTTCTTGTCGTCAGGATACCCGAAGATACCACCGTAAAGGAGAGTACGGTGAACATCCGCGACCATTGACCCGATGTAGCGGGCACTGTATGGGGTCTTCGGGGGAGCAGGGAACTTGATGGACTCCAGGTACGCGGTCACGGGAGGATGGAAATAGCTTGCGTTGCCTTCGTTGAACGAGTAGATCTTTCCTCTAGGGGGTATCTTGATCTAGTCGTGGATCAGCGCATGTATGACCCGCGGCGAGCGTGTTCTCACATCAGGATGCGTGAGGATGAATTCTCCAAGGGACGTGTCCAATGTGAACCCATTGACGCCGGATCCAGTTGTGAGGACCAGGTTGGCGGAGGATCCATACCTGGTTGTCGATGAGCAAGCTTGGAAGGGAGCTGTCGGACCAGACTCACATGGTATAGCCTGCAGCAACCATCTCACTGCCGGGTCTCAGAACATCCTCAATGGTACCCTTGGATTCGGGTCGCTATCGACGATGATTGTGAATTCGGCAGAGTCCATGCATACACTGTTGGCACATACCACTTTGTAGATGCCAAAGATGGTGCCTACGTTGACACCAGCATCGATGTTGCTGCTGCCATCGAGAGGGTCGAAGACGACACAATATTTGCCTTTGTATTTGTCCTCGATGATGATAGCTTCCTCGATTTCTTCTGAGACTAGAACCGCAGTCTTGCGTGAGGCCCTCAGCGCGTTGACCATGATATCGTTCGACAACACATCCAATTTCTTCTGCTCTTCGCCTTGTACATTTGTCTCGCCTGCGAGGCCAACACTGCGAAATGTCAGTTATGTCGAATCCGATGGGCTGACTGCACCGACAGGTTTATCAGTCTTGCCTTTCGAACGTTGCTGGCCAGGAACTTGCTGGTCACTTGGATAGCCGTTAACAGAAGGGTGAGATCGCCCGTGGCTGCGGGCCCGAGCCGTATCTGATCATGCAGAACATGACGGGTCAGGGTGATCAGATCGACGTTGGGGGTTTCCTCAGTAGCCATGGGCGTTTGAAAGAAAGCGGGGTAGCACGGTCACTTTATATCTCGGAATAGATCGGGTGTCGATCGGACGGAACTGCTCTCCCCTCATCCCGGGCCAAGAGACTTTTCCCGCCACCTCTGGCGAAAATAGCACACACAAAACATGACATGTGATCGGGTCTACTTTTACAGCAAAGATTGTACAAAAACACAACAGGGACGCCAATGATCGTTGTTCAATGCTTGAATTTCAGGAGACTGGGGAACATATCTGCCTCCTTACCCCGCCGGCGCGAGCGTAAAGGGACAGGAAATGTGTCACTATCTTCGTCCGGCCCGTCCTCTCCGTCGGCCCGGTGATAGCCGCCCCGGATACCGCTTGTGTTGGGCCCGATCGAGGTCTCTTGCATCAGACTATCATCTTCGTCCTCGTCATCGTCGTATATTCGAGACTGCGCATGCGCAATCGCGGCGGCAATCTCTGCACCGATACTCGACACTCGCATGTCCGCTGGCTGCTGCGTTTCAGATTGGAAGAAGGCCGAGATCGTCCGAACGGAATCCATCAGATCATCGTCCTCCTCTTCAGAGGCTTTACGTGGCTTGGATTTGAAATTATACCTCCTGTAAAGGACGCCAGCTCAGCACTTGAATCGCAAGCATAGCTGGTATTAGTAATTACCGATTTGGATCCGGTTCCCAGTTGGGATCATGTGTTTTCATATGCTGCGTTAGAGTTGTCCGGCGCGTGAAGGTTTTCTCGCATGCAAGATCTTCGCACTTGTATGGCCTTTTCCCAGTGTGTGTCCTGCGATGTCTGGCGAGGCTGCTCGAGTCCCCGAATGTCTTGCCGCAACCGGGATATTCACAGCTATGAGGCTTCTCTCCGGTGTGCACCCGAAGGTGGACATGCAGGGCTGAGCGCTGCGAGTGCCATCAGCAAGAAATCTACAGCCGGACAACGCAAACATACTTGAATAAATGTTTTCCCGCATCCCAAGTGGCTGCATGGAAAAGGACGTTCCCCAGTGTGAATCCTCATGTGCCTGACCAAGTCGCTGCGTCGACTGAATGACTTGTGGCATTGATCATGATCACATGCATGTAGTTCTCTTGACCTGGTCGGCAGTGCAGATGTAGACGCAACCGGTTGTGGCTCGGCTGCCTGATTTAGCGGCAATAGAATGCTTATTGGTCCAGGCACGTCGGGGGGAATAGCATGTGAGCGAATGTAAGGGACAACGGGAGAGGAATCGGGTGATGACGGCCGAGGGTCTGGTTCAGGATCGAAATGTGTCGAGAGTTGTGTCAAGATGTCGTTAACGTCCGAAAAGCCGGAGGGCAATTGCAGCGACTGGGATCTTGGACGGGGTGTCGGATGAGAGGGCCTGCGTTCCTCGTCTGCATCCGAGTCTTCATCGAGGTCGTCATCCTCGTCAGAGTACATGAAATCGGTGCTCTGTCCCCCTCTCCTACTGCCTCGTTTTCCACGGTCCTTGAGCGTACTGCTTGATCCCTCGACCGCCGTCAAAGAGTGAAAGGCAGGCGCTGCACGCGTACTCTTCTGTGGATTTCCATCCATTCCTGAGCTGCGCTGATGAACAAATTCCGGATCGCATGCTGCAAGCTCGGCAGCTGCGCGTTGGTTCTTGACGGCCTGGGCTTGAGCAGCTTGCAATGCAGCAGCCAGTCCAAGACTAAGGGCAGGACTCGATTCCGCCTCGCGATCTGGACTTCCTAGACGTTGTTGGGCCGCAGCGCGCATAAGCGCAGCAGATGCATCCGACGCGTTCTGGTTCAGTAGAGTCACCAGCTCTCGTTGCAACAACATGTCCATGGGTGAGCTGGGAAGGGCGTCGGCCTCGTCGTCGGCCATAGTCTCGTCGTGGACCACATCAGAAAGATCTAAAACAGGCTCCGAATCATTCTCGTGCTCCATAGCAAGGGTACAGCGAGGCAAGAGACTAAGAGAGCAACCAGATTTCGAGCGGGCACTGCCACTCGAGCATAAGATCGGATATCACCGACTCGGGCCGAGCTCAAATTCCGCAGGATCATCTCCGGCCGCAGACCCATTAGGCGCTGACTTGAACGTATACCCTCTCGAACTTGCCTCGGACGCTCACTCTAGGCGTCAGAGGACTCCGACAAGATGGCTGTCGACCTCAAACCGAAGCGCCACCATGGCTACTCAGTCGTTCTGTTCATCCTTGGCAGTCTGTTCCCACCTCTTGGTATGAATATCACTTCATCTGTCTGACTGGCTGCGCGACGCTTATTCCCTTGTACGCTACAGCGGTCGCTGCACGATTTGGAATCGGCAAAGACTTTTGGCTGAACCTTCTGTTGACCATATGCGGCTACATTCCAGGTGGGCCATTATATAATTTCATTGTCGTCTCCAGTCGTTCATATCAGATTCAGGGCACTTCCACAATTTCTACATTCAGGTTCGACTTTCTCTTCCTCTTTTTCTGTTTCAGCGCGCCCCAACAACCCTCCAGAATATCAGAAACAACAAGACCCACGCGCGCACGCCCAAGTGGGCGCAGCGGTACGGCCTTATCGACACGACGACGATCAAGCGCAAGGAGCGCAAGTCCCAATGGTCCAACCGGTACAATGACCGTCTTCCACGCTCGACCCTTGAAGGGGCGCCCTACGCTGAAGGCCAGGAATACGTCGAGCAGGGTTCCAGTGTGGATGTATCACTGGAAGGCGATGCTCGCGCGTCCCAACGACGCAATGGCGAATTGTGGAATACTGAAGAAGAGCAATACTACAATGCCGAGCCGGCGTCGAACTCTTCCGGAGGGCGATGGCGCTATCCTGCCAACTTCGACGACGCGGTCGAGCCCGGAGGCGGAGGTTCCAAGAAGAAGAAGAAGGGAGCCAAGAAAGATAGATGGGCGAGGACGGAAGATGCGTACTCGATATCGGAGTCACAGTCGAGGAAGAAGAGCAAGAAGAAGAAGAGTCGTTCGTCGATGTACTCGGCAGACTCGAGCATCGAGATGCCTGAAGCTGCAGAGGGTGGACACTACGGTCAACGTTCCCAATCTCAGGCCCCGGCCCAAACACCCATGAACGACGAAGACATCTTCCGCCACGAATTCTAGTCTGCGGTCCCTTCTTTCTCTACTATCTATCTTATTACCGTTTATAAGTCCTCTTAGTTCTATGGATTGCTGATAACTACGCGACTCCATTGGCACACCATTCCTTAGCACGTGAAAGCGCCACGGCGAGTCGTCGGCAATTTTGCGTCAATGCCAAGCGTACCTGGAGGCTGGAGGAGCATTGTGAAATCAAGCCTAGGGCTACTTCACGGGCAGCGGGGCAGCCTGAGAGGACATCGTGTGCACACTTTGACACTGTCGAGATCCAATTCAAGAGCCATCAATACAGCCGCCTGTCCCCTGTCCTTCTCTTCTGATCGCTTTCCACTCACTCAAGTTCCTGAATTCTTCCCCACTTTCCTTTTACTCTCTTACCATTTCCTTCCGCCTTCCTCATTTGTATCACGGCGCAACAATCCTTGGCTTCTCTCCTTTCTATCGCTGTCTCTGATACTACTATAATCCTCTCGCTACGGCTCGACACTCCCTATGACGGTTACGGTCACGGAAACGGCTCCAGCAGTCTCGCTGAAGACGGACAAGAAGAAGTCCAAGTTCAATTTGAAGTCCTCCAAATCTGCCACTTCTGTGGAGACGAGCGATACACCGGCTGCGTGGACACCACCCCCAGGATGGCTAGGCAACTTGACGCCCACCCAGGAGGATGCGCTGGCCAAGGTGCGCGCGGAAATGCATGCTGAGGGGGCGTTCGTCGAGTCGAGGCATGACGACGCGTCGTTGCTCAGGTGCGTGCGCGGTGGATACTGCTCAGACGACCGCAGCCCTGATGCTGTAATGCTTGATCTCAATATTGCTGCAGATTCCTCCGCGCACGCAAATTCGATGTCGTCAAGGCCAAGGAAATGCTTCTTGCTGCGGAGAAATGGAGGAAGGACTTCAGGGTCGACGAGCTCGTTAGGTGAGTGACGCCTGAATCGCATGAAACGCCGAACAGCAATTGACGGCACATCTCTCCCTCTGTGTGAAGAACCTTCGATTACCCTGAGCTGCAGCAGGTAGACAAGTACTATCCGCAATACTACCATCACGTCGACAAGGTGCGGCCGACATCGGATGATGCCATTGACCATAATGCTTACCCGCTTACCTGCAGCTGGGACGGCCCGTCTATTTCGAACAGATCGGGAACCTGAACATGAAGGCTCTCTATGCATGCACCACACAAGAGCGGCTCGTCCAGCGCCTGGTCGTCGAATACGAAAGCTTCCTCACGAAGCGGTTGAAAGCGTGCCACGAATACGTCGGCCACCCCGTCGAAACATCGTTCACCGTGCTCGATCTCGGCGGCGTCTCGCTCACCAACTTCATCAAGGTCAAGGACTACGTGGCCACTGCCACCTCGATCGGCCAGAACATGTATCCCGAGTGCATGGGCTCTTTCTACATCATCAACGCTCCGTGGGCGTTCACTGCGGTCTGGGCTGCGATCAAGCCGTGGCTGGATGAGGTGACGGTGCAGAAAGTGCACATTGTAGGCGGGCCCAGTGTGTATCGTCCGATCCTGCTCTCGCACATCGACAAACACCACCTGCCGAAGGAGTTTGGAGGCGAGTGCGAGTGCGAAGGCGGATGCTCTCTAAGCGACGTCGGTCCGTGGAACCCCACGGGAGGCAAATCCACCCTCCTGTCGGCCTGAAGCGCGGGGCCGTTTCGCTCTCTCTCTCCGCTCTTACTCCCTCACTCCAGCCTCAGTAGCCCATACTCAATCATTCAACTGATGGCGAACGGGTGGGAGTACATATTGATTATTACAACACGGATTATTACTAGCTCTAATTTTGAAAAAATAGAAAAAGAAAGTCCATTGTCCCTGAGGCGAATATAATACACAGAGCGAGAGTCGTGACGATCATGGCCGCGAAAGCTGTTCCTTACGGTAGAAGAAAAAGTAGCCCGACACAACAAGGATTTGGCACGTAAGTGCAATCCAGAACATGGGCTGTGCCATCGGACTGCCTGAAAGTGGGTCAGCTTCACTCTACGATACTCCACGAAGAATGTAAAGCGCACCTTGGAGACCCTGCGAAAAGTCCCACTTGGCAGCGTCAGGGAAGACGGTCGACGGCCCGAGCCGATTCGGGGCAGTGGCCCGAGCAATCATCACACACACAGAGCCTATCACCTGGGCGAAGGCAAGGGTAGCACAGACATGCAACCGGGAGAGCGTCTGGAGCAAGATCATTCCCAGTCCCACACCCTGCACCGCATCCAGCACTCCCAGCCAGAGCCACAGACAGATCCCGAGATACGGTCCTGCATGCCCAGCCCAGGGAATATAGAGTGCCAGCGAAGAAGTTCCCCAAAGCATCTGGCACCACCTCGGGGCACCGAGTCCCACGGCGAAGACAGGAAGCAGCCACGTGTGTGTCTTGCTGAAGTGGGTCAACACTACTAGCATGGCCGTCCAGACACCGACGAAGAAACCGACGACCAGGAGCGCGATCTGCCACTTGGGAATATTAACGCTCCACAGGAAAGTCCAGTTACGACCATAGGGCTACAATAGGTCAGGTGAAGTGAAATACACAGCAGTGGAAGAGTACATACCCCACTGAGCCAGTAATCACGCAGCACTTCTGATGCAAGGAACCACAGAACGAGCTTTCGGCGGAAAAGCGTCTGCAAAAAGTGCGGGACTTTGGGAGGCGTTTGGCGGTAATAATCTGCGCGGCTATTCAGAATGAAGAACAGCAAAACGATTAGAGACACTCACCAGGAAGACCATAGAGCATCAAATACGCGAAGACAAAGCAGAGGACAGCCAAGGGCCAAACGACGACGCAGATGTACCACGGGGGGACATAGTTGTCGGCGACGGAATTGAGGGTGTAGCCCCAGTACCACAAAGCAGCCACCCAGATCTGTTGCGAGCCCTGCACGATGCAAGCCCGCATCGTCCAGACTTCAGTGGCAGCACCGGCCTCCTCCCCGAAATTCAGACCGAAGAACGCAAATGCAGCAGCCGAGGCGATGGCATAGCACCACGTCGCGACATTAGACAGCACGCGGTGAGCAGGCGAAATCGCTGTAGCGATCGACGGAAGGCCGATCAGGAAAAACGCAAGGCCAAAGAAGATCCACGGGAACGACAAGATGTACACCGAAGGCTTCAGCCGGAACAGGGGATACCACACGAAAGATGCTGCCAGGAAAACACCACCGAGAACGTACAGCTGGAGATTGTCTTCCCAGTTCCGGCCCGTCAGCAGAGTGATCTGGAAGCTGGTCGCTCCGATCATTTGACCAAGGGCAATGATAATAGTGTACAGCGGCCAGCCACCAATCTCCCGCTGGAGGAAGATCTGCAAGCGAGTCATGGTAACCACATCTTGAGGGACTGAGTCCGGGTGCATAGGTCCATCGTAATCTGCCATGCCAAACGAGCCATGCATGCTGGGAGAATCAGGACGGGAATACAACGAAGGTGGCGCCGAGCCCCAGATGGAATCCCGACGCGATGATCTGATGCTAGCAGCACTCGACAGCTTGTCTTTGCGCACTTTGCCGAAGAAGGCCTCCTCGCTCTTCATCAAGAACTTTTCAATGGACAGCTCGTGCTCCGAATTCTTGGCATTCAGGGCTTGCAGTTTCTGGATGAATTCAGAGGCCACTCCTCCATCGGCATCAGTAAACTGTAAGAGATGGTGAGAAAGAATCAACAATCCAAGAAAAGGACCTACCGATGCAATCGCCTTATTCAAAGGCGAGTTGGACTTTTCGTCGACGATGGAAGAGATGGATTCCACAGAAGAAACCCGGGAGTGAGAGCCGAATGGCCGAGAAGGCGCCAGGTTCCCATCGATAAAAGGGTCAGGAGCATGTCGCTGTTCTTTCCCAATCACACGGTTGGCACGCTCCAAAAAGTTGTCGTAGTCGCCTTCTGGTGTGGCCGGACCGTCCTGGGACCCAACGGAGCTGTACGTTGACTCGCGATCATGGATCATCCGAGGTGTCTGCAGATCACCACCCGTAAGCGCAAGGGTTTCTTCGCTCCATTGTCCGGGAGCTCCCGCAGCATACCGCGGATCAACACTGCGCATACTCCGATTGTCCCAGTCAGGCTGCGCCGGGTATGTCTGAGCGACCGGGTCCCAGTCATCCGTGTGCGCGATCGCAGTCGTACCAGCACCTCCATCACAGTCCGACTCGCGCCAGGCATCGGCACCAGCCAGCCCTCGGCTGATGTTGATGCTTCGCTTGTGGAAGTCCTCCATCCGCTGCCGCCATTCCACAACGGGGAATCGTTGGACGGCAGATCGGGCACGGAGAATCGCACGCTCTTCCTCAGTCGATTTCAGCGCCATCTTGATCGTTTTCGACAGTTGCGAGAGCATATGCGCCGTCGAGCTCGATTCCACCGGGAACCACTTGAACCATTTGAGCAACGAGCAGACAAAAGAGAATAAAACAAAGACTACGCACCCAACCTGGCATCAGACCAAGTCCGCCCAGCCGACTTCCCACACCCAAAGCCCCCTTCCGTCCAAACTCAACGGCAACGAGACCAAATGGCTCATCACGTGATGGGATCAACGCAAAGTCGGCTCCACTGAACAAGTAGGGAGGCAGGGCTGTGAACTCGGGTTTGGAGAAGACACGATCAGGATACAGTTCCATCAGACGAGCAAGTTTCTCAGCCGCAAATCGCCCATACAGATCGATCACAGGGCCTACAGCGATGAGTTGAATCGACGGCCTCTTCTCCAGCCTGCGACACGATCAGCTTCTTGAAATCAGACAAGATGAGGACTCACAGGGAAGGCATGATATCAGCGATGAGATCGACCCCCTTCTGCTTGGACCACCGACCAACAAACACAAACAGATCGGAGGAAGGGTCTTGGGCGATGCCAGCCCATTCCTGGGCCTGTCGCTTGTGTTCAGGTCGCGCAGCCTCAGCCACCTGGTCGATTTGGACGTCCTTGCTCTCGGTCGGCGTCTCGTCCAGCGCAGCAATATCCGTTGGATCAGGATTGGGCAAAGAATCCACGTGTTTCAGGGTCCAAAGGGCAGGATACCGGGCCCAACTGCGCTTCCCGTACTTGTCGGAAACACCGGCGACTCCGATACTCTTTTGATGAGCACTGATGAACGACGCAGCGGCATGGAGCAGGTTGAACGTGTTACCGAACTGGACGTATTTCGTGCAGTGCTGCTTGCTGATGTTGAACGCAGAGCAGACCTCCTTCATCTCCTCCTTGGTCCGAAGCGGCCACAGACCTTGGAACTCGGCATTGTGCAGCGAAAGACACACGGGCAGCACTTTCGGAAGCAGGTAAATCGGGACCAGTGCTCCGTGGTAGTCGTTCACGTGGTATATGTCGATCGTAGGACTGCGCCGAACAACGGTCGCGATCGCCTGGTTCCATGTCGAGTAGAAGATCGCAGAGCTCAGGTCGTCCATGCGGGCAGGATACGGATCAGCCTTTGTCTGGGCGCGGAATACCGGGCTGTCCAGAATCACGTAGGTGATGTTGTCCAGCACGTGGGTCTCGACCTCGATCAAGTACGGTTCACCGAAGATGATCACCTCGATGGGCTCGGCGGGTTCTCCGGGGGGATACTCGAGGTCCTTGACCTTGGGCACAACCCACACAAGATCGACATCCGTCATGGCCTTTCCCATCAAACTGGACATCACACCGAGCCCACCGATCTTGACCTTGAGCTTCCAGTCGATGATCTCATACTCTAGCGTGGCGATGAGGACTTTGCGACGCTTGTGCTTGTCTCGGGCCACCCGATGATGTCGGCATTGTGCTTGTGTCCAAACAACTTCTCGGAAGTATGTCCGCCCTCTTTGAAATCCGCGCTCGACTTGTTTCCGAGACCGAGGATGGGGAAATAGTTCTTGTGCGACTTTGTCTTGACACCGTATTCGTTGTGCTTGATGCCGTAGAACGACCACATGAAGATGAGCACGGCGAGCGTGCCGGTGATGAGTGGAATGGCAAGCAAGAGCGTGTACATGATCACGCCAATCGACGACTGGCCACGAGGCTCCAGCCGCCAAGTCATGGTCGCGTCGTCCACAAGCAGCGCCCAAGCGAGATGCGGACTGGGTGGGGCGGACATGTTCAGGTAGTTGGGCGCGGCTGTATTAGGCGGCAGTCGGTCGAGCACTCCGTCCCCATCCGTGTCTCCGTAGTAATAGTCGTCGTAGCTCCACACGTTCAGCTGCACATACGTTGGCCAGGATGCCATGATCTCCAATTCCCACAGACCCTCCGCATTCTTGGTCATCAAGCTGGAAATACCCGAGTCCAAGCCCCACGAATTGAACGGACCACGCGCAAGCAGTTGAGGGAAGCGCCTTTGAGAGCCAGAGTACCCGTAGTCAGCATGGATCACTGCCGAGGTTGACAAGGCTTCCGAGCTCCAATCTACAACAGCGAAATATCCTCAGCGAAACGCATGCCAAACTGAAAAGGTCCACCCACATTGGACCATGATGTGATCTCCTTGCCAGAAGTTGGCTTTGTTCTGGAACACATCCGCCGAAATCACAGTCGTATCCTCCCAGTTTGTCCAATTGGTCCAGTTCTGGCCAAAGTTCCATGAATAACGGAACTGATCGGCTCCGAAGGCGTTATGAGTGAACGTGTACTGGCCATTGGAGAAACCAAACGACGAATTGGTGTCGTAGTCGTTCTCGGGGAAGATCATAACATTGTTGACCTGTCCTTTCCGTAGGAGCACCTTGTCAGTGGCCTGCATAAACAGTGAATGAGAAAAATACAAGTCCACATATGAACGACTCACCCCAGTGGACGCACTGGCGCCAGCAGCCGAAGGGTTTTTCATACTGATGGCAAGGATACCATCAGCAAAGTTGGAGACGGTAGCGGACCATCGGTACTGGGAAGTGTCGCCTCCAGAGATGCGGGCCGGATCTCCGTTGGTCACGGGAGCGCAAACACCCTTGGTCACCGAGACCTGCCCACCATGGCCCGAGGATGACAGATTGTACGACATGGAGTTAGACACGCTGTCGCAGTCCATCTGCGTGTTGAACTCAAACGCGATGTCAACCGTGCTGGCGTTGGCCTGTCCGGCGACGACGGAGATCCGGTGATCATGTCCTGGAGTGAATTTGGTCAGGGCCGGCAGTGGGGCGACCCAGTTCGCTTGAGGAACGAGCGCCTTGAAGCCAAAGCTTTCCACCGTCACACTCGGAAGACACCCGAAGTAGGGGGCCTTGCCATCGTTGTTGAACGAAGAACCCGATGCCGTCAGTGTGTATGTTTCATACGGAGCAAACAGATTCCGGACGACCGTGTCGCTTGTGTAGGGGCCTTCATCCATTGGTCCTGGTTGCAGTCGTGCTGGTACGTCGTAGTCGTGTTCTCATTCATGAAAAGCAACCAGACTGGGCCAGTGTACGATCCATTCAGTGCTGGCTGGCCCGGCACCGTGTTTCGCGAGACGGACCACAGTCCCATCTCGGTTGCCACCCCGTCGGAACCGGGCCGATCGATGTAGTACGTCCAGTTGCCGAGCTGGGTCACATCAAACCCATCTTGGATCACGGGGAAGGCGCTACGGAGAGCAAGGAAGTGGGAGAACAGGCGGCGAGTGTCGACCGTGGGATCAAAGTGATCCAGTGCATTCCATTCGTCATTGCATCCAAGCAGCGCTTTATCGATCGCAAAGTTGAAGTACTGTTGAGAACCCAGGCCATAACATCCGTGACGCTTCCATGCAATGTTGCCGATCATGGCTTGCCGGCTTTGATCACGTTATCAGACGCATGCGGCGGTCAAATGCGATTGAAACTCACCCGTAGAGATAGTTCGATGCCCCAGTGTCATACAGATACATGTTCTGTTCCTCGCCGTAGTAAGCTGATCAAGCAGTGAGTTTCGGCCACTGCCAGCAACTTATCTGAGACGCACCAGCGGCATTCCAGGCATGACCATGCTGGTGATGAATGTACCCAAAGCGCTCATTTGCGTTCCATTCTGCAGACTGGGCCAACGGAAAACATCAAAGTTGCTGGTCCCATACATGTGCCGGGGATCGAGTTGGCCAGATTGGGAGTTGAGCAAATCGTTCGAAACGAACATCTCGTGCCAGGCCGTAATGAAATTGGTGTCGACATCGTAAGCCGCCTGCAGATTCCCGTCCATCCCCATGAATCGAGTCATCGCGCGGTATGTCGAGTAATGGAAGGCCACGGCATCGAGAGCGCTGAGCCCTTTCTCCCGCAAGAAGTACTGCGAATTGTCGGCCGTGACGTTGGGGACGGCAGCGTAACCTGGGGGTAGCTGAGTGGGCGTTCGTCCGCGACCTCTGGAGATGAGAGCACGGAACAGTTAGTATACAGCTTCTTCCCTCAGGGATACACGAGAGACCGCACATGTACAACGAGCCGACCGTGTTTCCGCCAGTAACTTCTCCCGGTATGAAGAAGTTGGTCTTTCCCAAAGCGGCAGCACAAGCACGAGTGCTCGATGCCCAGCCGGCAAGCGCGTCGACAGTCACCTGGGTCGCCTTGTCCACTCGGATCGCGTCAAAATCAAGCGCCGTGATGGCCATACACGAGAAAACCTTCAAGCGAGCCAGAACCGAAGGTTTCCACTCTCGGAGCCGGTCCTGAACAGACGCGAACTTGGCCAGCTGCCGTTGCCAGTCGGGGTGCACACCAAACGCTTCCATGTCGCCATACTGATCGAAGTCCGACTCCAAACATCCGTTGGTCTCGATCACGATGCGGGTGCCGTCCTCGTTCCAAAAGTCAGGCATCACGCAACTCGTGTTGCGCTCGTTGATGATCTGAGGGAAGCCATCTGAGAGACAGCCCCATGATTCAGTCAAGGGAGATGTTCACACACCTGAAAGTCGCGGTACTGTGTGAAGTTCCATGGCATGTACGCCGGGTTTTTCCATACAGCGTTGTGCTCGTTCAAATCAAACGGCGTACTCGTGTTCAGGAAGCTGGGGAAGCTGAAGATCTGGGTCCCACGCGAGGAGATATGGCACGCACCCTTGGAAACCTATCAGATCCGCCATGGTACCGACTGTAAAGTCCAGCATAAGATACATCCCCCGAGCGTGGATCTCATCGATGGTTGCACGCCAGTCACTAATGGTCCCCCAGTGGGGGTCTAGGACGGAGAAGTCGAGCGGAGAATAACCTGCACGGGCGTGGCAGGATTACAATTGAGATCAGCGGAACAATTGGGGAAAGTGCGCACTGTCTGCCTGCCACAGCATGTTGAGGAACGGCGTGCCAGAGATGAAGATCACTCGAATTCCCATTCCATACAGATAGTCGAGCTTGGAAACGAGCCCCTTGAGGTCGCCGCCGTACCGGAGCTGGGTTTCGCGGTAATCATTCTCGTACATGGTGCCGAAATAGTCGTTATTAGTCGGGTCGCCATCTGCGAATTTGTCGAGGAGGAGAGTATAGACAGGGAGTGCACGCCAGTTGGGGGGAGACGGCGTGTACTTGTTACTAGAGCGAGACGTGGAATACTGTGTCGGGTCCGTCGCCTGCTTATTGGTGTTGATATTATAGTCTAGAAGGTCGTCGCGGTACGGGCTGGCCGCAACAGAGAGAAAGAGTAGTAAAGGGAGCGCGATGGCTTGAAGAAGCCGCATTGTGACGGGAAAACGAGAGAAGGAAGAACAAGACCGAGAGCAGGGGAACCAGGTCTTTTTGATTCTATGATTGACATTTTGCTTCCTTGCGGGGTTATTTGACCGTAACTGTAAGTTAGCGTAAGCACATGTTTCCAGGATCATCCAGGCGGTGTTCCATCTTCACTGCCCGCGCGTGAGGTCCTGATGAACAAGGTTGTGCATGCTGGAGCTTATTTTCACGCTCTCTCCCTGTCCTTCGCGAATGCGGGGGCGGAAGCTTTCCCGGTGATCACCACAGACCCCCATCGGATCAAATTCAATAACATAAGTACCGGGCCGCCAATATGACCTCTCCGGTGTTCCAAAACAGTCCACAAGTCACCATCCATCTTATCAGGCCTCGTATGCTTCATCAGCACCGCGCAAAGTTCATGTCCGCTCAAGATCTGACGGGTCGACAAGTCGCAGATGGGCGTTGACACATGGTCATCACTCTGCTCTAATCGCGGTGAAACAGACGATCTGGTATGCTGCAGTGGGCTGTCCCGATCGTTGGCTCGCTTTGCGGTCGTCGCCGGCCCATCTCAAACGCTCCGAGTTTCTCGCCGAGTGCCTCCAATGACGGCTGCCCCGATGTTGCTAAACGACAGCTCGAAGCCGTCTAGTACGCAATCTATCCTGCCCTGTGATCTGCGAGTCAAGGGGTTGCTTCGGAACCGTCCAAGACGTGGTGTTATCTTGTCTGTCAAAATGAACGCTGCGTTCTTGTTGGCGCCGGCGCGCGGGGCTGCGCTCGACGACTGGAAGATAAAACCGTACTCTCCGGCAGTTCTCGAGTCAGATCCTCAGGTGCAGCACCCAGCACCTCGTCGCACAGCACGGTCACGTGTTGTCTGAGTCCATTGGCAGCGGGCTGCGGCACTTGTTATTAAGCTCGAATGAGTGCCGCTGGTGGCCCTGCTTCCCCGGGAAGCAATCCTCCAGATTCGTTCCGTCCAGAATGGCTATCCCCTGGTGCGAACAAAGCCTGAAACAGCTCAAACGCGTGGCGCTCTCCTCGGCATCTTTCAATGGTTCCACTACAAAAGGATATTCAGGCAACGGTATGCTTCGCTAGCGTAGTCCCTATGATCCCTATATCTCTGCGTGCTCCTAGGGAGCTTTGATGTCCCAACCTATATGTACGCTTTCCGTATCTCGTAGCGCATCAAAGAAACAGGGCAATCGGACGAGATATGTGAGAAGGGATCAGCGTGCTCGATCCGGAGACTAAAAGCAGCATGAAACGTTCTTGACAGACAAGAAACTCGATGATCAGCGTCGCTAGGTGTGGCTTATGTCAGCATTGTTCTGCTCAGCAGTGTTGCCCTCTACTAGTGAGTGCGCTATCCACCTCTGCATAGCCTGGTGCGCCCGAGCATCCGACAGTGATGTCAGTGGTGGCAGCAAATGCTATGGATCCGCCGCCTTCGCCGGGAACGCCCACTCACTTTGCGACTGCCCCTCGCTCCTTCGTATCTGCCCTTCGCGGGCAGAACACCGCCTTTCCTTCGACGCCGACGACCTCAATGAACGCGTACTTCGATCCCCCACCGAATACACCGTATTCCGACTTTATCCGTACTTGGACCGATGCCCACGTTGCACGGTGGTTGTCCGATATCAAATGCGCCAGTCATGCCGCTACTTTCCGCGCAAACGATATACGAGGCGACATTATTTTGGAGTTGGATCAGACCACACTGCAGGAATTGGGCGTCAACAGCATCGGGGATCGTCTGCGAATCATTAATGCTGTCAAGTCACTTCGTATGCGTGCTGCGGGCCGCCCGCCCGCAACGCCTATCATCGAATCCGTTCGCTCGAGTCCGCGTCTCGACATCTCTCCGGAGCCTTCGGTGCTGAAGCAGGAGCGGACAGAGACATCACCCACCACACGGCTTGGGAAAAATCGGCTGGAAAGCGGACGGCCGGCGCCATTGCAGCTCGGGCAAACCACGGCGCGCAGCGATCTCCCTCGTCTTGTTCGGGAACAACAGCCACCTGATTCTGCTCGGCTGGCATCGAGCAGCACCACCCCGGTGCGGCCGCTGCCGCAGCCTATCGGACCGAGCAAGTCGCGATCGAATCTACCCCCACTTCCACCGCCTCCAAATGGGACACCACCCCCGCCTCCCCCCGTGCGACAGCCTAACCGCCCTGGGACGCTGAACAATACCCCGGTCAGCTCCACAGGTCGGAAGACGCCGGATCCTGCGCCCGCATATAGTGCGTCCCAAGGCGCATTACTTACGCCGTCATCAGCAACACATTGGACAGGACTTCATCTTCCCGCGAATCCCCGGCCCGACAATGCTGGCGGCGGCCGGCCTGCACCCATTGGGCGGACTGCGTCGCCTCTGTCCAATAAACCGACGCGGGGGACCATCCCCTTTGGTTCCAAAAACGGCAATGCTGGAGCTTCCACGTCCAGCCCCAAACGCGGGCCTCCGTACTCCAGCAATTTACAGACACCGGCTTCCCTTCTCAACAATGGCCTGTCCCCTATCGAAGAAACGTTTTCGCAGCGGAATCCGGCTACGCCGTCCTCGTCGTCGTCGCTTTCTCTCGATGATCTTCGTCGAAAGTTGGTCCGGTTTTTGTATCCTGACGATGGCCGGCAACTCACAGTCGATGTCGGATCATGTGTCAATGGGATTGAGGTTCTGGAACGGGTCCTCAAGAAATTCAGCAAGTCGCGACCCGCCGGAGAGCCCGTTGATGTACGGCAAACTCCTGGCGGGGGACTGAGTGTGGATGGCTGGGGTATCTTCTTGGACAAGAAGACTGGGGTACCTCTGAGTGAGGCGGAAGTACTGTCAGTGTGCCATGCTCCACCGAATCATCCTGTGCGGGAGCACGGTCTCACCCTCCAGCGCACTGGACTCTACCCCGAATCGACATCTGACGGCAAGTCTCTTGGCTTGACAAGCAAAGCTACGAAACGGGCAAGCTCCATCAGCGTGCTCAGCGGTCTCGGGGTCCATGATCCCGAGCGAGCGCTGGATCCACCATCTCCCACCAGCGGGCGCGAGAGCCCGCAACTCGCTCCCCCGCAAACGCCTCCAGGCAAGAAGCGACCCGGCAAACTGCACAACTTCTTCGGCCAACGGCCTCCCAGCGAGCTCATTACCGATCACCTGACCCAGTACTTCCCGATGACCGACAAGAAAGTGCTGGCGCGTACAGCGAGACAGAGCATGATCTTCCGCGCTTCTTCGCGGCCCAAGCGCGAAAGCGGTGCCTCGTGGAACCCACCCCCGGTCCCTAACCGCATGTCATTCTCGTCGCAGTCCCGGCCCAGCACCGAGTACGCAGCGGAGGATATCCCCCGGGTGTCTCTCTCCACGGACGACGGGCAGTCGATCGACTTGGCCGATGTGCCCAAGTTGACTGCGCATCCCCAGCTCTTGCCACCGATTCCTTTCCCGTCCGAAACTCCCGCCGATTCCATCGAGGCCTTCGCAGAGGACGACAACAAACGGCCCAAACGAACGTTATCCGTCGCGTCTTCCGCGTCTGGCTCCAGGCGCCTCAGCTTCATGACCGAGATGCGCAGCAAACGTGACCGGTCGGACACTGCCAGCCTGCTCACCGTCGACGAGATCACCGCCGATTTAGCAACGGAAGAACGTGCAGACGACGAATGGACGAAAGTGGACCCAGAGACTGCCGAGGGGACACTGATCGACGCAGCCCCCGAGACATTGGTTGCAGAGGAGCTCGTGAAGGATGAGGGTGAAGCTCCAGAGGTGGATGTGGATGAAGACGAAGTTGAGACGTGCGAGATGGACGATGAGGAGGTGGACGACGATGAGGAAGATGACGATGAGGAAATGGACGAAGATGATGACAAGCCTCAAGGTGAGTGCATCGCCAATTACAGCCGTCGGATTCTCATGTGCGCAGCCAACAAGTGGATCAAGGGTGCACTCATCGGTGCTGGATCATTTGGGAAAGTCTATCTTGGCATGGACGCTTCTACCGGCCTCTTGATGGCTGTGAAACAAGTCGAGCTGCCGACGGGTACTGCGCCGAATCAAGAACGCAAAAAGTCGATGCTCAGCGCTCTGGAACGCGAAATCGAGCTTCTGAAAGATCTGCAGCATGAAAACATCGTGCAGTATCTATGTGCGCGTCTCATTCTGCCCATCCACTCCGCAACTGACATCCCACAGACTCGTCTCTCGACGATGATTTCCTGAACATCTTTCTGGAGTATGTCCCTGGTGGCTCAGTGGCCGCCCTGCTGCGCAACTACGGAGCTTTCGAGGAGCCGTTGGTCAAGAACTTTGTGCGGCAGATCCTCCAAGGCCTCAACTACCTGCATGAGCGGGACATCATCCACCGGGACATCAAGGGAGCGAACATCCTCGTCGACAACAAAGGCGGGATCAAGATCTCCGACTTTGGATCTCCAAGAAGGTCGAAGACAGTGCGTGTCGTGGTAGTTGCTCTAGTAGATTCCAGCGTTGATGGCATGGCAGATCTGCTCACGGGCAACCGCATGCACCGGCCCTCGCTGCAGGGTTCCGTGTTCTGGATGGCACCTGAAGTGGTCAAGCAAAGCGCGCACACCCAGAAAGCGGATATCTGGAGTGTGGGCTGCCTGCTTGTGGAGATGTTGACGGGAGAACACCCGTGGGCGACGCTGACCCAGATGCAAGCCATTTTCAAGGTACGTAGGATGCTGTATATCCCCTCCTCCTGTTCTCTGGTCTGACACGTACCAGATTGGCTCCTCTGCTAAGCCGACTGTCCCGTCGGACATCTCGAGTGATGCTCAAGATTTCTTGATGCGCACGTTCGAGCTCAATCACGAGGCACGTCCATCCGCGATGGAGTTGCTTCAACACCCGTGGATCGGGAAGAAGCCGTCAGGAAAGAAGGGAGCGCAGACGCTTGCGATGGTCGAGGCCGCGGCCTGACACATGCTGTTTATTTTTGCTATCATATAATGAAGTATTTGGATTTGGACCCCCATCTGTACCATACGCAGGTCTCTCTCTCTCTACGAAGAAGACAGAATTAAACTGTAGAATAGTGGTTCATTCGTCTGCACCTCGTTTGCGTTTCCCAGATGACGACGACGAGCTCTCTTTTGCGGAAGACGCCTTAGCTTTGGGTCCCCAATTTGGCGGATTCTCTGGGTACCGCACAAACTTCAGGCGGGAGATATATTTGTGGGCGTCTGGGTGGGTCGCGAAATTGGCCTCCGATCTGTCGACCCGCAGTCGGTTAGCTTGACTCTTCAACACAAGAAACATCACGCACTGGATTTCCCGGTTAAGCAGCCTCAGTGCGGGCGAACCCGGCGCAAACCTGTCGCTGCGGACGGGATGTGTGTTGATCCAACTGCGGTATATATCAAACAGCTCTCCGCGAGTGGCGCTGGTCTTGATGGAGCCAGCGCTGGCGTGGGACCGCGCGACTTGGTGACCGCCATGCAGCAACGCAGAGCTGTAAGGAGTTGAGGTCCCTGGATCTCATATGAGGGATAAGCACGCACATCACATCGCTCAGAGACGGCGTCTCGCAATGGAAGAATTTCGAGACCTTGGGAGGAGTGAAGTAAAACGGTTTGTCGGGTAGTTCCTGACAGGTCGAATTGAGCATCAAGTGAGATTTAGGTCATGTACATACATACCTCTTTAGCGAGACTGAGCATCCCCTGCATTCTGGACGCCGTGCCATACAGACTCTGATTGGCCTCGACGTGCTCCAGAACCTTGCCAACGAATTCCGTGTCGTGTATTGGAGCAGACCACATCGGCCCAGCAACGTGCAAAGCCCCATCGCATTCGGGACATTTGTCCGTCACCGCAGGCGCCGCCTGTAATTTGAACACAAGATTGATGTTGCCGTTGGCGCCAGTTTTTCGATGACCTTGCCGAGTGGTGTGCCATAAAACGACTGGCAGTCGGCGCAGACCAGATAGGTCGACGTCTTCCTATAAAGTGTCAGACGCAGCTGCTAGGTAAGTAGCGCAGCCTTACTCACGTGATTGCTTTCTTCACCTCAATTGGCGATGTGCGGATTCGGATGAACAGCCGCACATAAAAGTCGATAGACAGAGAGGCCAAAGGCTCGATCACTCTTCCATATCGGGCAGCCGATGTGGATACAGAATGCAGGACCAGACGGAGTGCCGCCTCGTGGCAATACTCGGTTTTCACAGGAACTCCTCCGTAATTGGAATAGCTGGGATTGCATCAGTCGCACTCGAAGGATGCACCCGCCTCGCGCTTACCACTTTTCGGGAAAGTTGGTCGTGGCCAGCACCGATAGATCTGTACATGTCACACATAGAAGACCTGCCGATACATGAAGCCTTCAAACACGAACAGTGCCAAACCCACACACACCGTCGTCTCGGATGCACTGCACCGCAGCGTCGATAAACGGCGCCGCCGTTCCGTACGGGTCGAGATCCACGACGTCTACGCGCTGGCTTGTCTCGCGGTGGTTGTACATCAACGCACTAAGGACATATGAGAAAGTGTGGACGAACTGGCTCATTTGCATACCACGCATCACCCTCGTTGACGCGGATTTCGACAGGCCGAGGCACGACATCCGGCTTGGGCGTTAGTCCATTGATCTCAATGTTTCGTCGCATAGCTGCTGTGGCGGCAGGAGAAAGATCGTTGGCTAATATATGACTGCACATGTCAGCAACATACACAGCGGCAACGCGCGCGAAGACGGCAAGCTCACCTGACATGGGGAATCTCCTTAGCATAGCGAATGGATCGGAGACCCGTCGCCGATAGTGCTTCGAGTATCGTGATCCTTTTCGGGCTGAATTCAGGCTAGCGCGAGTCAGACTCGTAGTAACTTATCCAACGCCAGAGACGAACGGGAGTCGAGAGAGCGACAGATGGTGTTTCTGTTTCGGTCTCTGCAACAGCGGAAGCAGGCGCTGCGACGGCTCCCTCTTCAACTACGCGTTCCTCAATCACCCAGAACTGCTCGGAAGACTTGTTTCCTCACGTTTCGGGCGTTTATTCTGCTTCGAATGGCTTTTCGTCTGCCTCCTTTCTTGAGCCAACAACCATTTCTCTTTTTTCACCCTATGCAGCTCCTCACTCCAGACCCTGATGAAAGCCACGCTCAGGTCGCGATTGAACTCTTGCACCGGATTCAGAAATGCTTCGTTGGCTTCGAGCAGGATGTGTGACGTGTTTTCGGTGTGCAGGCGGAAACCATCGGGGACGACGATGTCTTCCGAGGCCATAGCGACGGAGCGGCGCGAGGAGATCTGAGTGGATGAGCGCAGAGCGCGGAAGCTCCGCAAAGCCGTGCGCCGAAAATAGTAAAAAATAAGGGATTTCGATCAGATGATGGTTGGAGGATCCTCAGGCTGATCATGGATCTTAGCTCTTATCGATTATCGACCCCACTTGCTCACTGCCACCATGTCGCCGCCGAACTCTGCCCGGACGTGCTCGAGCCTTCGAATGTGGCTCGCCTATGTCGTACACGCTATTGCTCCTTCCTCTGCATCCAGCCCACCTGCACTCCCACTTTCTACGCTTGATCTAGGAACACCTCAAACCTCTACCCCAGTCGCCCTGGCTCTGACGGTGGAATATGTGTCTCTTCATTTCATTGCTTTTCTTAGCCCGTTATATAGACATGGAAATACAGGGACTCTTCCCCTCCCATTGGCAGCAAGATGCTGAATCGGGAGCTCTGGAAGGGTCTCCTGTCTTGGACAGTGCTCAGGAACCCCGACCACAGAGTCCACGGCGCTTTTTACAGTATCGCCCAGACAAACGATCCCGCTTTCAATGCACTGCAATCCCCCGCTGAACCAACGAGCGCCTTCTCCATGCTCTACTGACCTGCAGTCAGACGCAGAAGAAGACTCCTCAAGCCGTTGCTCGATCGGAGAACTCGGCAAACGGCGTGGATTCAAGGGTTCTCCCTTGTTCACACCGGAGTTGACCAAAAATCCCAGTGCGTCTCTTCTCGCCTTCTCTGCCCCATTCAGCCCGAAGATCTCGTCTCCGGGGGACGGCCCTCGACACCCTGCTCTACGCGCACGCCACTAGCTTCTATCACCAACCTCATCCGCACACCCACAACCAAACACGCCAAATCTCCGCTGTCTCCCTTACCTTCTGCAGCCAGCCCAGCCGAATCTCGCCTTTCGGAGGAGCTTGAGGAGTGCTACAAGACACTCGATCCGTTCTCCATGAGCTCAGAGTCATTCTTCTCGCCAGATACAGTCCACGCTCAGGTATCCATGGGTGACATCGGCAACGTCCGCGTCTACGAGCACACTCCCAAGATCGTGCAGTCGCCAAGTTATCGCTCCTTCCTCAAGTCTGTCCGGGCTGTGTCAAGCAAAGAACCGCGCATCAAGGAGACCCATGTGTACGATCTGATGGTTTACAACTATCAGTCCGTCGCTCTCGTCAAGAAAAGGCGAACACCGAAGACTGGTATTCAAGTGACCTTGTGAACAAGTCCTCGAAGCATCAAATCCTGCCGATATACTCTCCACATAGCTCTCGGATCTGGACCGCCACTGTCCCCAGTGATTGCTAGCAATTAGATAGATAGTTTCCGACGAACACCAACAAAGGCGATATACAAAAATCTGCATTATAAGTACATACAATCGAGCGCTTACTCGAGGGTCTCGCCTGAGCGGACCTACAACAGTGATGAACGGAAGAATGAACGTGGGCTGGGCAACGACGCACCTCCTTGCCAGTCTTCTTGATCCTGGCCAAGATATCCTCGTACGAGGAGGTCGAAGAGACGAGCACCTCCTGCTTCTCGAGATTGACGTTGTACTCGCTGACGCCTGGAGGTTGCCTGATCGCACGACGCCCAAAAGGATGGGTGGAAGGGATTGCACGTACTGCCCTCGCCCTTGGCCTTCTCCAGTACACGGGTCACGGCGCCAGAGCATCCGCCGCAGGTCATCTACGCAGCCGTCGAGTCTCAGTCTAGAGTGACGCATTCCGGGGAGGATCCCCAGTTACCTTGACGTCAAACTTGTACTTGTGTTCAGACTGCGGGGAGATGAGATGATGGCGCTGATCGGGGAGGAGTTAGGGACGGACCATTGGGTCGATTGTTCTACAGACGACGGTGAGGATTGAGAAGTAGTGATATGTGGTAGCAGGAAGAGAGAAGACACGGTTGCTTATAAGCAAGTTCGCGGCGGATGGCCGATCGATCTGTCAGCGTGTCGCAATCGGTGCGGCGTAATGCGAAACTGTCACGATCTCGTGACCTCAGAGGTAGCCAGGTTGGGAGATTACCGGCGCGTGTACTCAAGGTGAACACCCGGCGTCCGCAGCCCATACAACCGTCAGACTTCGCGGCAGTGGTGATACAATTCTCAGAAGCAACTCGAGAGAAGTCTATCTTCTTATATCACTCTGTGACATTTCCATCGGATCCTCGCCGTCCGTGGCAACCGCCTCCCATCCATCTCCCATCGGCGGACGACTGCGGAACCGGTCGATCACCGGCGCAAACCAAGCTGGACGGCATCCAGTAAGCATTTGATGGCGGGAGGGAAAGATGAACGCACCGAAAACAGCTGGAAGATCTCTTTCTGATCTATGTGTCACATAATACACCGGAACTCCGGCCAGCACAAAGCCTGCGGAGAATAAATGAGGCACAGACCGAGCGTGTGAGAGGGACTTACCGAGGACGGCGACGGCAGGCAACGGCGCTGCGATGATAGGCATGCATAGCAAGAACAACGCGACACCACAGAATGTCAGCGGTGTGATGATCCAAGTCTTATATGGTCGCTCAAGCATTGGCTCTTTGATTCGCAAAATCACGAGACCCAGAACCTGCACCAAGCATTCAGCACCCTGCACAAACGAAAAGCGACAGATTCCCACTGTCAAAAAGTAGAATGCCCAAGACGCTACCACAGAGAAATTGATCATCGATCGAAACCCTCCCCCGATGAGAATGAATGTCGTCGTGATTCCAGCTTGCAATAAGCTGGCGTTGATTGGCGTCTTTCGTGTTCTATGTAACTTTCCAAACATGGCAGGCAGATATCCCTCTCGTCCTGCAGCATAAACTAATCGTGAAGACGTGTAAAATGAACCTGCTCAGAGCGGAAGGTGAGACAGGGTGCTGGAGAGCGAGATAAACAGACCATTCAGTGCACCAAAACACGAAATTGCAACCATGAATGCAAAAACTGTGCCTCCCACACTGCCAAAAAGTGCCCTTCCGAAATCCATTGCCACGGTGTTACTCAGACGAATCGTGTTCTTGAGAGCAGTCACGTGTCAGAACAACAGAAAGAGACATTGGGCCCACCTTGTCAAGCACGACGAAGTAAGAGATATTCGCAAGTAAGAACAGCAGCGTCACTATCGACATGCTGGAATGGATCGCGCGAGGAATGTTCTTCTCTGGGTGCTGGATGTCGCCACCCACATAGTTCGCCTGGTCCCATCCATCGAACGACCACAGCCCAGAGTAGAGTGCAAGCGAGTACGCCGAGGGGCTCTTGCTTGAGTCCGCGAAAAGCGGTTGTGTCAGAGACGTCGATTGCTTGCCGCGCGCCAGCTGTATTATCCCGAGAATAGTTATGGATATCTGTGCGTTGGCGATCAGCGAAACACTAGAGAGTCTCTCCGGACGTAACACTAACGAGCGCAGCGACCTTGATGGTCGTGAACACAACTGAAATGCGTGTGCCAAGCTTGCGCGCAGCGACACAAAAGAGCGTGACCAAAGCCACCGCTGCAATTGCCGTGAGCTTGATAGCCCACGGCGGAATGTCGTCGGGCGAGACCTCCTGCCGCCCCGTGTGCCAAAATATTCGGTTCAGGTATTCCGCGAATATCAGGCTGATGACGGCATTTCCGCCGGGTTTCAAGGCGATGATGGCAGTCCACGCGAAGAGGAAGGAGACAAGAGGGCCGTAAGCGTATGCCAGATAGGCTGTGCGCGGGTGTGTGATGAGCAGGGTTTGCGGCCCAGAGATACGTACGACGTACCTTGTGCACCACCGTTCTGGGGGATGGCAGAGCCTAATTCCGCAAAGCTGCTAGCCCCAGTCCACCCCAACAACCCACTGACCAGCCAGACCACCAGACTCGCTCCGACGCTGTTTGTGTTCGCCACGACCACTCCCGGAGACGAGCTGACAGTGCATACATAACCATGAACTGACCAGCGGACGCCCACAAGTGAGAGAGAACGTACAAGATGCCGGAACCAATCTTATGAAGATGATGAGATCGCGTCATTCAGAGCGAGAAGCACGGCGGGACGTACTTGGAGGCCAACGATCAAACCAATGCCTGGTAGTAAATCATTTGTACACAGTCCGCGTGGTATAGGACGATGTTTCGAATACCATTCACCAGTCCAATGCTTTTCTCCCCTGCGTTTTCACCCTGTACCATATCGGGGTCCGCGACACTGGCGCTCAGCGGCAACAGGTCGAACTCGAAGCCCGAAACGGAATACGAGCGCCCTCGGCCCGGCCGCTGAACATGGCTTGGGCCATCAGAAACTTCAAGCGCGCGTAGCGAGTCGGATTCGGAGTCCTGTGAGTTTCGCGTCGACGGTGGTGAGGGGTAGCTTCGAGGTGACCTGAGCGCCGAATAAGTGCTCATAGCAGAAAGGTCCGAGCCGGCGGCAACTTGAAGGTTGGAACAAGAAAGCGTGAGTGTATCGCACAGCCACTGATGGTGAGGATGATCCACAGATTTATATTTGTATTATGTATGCTACGGGCAAGAGGGAGTTGAGAGCAGAAAGTATGTGCAGGATGAACAGAGACCAAAGGATGTGAGTATGCTAGATAACTGTGATTGCGATGAGCCATTATACCGAAGTGCAGATAGTGTGTAGTGATGGTATACGAGAGACAGCATTGATATTCCAAACAGATTGAGAGCAATTAGACGGACGTGGATTGAATTATCGGGCAGTGTCAGATGGCGATATCTTTTCCAACTCCCGCTCGACTGCGCAGCGATTAGCACAAGTCCCCAAAACAGGCAACAAGACACGCACTGGAGATGAGGTGTTTGCTGAAAGCAGCAGAAGATCTGCGCATGCCAGCCAGCTGAGGGCGGACCAAGTTGACCAAGGCCTCCTTCTGGTCGCCTTCGGCAACAGCCAAGGCCCGCTGGAGAACATAGTCTACGTTCAACGATCAGCAAGTGCACATCTCAAGGCAGCCCTTCACGCACTTCCGTACTGGTCCTTCATGAGAGAGAGCACCGGCGTCAGGCCGTCTGGTTTCGCGGGAGGTGCCATAATCTCGTTGATGAGGGCCCGTCGTGATTCCGGTTCGGCAAAGGTCAGCGCCTTCTCGCAAACATTCGAGGCGAATTTGTGGCGCGCCATAGTCAGCAGTCGTCCTCGGAGATGGCTGACAATGACAGCCTTGTCCTCTGCAAGTCCGCTCTCGAGGATCAATTGGATGACATAGTTCTGGAAAAGAGTCAGTGGGCTGGGACGACACAACGGTCAATCTAACCCCAAATTGATCTTGCATGAGCGTCGTCGTGTGGCTATGCAGTAGCTCGTCGAGTAACGGCCGAGTTTGACTTTCTGAGAGATATTGCAAACACCTCTGCAACACGCGACATCCGAAGGGATGGGCAGCCAGTTCGAACACGTGACCAGTGAAAGTTGAGACAAAAGCAAGGCGATCGGACGGCAAGCGCTCAACGATCTTCTGCACGACGTGATTTCCATTCGAATCCTTGACGACCTGGATGATCTGCGGCTCCAGCTCGCGCACAAGGCTGGCTTGTTGCTCAGGAAGAATGCATTCGACCGCCTAAGCGAAGGTGACTGTTGGCAAGAGGCCTGCGGAATGCGCAAACACGCACCTTCTGTACCACACGGCAGCCGTAGAGATTGATGGACAGTTCCACAAGGTGGCCTTCCATGGTGCTTGCTATTAGAGACTTTTGTGCCTGCGTCCCGTGATCGAACAGTTTTTGAATAACCTGTGAGACTGCAGTCAGCAAAAGAAAGAGGAGAGTGGAGGGCTGGGAAGACTTGCGTAATTACCAAATACATCTTGCATTAGCTGTAGGGTATTGTGGGGAACAATTTCGTCGAATACACTTTGTTTTTCTTCGCTGCTGGCGGCGGCCAGTTCGTTTTGGATGAATCGGGACCCGTGCTGATCGCCGCTGAATTCGACGACGTGCCCTTTGATATCCTGCACACGATCAGTCGTCGGATAATAAATCTTCCTAACGAGCAATTACCCGCAGACTCCATTTGCGACCCTTGCTCGCACGAAATTCGTCCAATAACGGGCTGCGGGGTAGTCCCATCTCGAGTTGAGGGTCGTGGCGCCTGTTCATACGCATTCCAAACATCGGCTGCATGCTTGCTGCCGATAAAATCTGAGAATTGTAATCGACGTATGGCCGCGACGGAGAAAACATCATGTTGCGAGCGGCCAACTGCTGTTGCAAATGTTGCTGCCCAGACGCGTCAGATTGTGCGAGCAGAAACAGACAGTATCCCACCTGCATCTCCATCTTCTTCTCCGTCAAGGAGGCCGCTGATGAAGGCTGGGAAGATAGCATCGGCGAGTGCGGCGGAAACATCATCGCCTGTGCCGGAAAGAAATACTGCGACTGTGACCTGCTCGCAGCATTGTAGTCGAAGTAGACACCCTGCGCATCGACACCAGACGAATGTCCATTTGCCGGGTAGACCGGGGACAAGGGAACCGTGGGATATAGCCCAGGCTCTGTCCCGTTGTAGACGGCGTTGTTGTATCCGCCGTAGTTCGCGTAGTCCACAAACGAGTCGCGATAGAAAGTATTGTTCTGCGCAGGGTATCCGTTGTACATCTGCCGGGGCTCCGAGGCCGAAGGAATGGGCACGGACATGGTGGCGACTGGGTATCGACCAGCAACCGATGCGAATTCATCTTCCATGTTCATAACCCGCATGCTGTTCGCGAGATCGCTTTCCGGAGATTGGGGTGCAACCGCGTCATATCCGAGAGCCGGCACAGGGAATGAGGGTTGTGTGTTTGAATACCCGCCTGCGCGACACTCAGAAAACATCCATGGAGTGGAAACAATCTCTACCAATCAGCGACGCGTTCTTAGAGCCGGAGGCCCTGTCATCCTATTTCTGGGTCAGGGTACGACAATAAAACGGCAGCAAAACACGTACAACGCGAGCACCCGAGAATGGAGACTGCCTGGGATGGCGCTGGGCACGCCGTCAAGGCCCGTTTCATTAGCTGGGAAAAAGGGCACACACCAAGGACGTAACATCTTTCCTCAATGCAGAATCATCCCATGCACCACTGGCTGAGCGAGGAGCAGTCCACGCTTCGCCGACGTTGGTACGAAAGTTGGGATCACTGCTGATGGACGACATGGATGCGTTGCGTTTGGATGAAGGCGTTGCCCCCCATACCTAGCCGCCCCGCAAGTCAGCACTGGAACAGCGAACATAACAGACAAACACACCTGCCATCCCGTGTTTAGCGCCTTTAAACCGTTGCCTGCGTTTCCGCCGTTCATTCCATAAAAGTTCGATGTAGGGCCCGAAGGCTGCTTCCGGGAGGATGTCTTCGAAAATAAGGTTCAATTGCACGCGTCAGAGCATGAAAGACAAACATTGTTAGCGCCGCCGGTGGAAGGGGATCGCGAATGAGAGTGGGCTGTGGACGCCGAGGGCTTCCGGGAGGTTTCGACGGACATGAGTAATGCAGAAACACGCTTTGGGGAAGGAACAAGTGAGTCGAGAGTTCGTTTAGAAGCAAAGGAAATGGAACGGACCGAGCCAGTGATATTAGGGATAAGTTAGCGCTGAACAAAGAAGAAAAGTCAGCCGAGAACATTTAACGCGTGCACCCGCGACACAGAAAGGGTCGGGAAACGGCTATATAGCTCCGGGACCGCCCAGGAACTGCGAAGCAACGAGGAAATGGGATGTGCGCGAGGAAGACGCGTCATGAGGAACATACGTACAGCGGGACGGGCGACTGTAGACTTGTGGAATGAGAACGAAACGAATGTGGATGGCCGGGTTGAGGAACTTGTGGGTGCCCTATGCCCGGCAGGTCAGCGAGGAGAGAAGAACGAGAAAATTGGAGGCAAGCGGAGAGCGGCCTCGGAGGCAATTGCCAGTGGGGATAGTGCCGCGTTTCATGCGGGATCAAAAATGACAGGTTTATGGCAAACAACAAGCGACGGGGTCAAGAAAACGTGGCAAACGTAAGCACCCTCCATTCCAACGCAAACTTCCTTTCAGCATGGTACGACTCTTGGAACGGTTCTTTTCCCAGGAATGTCAGGAGAGTTGCATTAGAAAAGGATATATGCGGGTAGTATACAGGGAGGCTATGCGACTTGAGAAAGAAGATGAAGACCGTGATGCAGCAACGCGTCTGGTGACATTCAGCGTGAATTGAAGAACCAGGAGGCTCGCTTGGCTGTGGGGGCTGTGAGCAAAATGAAGACCGGATGATAAAGATAAGCCTACCTCCACTGTTTGCCGTAATCGGTCAGGGTTAGCGTGATCTGGAAAATATTACAGCGGTGTGTCACATACCTTCCCTCCTCGTTTTGCACTCGAGCCAGCGGGTTAGCGGATCCAGCGCCACCCGTAATTGGCGTCGGAACCGAGCTTGGAGCACCGGCACCTCCGCCTCCCCGAAGTGGTTTGGCGATGCGGCCAAAGCTGAGCGGCGAGCTAGACGCGTTCTTTTGTGCTACAGGTCGCGTGTTAGTCCAGCAGGAAACCTGATGCGAATCGCCATCTCACCTCGGGCTTGGTCCAGGCGTTCCTTGACAGCTTGCAATTGTGCTTCGAATTTCTGGTTCTGCACCGACAGTCGTCGATCGGCATCCTGCAGAAGAGCCTCCAAGTTCTGAATTCGCTCGTTGCGAGCCAAAAGTTTGCGCTCAGCAATTCCCGCTTCTTTCTTAAGGGTCGAGTTCTGGTCGACAAGCTACAGACTTCGCGTGAGATCCTCGGACAGCCATATAGATGCTCCATCACCTGTTTTTGCACCAGCGTCAGTTGTTCCAGATTCCTTTCTAGGAAAGCCATCTTCTTCTGCTGAGCCTTGCTGTTAGAGTTTCGGATCACATTGTTGTACTGTTCCTTGATCTCGTCCAGTTGGATCTCTAGCTCAACCACCTGAAATTGGCTCGTGATATTTGCAGAGACGGTGGCGCGAATCGATCATACCTTTTCACACCGGTTCTGCAAGTCACGCATCAGAGACTTCTTCACTCCATCAAACTCGGCCAGTTGGACGTTGATTGCTTTTCTGGTCCGCTCCAGATCTTGAGCGCTTTCAGCCAGGTTCTTGCCGCCCTCGATTCCGGCAGAGGTGACAGCGAACGCGCGCTAGAAAGATAGTTAAGCTTTCCCGCCGGCAACTTGCGAACAGCTCCGTCCCGACCTTAAGTTCCTCGTTGACACTCTTGAGACTGTCCGTCGTTGCATTCAAGCTGCGCAGCTCGTTGTTGCGCAGCTCGAGCTGTTGCTTGAGATCCGTGACCTCGCTGATGTGCGCTTCCCGTCGTGCAACGTATTGCGCCTCGAGCTTATTCTGAAAAGCATCTGGTCAGAACTGTGGCGCGAGACGAAACGTCCATGGACAGTACCTTGAAGTCCGTCATCGACTCGGCCAGATCCGCATTGCTGGTCTCCTCCTCGTGAATGGTCTTCTCTGCAGTCTGCGTAAGAACGACGTCTTCCGCGGCGGAAGGATTGTGCCACAAACCTAGAAGCTCCTCGTACTCGGTCTCCAATGCAGCCAGACGACTTTCCAATTCATCCCTCCGTCGAGTAACCATCTCATTCTCTTCTTGGCTCTGTCGCAGTCGGTCCACTGTCTCCCGGATCAAATTCTGGCCCTCGCTCAACTGCCTTCTAACGGCAGCCAGATCCTCAGCGGTCAGAGAGCCAGCTGAATCTATAGTATCTAGTTTAGTCAGTAGGGCCCGTAGTTGCTCATCCTTCTCTGAGAATGCGCCCTGCTGCAAATGGGAGTGATCAGGATCGAATCACAGCTTCTTATTTGCACTCAGCTTACCGTGTCGAACTTGGCCATCATCAACGCCATCTTCTCTTGTTTCTTTTTCTCCTTGTCCTCTGCGCTCGCATCCTTCTGCGCAGATTTGAGATCCAAGATCTGTTTCTTCAGCTCCTCCAGCTCGTTGCCGGCGTCTGTGTTCTGCTCCTTGAGGATGTCGATGGTAATGCTGCTCTCCTTGTTGTCATAGTTGAGCCTCTCGACCTGCAAACGCAGGTCATTGAGCTGGGTGGACATGGCCTTGTTCTCCTGCATATCTGATGAGCGTCGTGACCGCAATCTCTATACGAAACCGAACCTTGTTAACACCAGCCTCCTGCTCTTTCAGGAACGTCAACTCTTCACGCAGCTCCTTGACCAGTTTCTCGGCCGTGGCCAACGCTGTCTCCTTCTCGCCGAGCAGGTCACTGAGCTCATTCTCCCGACGCAAGAAGTCTTCTCTCTCATCTTTCTCCAAGGGCACCAGATTGACCGGCGTCTGAGGTCGACTGAGCTCAAGTTCTGATCGAAGACCCTCGACAAGCGGGTTGACGGGTGTGAGGCTGCGAGAAGCAGTGACTGGCGTCGACGCGCCAGGAGAGGCCGGTGAGGCCGGGGCCTTCTTCGGTGCAGCAGCGCCGCTAGACGATCCACCTGCTGAGGTCTTGACCCATTCGGATTCCTCCACGTGACCTCCGGACCTCCATATGGCAAGCTCGGCCTCGAGAGCAGCAATGTGCTTCTGATATGTCGTGTTTGCAGCTTGCGCTTTAGCCAGAAGACCCTTCAGTTCCAACGGAGATAGCTCCGCATTCACACGAGCGGAGTTCTTAATAGATTTGGCGCGAATACCGAAACGGAGAGTTGATATCGTTTCAATCTCGTTGTAAGCGGCGGGTGAACAATTGATGATGAGCGTGGTCCGAGAGTTTCCTCCCAGCGATTCTTGGAGGATACGAGTGAGTTTCGAGTCCCGGTATGGAATATATTTGACCTAGTGCCACATGAACAGGAATAAGAAAACGACGGAAACGCAGACTGACTTTCGGATCGGTCAAGGCATTGATCACCATCCCCAACGCAGAAAGACTCTTGTTGATCTTCTTCGCTTCCTCCAACGTCTGGCCCGAGGCTCCGGTCTTCCCCACTTTCTCGGATCCAGCAAGGTCGACGAGATACAGATTGCCCGTCTTCTGTGCCCCGGTTTCCGTGTTGCGCTGATTTATGCTGATCAAGAAAATGGAGTGGGAGCGGGACGATTCGGCATTCATGTCTGGAATCGCAGTCAGGGCACAATGCACACCTATCAGTCGCGAGCGGGACTCACTAGTTGTGGACACAATTCGCGCAGAACCGCCTGTTCTCATGATTTCATAGACCTCTCTTGCGCTGCTGACATAGTAGTCGGAAAGCCCTTTGACATAAACGCCTTTGGACTTCTCCTCGTGCACCTGGAGGTTGTCGTTCTGTGCTGTGGAAAGAGTCGGTTTGGTGGGCGACAACGAGATGCTGACATACGTGCAAGGAGATCACGAATCTTCTCGAGGTAGATTTCCATGTATGAGACCTTCACGAGATACTCCAGATGAGATTCACTCTCGACGATCGACTGGAAAATCTGCTCGGTGATTCGAGGAATAATACCCTTGAGCTCCTCTGACTCAATATCACCCTAGAACGGCGTGGTCGGTCAGAGAGGATGGTAGAGATAGAGCCCGACAGACGCACCATCATACTGAAGGTCTTTCCACTACCGGTCTGACCATAGGCGAACACAGTTCCATTGTATCCATCGAGAACATCTGGGAGGACATAAGAGAGGAAATTACCGTACGAAATAGCACAGACCTTTGACGATGCTGACAACGGAGATGAGATAGGACGACGCGTGGAACAATGAGGGATACGCACTCCTTGACACCATAGTCGAACACCTCGTGTTGTTGTGTAGCCATCGGAAAGACTCGGTCGAATGCGAAGCCGTCCCTCTCCGGACCAGAAGTGAGTGCCTGCGACCGCATCTGGACGGTGGAGAGGTCGTCGGAGAAGGTAGCGACGATCTCCCCGCCCTCGCGTAGCTCGAGGGAATTTGGAGGCCGGAAACTGGGGAACTTGGGTGTGAGCGGACGACATAAGAGGAGAGGGAGTAGCGCACCGGCATACGACCTTGATGTTGTTACTCATGGTCGCGGGCCAAGGTGATCAAAGGCTGGAGACTCTCTCAATGGGTTGTGTTCATGTGTTTATTTACGTCTCGTTATGGTACAAAATCTTGCTGCTAGGGTTACATGTATCTAGTCATCGTCGCTGTCATCCAATGGCCGTAATGCAGGACGCGAGGAGGACGCGACAGCGGGGCGGACGGGGGCAGTCACTCGTTCCGCCGAGTCCGCTGCATCGATCCACTCAGAATAGATGTCAATAGGCTCAGTGAGATCTGCCCAGCTCGGTGAGGGGAGACGCAGATGAAAAACATGCCACGAACGGTTGACTTTGCTCTGATAACGCTGGTCGCATATCCGGCACATGAGTTGGGCAATCCCCTCTTTTCTGTCCAAGCGCACAGTTACAGATTGATCGTGGTGGCAGAAAATGCAAGTAAATGTAGTGTCTGTGGTCATTGTTGAGAGGGCGAGCTAGAACAGACAAAGAATATAACCCAGTGGTGTCTTCGTGCGCTGAGGTCCTGGCCGTTTTGCAGCCTTCTTGCGTTTGCCCATCCTGCGTGCGGTGTGGGCGAGACTTGGACTGGTGTGTGCGCGTGCACGTGAGAATCACACAGACGGCCACGTGACAATTGGATTGTTGACCGTTGATCAAACTTGCTCCCCGCCAACATGGCCTCACGTCGCCCCCCCTCGCGTGCCAAGCCTACAGCGGCGCCACAACCTCCGCCGCGGTCCAAGTCAGTCCTTGGGAAATCGGCATCGACTGAAGCAGAGACAAACATTCAAGTCGTTGTCCGTTGTCGACGCCGCTCGGAACGCGAAATCATAGAAAACTCGCCCATCATCGTGTCTTCAAATGGGGCCAAGAGCAAGGAAATAACGATCGAAACTGCCCCGCCCTCCACAGGTTTGGGTGTGGTCACTCTCCCACCCGTTCGCACATATCCGTTCGACCTCGTCTTTGGACCAGAGGCGGATCAAGCCATGATCTACCATGAGGTGGTTGCACCGATGTTAGAAGAGGTCGTCACCGGTTACAACTGTACTCTCTTTGCGTATGGGCAAACAGGGACGGGAAAGACGTGCGCCCACTCATATCCACTGAGAGACAAGTTCTCACTTTTCCTCAGGCATACCATGCAGGGCGACCTGGTGCCCACACCACTTGGAAATCCGTCCGCCAATGCTGGGATGATACCCCGTGTACTTTTCCGTCTGTTTCACCAGCTCGAATCCTCTGGATCAGATTTCAGCGTCAAGATTTCTTACGTTGAGTTGTACAACGAGGAGCTGCGCGACCTTCTTGCCACCGAACTTTCTGCGCCATCCGGCAGCGTTCAGCCGATGGGTCACGGCAAGGATCAGAAGGGCTCTGAGGCTCTCAAGATATTCGACGACGCGTCGAAGAATGGGGTCCTCATACAAGGTCTGGAAGAAGTCGGAGTGAAAGACTCCGCAGACGCACTGGCGCTCTTAGTCAAAGGAAGCGAACGGCGGCAAATTGCGGCTACTCGCTTCAATGATCACTCATCCCGGTCGCATTCCGTGTTTTCGATCACAGTGCACACGAAGGAAACGGGTCTTGTTGGCGAGGACCTGTTGAGAACAGGCAAACTGAACTTGGTCGATTTGGCCGGGTCAGAGAATATTGGCCGGTCGGGCGCAGAAAATAAACGGGCTCGGGAAGCTGGGATGATCAACCAAAGCCTGTTGACTCTCGGGCGGGTTATCAACGCTCTAGTGGACAGATCTTCTCATGTCCCTTACCGGTCAGTGCGTTTTGCTAGGACGAACATCTGCCTTATCTTGTTTCAGAGAATCTAAACTCACCCGACTGCTTCAAGACTCCCTCGGTGGCCGAACCAAGACGTGCATCGTTGCGACTGTTTCCCCTTCCCGTTCAAATATGGAAGAAACGCTGTCTACGCTGGATTATGCTCTGCGGGCCAAATCAATTCGCAATAAACCAGAGCTAAATCAGCGAATGACCCGTAATTCCCTGCTGAAGGAATACGTTGCAGAGATCGAGCGTCTGAAGGCAGACGTATTGGCTGCTCGAGAGAAGAATGGCATCATCCTCAGCGAAGAGTCGTGGGCGCAGTTGACTGCAGAACAAGAGATGCGGCAGACGGAGCTGGATGAGGTCAAGAAGCAGGTGGAAATCGTCGAGGGCCAGATGCGGGCGGTTCGGGAAGAATTCGAGCAGAGCATTGGCTTGCTGAAACTGCGCGAAGGCGAGCTGAAGGACACTCGGGAACGCTTGCAGGAAACTGAGACTGTGCTCGAGGAGAGAACGGGCGAACTTCAACGAACTCAGGTCGCATTGGAGGAGGAAACGGTCGTTCGGCAAGCGCACCAAGAGACTGAAGTTCGGCTCGATGGAATTGCCACAGGGTTGCGTACGGTTGTGCACGACAGCGTCAATGACGTTCAGGGTCTATTTGACAAACTGGGTAAGTGTTTTCTTTGTAGTTCTCAACTAGTCATTGACTGCCTTGCCAGAACGTAAATCTGCCGTCCTCAACACCAATTCGCACGCAATTTTGACACACGGCAAAGTCATTTCCTCTTCTATTATCACCATGTCTCGCAAGCTCGAGGATTTCGTCAAGATTTCTTCCAAGAGCACAGCCAAGCTCCGCAGCGATGCGAAGCAGTTCGAGTCCAAAGAGCTCGATGCACTAGCAGGGTACTCTGATCGTGTTTCCGAGCAGCTCAAAAGGATTCAATCTACACTGTCGATTATTCAGACCAGTGATAAGACCGAGAGCGACGCAATCTTGATGCTTCAGACGTCGCTGAACGAGACAACAGAGGCCTTGCGTTCTGGAGCCGTGACCTGGGGCGCCGGCCTCAAACAGACCTGCGAAGCAGCCTCTAGCAGCGCAAGCAAGAGATGCGGCGAAACCTTCGCCAGCTCAGAGAAGGCACTCAGGACGATGGGGAACTTGGTCGAGAGCATGGTGCAGGAGATGGGAAGTTACATCGAAGCCGAACGGGAGGCCGTCGTTGAAGCTAAGATGATCTCCGCTGGAGCAGCCACAGCTGAGATTACGCGTCTGCGAAGTCAAAATGCGATGTTGACCCGGCTCTTGGACGAGGAACGACTGCGCGGCGAGAAGGCCAAAGACGACTTGCTGCAACGGGTGTCCGGTCTGCTTGGAGATTTCACGAAAGAGCGCGACCGGGGCCTTCGGGAAGCTGTCGGTGCCGTCCAGGCTGAAAATGCGAAAGCAGAGGAGGGAATGCTCAGTTTCAAGCGCAAGCACGAGGAGATGGCTAATGCGATGGAGGGCAGAGGGGACGATGTTGCCAAGAAGGCCGAGAAGTGGGTCGTCGATGGCAGCAGGATCAAGGATGCCGCTCTCAAGGTGCTTGTGATATATTCTCGTATGACCCAACTGACGTTTGGTGCTTAGACACTGGATGCTTCCAAGGCGAAGCTCAATACCGAGCTGAGTTCCTGGCAGTCGGACATGTCGGTGTCTCTAGATTCGTACTCGAAAGAAGTCCTGAGTAAGTTGCAAGCCATGAACGAAGGGTGTGAAATCGGTACGTTCTTGCGGCTGCAGACGGGCTAAAGTCTCACCTCGTTCTCAGCGTTTGACAACGAAAGACGAGCGAAACGTGCAAGAACAGATGCCACAACATCCTGGGGTGCTGAAGTCCAGAGTGACTTCAAGTACTTGCAGCGCGGTCTCGGATCCACGGCCCGGAATATCCAAGGAATTGGCTCCCGTGTTGAATCTGAAGTGAGTTGTTGTGCTGACCGAAGTTGCCGTAGTTAACGATAGCCAGGGTGCCCACTTGTCGAGCACGACAGAAACGTATCACAGCGTTTCGAAGGCCGAACTTGTCGTGGCCAGAGACGCAACCAAGTCTCTTGCGGAAGAGGGAACAAAGCCTGACCTCGCAAGCGGCACTACACCGAAGAAACGCGTCTTCCAATTTATCGACCATTGGGAGCTGACCCGAAATCGAGACCAAGTCTTGCAAGGCTGGCGGTCCCTGCACAGTGGAGTCAGCGACCAGCCCGAGGATCCCACTTCCATTCCCGAAATTTCGTCCCCCATCGCCGAATCCAGAGCTTCGAGCGAATCCCCCATCCCTACGTCTTTGGCCTCCTCAGCCGGTTCTTCTGTTGCACCGCCACCGAAACCACAAATTCCGGTGCCGAAGAAGGTCAGATCCGCCGCACCCCCTGCGCCTCTTGTCGATGCTCGCAATGTTTATACAACTCGTCGCCGTCGATGACATGTCTCGCATTTGCTTTAAGTTTACTTTATTTCTGTATTGTGTGATTATGTAATACCACCTCAACCTAAACCGTCATCATGGCCGCTGCGAGTATAAGAAGTAAGTGTGCCGCGCGCTCCGCCGTCTAGTTTCCCCTCTCAATGAGCTTCAAAGCCGTTGTGTTCCTGGCCATGGTGCTGGCTGTGGGCTTCTTGATGATTATTCTCTCGTGTGTACTGTGGCAGAATTGGCTCCCTCTACTTGTTGGTGTGTCACCTGGTTCGTCTCGGTTTCGTCTCTGCTGAATGAAGCCACCCTTGGAGCTTGACCTTCGTGCTTGCACCACTACCCAACGCCCTATTCTCACATTGCGGCTCTGACGAGTTTGGCGGAAACTACGATGGCGGAAACTCGGGGCCAGTTGATCTGGGACGCTTCATCACTGCGGTCATCGTCACCTCAGGCATCGCGCTCCCCGTCGTTCTTGCCCACGCAGAGGTCATCCGCACGCCTGCTTGCATCATGTCTGTCATCGGTGGAGGGTGCGTTCGCTCGTCATTGGTGCAGCTGCTGCGGTGCGCGCTTGGCTGATCCCGTTCCTGTTTTTTTCTCGCCGCAGCCTTGTATACGGAACGATATTAGCGTATTCCGCCGCGTTCAGTCAGGAAGAATCGGAGTACGATTGATGTGTGTGTACGGATTCTCGAACAGTGTCTGTGAAATATCAGGGTATACTTAACAGCGTTCAAATAATGTATATGTCTGACGTCCTCGGTACGGCGCGTTCCGTTCAGTCGGCTCTCTGGGCTCGTAAGAGTATGAGTGAAAGATATTTACTGGACTGGGTAGCGAATTATGAAACCGTGCAACTTGTCCGGAACCACACCACCACCACCACCACCACCGCCCTCACATCATGCATTCGCTGCGGCGCCGGATTATATCGCCCCGCCTCATTCCACGGCGCATCCACGTTTCTGCACCGTTGTACGACCGCGTCGGTCCCCCACACCCCGTCTCGAACATCAGGCCGATGGTCTACGAAGAGGCGGATCCTGCTGCTTCGTCCCACAGTCAATCGACCTGTCCAGACTATCATCCCTATTCGCTGCATGAATTCGAGCCCGGACCGTCGCGGCCGTTCCGGCTGCAGTGGAAATTGGACAGAGAGCAGACTGACAGATTCCACCACGAGTTTTGGCTTGAGGTGCGTTAGACTTGAGAACGGATGTCTCCTGTCTTCAGCATATCAATTTTCTTTCGTAGAGCAACACGCGTTTCGAGCAAGGCAAGCGGGAGGCGCTGGAACAACTTCCCGCGTCTGCGTCTGCAATAGAGAAGGAACGCGCGCTCTCCGAATTTTACCGAGTCTGGCATGAACGCGAGCATCTCCGAACAGACGCGTACACGAAAGAATGGCGGGATCGAAACAAAACTTCGGTGACACTCGCCACGCGAGTCGCCTGGCATACCTTGGTGACCCGGATCCTCGGTCTCCTTCCATTTGAGACTTCGAAGACAAACAAGGGACGGGCGTGAACCTCATCATAATACACCGTTTGTACAACACACTGGTCACGACTGCCATACTATCCCCTCAGCTGCCAGCTCCTTTATGCGGTCATAGACTTCTGCCAGGTCGTAGTCCCCCAACTTGTCGCACTCGTACGAGTAGTCCCTGACCATGGCCTCAACTTGCTCGGTCGAGAGACCAGGCCATCGAGACTTGATTTCAGTTTCAGTGGGGATAATCAGGGCCATATCTGGCCCGATGTCGTAGCCTTCGGGTGCATTTTCGGAGAGGAGGGCAGTGAGAGTGGCGAAGAGGGCCGTTGATCGGAAGCGCTCGTTAAGCTCCGCATCGGAAACATTCGTTGTTCGTTGGAGGGCATCCCAACTATAATGGCTCGGTCCGCGTTGCTTGGACTGAAGGCATGACTTACTCATCGTGGAGATAGACCCTGCGCCAGATGGACCTGAATGCTGAAGCTTTGCGAGCCTCAGGTAGATTCTATGCGCGGCTATCAGCGGAAGTCTGATAAAAAAGAGATGTCTTGCGCACTTGTACTTGGGATAGAATATGCAGAGCTGTCGTGTAGTCCTCGACGGTGGTTACGTTGTCTTTGAGAGTCAAGACATCAATCGTGTCCTCCATGGAAAGCACGCTGCCCTGCAGCAACTGGCGCACAAGGTCCCGGAAAATTTGGGTCATAGCAGGTTGCTCAGCAAGCCTCGAAGCGTCCTTTTTGACGATGGCGTCGATCTGTTCTTCCATCGTTCGCCGACTTCGCAGTGAGTCGATGATGGGTTGGAATTCCTCCAACAAGGCATGATGCACGCTGACGAAATCCAAGTCATTGTGGAAGCCTGTCGGGAAATAAGCTGCCGCACGACCGAAACACCTGTATAGTAATCACGATCGAGAGTGGAGTCTTGTACCGGGTCGGCGGTCTCTTGCACATGGGCCAGATGTGCCAGCTTGCCAATGCTCAGCATAAGCTACAGATTGTTAGACTCGGCCCCCAGTGCTCGAAAGCAGCACGAACCTGTTTTGACTGCAGGTGTGTTGTCTGCTCAGACTCGGAAAGAAGGGCTTCAGCAGATGCAGCATAGCCTCGCTGCCCGAGGTCGTGGATCCATGATATGGACGGATCTGGGTGAGCAGCAAAGAATCTGTCCATGTACGCCTGCTGCCCATTCTCTTGGGCAAACATAACCCGCAGCTCCCCTACCGAAAGCAAAAGCATTGAGATCTCGTCTATAGGGAACTCTCCGTCGTACCGTGTTGGATATACCACCGGTACAGAGCTGTTGTGAAATCATCCTTGAACTTGGCGATGTATCCCAGAATTCGCTCTGCGTTAGGATTCTCATCGGCGGGATACACCTTATCTTGATGGCAAAGGGCAGCAAGGGTGCTGAAGTCGCGGTACTTTTCTGCCAGGTCGAACGCCGATCTCTCGTGTCCAAATTTTCCTGTCGGACACTCGGGTAAACGAAACGGCAAAAAAATGAGGATGCGATCTCACGTAGAGTTTCGAGAACTTCGGGTCGTAGTGAATCGAATTTGAGCTTCAGCTCATTTCGCTCGCGATCGACCCCAGGAATCTCAGCAGAGATGGGGCTAGGGATGTTTCAATCTCGTACTCCAGCCGACGTGGAATGCCTCACCTTGATAGCCAATCCATGCGTTCCTGGATACAGCTAAACAACACTGTCGCCAAGGCCGGCAGCTGGTCTCGCGACGGCTCGTTGCTCGTCGGGATGATGCCCGAGCGCGGCGATCCCAGTAGCTTGGTGGTGGATTCGAACAGACCGAGCACAAGGGCAATCATGGCAGGTGAACTTGTCCATGGGTCGATCATCGGCAATTCTATCCCGTACACTCCCAGATTGTAATCGCGGTACTCGATGGCCGAGCTAAGCACATCCAGCACAATGTGGCACGCTTCGGGCAGCAGCTCGGCCAGTTCCCGCTGCTGGCTTTGAGCAAGTCGTGTGATAACATCAGGTACTTCCGCGAGCAGGAGTCCCATGTTGCTTATGCGCAGACGGAAGAAAGCCCGGGTGACATCGTCGTGGTTGATGTCATTTACACGTTCCATGTAGTGCTCGATCGTCTCATTGAGCACACTGTCTGATCTGCAAGGAATCTGAGCTGTACAGCCACGGTGCAGGTCAGCTATCCACGCACGACAGAGACCCGTTGTGATGCTTCCACAACTGATACGCAGAATAAAGCTTCTCGGCATCCACAGCCAGCCGCTGGCGACTCCTTTGTGACATCTGCGGGGCCGGTAAACCTGCGAAGGTCGCTGCTACAGCAGTCCCGTACCTTGCCTAGGACCGCATTGTCATTGATAAAGTGGATAAGCCAGCTGAGGCGTTCTTTCCGACTCGTTAATTGCACACTGAGATCTGGACTGTTCCGAGCTAGTTCCGAGTCTGTCCGCTGGTCAGATCTAGCTATTCAAAGAACACACGCCCTCACTGGATTGCAGAACTGCCTCGCTGAGCTGCTCTGCACCCTGCATCAGACTCTCGGCATCAACATCTGGCGGGAAGCTGAATTGCAATGGATTCTGGACAGTACGTTAAGCTGGTGATAAGTGTACATGATGAAAATGACTGACATCGGGGAGAGAACCGTAGACAACAGCTTGTGTCATGATAGATTTTATAAGAGCAGTGCGGCCAGTCCTAGAGGCCCGTCATATAGCATCAAGAGCCGCTTTGATTATGACTTACTTCGCATTGAAAACATCGACATTCTCCATATCAATTTGAGCCTTGATCATCGTTCCCGCAGCCAGAATTAGGACGGAGTCATCTCGGTGCACTACTCCGACACCCAGCGTCCGGTCAGATGCAGATTTGAGCTCAATCCGGTTGCGATAATCCGAATCTGACGCAGGTCAATCACTGCGAGTCTGGGGAGAAAACCCTAACCTTGGGCACAAAGGGCAACCGCATCGCCAAATTGAACGCAGAAAAGCCTGCCGTCGGAGAGCAGTCGAATTCGCGGGTGCACAGGAGCACCGGATGCTGATGTCTTTGAGAAATGAGCACGTGACTGCAGCATAAGCCCTCGGACATACACTCTGATATGGCACATCCAGCACATCATCCACCTTGAAAAGGTCTCCGAGAGAGGAGATTCGAACGAGGGCATATATCCTGCGAAACCCGCTGTTGACGTCCATCGCGTTCAGTCGCGGTTCCTCCCGGCCTGCGTAAGAAGCCAAGATGACGATATGACCTTGTCTGATGGGACGTCCAGTTCAAGAAGTAGAAGCGACAGCAGAACACAGCGTACCCATCCACAGCAATGTCGACCAACTCCAAATCAAGTGGAGCACGAGTGGTCTCGATCCCAGCCCCAAAGGCATCGATCAGTGCAGACTTGATCAGGCTCGCTATGTCTTCTTCAAGCAACAGTTGTTCCCAACCCTCGGTTTTCATTTCCCATCGCTGTATCCTCGTGTCAACAAGCGCCCATAACTCTCCCCCACCAGTGCTGGTCTGTTCACCCATGTCAGGGCACTGACGTTTCCCGCATTCGGAGTCAGAGAGGTATGCGAGCTGGAGGGAGCCAGGAACGAAGGGAGCAGTCGGGAGAGGGACAGTCCTGAAGTGGGCTGCGAAAAGATATGCGACGTGAGGTGATGTCTGCCTCCAGCGGATGTCAGCACAATCCGGAAGAGCTGCCCAAAACTGGTTGAGAGAATGAAGGTTTGGGGCTAAAGGCGTTCAACCACACAGCTCAATGGACCAGGCAAACCAAACACTCACATCTGCGCGCGAGAAATTGGTGACGACCTCGTCTTCCGATAGCCCCAAATCTGTCGTGGAATAGTTCTGACCACCAGCCAAGCCGATTCCGATACTGTCCCAAAAGCGTATCTTCCCGGACAGCGAAACGAGGACCAGGCCGGGCTCACGAGTGGATGTGTATGGGACGAGCCCATGCAGGGTGGGTTGATGCCGTCCTCGTCGTCAGGACATGAGAAGATGTAGCATGTTGGAATGCCCTTCACCGCCTATTCTCCATTGGCCTCAGACCTTGCGTGTGGGTCCTGGTACGTACCTGAGCATGTTGCCATACAAAGCATGTCTGTGCCGACGCGACCAAAGCAAAGCCAGTGAGTGTGTCAATGTCTCCCGTGTAAGCGTCCACAAGGAAGTCTGGAGAGCAGTTCAGGAGTCTCGAACGAAGCGGACCCTAGCATACCCACCTGCGTTTTTGAGAATCTGTTTGACCTCGACCGGGAGACTTGCGTAGAATGACACAGTGAGCTCCTTCGACTTCGCGAAAATGGTGTCTGGGCCTATCCTCTGGCTGAAGCTACGATCGGACACGGCAGAATCGACGTCCATGATGCTAACGGACGCGACGGATTCATTGGCAAAGGATGCGGCACGTGGAGTGGCCAGACGCGACCCCGCGACTCGCGTTCGCCTGGGTGGTGAGTTCACCACTTGCTTGTGTCTTAGAGAGCGTCTCGGGGCCGGTGAAGGGGAGAAGGTGGCCATCGCGCGTCTGAGGGAATCAGGGATGATTGTTCGTATTTTCGAGCAGCTGCCGTAAGTAGATTGTTTGAGCGTGTGTTGGTCAGCGGACTGTTTTACACTTTCGACGACGATGGCGGCTGCTCCCCCGTTGCCCGTTAAGGACACTCTTGTGGACCCGTACCCGTCATTAACGTATTCCCCCTTCTCCACCGCCCTCTCCCCTATCTCCAATGCGTATGACCGCTTCGCGCAATGGAGAACAGACCTCGGCCTGCCTCATCCCGGGACCGTGGAGAACCTTCAAAAAGAGATAAAATGTACGTTCTCACAGCTTAGGAGACTCACAGCTCACAGAATGTCCAGCAACACACCTCACTAACTTTATGTTCGATGGCGCACGCGCTGACCTGACGAAAAGTCTCTCCATGAACCCGCTTTTCCAAGTAACGCACTCGTTTTCTCTTGGGTCTCAAACAGCGCCCCCGTCGTATAATTTTGGGGCAATATTTGGGAGCTCCAAGGTATGTTTGCTTCGTGATTTTGGCCGTCGCGTCTGACACAGGTCGCAGTTGTTTTTGCAAGGTGGAGTAGACCATGACGGAAATGTCAACGGCCGCTTTAACTATGGTTGGACGCCAAGCAGTGTGACCAAGCTCCAAGCTCAGGTGCGTAAACACCGTCTGCGGTTGCTGCCAACTCGTAATGACACAACACGTAGCTGTCGTCGCAAGTTGGCCACAACATGATTCAACTAGAACACGACCTCCAGGGCCAAGACTATAGTATCAACGCGAAAGCCATGAACCCTTCCCCCGTAGACGGTACCGGCATCTATGTCGGCAGCTATCTGCAGTCCGTCACCAAAAATCTCGCGCTCGGCGTCGAGGGAATCTTCCAGCGACCCACTCCGGATGTCGCCGAGTTGTCGACCACGTATTTGGCGAAGATCATGAGCTCGGACAAAAGCTGGATAGCGACGGCACAAACGCAGGGGCTCGGTGTCCTGCAGGCCTCATACTGGCACAAACTGAGCGAGAAGGTGGATGCCGGTGTGGACATGCAAGTCATTGCTCTTCCGAACCGACGGGAGGCCGTTGCTACTATCGGTGCCAAGTATGATCTGCGGTTAGCGACGTTCCGAGCGCAGTTCGACACAACGGGCAAGGTGTCTGCCCTGCTTGAGCAGCGATTCACCCCCGTCTTCGCATTCCTGGTGGCTGGCGAGATTGATCACTTCAAGGTTTGTCGGACTCGTTCGTGTGTATTTCGTTCCCTGAACTTACATGGCTGCAACAGAACGCCGCCAAGGTCGGAGTGGGTGTCATGATCGAAAGCTCGACGCTGACTCCGGAGGAGATGGGAATGGTTCCGCCGCCACAGTAATTTAGCATTTATATAATAGACCGTTGCATCCCCCGTCACCCTACATAGCATTATGAGATCAAAAATAAGTCCATGCGGCCAAGGAAAGAGAACATTCAAGAGTAGGCCAGCAAACTACCCAACATGGCGCACGCAACCAACCACCCAACAGGTGCAGAGCTGCGGGTTGCAACATTGATGCCTGGAGAACCAGTAGCAACCCACTCGTTGTAGGAAGCCTGCAGCTCCAACACAAAGGCCTGGCCCTCTGGACTGTGCGATCCTTCAATGCCAAACGCGTTGGGATTGACAACGGGCGTCAGCCACCCATCGTCGGTGAAGTGTACCAGGGATGCAATTGGGGCCGTGGTCGCGCTGGGGCTCGTCGCGGGGGCTGTAGCGCTCGCGCTTCCACTCGCACTCCCGCTTCTTGTCGAGGAGTTTGAGGACTGAGATGATGCCGAAGACGCTCGTCTAGCTATCGTGGCTGAACGTGCCTGCTGAGATGATAGCGGCAGAGAAATGGATGACGCAGATAGAGATGACGCAGAAAGGACAGATGAAGCAGAGAGAGATAAGGCAGATGGTATCGATGAAGCAGATGGCGATGAGCTCGTAGACGTCGTGGGTATGACGAATGCCGATCCGGGAGAGCCAGAGGCAAACAAGGCCTGGCGACCCTTTTCTGCATTTGGGATATGTGTGTGATCACCCCAAAGCAGAGCGAACCGGTAGACAGTGCTCGCCAGCAGAGCTGTCGATGCCGTGTCATAAAATGAGCCCGATGCGCTGACGGGACGGTCCACATAGTTTGTGAAGATGTTGGTGGAGTCCTACCGCGCGCGATCACTTGGTGACCGACACAGTTGGTTGAATAATGTACACTTACAACGTTGGCATACATTGCTGAATGGATCTCTTTCACCCAACTGGCCAGGTCCTTTTGCTCGTTCTTGAACGACCCACTGAACTGAGAGTTCTTCATCGTGGCGAGAACTCGAAGCATTCCAGCCGCTGCCCACCCGTTGCCTTAGTGAAAGTCTCAGAGGCTTCGAAAGCGAGGAAGGAACCAAAACCAACCGGTAGACCAATGACCGTCGTCGTTGGGGACATCCGAAGGGTCTGTTCCCAGCACGATGTGCTTCCACAAATTATTGGCGGAGGTGTCCCGGAGGTATTTGCGATACAGCTGAATCTGGGTATAGGCTTGACTGATAAGCGTCGAATTTCCGGTCGTCACGCCATATAATGCCAAGAACGGAGGAACCATAAACACGAAGTCACTCCTAGGCCGCGTTCACGCGTCAAAATCTCGGCTAAATTTGTCGCACGCACCACAACTGCACCTGGGCGACGCGGTGCGAAATGGCGCCATCCCCCGTGCGCGGAACATGCGAGAGCAGGAAGTCGAGTTGATTGGTCGCTGCTGCTGCGTAGTTCAGGCCTCCACCTTGAAGATAGATTAGTTTCATTCCACCGAAATTTGAACAAAGCACCTTGATTTGTCCAGTTGGCCAAGAGCACAGCAACACCAATTGATGCAGGGTCTCCAGCCGCGCCATCTGCCATGAGTGGAGCAGCTCCTGACGTGTTTTTCAGTGCCGAGACGACACTGTGTGCGATGGAAAAGACGGGGGAGATCGCGGAGGTGGTGTTCGACGGTACAGTCTGCGGCGGCGGCACTTGGGAGGCGAACACAGAAAAGTCTGGCGCGTCTAAATCGAGTATAGCCTGGGCCCGAGTACCGAGCTCCCAACTAAGGAATAGTATTCACTTAGAATGGTTGAAACACACGCGCATGCAGCAAAAGACGCACCTATGTGTGGCTCCCGTCGCGAGGTTGTTCGTCACAGTAGTAATGTCGGAGGGCGAAAGTGATTGTGCCCATGCGAATCCACCCGCCGACAGCAGCGCTCCCAGGCGATACAGATGCATTATCCCAAATAATCTCTAAAATAGATCGAGAAACCAGAGAATTAGAGGAAGAAACGTTTCTTCAGTTCGAGACGGGCATGCGGGACCGGACGAAGAACCAATCTGGGTGAAATGATGATGACATCTGACAGATGGAGACTTTTTGATGAGAGATCTATGTCTTATATGATCGGAAAGATTAGATTGATCGCATCAGATAGGATTGTACACGGCCTCACACAGTCACTGCACACCCAAATCTCGTGCCTTGCCCTTGTCTTGGGTCGTCTCACCATTCTCCACAGCCTCGGATGTGACCTTGCTCACTGTTTCCACGAACTTGAGAATAAGTGCCATCTTGCCCCAAATCTGGCCGACGGTTTCCTTCTCCCGCTTCTCGACATCATCACCCACTTTCTGGGCCATATCCTCAACCATCGGGCGCACCGTGTTCGTCACAGCGTTACGAATCGGCTGATCGACGGCTTCGAGAATAAATCCAAGCGGCAAAGACGGTGTCGGCGGGGGCCGAGCCTTGAATGCTTCAAAGGCCATCGCGAGAGCGCTCATAGCCTCTCCGTCCCTTTTGCTAATCTCTTCATAGGCGTCCAATCGGGCCTTGAGCTGGAAAGACTAAATATCAGGCCCAGGGGGTCAGAAGGGACTCACTTCATCGACATAGGCGAGGTCCTGCTGTCGCTCGGCCTCTAGCGCGTCAATGCGGCCTTGCATCGCTTCTGCTTGGGCCAACAGGTCGACAAGTTCAGCCGTCACAGCATTGACGTCCGTGTTCGTCACCTTCAAGGCTTCCATGGGTACCCTGTTCACTTCTGCAGACCAAGCTTCTAACGAGATCTCCTCGATGTAGTTCACTGCGGTTTCTGCCATGGACTCTCCACTTGCGACGATTGCATTGTCGATGTTAGTTGCCTGCGATTCGAGTTGAGCGAGCTTCTCTCGTAACTGCTCGAGATCCGCCATATCAGCTTGCTCCACAGTCGCTGGTACATCAGCGGCATCCGATATTCGCCGACGTTTCAAGGGCCGCGAACCATCGAGACCCCGAGCCTGTTCGTCCTCTGGAGGGGAGGAACGTTTCTCGTACAAGCCATACATTCTCGAGGCCATCTCGCACAACGATTTGGCGTATACGACGATTTGGTCATATTTCTCTACCGTGCCGTCCTTCTCGTTTGGACCTACCGGCCACCAGTTTGTGTTCTTGAGCTTGCTGATGCCCGCGATGACTTCCTGGCTTCTCGCTTCCTTAGTCGCTTGCAAAGCAGCTCGCCGGAGATCCCACTTCGTAGTTTCCACGATAGACGTGTTGGCCTTCGTCTTGAAAGCTTTGTACATGCGATCGAACTCTTCGAACTCGGCGATCGCTTCTTGTTGAGCAGAGCGCAAGGAGACAGCATCAGCAAGGAGCCTGAGCTGAATCAGCTGTCTCTCATTTGTATTGTGATAATTTTGCGCACGGAAGGATTTCATCCCACTTGACTTTCACTTCCACTGTCGAAGGCGGGGTGAGTATTACATTGGTGAAGGCGGGCATAACTGGAGGCGGTGGGAGCGATATTCCGGCAGGAGAAGTCATAGGTGGGGGAGCAACAGGAAGAGGGGGAGGTCCCATGTTTGACGACATGGTGCGTTTCTCTGCAGAGGGTAGGCCTGTACTGGAGGAGATTGATGATGTTCTTGGTCGGCGAACGTCTTCGCGTGGATAGCGTTCTATCTCTGAGGTCGGCTGACGCGTTATAGAGGTAGAACGACGGCGATTGGGCCTTGGGGAAGGAGAACGCGGGTGGGGAGGCGTAAACGCTCTCTTGTGTGTCGCGTTGTATTTCTTGCCACTAGATCTCCCTGCGTCCCAGCCGCGATCGTTGGGATGCAGAAATTTGCACGGTTGGCCCTGGTGTTCTGGTTTAAGAAGAGCGCCTGTGACCTCGTCGTAAAACTACAATATAAGTGAGCTTAAAGAGACGCCGATGACTATATGAAAGAGTCTCACAAAGCAACGCGTATCATATCTGGGTGTGTAATCATATTTACCCATGGAAGAAAACTGTTGTGCGCAATGTGGAATGAGCGTGGGCAAGAATTGACCCTGATTCACTTGCAGGGAACCTCAATGCGGTACAGAATCAGTGGGAACCAGGACATGCTTCGTATCCGGAGATCACCGTCACGATGACATCCGAACAATCTCGCACTGTGATCCCCGTCCACCGCACAGACCAATCTACTCCTTTCCAACTACTGGCATACTCAGACATATATCAATCGCGTCGGCGTCTGTTCCCCGCGTGTATTCATATGGAATTATGCCAGAAACACTCTATATCCGCTTCTCCAACCCGATCTCCCAACTTCTCCACTACATGCCTTGCTATGTAGAGGGCATGCTGCTCGACTGCGACTCTCTGAGCCTCATCCGATAGTTCATAAAAGGCAAAATGGCCCATGGACCTCAAAAAGTCTTGGGTATGTAGAGCATGCTCGTGTCGCATGCTTGCCGCTCTTGTCTCCAACTGGGTAGCTTGAGCGAGCTGCCCGATTATTGTGCAAACTCACTTGGTGCTGCAGCGGAAACGTTTCCGCCTCTAGCTCTTGTAACTTCTTCTCGAGTGCCCGTACTTGCACGAATATCCGATCCACATCCGGATGAATTTGACCCTCTTCCAAGGGCTCTGATCTTGTCTCCTGCCGTACCTCTTCGCCCAAGTTGAATTGCTTTTGACAGACCGATATCCACTCTTTGAACTCTGCCAAGTAATCCCGCAGATCAAAGTGAACGACGGTGTGCGAAAGAGCGTCCAATCTCGTCGTAATCTCGAGGAGCCGTTCTTCTGTTCGACTGTCAGGCGGACGATGTTCGCGGATGGCCATGACGAGGACGGTGCCCTGAAAGAGGAGTCTACCAGAAAAAGGTCACTTAGCGTTCACCAGACCGTGTTGTGGGCTTCATACTCAGATACTTCACATTTCGTCGAGGACAGGTGGTCCGTCTGAAGTCGGGACATGATATAGATGGGGGTTCGCAGCCTGAGATTTCGCTCATTTCAATGTTTTAATCTCATAGATTTCATTGAGGGCCATGCGCGACCCTGAAATGACCCTAAGGGAGCCATACGGACAGCGCAGAATACTAATCCTCCCAAACGTTGACGACTTCGGACTGATGGGTCATGACCGCGACATCCTTGCGGACGGGGTTAATTCGAGGGTAGACGAACTGCAAAAGAATGAGAAAACTGCCCATCATCTGGCAGGCCACGACTCACTCCAGAATTGTATTCGTGCAAGACTTCGGCGGCGATGATCTCCTTATCCTTGATCAAACGCTGGAAAACACGGACCGTGAGATGGGCCTGTATTCGGATAAGTATTTCGGCGCAAAGCAATGACCACAGACTGACCTGCCCACAAACCGTGGCCATCACAAAGAACATGATCATCCAATTTGATGTGCTCGTCGCCATCCACAAGAAGGAATGCGCGGGAGAATAGATCGTGAACAGCATCAACTCTAGCTCACCCGGGTTCCACATTTCTAACTGTTGCACCCGTGTCGTCCCCGGTTTCCCAGCACTCGTTGGCACTGACCGCATCGGTGGCTTCATGCCCAACAAGAATCGCCAGGAAACGGAGAATGCGAACCAAAGCCCTCGAAGAACGCGTGTAGAGAGCGGGGCCAGTACCACAGGGCTATCATCGAGCTTCGTCACGATAAATTTGGCACTGGGAGACGACACGGGATCCGGGCGATGGTAAAGCCAATACATTTTAATCCTTGAGAAGAGGTACAGAGTGTTCACCGACGAGATCGCGAGCAAAAGAATCGTCATCGGAACAGTCTGCGCAGTGATTTTAGCTTTCGAATCATGCATTTGCGCGAAAGACTCACCCAGTCGAACCAGGATTGACCCTCCCCTTCCAGGTGCATGTCCTCCCAACCATACTCTGAGTCAGGAACGCTTCGCACTTGACTGATGCGCACACAGAAATGGATGAAGTGCAAAGCACCTCCCAGAATGAACGCAGAGGTCTGATTCTTCGGCAAAGGAACATTGGAAGGAAACATCGCTATGTGAAAGGCAATCTGCGACGGAATGCCAGTCACTCTAGCAAACGTTTAGAAACTGTGCACTCGGATGTGAAATACAGGCGTACCTTTGATAGAATGACTTTTTGCGAACAACTGCTCTGCGTGTAGGTGTGCCCTGTATCCCGCTGCCGCCCATACTTTGACGCGCCCTTGACTGTGGGGTTCCATACGGTGCAGGTTTACGCGCCCTAGCCGCTTCCCAGTCAAAGGCCACATTAGCGGATATCGAAGAGGTCGCGGCTGGGGAACGATCCACGAATATAGATGCGCGAGGGCGCGAGGTATGTGGCAAGGAAAGCGCAGGTAAAGGAGATCCTGCGGGAGATGCAGAGCCGTCGGCAGCTTGAGGGGTGACTGGGCCGGGAGTTCCGACCGAAGCATTGTTCATTGCGCGCCTTCGTAGGGCCATGGATGTGTGCTCTTGTGTGCAAGGGATAGAAACAAGCCCGGGTGCGGCGTGTCGCGCGCACGTGAGGAATCTATCACACAAAGTCACACGAACAATTATTATTTGGGCGCGCAATGTGACGTGCTAGCTGTCATTGTTCAATGTGACTGTGACACAATATTTGTACGGCCAAACAACACGTGGTAGTTGAAAACGCCCCAGATTAAATCCTTTTGCTCCTCCTCCATCTTGCGAATCCCCCTCCGTCCACCTCCTCCAAAACGTCTCTCCGCCGCACTACCCCTACATCCTTGTCGCCCAGCTCGTCAGTAAGCGTCAGGATGGCCCAACCGAGTTCGACCCACCATGATCGCACCGAGCGCGACCGCGACCGCGACCGTGACCGTGAACGTCACCATCGCAGTGAACGATCTTCCTCGCACCACCACCACCGCACCATTTCTTCTACAACTCTTCTCCTCGTTCTTTCCCTTGTCCTGGCCGGCCTAGCCATCATGCTTTCCCTGCCACGACAGCAGCAGTACCCCGCCGACCCTGCGACCGAAACCAGTTCGAACGGGGTCTGGGGATACTTGTCGCCCAAGCGCACGCAAGCTCTTATCTCTCGTGAAGGAGCTGTTGCCAGCCGTGAGGCTGAAGTAGCGCGTCGTGAAGCAGAGCTTCTCGTCGGTGCCCCTGGTGGCATCCCTTCCTGCCCCCCATGTGCTGCAACGACTGTATACGAAACAGTCAGCCCCCTGCGCAGACGATCATCCAGGAGATTGTCAAGGAGGCATCCCTCACACCTCCTGGCTGGGCCGCAGGGAGAGCCGACGAGATTCTTGACCGCGAGTTGCGCATTGCCGAACGCGAGCGTGATATCAGCAAGCGCGAAGAAGTCGTGAACCGACGTGAACACGACGCGTCGCGACGCGAAGGGTGGATCATGGAGCAACTTATGTGAGTCTTTGCGTTGTCCGGTCATGAAAACACGTCTCAAACGCACGATAGTGCTCTCGGTAACGACCAACCGGAAGCCGTCGAAGAGGAGTACATTTACGAACCGAAACGAAAAGCCAAGGTACCGCCGCCCCTCCCGCGCCGTTCCGAGCTTTGAGACGAAGGAGGAGTCTTTTCTTGCGTGTACTGTCCGTATTCATTACTCCCCCCTCCTTCGTCCGGGCTTGGGGGACCACGGTTTTGATCCTTTCCATCGTCCCCCTTTCGGAGGGTGTTGATCAGAGTCCGCGGATCGATCATTACATCGATCGCGCTTTCGCACGTGCCGTGGTCTCAATCGGCACCTCCTCCTGGACGTTGTTTGTAAATCAGATGGCTGACTACTTCTCAGGTTATCCACCAACTTCCTCCCATTGAATATTCTGCCCCCGAGGTTACGACTGTCGTTCAAACCCAAACTGTCACTGTTCCAGCACCAGCTAACACACGCCGAGCCGCATCCCCCGTTGCCCAAGTCGTCGACTCGTCGTACAGCACTGCCATCCCGAAGACGACCGCTGTTGAAATCATTCATGAAACAATGATGGATGAGGATGAGATGCAGACTGTCACGATGGTTCGAGGCCCAAGAGCGACACGGCGGCCTCGTGGTTGGTTCGGTGGCTGGTAGACCTGGCTTGTGACTCTTTTTTCTTTTTCTTTATTGTTCCCTACCTCTCTTGTTACGCAGCGCGACCCCTTCCCCTCCTCTCATGTCCGTTACGATACTAATGGTGGATACTTACATACATTGATGACTGTAGAATTAGTGCTCATGTCTTGATTACAACGCGATAAATCTATCTATCAACACACGGTGTGTTTGGTCACTGGCGCCATTGCTCGCGCGGCGATGAGCTCCGGTGCTAATTGGCTCGGGGTCGAAGTACTTGCGCTCGTTTTGATGCTGATCATGTGCAACTCCTCTATCAACGTCTGATGACGATAAGCAAGACGGATGTTGGGCACATTTGTCTGTGGGCCATCGCTGTCAAACCAAAGAGCAGAGAAATGATGGCTACCACTGCTGACCTTGTGAATGTCATTGCCTGCTGCGCCAGGAAGATACCATTGATGGCCCAACCAATGACGCTTGAGTTCCATCTCGAAGCCACTCTGAACGACCGAGTTTCGGGCCAGTTCCGCCAGGGAACTCTGCGGGAACTTGTAGATCTGAAAGTGGAGTGACATGAGCGCTGCTGCTGCTGCCGCTGCACACGGTTGAGCAAAACGCACATGGGCTGCTACGCTGTATTCTTCGAGCAACGGTTCCTGTAATTCATTCAGCTGAGCATGTCAGCACGCAGAGAAGGGGAAGGCCATGCCTTAGTAAAGTGGAACTGCAGCGGGTCGTCTGTGCTTAAACTGACATTCAAGCCGGTCTTGAAAAAGTCGGGCAACGGGTTGCGTTCGTACGACAGAAAGAGCGCGTTGTTGCTGAGCGGGCTCATCGCAATCCCGATCTGCTTCAGGTAGAAGAGGTACTGCAGCGCAGGTACCTTGCGCAGCAATATGCCGTGGGAGATGGAGTGCGACGTAAGGAAGGCCGAGGTCAGGTGATCGGTGTCCCCCGCCTCTCCGGCATGCGGGCGAAGAACGAAGGTGGCTGCAAGTCCTCTGGGTCAGCGACATAAAGCGAGTTGGCGGGGGAGAAAACGCACTGAATCCGCGTTCCTGGCGCCATCTGTTCAGACTGGCCATGTTGGCAAACATGTAGTACACCCAATAAGAGTACGGCGGCGAGTCTTTGGTGTCCCACAGCCGCGGGTACGGATATTTCTTGTAGATCCGGCGCTCTGTCTTGGACTCGTCGTCGACCGTGTCAAACCCGATCACACGCTGGAGGAAAATATGCAGCTCTGGATGCGTCCTGGGATCTTTGGTCACTTCAAACAAGGGCTGGAAAACATCTGCGGATATTTAGACATAGGCCGCCCGCTGCACGCGGACAGACGCACTGAGGATGATGTCCTGGAAGGTTTGGATAGAGCCATTGGCTTTGTAGATGTCGTACAGACGCGGGACTTGGATCAGCCAGCGCACGTTGTGTGAGTACAGCTTGTTGTTGATGACCCATTTCGCCAGCTTGTCCCACTCATCGGGCGAGCGTCCATAGATACTGACGCGCCATTCGGCGTTCTGAGCGGGTGTGATTGGGGACTGTGACGAAATTTGAAGAGACTGACCTGATATTTGCCTTGCTCAAGATCCGTCATGAGTTCTGTCGATAGGTGAGCTCTCTGATAGCGAGGAGTGAAACAGCAACAACCTTGAGTCAGCTCAGCGAGGTAGCGGCCCTTGATATAGTTATCTGTCTTGAGGAAGATTTCTCGCAGCCGGGATTCGCCGATGGGGTTGTACTTCAAGTTAAACTTGTCGAAACGATGAAAAGAGTCCGAATGAGCATGCATGTCTAGTGTGTCGATGGACAGGTCGTAAGCCGTCAGCTTGAGCGACTGGAACACTTGTTGCAGTGTCAAAGCTGCACCGTCACGGAAGATGACGACGTCCTGCACGGTGGTGAGTAAATCTTGCCCTGCAATACAGTCGGCCACTGACATCAGGACTGCGCTTCATTTTGGACTTGATGAAGCGTAGCAGATGTTTTTGATTCATGCTACTGGAGTGATGCACGTGCGTGTCCACTTTACGAAGGTTGTAAAAGTCCCTGGAGGTTTGTGAGAATAGTTCACAGTAGAATAATTCAAACCACCTGTGAGGGACTTGCTGTGCGAGAGTGAGCGATGATCATTCTAAAGATCAGGGACATGCTGACCTTCATGTCAGACAGCTCTTGAAATTCGTTGAGCAACGTATACATGGTGAATTTGCTGGCCAGGTATTTCAATCTTCGGAACGCAAAACTTTTGGTGGGGCCGTCCGAGATCACGCCGAGAACATAATCCAGATCGACGAAATATTCTCGGATAGTTGGCACGTCGTAAACAGGGGTCCGTTCGTCCGATTCGGTCGCCGAGTCCCCATAAACTTGTATCACGCCTTTCTCATCGATTTGGAAAGTATAAGGATGGCTGCCTGGGATCGTGGAATCCTCGAAACGGAAATTGTCCCCTTTCGGATCCGACTGTCCATCTGTGCTGACTACAGCCGTATCAGTCCAGTGCCAGTGCGGGGGCGGCGGCTTCGGATAGATCTTCCAAGGCTCGGGACGGGCTGGGGGCTTTGTTGCTGCCAATGTGAGTGTCAGGGCGGAGTCCAGAAACATCGGCATGCATGTCGTCGAGCCCGGGGAAAGATCCATCGTAATGCCGGGGATCATCTCCGAGCCGTTGCCTCGACTTCAGAATGTACTTGTCGCGTAGTTGAAGACATCTCTGGAAAGACTGGAACAGCTGAGCCAGTTCGGGTGTGACCGCGACGTCTGAGATACGGCAGGTTAACGTTGGCAGATAATGTGATTACGACACAGGCCACGCGCACCGGGAACAGAGCCGGCATCCTGTCCATCTTCCTCTTCATCATCCTCGACAAAAGGATGCCCTCCGGAGGGGAATTCTCCAGGAGGAGGGGCGGCAGGCGAATGTAGAGTACTGAGCTTGAAGCTTCCCACGAATGACGCCGCAGTGCCTTCAGATGCTGTCTCAGAGCCACGCCGATGCGCCCAGTACTTCTCTTCGATCTACAAAACTTGAGGGCATGAGCATTCGGCAGGAGGGGTTAGACATACATGTTGCAAAGTCTTTTCTTCTGAATACCCGAAGAAACCGTCTCGAGACTGAGGCAACAGCAGTTGCGAGGCTTCTTCTTGAAGGCCATCCGGCGTGACCGTGGTATCGTTGTCATCGGCAGGCAAGCTCATCGCGCTCAGGAGGAGAAAATCTATTCCTGAAATGTGCAAAGTGGCTTGAACTTGCAATCAGGATCAGCACCGCCGATCGCGGCTTTTCTCGGGCACAACACGCATCAATAACTGTTCCGTCCGACATCAAACCGTTTGACCTCACGCGTCGCGGATGCACCGAACGCGACTGCTGCTGCTCCGTCGCTCACCTTTCTCTCGCGGACATCGTCGATGTTTGGCCACGGTATCCCACTCGCGTCCGGCGTCTATCGAAGTTCTCGGGAAAGACTATGCGACGGACGAGGTGACTAATGTGACGCCCGCCATCCTGGCCAAGCTGCCCCGGCGCCTACATATGTGCCCGGGACACCCTATACACACTCTGCGCACACTGATCGAGTCAAACTTTGCTTCTTTCTCGCACCTGTCCTCGCTGTCGCCTCTTGTCACTCCATTCCAAAACTTCGACGAGCTGTCCTTCCCACTCGACCATCCCGGCCGTTCGGTGACCGATAGCTACTACATCAACAAAAACCTCATGTTAAGGACGCACACATCTGCGCACGAAGTGGAGGTGTTCCGGCGTGGAGAAGACAAGTGGCTTCTCACTGCCGACGTGTACAGACGTGACGAGATCGACAATTCGCATTACCCTGTTTTCCACCAGATGGAGGGCGCTCGAATCTTCACGGCCGACGCGAGTGGAAAGAAAGAGGTCGAGGAGGATAATGAAAGGCTGCGTGATCAGCTGGCGCGCGCCAACATTGTCATCGAGGACGTTCCCCATATATCAACGACGAACCCTTGTCAGCCTGTGCACGACCCCGTTTTCTCTGAGCTGCTGGCCCAGAACCTGAAACTGTCTCTGAACACACTGATGCTGGCTCTGTTTGGGGGTCCTGGGACTGGTGCTGCCACAGCGGAAGCGCCATTACGCGTCAGGTGGATCGAAGCCTACTTTCCGTTCACCAGCCCGAGCTTTGAGGTCGAGGTATTTTTCCGAGGGAAGTGGCTTGAAATCCTAGGCTCTGGAGTTGTGCGACAAGCGACACTGGACACATCGAGCACGTCTGTTTTAGGTTCATTGACCTTGCACTCTCACTGACTGTCATGGATAGACGTCCATAACAAGGTCGGCTGGGCCTTTGGGCTCGGATTGGAACGCATTGCTATGATCCTCTACTCGATTCCGGATATACGATTGTTCTGGTCCACCGACGAACGGTTCCTCGGACAATTCACTGCAAACCAGATCACCACGTTCCAGCCTTACTCCAAATACCCTGCCTGTTCCAAAGACGTCAGTTTCTGGGTCCCTCCGACCTTGAGATTGCACGAAAATGACTTCTGTGACGTCGTTCGAGATGTGGCGGGCGATCTCGTCGAGGATGTGAAAAACGTACGTGCTTTGGCTGCCGTTGATCGTTAATTGACATGGGGTAGATCGACTCTTTCGTCCATCCCAAGACGAACCGCCAGAGTCTCTGCTTCAGAATCAATTATCGTTCAATGGATAGGTTCGTTGACGCTCAGTCATCATTCCTTCCCTCATTAACCTGGACAGGTCTTTGTCAAACGAGGAGGCAAACGAGATACAACTCCAAGTCATCTCACGATTAAAAGACCAGTTCGGAGTTGAGATTCGTTGATTAGTCGTCGCGCATTACAATAATTCTATAACATCCCCCCTGCTATCATGTGGCATCCTGAGCCACTCCCACTTGTGCTGCTCTTAGCACCCGATCGCGTATCGTATATCCCGTCTTCTGGCAGTCTATCACGGTCCCTGGCGTTTTTCCCGGTATCGGTGCCTGGTAAAGTGCTTCGTGACGATTAGGGTCGAAAGCATCACCGGTGGGATCGAAGGGTTTGACGTGGTATTTGAAGAGGGTCTGCAGCAGCTGCCGCTGTGTTATCTCCACCCCAGTGTGGAGTTCACGGAGATATTCCACAGAAGTTTTTGAGTTGGGAGTAGAGGAAGGCTCGGACGCGCTTTCAGACGCAGCTGCGTCGGGGGCCTCAAGTGCGGATGAGGGTATGGATTTCAGGGCAAGGGAGAGGACGTCGACGGTCTCAAGCAGGTCGGACGCAAAGTTGGTGATGGCAAAGTCTTTGGTCTTTTCCCGCTCTCGTGCCGAATTACGCTGGAGGTTCAAGAAGTCCGCTTGCAAGTATCTGAGCCGGCTCTGCTCGAACATTACAGCGACGTGTACAACAATGACAAGGAGAACGCGCACCAACAAGTCTGCAGCCTCTGCTTCAGCCTTCTTGAGAGCTGCTTCGGTAGCCGTCTCTGCGGAAGCGGCGTCTGCTGAGCCTTCTGCCTCCTCCTTCGGCTGCTCCTGCGTTGGCTCGGAAGACCCTGACTTTGCGTCGGAGTACTGACGAACGAAGGTGGCGGATCTCGAGCAGTGAGAACGAAGCCCAGATGGCAACAACGAAGTTGTCCGGGAACGACAAACTGCCAGCGTCGAGAACATGGTGGGTCAGTGAGCAAGTCTGGAAAATTTGTGGTCGCTCGGATCGCGTGATGCGCGTGGAAGGCATGTGATCTATTCGGAGCATCCGGCCGGTCTCTCAGTCGATCGGCCGATGGATCTATCCAGTTCCACGGTCGGAATTCAGTACCACTTTACCGTCTACTACTACGCCATTCTTGGACCAGGCCCATCCATGATCTCTTGACCCTTCCGATCCTCTCATGAAAAATTGCCCCTGGTGCTCATATCAACCAGTTCACTCCTTGCACTCATAAAACCTCAAAAGCCGAGCAGTGAAAAACATCTACCCCTATCTCTATATGGTAATGCTACTATCTCGGCGCGGAGCTCCGCGTATCTTTTTGAGTTTCACTCGAACCATGTCGTCTGCTAAAATCATCGACGGTACCCAGGTGGCCAAGTGCGTTTCCCTGCACCCCGGCGCTCCAATCTTGCTCATTTCTGTTTTTTAGGTCCGTGAGGGAGGGCGTGGCCAGCCGGATCGCGTCGATCCAGTCCCAGTTCCCTCGTTTCCAACCTCAACTGGTCATCGTCCAGGCCGGAGAGCGCCCAGACTCCTCGACCTATGTGCGCATGAAAGCGAAGGCTGCTGAGGAGGTTGGGATCAAATATCGGCACGTCGCCCTTCCTGCGGCAAGCTCTGTCGAGGAGATCGTCGCCACCGTGAAGAGCCTCAACGACGACGAAGCCGTCAGCGGCATCCTCGTCCAGCTTCCTCTTGGTGATCATGTCAACGCTGAGGGAGAGAGGCAGGTCACGGAGGCCGTCAGTCCTGAAAAGGACGTTGATGGGTGCGTTTCATCGTATGATACATAACGTCGGGTTTTCATCGCTCGAAAGATTCCACGCGTACAACATCGGACACCTCTCATCGCGCGCATCAGAGCCTTTGTTCGCTCCGTGCACGCCCTCCGCCGTGATCAGGTTGCTGGAGTCCACCGGCGTGCCTCTTTCCGGCGCCAGCGCCGTTGTACTCGGCCGCAGCGACATCGTCGGGAGCCCGGTGGCGTCGATGCTTCGGAACCGCGACGCAACGGTCACCCAATGTCACAGTCGCACGAAAAACATCGAGAACATCGTGCGTATCTCCCTCTTGCCTGCATTTAGCCGGATAGACATCTGCCCCCAGGTGAAAGGCGCGGACGTCCTCGTGGCTGCCATCGGAAAAGCTCAGTTCGTGAAGGGAACGTGGCTCAAGCCTGGAGCTGTCGTGATCGACGTTGGAATCAACTACGTTCCCGGTAAGCTGCTGCCCCTCCGCGTTATCACGTTGATCTGAGCATTGCGCAGACGCGACAAAGAAAAGTGGTCAGCGCCTCGTTGGTGATGTCGATTATGCGTCCGCCTCCGAAGTCGCAAGCTACATCACGCCGGTCCCTGGAGGCGTCGGTCCGATGACTGTGGCCATGCTCATGGAAAACACCCTCCGAGCAGCCGAGCGCCTGTGGGAAAAGCAACGATCCCGCAAAGTCAAGCCTCTCAAGCTCAACATCCTGGAGAAAGTGCCGAGTGACATCGAAATTGCGATGGCGCAGACGCCTAAGCGAATTGTCGAGCTCGGTGCGGAACTGGGACTTTTGCCTGACGAGGTGGAAAGCTACGGGAAGTACAAGGCTAAGGTTGATCTGAGTGTCCTCGAGCGCTTGAAGCATCGCAAGGATGGAAAGTACATCGTGATTGCTGGGTATGTCTTGTCATGGTTGTCTCTTTTTGGACTGTGCTCAAGCGCACTAGTATCACCCCAACGCCTTTGGGAGAAGGGAAGTCGACTACGACCATCGGACTAGCCCAGGCCTTGGGTGCTGAACTCGGCCGCCCCGCTTTTGCCTGTGTCCGTCAGCCTAGTCAGGGTCCGACATTCGGCATCAAGGGTGGCGCTGCGGGCGGTGGATACAGTCAGGTCATTCCCATGGACGAGGTAGGTGCACTATGACCACGCTCGCGGATACCTCTGAGCTTGAACGCGACAGTTCAATCTACACGTGACGGGAGACATTCATGCTGTCACCGCAGCGAACAATCTGCTCGCTGCTGCTCTCGATGCACGGATGTTCCACGAAGCCACGCAAAGCGACAAAGCTCTCTACAGCCGATTGGTCCCCACCAAGAAAGGGAAGCGTGAATTTGCGCCACTCATGTTCAAGCGGCTGCAAAAGCTCGGAATTGACAAGACGGACCCGAACGACTTGACGCCGGAGGAGATCAAGCGATTCGCTCGGCTCGATGTGGATCCCGAAACCATCACGTGGAATCGTGTGCTGGACACCAACGACCGCTTTTTGCGCAAGATCACGATCGGAAAGGGCCCCGCGGAGAAAGGACACGAGCGCGAAGCTGGCTTTGACATTGCCGTTGCGAGCGAGTGCATGGCCGTGCTGGCGCTGACGACTGGTCTCGAGGACATGAAGAATCGCCTCGGCGCGATGGTCGTCGCGACCAGCAAGCAAGGCGAAGCCGTGACTGCGGACGATATCGGCGTCTCGGGCGCGCTGGCGGTGCTGCTCAAGGACGCCATCAAGCCGAATCTGATGCAGACGTTGCAGGGGACGCCCGTCTTTGTACATGCGGGACCCTTCGCCAACATCGCGCACGGAAACTCGTCGATCCTTGCAGACCAGATCGCGCTGAAACTCGCTGGCACGGAGGAGGGCGACTCGGCGGACCGGGTGGGGTATGTTCTGACGGAAGGCGGATTCGGCGCCGACATGGGATGGAGAAGTTCTGCAACATCAAGTGTCGTGTCAGCGGACTCACCCCAGACGCCACCGTCATCGTTGCTACGACGCGGGCCCTGAAGATGCACGGCGGGGGGCCGGATGTGACGCCCGGAAAGGCGCTGCACGAGACGTACACGAAGGAAGACCTCGTCACGCTCAAGGAGGGATGCAAGAACCTGGTCAAGCACATCCAGAACAGCCGCAAGTTCGGCGTCAAGGTGATTGTCGCCATCAACCAGTTTGCGTCGGACACGCCCGCGGAGCTGGCGCTCGTGCGTGACGAGGCGCTCGCTGGGGGCGCGGATGCCGCCGTTGTCAGTAACCACTGGGCCGAGGGCGGCGCTGGTGCGCGTGCGCTGGCCGAGGCGGTCATCGCGACGTGCGAGGGCGCGTCGAACTTCAAGTTCCTGTACGACCTGGACCTGCCCATCGACGAGAAGATCTCGATCATCTGCAAAGAGATCTACGGTGCGGACGGGATCGAGCTCAGCGAGCTGGCCACGACCCAGATCGCCACCTACACCGCCCAGGGATACCGCAATCTCGCCAGTACGTTTCACGTTGCTTTTCTCTTGGTTCTGTGCTATTCACTTCTGACATACGCGACCAGTTTGCATGGCCAAGACCCAGTACTCGTTCTCCCACGACCCGAAACTGAAGGGTGTCCCGACAGGCTTTACTGTGCCGATCCGGGAAGTGCGCCTGTCCGCGGGAGCCGGATTCCTGTACCCGATTCTGGGCGACATGCAGACGATGCCGGGCTTGGGGACGCGTCCCGGCTTCTGGGAGGTCGGGCTCGACCCTGAGACCGGAGCTGTGCAGGGTCTGTTCTAGACCGTGCACGGCGGATGTTGTGGCCCCGGGAGCCTATGTTCTCAACGAATCTGGCTCGACTCGCGGCTCACCCCGGCCTCGTTAGCACGTGTCCGTCTCAACACGGTCTGCTGCTGATCGGTCGCCCGTGAGCGCCAATGGACAGGGAGGAGGTTACTGCATTAGATACAGTAGAGCGCGTCCGGTTCGTCTCAGTTGTTTGCATGTCGTGTTATCTACAAACAATGTCATCTACAAACTAAACTAAACTACAAACTCAGTGGGTTTTGGACAGCTTCAAGCTCGACATGCGGGGCTTGGTGAAGTTGGGCACAGGGAACAGCTGCGGCCACGTCCATGGCTTGTGCTGCGGCGCGAGACTGCCGTGCACCACGTCGAGCGTGATGTTGTTGTATGCGGCATCCACTTGTCGGCTGTATGTGTTGAGATGGCCGTCGATGTAGTTCAGCGTGTTGTTGCTCGTCCCATTTCCCGTGTTTCCATTCGGGGATGTGATGAAATAGCCTCCAGCGATCTGGTGCTCTTGGATGGAAGACCCCAAAGTGAAAGGCGCAGGGAGGAGATCACGATTGTAGCTGTGATCAATCACACAATGGACTTGGTGGCGAGAAGACATCAGCAAAGGTACAGTGTGGACGATGGAAGAAGAAACTGACATGAATTGCCATCCGAGGACAAAGTCGTGTAGTTCAGGATGAAGGGATAGTTGAATTTGTCCTGGACAGCGGGCAGGCCGTTGTGCAAAGACAGCATGCTCCCGGAGGTATACTGATACACATTCTAGGAGACAGTCAACCTACAAGCACAAAACCGAAACCGATCACAACCGACCTGGACAAAGTTGTTCTGCAGATAGTTCTGAGTGTTCGTGTACGCCAGATTCTGCGTCCATTCGACGAACGTGATCTTGCCGCTCCCGCTGACGAATTGCGACGAAATGGAGACCTTGCGGGTCGCAGAGACGGTCACGTTCACGTCCCCGTTGCTGCCCACGGCGCCGACGATGCTGCTCTCAGCATATGGCTCGACGTTGTACGACGTGATCTTACCCGTCGTCCGCTTCGGCGACGGATCTGTGAAGACCTGCAGGTTGCCGGAAACATACCAGTTGCCGAGGACACCTTTGTCCGCCTCGGCCGAGGCCACATCGATCGTGAAATTATGCGCCTTTCCGTCAGTGAGCACCGGAACAAATGGCGTCACGTCTGTCCAGAGGTGTATTCAGCAGCAGCAGGGGGCATGACTTTTCGCAGGTGCCTACCGATGAAATAGGTCGGAAGATCGAGGGCGCCGTACGAAGTGATCGGCCGCCATGCCGTGGGGATGATGCCTCCCGTGAACAGAACGGGATAGGGGAAAGCGACACCGGCGACTTGACCGTCCACCAGTAGTCGGACCTCGCGGAACGGTCCCTGATCTGTCCGCCTTGAATGCGAAGACTGGCATGATCAGATCCTGGAGGACTTACCAGGGCCGCCGATGTTGGGCTCGAACTGAGCACAGGGTTAGCGCAGTGACAACACACTAGAGTGAGCGGGCACTTGCTTGATTGGCAATGTTGAAGTACCAGAATTCTAGAAGAGTCATAAACAATTCACATCGCTGGCTGTATCACCAGAAATACCTTCGTTACTGTTACCAGAAGGGTATATCTTGCAGATGACCACTCAGCACGTGCAAAAACTGCAGCGAACACAAATACCTCAGCATAAACTAAAGGCCTGCTCAACAACCATCGGAGTCAAAAACGGAGAAACTCACTAGCAACCGCATTCTGAGGCACGGTGATGTTAACCTGTGTCTCTTTGAGACCAATCGCTTATTCTGCCAGAGAAATCGCGTACCGAAAAGCCCGGAGGAACGGAAGCATCGTTCCCAGTCGTGTTCGACATGGTTGAAATGGGGATAATCGCGTTCGCCTTGGGAGCTGGGGGGTGAAGCCAGGACGATTCGTAGAAGGTCGCGTGGAGCACGGCTACGCACAAACATAAGCTCGGAATTTGGCAGAGAGTGCAAGCATTTCGTACACGTATAAATCCCAGTCAAACCAGGCTGCACGATGTTGTCCAGCTGTATGATGAAGAGACCTGGCTCTTCAAACAGTGGCATGTACCGCGTCACGTCCTTTTCGTATGTCCATTCAATTCCGTGCAATGTCGGTTCGGGAGTGGAAGTCCGCCAGACTGTGTGGCGGTCTCAGAGTGCGTTCATCGAAATCACAACGACGCACTCTCGACATTCTGGAACGTGAAGATGCCCAGTCGGTCGTACTGGGTTCCTGCCGACGCGTCAGAACTGGGGCATGGACGTTCGTAGAGCAAGCCGGACCGTTGCTAGTGACCGTGAAGTTCAGGGTAATTGCAGCCCAAGAGCCAGGCGTTCCGCAATCAGTGGGAGGACTGCCGTGATCAGTATCCTCTGTCGACCAGCTGAACAAGCGGGAGTAACTCACGTGTAATTGGCTATGGCAGAGCTGCGGTCCATTTGTAAGTATCTTGGAAGCCCCGAGCCAAGGCTGAACGCTGAACTCACACTCCATACTGCGCGAACGAGTGCCTGGAATGGATCAGCGTTCCAAGGCATGGCATGTGGGGGAGGCGGCGCACTGGAGGATTTCTATCGTGCACTGTTTAGCTCCTTGGGGCACCACAGGCGGCGCGGCCACCTGAAAATCCACCAGGACTTGCGCCGCGGAGCAGCCCGCGAGCAGCAGCGCACCGAGTCCGATCGTGCGCATCGTCGTAGCAGCGGAATCCAACTTCCCAGTGGCAGCCGCTTGACCGCCCTGGCGTATTTATATTCTCACATAGATGGCCTCGGGAAAATTCGAAGCACGGGCGCCCCCGTAGGTGCTCTTATCTGCATCATGCGAATCATGCATTCACACATGGGTCCAATCAGCTCGGATGTTGTTCGCTGGTCGCGCAAGGCACGCTTGGGTCGTGGTGGGAAAACGAGTGGGGCAAGTATAGAGTCGCCAATTCAGGAACGATCTGCTTCTGCGAGTCCCGTTCTGAGAGGTGAAATTTGGTAAAGCAAGCTACTAAGTTGGGAGCACTTCAATGAGATATGCCAGTGAGAGCATACGGTCACAAGAGCAATCAGTGATCGCAACTCAGCCTGTGACCTTACCAGGCTTACCTGCTTCTTGCACCCAGTGCAACTCATCCTCAGCTCCAATCGTGATACACGGGTCCTTCGCTTATCAATCACTATGAATCTGGGACTCGGAGACTACGGGAGCGACAGCGAGGATGGGGGAAGTGACGCAGAGACACCCGTCGTCGCAGCCAAAGCAGCTCCGATCAAGGTGACAAAGGTTCAACGTGCCCCGAAGAAAATAGCCATCGCTCTCCCCGTCTTGGAGGCAGCCGGGGAGGAGCAGGAGGGGGCGGAAGAGCGGCCGACCAAGAGAAGACGCGTAGAAGGAGTGGGGAAATCGACCTTGTTGTCCATGCTCCCTGCTCCCAAGCAAAAGGTGCTCGCACCCCCTCCTCCTCAACGTGTGCTTGGGGGGGCAGTGGTCCCGGGCTCGTATTCAACTCAGTGGTTTCAGATGCGCCCAATGACCTTGCCGGGGAGCCAGCTTCCGAGCCGTCGACTCTCTTCCGACCTGTATCCGTAGCAAAGGGTCGCTCAAACATATCACTTGAGGAGGGCAAGACGGTGGCAACGCCTCGACCGGTGCAGGTTACTTCGGCACCAGCTGTCGATTTCTTTTCTTTAGGTGCGTACACTCGTAGTATCTTGGCCATGCTTTGTTTGAAGCGTCGTTCAAGGCCCTAGCACGGCAGCATCTTCCACGCGCAGTACCACGGCAACTTCCTCCTCATCTGCTCCAGCTATATCTTCTGCGCCCGTCATTCCCCAATTTGAACCGCCCGAACCGACCCCGACAGATCAATATCCAGGTTACTACATGCTCCCGTCTGGCAACTGGGCTGCCCACGATCCCGAATACTACGCCAAGTTTGCAAAGAAGTGGCAGGCGGAGTACGATGCGCATGTGCGAGCGCTGGAGAAAGGGCACGCTAAAGGATTTGAGGGCGCGGATGACGCCGCAGAGGATGTCAATGCAGCCGAGGAGATGATGAGAGCGCAGACAGAGATCAGGGAACGGGAGAGCAGGAAAGCGGTCACCAAAGGCGCCGACGGAGCACCCGCTGCCCCGAGCATCAAGTTGACAGTGAGTCGAGCTTCCTGGTTGTGTGTTCCACGCTTCATACGCATCCCAAGGAATCCAAATCGAGTGGGATTGCGAGGTCAAGACATCAGCTCGCGACCATGCTGCACCAAGCATATTCGAATCGGGAGACTCTGGAAGAGAAGATTGCGCAGGGCAAGCGCAATCGTAAAGAGGCTGGTAATAAATACGGTTCGTCCACTCGTTCCATGGTTTTTGGATTTCTTTTGACAGTACCAGGTTTCTAGTCAGGGCACGTGTATTTGACTTATCTGGCTCCGCAATCACCATTTTCTATTTCCGGAAGTCTATTGCGATCACGTGAACTCTATTTGCTCTTGTCAAGAACTACTGACTGAGCGGAGTTTCAATCCTCTCTCTCTTAAGCGCTACGATGAGCGAAGAGCAGGTCGTCCACTCTTTCCCTTTTGCCCCCATCCTGACCCCAAGCCACCTCGACCGTGTCCCTCATCGGTTGCACACCTTGTCGAACTCCAAATTGCCTTGATCTGAACCCCCAATCTCGACTCGCGACGACGATGGCACCCAAGGTGCGTTCGACGGGACCGAGGTGACTTGACTCGTGCTGAATAGCACTGGCTCAGTCCACAACCAATGTCCGTGCAGGGTCTACTTCGGTAGCCAACAGTGACCTCAACAAAGTAAGATCATCTCATCGTCGTTGATGATGATGCGTGGCTTAAATGACTTGGAAGTCTGAGGGGTCCAAGGCCGTTAAGAAAACAGTCACAAGCAAGTCGGTCACAGCGGGCGCTGTGGCCGATAAGAAACTACGCAAGAAATCGCGCAAGGAGACGTACTCATCCTACATCTACAAGGGTACGTACTTGAGCCCTCTTCCCTTTGCGTACACACTCATACATTCGTTGAACAGTACTGAAGCAGGTGCACCCAGACAGTGGCATCTCAAACACAGCCATGGCCATTCTTAACTCGTTTATCAACGACATATTTGAGCGTATCGCGTCAGAGGCTTCGAGTGCGTGTATTTCAGCTGATGTCAAGCCACTCAGCGACTTACATTTACCGCAGAATTGGCACAATACTCGAGGAAGTCAACCATTTCCGCCCGCGAGATCCAGACCAGTATCGTCTAATCCTTCCGGGCGAACTGGCCAGGCTTGCTATCGCTGAAGGTAAAAACAATCGCATGCTATATCAGCCAGGCACGAAAGGTAAACACCCATTGCAGGCACCAAGTCGACCACCAAGTTTGCTGCAGCTGTTACGAGCAAGCCATCAAAGTGACCACATATGTGTTGTATGTAAGCATGTTTGTCATCAACGAACTGCATCTAGTATTATAGCACCGCAACCTGTTGTACCTGTTTTTTCACTGCGTATGAATCTCCAACGATTGGAAGAATCTTATCTAATCTCGATCGATGGACTGATAAAATGTTATCTAATCTCGCTCGAAACTGTTGTGATGACACCTGCACTGCAACCGTCAGCCGACTAGGAAGAATGACAGCCATCTCACCTACCAAAACCTCCACGACGGCGTTTCTTGCTTTTGATTATTATTGAAGAACTGAACTTGGAGTTGCCATTTTCCTTTCTACGGCGCCATGGCCGCTACCCAAATACGTTTCCTTATCCTGGCCTTGGGAGTGATCATCAGCTTCCACTACATACTCACCTTTACCAACGAAACTTACGGCAACGCCACGTCTCTGGCCCGCCTCAAGGAGCAATTTGCAGGAAGCACGCCGAAGGGAGGTGCCATGGATGCAGTGTCGGCGGCGCCGAGGAAGGCCAATGCCGCCTTTGTCATTCTAGGTCCGTGACCCACATCGACTATTTCCGACTCTCGACTCATCGATCTCTCGCAGCTCGGAACGGTGATCTGAACGGCATTGTGACAAGGTTAGGCCCTGCGACCTAATCATTCTTCGAAGTCGTGCTCACTGCTGGGGCTGCTATGTAGTGTTAAGCAGATGGAGGACCGTTTCAACAAGAAGTTCAATTACCCCTACGTATTCTTGAACGACGAGCCGTTTAACGATGCATTCAAGAAGTTTGTGATGATCCACTCATGGGCGGTGGATTCGTGCTGACTTGATGTAGACGCATCACCGCTCTCACGGACAGTGACGTGAAATTCGGGCTGATTCCCCGTGAGCATTGGACCCAACCGGATTGGTACGTGTTTCTGTCTTCTGACGACGCGTCTCGCCGGGTTTCTCACGCTCACTAGGATCGATGGCAAGTACTCATGGTAGAGGTCGGGGGACGCTCTAACGCGCAGAGTAGAGACGAGGGCTGCAGCAGCGAGGGAGGACATGGTGCAAAACAATGTGATCTATGGAGGCAAGTCGCGCGCTTGACGTGTCATTCGCGATATTTCACTAAGCTTACTATTCCCAGGCAGCGTCCCGTGTGTTGATCATGTCTCCCATGAAAGTTTAGAACTGACTTGCCGTCAGATACCGTAACATGTGCCGATTCAATTCCGGTTTCTTCTACCGGCACGAACTCTTGAAGCAGTACAAGTACTACTGGAGGTTTGTGGCTCATTATTAGCCAAACAGCCTTGTCTGAGGACTGCAGAGTGGAGCCCGATATCAAGTACTTTTGTGACCTTGATTATGATCCCTTCTTGGTCATGCAAGACGAGGGCAAAGTTTACGGTATACTTTCTACCGTTCACCTTGGGATTGCCCTAATGACTCTGGCTCAGGGTTCACCGTTTCGTTGTTCGAGTATCCCGCTACTATCCCCACTCTCTGGCAGACTACCAAAGGCTAGTCGACGTCCTGATCGCATTACATCCCGAGTCCTGAAGCTCCGCAGAGTTCATCAACTCCAACCCCAAGCTTGTGTCGCCGGAGAACGCCATGGCTTTCCTGTCTGACGACGGTGGGGAGACCTACAACCGGTGTCATTTCTGGTCCAACTTCGAGATCGGAGATCTGGACCTCTGGAGAGGAGAAGCTTACAGCAAATTCTTCGACTTCCTGGACGAGAGGGGGGTAAGCACGCATTCAAATCACGCTATCATTAGCGCTTTACTCATGCTATACTTGCTGTTAGGGATTCTACTACGAGGTAAGCTGGACCTCTGCATCCCAGTTCATGCTGCTGACAACAGACAGCGATGGGGCGATGCACCTGTCCACTCCATTGGCGCAGCGCTGTTTGCCAGAAAAGACCAGATCCATTTCTTCGAGGATATCGGATACCGCCACGAGCCATTCCAGCATTGTCCGCAAGGAACTCCCATGCTAAAGGGAAGTGCTGGTGTGATCCTGCGCAAAACTTTGGCGAGTTGTACTCATGAAGATATTTGAACACACTGACTGAACAATCGTTTACAGATAGGGAGTGGTACTCATGGTATGATCAAGTCCTGCTACTTGGATTTCAAGCTAACAGCTATCCCAGCCTGAACAAGTACGAAGCGTTGTTCACCAACAAGACTCGTACTTGAGTAATTCACGAGGGCTTATGCATCGGTACGATGCGTGTGTACAGTCAACATTGCTATGAATCCATCCATTTAATTCCCAGATGCCCTGTGGCTTGCGAGTCACACTGGAAGTCTTATTGGCCGGAGCGCTACAGCAATTTTGTGTTGATCTACAGTAACAGACGGAAGGGATACCCTGGAAAAGCAGTCAGAACTCAAGATCAAACCGTATACATTATGGGCGCTGCTTACCTCTGTTTTTGAGCCGGAAGACCACAAGCAAGATCGAGTAGACGAGCATGATAATAGTGCTCCAAAGATAAATCTGGAAACGCTGGCGTTGACCGGAAGTCTGATACGGGATGACCATAGTGAGCATGAGGAACGCGAAGCCGAGTGTGCCGTCTGGAAGTGTGCTTAGCGAAATGAACAGAAGGGAGCAGTTCACTAACAGATGATGGATACAACTTGAACTTCCTGGCCGTACTGGTTAGAGTATCCTCCCGCAATCCAGCTACCGTCTCCGCCGATGAACGGGGTGCCACGAATGCGCGTGAACATGTATCCCGAAGTCATCACCAACGACATAATGATCGTGCCCACGGCCCATGTCCAGCGACTCTGCAGAATCGGAGAAATGAATCTCAGAGTGAGAGCGAAGGTGAGAACTCCAGCAGCGAAGGTGATCCAGCGCGAATAGTTGAAGGGCGGGACATATGGGACGCGGACCGGGGTGTGGTTAGACATCTGCTCAGCAAGCGGTTCGGGCTCGAAACCACTACCACAACATCAGTACATTCGGAGACGCGGGTGAACCGGGTTTACTTACTGCGAGAAATCGTATTTCGAGAAATCCGTCTTGCCTGTCGCGCGAGGGCCTTGGATGGGTGGGTAGACGTAGACCACTGGCGCTGACATGAGACCCAGTTGCTGGAACACAGTTTGCCCATCGTCAAAGTCGAGTGTGGCAAAGAAGTGATCGTCGCGAGTCTCCTGCGGGACTTTCCTCCAGGACTTGGCCACGTCGATCCAAGAGGGATTGAACTCCCTAGGTACGTGTCAGAACGGGGTCAATTCGACCGATCCACGAGACTGACCTGCAGGGCGAGCATCTGCGACGCGGGTCGAGGGCGGTGAAGTGGATGGAGGCGGACCAGTCGCGCGTGGGACTGGTCAGAAGTTCGAATGAGGGTCCGTCAAGCTTGATGACGCCGCCGCCCGCAGCAGCGAGGGCCGAGAGCTTTTGACGCGCGCCGTCCGGAGCTGCGCGTACCAGTGACAAAGAGAGAAAGGCAAGGAACGGTAGAATCACCATGGTCGAGTTCGAAAGGCGTGAACTGACGACGTGGAGGGCAAGCTAAATTTGGAAAGGCCTTTTACGTGAACGAATTGAGCTGAGCCGGCGCGATCATTCTCCTGAACTGAACCGCTGGCTCCTGCCTTTTCTCCCTGTGCTCGACATTGAGAGACATTCCATTCGTAATCGTCTCGAGGGATTCTGGTCCCTCTTCGTTGATCCTGCTCTGAGGTCTCTGGAGGCCTCGAAGTGTTGTACTTGTCCGCCGCTCCGGTGTGTTGAAGACAGCCGATGGCAAGCCATGGCCTCTTGCTTCGCTTATTTCTCTCTCCGTCATTCTTCACCGTCCATGTCGCATTGAGATACTTGAACACCTACCCGGACCATGTTGGCATCACTTACTATCTCACATCGAGATTGAAGGAAATCGATACATACGAGTTGCGGGACGTATGGGGTTTCATTTGGTGCGTGCGTTCATGCCCACTCGGCGGATTGCCTGAATTCCAAAAGCCATCTCCTTGTCACCCGACCTTCCAATTCGAGAGCGTTGGAGGCATTCGTCGCAGATACCATCCAACGTTCGACCCATCTGGCCATGCTCGTGCGTGAACTAGCTTCGCGTTCTTCATCATACACCTGAGCATGGGGCGCTTCACAGACTTTGTGGTTCATGCAGGCCTCTCTGAAGGATCTCTCAGCGACATCCAATCGCACACAGTCGTTCATTGTCTGTCAACGCGTCTTGCACAAATGCCATGAAGTGATCTTCGCAGACCTGCCTCCTCCAGCCCCAGCACCATACGCAGCCCTAAGCCTTCCGTTCCAATCTAGATTCTTTCGGCGGAAAGTCAAAACCCATTTCGAGCCAGTGGTCATCGGAATGTCGATGATATTGGCAGGAGTACCGGGAATGCCAAGATTGACTGAGATAATGGGCCAGGTTGCGATCGAGCAGGGTCGAGTCGAAGAAGAGGGAGCGCAATATAAAAGTGTGGAAGCGCAGGACGACGAGGTCACGTCGTATAGTAGCCCCAGTACGGCTCGCCTTTCGCTCGATGACGATGACGACGACGATAACGTCGGGATGTCACAGTCCACGCCGGCGCTCATTATCCAGAATGGCCCAGCATCAACCCGCATATCCTCTTTTGGTCATCGGACTATCGAGGCTGCTCAAACGGCCCCCGCTTTGCCCCTTCACTTCCGGGACATACGTCGTTCCAGACTATCGGAAGATCCTCTGGGTCAGCTCGACAACGAACCGATATCCACACCATATCAATCCACCCCCTCCATACATTCGGCTCGCCCTCTACCTCGATCTGGGTCTACAAACCTTGGAGATATCCTATTAGGCGACTACGACATCCCGTCTCAAACCCATCTGCTACGAAGCCACTTCTGCCGTTCCGAGGTAAGTATCACGACTTGGTGCTTTGTGCTGTCGCTCAATGGAGTAGGTTCAATTCTTATTGACGTTGGAAAACATCTCGAATCGGTTGCTGGTTGTCCCACGTCCGGCGCGCGTGAGTGCCCTGCGAGCGGAGCTTACCGCGTTGAATCACAAGCTTCCCGCCGAAGTTTGCATGCCGATGTGGTGTTCATCGTCAGACGAAATCAAAGCGAACGGTGTGGCAGAACCGCACCACCGGATCGTGCGAATCCCTCCGGGTGAGAGTGTGGTGCTCAATTCGGCCCAGCACGCTCCGTATCTGCTTCTTATCGAGCTGCTCAGCAACGACTTGGACTTTGATCCCGTGAAGCGCGGAAACAAAGAGGTTTTGAAGAAAATTGTTGTCAAGGAGCATGAGAGAAAGGGTGCATCGGCCGATCTGATCCCCTTCAACGGAAGGATGAAAGTCGAGGAGATCACTATTCCTCCAGAACCCGACACCCTGGTTACAGTCGTGACACCATCGGATGAGGAAGAGATGGATCTCGTTGAGCAGCTTTATGGCGCGGACCAATCCTTACGGTCTCAGGCCATGGACTTGTCAGATTCGATTGTGGTTCTGCCTGCTCTGAAGAACAAGGACCTGGATATGGCCGCTTGGTCCCGTCCCATGCCGCCCTCTCCATCGACGAATGAACACGTGCGATCTATATCACGCTCCGCCTCGCAGCACTCGCCGCCCGATTCCTCCGCCCCACACGTGATATCCCTCGACGATTATTCCGAACGGATGCGGACGGCTGCGATCATGCTGGCGCAGCTGAACGCCAATCTGACGCACCATTCCGTCACGCACATTCCAGTCGACGTCACCGTCCCGCTGCGGTGGTTGCCTGGCTCGGCGTGGCTCACCAGTGCTCCCGAAAACAACGGCGCAGCTGATGGACAGGCGGGTGGACGCATGCGACTCCAATACGCCGAAGCCACAGCCATCCGAGAGCGCATCATGAAGGAAATGATGGATCTCGAGGAAGAAAGGATGGCGCGCATGAAGGAGATTCGTGAGGATAGAGCCGCCGTGGGCGAAAGTGTGGCCATGAAATCGGTCGAGGATGAGGGGATCATCATACGCGAACTGGACAAGGCCGATCCGTCTGCCGCTGTGTTCAGCGAGTCGTGGATTGCTAAAAAGGTATTTGCTTACCGCGTGTGTCAGGGCTTTATTTATCTATGCTTTGCAGAGCCGGATCCGGCAAGGCTCGCCATACGGTCATCTGGGTTTGAACGTTCACTTCCTCCTGCGACCAGACGACTCATTCCCCGTAGCAAATTGGGATTGCGTCTCAGTCATTGTCAAGACAGGAGCCGATTTGAGGCAGGAACAACTCGCTGTGCAACTCATCCACGAGTTTCAGCAATTGTGGGAAGAGGAAAGTTGCGGCTGCTGGGTCAGATAGTGAGTGCAGTGGCTAATTGACTGTTCGTCGCCCTGGGCTGATGGGTAACGAGTTTCCGGATCATCATCACTGGGGCCAACTCTGCTCTGGTGGAAACTATCACTGACGCCGTATCGATCCATTCGATCAAGAAAACAGAATATGCTCGACGTCTCGCCGAGGGCCGACTGGGTCATGTCAGTCTATTGGATCACTTCAAGAATGTATGCATCAGCCCAGCCGTGGACGTGAACTTTTCCTGAGCTTTTCTTCAGACATATGGGGACCCATCATCCGCCAAGTTTGCTAGAGCCCAGCGCAACTTTGCCAAGTCTCTGGCAGGTTACTCGGTGGTCACGTATCTGCTGCAGGTGAAGGACCGCCACAACGGGAATATTCTGCTCGATCGGGATGGCCATCTTGTCCACATCGGTGTGTGCTTCGAAGCGTGGCCAGACAACAAACTGATGGGCTTCAGATTTCGGGTTCATGCTTAGCCAGTCTCCGGGAAATCTAGGCTTCGAGGCAGCGCCGTTCAAATTACCTCTGGAATACGTCGAAGTCCTGGGCGGGACACAAAGCCCGATGTACCTCGAATTCAAACGTCTATTCCGCGAAGGCTTCGAGGCAGCCAGGAAGCATTGTGATCGGTTAACTAGTCCGTGGTCCACCCAACTTTTTCGCAGCACCGCTGACTTGTCTACAGCCTTGGTCGAGCTGATGCAGAAAGACTCGACGTTGCCGTGCTTTGCCGCATTCGGCGAGCAAACTGCCAACCAAATGCGGAATCGCATGCAGCCAGCCATGACTCAAGCGCTGGTCGGGGATCACGTCGAGCGCCTGATCGAGACATCTCTGGGGTCTCATTGGACCCGCCTATATGATTCTGTGCGTTCTCATGCTCGCTTGCAGATCAAAAAACTCAATGCTGCCCACAGTACCAATATTACTCGCAATCAATATTATAACCGTCTCGGATGCCACTCGCTATCACGCTATCTGTATTGTTTTGTAATCTACATCTCATAATGACGTCTACGTGGCTGTACATCAAGCACTACGCCTGTCATCCCAAATAGGAATGCAACATTACTGGGTACATACAATAATGCAACGATAACTAGAGCACAATCACAAAGCTACGTCACTTCCAGCACGGACGTTTCGAGGAGGCGGAACAGGGTCGAATCCTTGCTCTCTTCTGACCAGCCGACAACCTCTCGCCAATTCACCGCATTGGCTTCCTTCTCGCCGGCTCCCGCGAAGACACCCGCGTCGTCGTCAGAAAGACCCCGGAAGATCAGGAATAGACGTGTGAAGATACAAGGGTCGTGCGTCACAGAGATGTCGATCGCGGCAGCAATGCGGCTCGGAGACAGAAATCTGTACGCGATATTCTTGTGTGCCGAAAAAGCAGAGATATTCGAGCTGTCGGCAAAAATCAGCTGAGAGTAGTGGATGGACGAGAAAAAGCAGACTTTATAAAGTTGGTGCGGGCATGGATAGACATGCCGAGCTGATCCAGGACGTTCATCAGATGAGGAACAAAGTCCCGGAAGGACATCGCATAGCCGTTTCTTGGCGCGATGTAGTCATTGGGTTCTACCATAGTTTGATCGGGCCTGGAACGAGGGTTTCAGTCAGTCGAGATGCGGACCGGAGAAACACGCGACGGACATGGCCTCGTAATACAGCGACGTTCCGACCATCTCGGACTCAAAGTGCTCGAGTGCGCCTCCGGGATGCACTCGCAAAAAGTACTTGACTTTGTTTTCCGACAGAGTCTCGGCGGGAGGCCATGTGATGCCCAGTTTCCAGAAAGGAGACATGGTGAGCATGATATCGCAGTACTCCACGGACGGCGAGAGCACGCTCAAATGGCACTTCACTGTCGTCGGTTTCGCCGCCACGGCCAACTTCGTCATTACTCGTGAGTCGAATACGAGGTCCGGCGCAGCGGCTTCGTTTGCAAGCCGTGTGCCGCTGAACTCCATTTTGTGGTTGTCGGGATCTTGGTGCACGATGTTCAGCTTGCCCCAGAACAGCCCGTCTACCATCGTCCCGTCCTCCATCCGGGCCATGTCTAGTTCGTCAGAGCTCACTGTCACATCCAGTGCCACATGCTGGCCCGGCGTCAGCTCCAGGTTGAATGATGCCGGCATTTCTAGCACAGGCGGAGGTCTGTGAATAGCGTTGGTGTCATCAGAAACGCTGCAGATTAAGCTCCTTACGGCGGACTGCGGAACATAAGAAACCCGGCGCAGTATCAAATGGGACACAGCACTCACACAACTTCGTCAGGTGGTGGAGGTGCATCACTGACGATCTCGACCCGCAGACCCTGCACACCCATCACTGCGATCTGGAAGGAGTCATCTCCAGTAAGCTATCCGAGAGGAATTCAGCGGGCAGGACAACGTTTCCAGACGAACTTGCGCGCACATAGATGTAAGGGCCGGCCACTAGTCGCTGCGGAGAAAGGTCTGATGAGCAGCTGCACGAGAAAATGAGTCTGATGGAGGCGTACCGCAGCAGCCAACGACGCGAATTCGACTGGAACTCTAAGACTGAATACAGCGTCTGGTGGAGGCTTCGTCCAATCGCGCGCGACCGCTTCCAATTCCTGGGACACGAGATGAGCGAATAACAATCGGCGTTTCAAACTATGCACGGACCGCAAAGCTATTGGGAAGCTAGAGAGCGATTAGTCGTAGGCGACACGCGGTAGCATAGCGTGAGCCACCGCACTCACCATGCGGATAGTTTCCATGTCGCCAAAGGCGAGAGTGAGCAGCCGTTGACGAGCAAGGGCCATCTGTGATGTTTTATCACGCATCTCGTCCTTGTTGCCCTTCGGTTTGAACTTGCCCCAGAACGACTGGGAAGGCAAGCTGGCGCTTGTTGATCTGTTATGGAGAGCGAGCAGCTTGAGTGAAGGTGATGGGGGAATGGGAAGGAGGATGCGTACGCAGGTGAGAGAAGCATGTCGATGCGAAGGAGTGCGTATTAAGTCAGACTACTACAAGGCTCGTAATCCAAATGGGACGAAATCGGTGAAGGCCACGACGAGGACACGAGGCAGCTGTCCACTCTATCGCGAGAATCAGTCCGGATCGTTGCTGATAACGTGCGTTTCGGTGTGGGCCTAAGATGCAAAGCGGCGATGCTTGGTGGAAATTTGAGCTAGAGTACGACCTAGAAGACGGCGTTCAAAGCTGATCGGGGCCGGAGAGGTTGGTGGTGGGTGTTCAAGGGACGCGTGCGGGAACACCATCACGTGACGATTCATCTCCTCCCCCACAGTCCCCGATCTTGAACTTCTACAGAATCCACGATGCTGTTTCGCTCCAAAGCTGTAAATCTGCGGCATATTCTGCTGTCCGTGTACGTGGCCATCACACCTCGATCTCGTTCCCATCCGATAATACTAACATGTAGCAGCCCTAACTCCGCGCGGCGCGCGTCTACGTCCACCAGCGGCCTCGCACCTGGGATCCCTTTCACCCCTTTGGCTCCGAGCTCATTCATGGATGTGAAGATGCCTGACATGTCAGCCAGGATACCGCTTCCCCAGCCTCAGATTGTATGTGACTCCACCTCTGCTCCCTGCTGACTCCACACGCGTCTATCTCAACGTGTTTGTTCGTACGCTCTGACCCTGTGTCATATAGCCGTACATGCCAGATTTCTGGGAATCGTCCGTCTCAAGAGATGCGGACAATGCCTCCGAGATGGTCCTGCCCAAACTGTCTGTCCTGGCCGAGCCCGGCACCGCTTCTCACAATCTCCTTGATGCAAGCCTCCTGGCAGAATCGACTTCTTCTTCTTCTGTTGCTTCTCCGAGTTCTGTGGGTCCCGATGGCCAAAATGGCCTCCTCGAGGATATTGCCGAGGACCTCGGGCTTCCATCGCCCAAAGCCATGAAGCGCGCCGTTTCCAATCTTTTCCAAAATTTCAAATAATTACCAGACCTCGCATTATGCATTATGTACAACATCGGTATCCCCCGCGTTCTCGACTAGCCCTCTGCCCTGACCACGGCTACTAACCGCCCTGTGCCCTTACACTCCCGCGAGCCCACGATTCTGGCCTCTGCCGACAGCTCAAAACGGCCATAAGCAAGGAAGCATAATCCCGTTTCGACCTCGTGTGACTCATCAGGCTCTAATCGTCCAATGGGCAGGTCCCGCGTCAGACCCTCGTAGATCACGTGTTGCAAGGGCTGCAAGTCCAGGTCGACTGTGAAAATTTGCGATGTGACTAACCGAAAGAAAGATATCGTCAGTAAACCGTTGGAACAAGGGTGACGAACACTGACGAGAATTGTTCGTCACTCTTATCCGGAGATACACAAATTCACTGTATGGTGGGTGGTACTTGTCGCCATGCTCAACCATCGGCGATTCGCTGGTGTGCAGGCTTAGATGGATGGACGCAGTCTCCGTCCGCAACGTCTCCAGCATGGGCAAAGTCATCCTCTGCTGCCGCAGAGACAAGTCACCGGCCCGGGTTCCTCCCGCCTGCGACGGAACAGTCAGTCAGAAATGACCCGACCAGAGATGGGAAACCCACCTCGCGCCATCGACCGCGAATGCATTTGAACAACTCTTCTCGGTACCAAAACAGCTCGCGCTGAGACCGTTCCTGCTCCTTGGATAGCTTTGATTTGGCCACAACGAATTGCCGTTCTGATAGCGTGGGGATGGGCTGTGAGATGTGTTCGTCGGAGAGTATAAATTTCTTGATGGGGATGACGATTCTATAAGCTTTATTCAACGCGTGACACCGCAGGATGGAGGGATTGTAGTTACCTTGATGTCGAGCCTGGCGAAACGATCGTAGATGTTTTCGCCCTTGATTTGCCCGCTTGCTGGGTTCGCTCAAAGGAGACCTCGAAAGGAAGACCGTATGTATTCCGGACTTCGACTGAAAAGAGACACCAGCCAGACTCAGTGCTCTCGTCAAGATCGAAGGGGTGTGACGGGAAAGGCAGGACATCCATGCCGTGGCATTCCAACATATGGTAAACAGTCACCATCACAGGATATGAGAGTTGTCGCGTGTGGAAAACGGAGGGTTGCGGTGTTTCCAGTGACGGCGCAGGCCGGTGCACGTAGGCGTACGAGACGTGGATTGTCCCTGTAGTGCTGTACAGAGGCTCAGGCATCAAACAACCCAAAAGTTTGAGAACACATACCAGCCCACTTTCCCAAAACAGTTGATATTCACGGTCACCTTGCTTCCCGGAAGGACATTAATGTCTTTGCCCTCCTCCTTATTCCATGCAAACACAGGACGATGCAATAAATCGAATTCCGTCTCATACGTGTCGAAGACCGACAGATCGCCGTTGGCGAGGTCTTGCTGTGCCGGCGCGATAGTCGAGTCGTCGAAAACAAGTCGCAGGAAATCTATGGGCAAAGACGAGACGTTCTCCAGTGTGAGTCGAATCATTGCCCTGATCCCATCAGCGGTGGGAAAGTCGAGACACTGCTGAGCTCACATCTCGCCGTTGTACATCATGACCGCGCCATGCGTCACCGACGTCCGACGGATGCGGAGCAGCGGCTGTTCCGGAACGACGCTGAGCTCGAGGAACTTCGGTGGACTTTGTTTGGAGGTCTTGGCTGTACTGGATCGCTTCGCCGCCTTTTCCCATGGAAAACAATCGAGCCCCGGATACTTGAATCGGCCCACCTCACACTCTAGAGCAGCCCGTTTTCGAGACACCTGTTCGGAATCCTCTCCGCTGGGTACTGGAAGCGTATACTCTCTAGGCTTTCCACCCGGGGCTTGCACAAAACAGCCTCTAATGACGAGTGAGCCTGTTTCAGAGGCTCGGCCCGACAATGTAACCACGTGATAGGAACTGGCCGGTAAGACCACCCGAACTGGCTTGCACTCGAATGGAACGCCAGATGTGCTGTCGAAAGTGAGACGAGCCCTCTGGATGGCCGAAAGACTTAAATTCACGTACCTCAACGTCAAAGACTGGATCTCCAGGTCGAAGACATAGTGATTGCGAAGAACGAGTGTAAAATCCAACATCTCGTTCTGCACCACCAGCGACTTGCCCTGTCCCAATGCTCGCCTCGGGTTGTAAAGGAAAGGATCCGTTGCTCCCGTCAATATTGGCGCGATGTCTGAGGATCTACGGTCAAGAACTGATAGAGGCTTCTCCAATGGCAGCCGGACTAGAGGCAATCTGCTCAAATTTGAGTTCATCGGAGAGCCACATGTGTCGGGCGACTGACGCTGAAAGACTGATGCTGATCAGAGGCTTGCCAGACCAGTGCTCCACCGATCTTGTTTCGCCTCTTCGGTGTGCTGTCACCAAAGCACGTCCAGAAGTCGTGTACAGATGGTACTGATCCCCAGGAGCAAGCACATTCTGCAGAGTTCGCAGTGCAGATAGAGAGAACTGGGCGACAGACAGATAGTCTGGATAAACGTGAATGGGGCATCAGAGTCCCAAGCAAATCCACTGACCTGGCAGGGCCTCAGCCACGGCTACCGCCTCTCGAACAACCCCGACTTGCAGTTCAGGCCACCCATAAGGTTCCATGAACTCGCTGGCGATCTCCTCTTCGACGCTCGTCGGCGGCATTTGGGAAGTCCCCTCGTTCTCGGACCCCTCCGATAGTCGCACCGCGTCGAGATTGATGCCGAGAACCCTGCATATGTATTTCAATAGCCTGAGCACACTCTCGTTTCCACCAATGTTCTCGGTGAATCGGACACCGACGTTGCCACCACGCGAAGAGCCCGAGCTGAGCGTGGCGCCGGCTGAGAGTGGAACACTAGAGAGTCTCGAGAAACCATCCTCTTCTCGACCACAGACGATTAGATCCATGACGCAGCCGAGGACTTCGCGCAGGATGTAGGCCTCTTTTCGTCGGTAACCCAGACACGAGTAGATGCTTGCGGTCGCCTCTAGGATGCTGATTCTATCCCGCGCCCCAAGATGAAGCAACCACGGGCCATGGACCTGGGCAAGCACGGCGGAGATCGTCGCTCGCGAGATGTTTGACATCGTGCTCAGCCGTTCCAAGCTTGCCCAAGATGTGATGCCGTGCGTAAGAGTTGGCGGAAGATAGGGCGTGGGCCCAGGTTGGAGCATCGTACTGAATGCAAGAGGGCCCCAGCCCTTGGCAGACCAGACGGCGAACAGAAGCGATGCTTGCCGGAGGACTGCACAGCTATACAAATAAGACAGCAGCGAGTAATTATGCTCTCCGTCGGGAGACTGCGGCCGGTGGTACAGCGAAATCGCATGCCCCAGTCGATCAAAAACGTCACTCCATGGCTCCCGACTGGCGGACAGTGATGTATTCAGTCCTTGGCCGGCGGACCACGCTTCCATGATGGATACCGTCGCCATCCCTTCCAGCGTCGCCGCCTGCCAGACTGCATCCGTAGAAGATCGGAAAAGTTGGAGCGCTTCGTTGTACCTGGCCCTCAGTCAAGCACATGTATGCAAAACTGACGCACACTCACCAGACACCGGCGTCCTCCATCCTTCCTGCGAGCAGAAAAAAGTCCCCGAGGACCTTAAATAGCCGCCCATGAGAGGACGCTACTCCGATACTGCTCAGCCTCTTCTTCGACGGAGGCACGCCCAGCGTGGATTGTCGGGCCACCGAGCCCCGTTTCGTCGCCGACAGTCTCGCATCTGGTACTGCCCCATTAGATGGCGCAGGGGACATAGAGTCCCTTCGTTGCGGTTGGTTCAAGGGTATCGGAAGGTCGGACGGTGGGACCATTGGCAGCAGCACAGAATTCAAATGCTCATTCCCAGCCGGACTCTCGAGCCCCGCAACCTAATCCCGATGACATTGTACACAACGCGTCTGGGAGACGGAAAGGACTCACCAGGGTCCCAAATTCACCCAGCACATGCGAGCACAGATCACCCAGCAACGTCCCGATGTAAAGCTTCTTGTTGCTGATGATACTCGGAATGACAACCAGGCCCGGCAGACTCTCCCCCAGATTGACGTTCGTGTTCCCTTCGCCTTCCTCGAACACGAAGCAGTTCTTCGCCATCGGGTACACGCCGCCGCCCGGGAATATGTCGAGCAGCGAAGCATTGAAGTCATCGTAGATGGCAGGCAGACTGTCGGTCTTTGAGCACGCGCCGAGCCCGATGACGGCCAGCGGAAAATGCGAGGGTCGGAGGAGGGAGAGCGGTAGGTGTGAGTGCGGAGGCGGATGTGACGGAAAGCTCAGATGTAGGTATCCCGTAGAAAGAGGACTCGGCATGAATCGAGCTACGGTCGGATAGTCAGTCCCCCAGCAGCAGCGCACGCAATTCCCAACACAGTGCTCACCCTTTTCATCCTTGTTGTCCGCCGGTATGTCGCCCAGGCGAATCGAGTCGAAGGTGCGTAGCTCAGCTGCGTAGCGCTCGAATGAGGTTTGCGGGATGCCGCCCACGGGCACGAGGAGAATTTTGACTTGGGCTAGGGATGCGAAGGCATAGCTGTCCATGGCCGAGATCGCGCGAATGGGAGGCGCACGACCAGAGGCTGTTGGCCGATGGAGGTAGAGTATGCAAGCAGCACTCAAGATCAGTCGCGTCAATTCGATCACGGCATGGACGTGTCAATCTGCTTCACGCTCTCTCACTCTCTCTCTCAAACCGCTTTTCAAAATGGTTCGCCGTTGTCCTCTCAATGGGCTCACGGGTCAACCATATAATCATACAGGGCGCAAGTGACAAGGCTCTCGGCGGCTCGATGCTGCTGGCAGCGGCTTTCGTGTTCACATATTACACTGTCTGGGCATTGCTTTTGGTCAGTTTCTTCTCCGCGAGTTGAGGCCCTTGATATCCATAGACTCATCCCCTCAAGCCTTTCTTCCCTTCTTCAAGCGAAATCCATCAATTCTTCCCGGACAGGCAATGGGCTGTCATTCTTCCCGCATGTATACTTGTCGTCGGGTTGACTGGGATCGGTGGATTCGTCGGAAACACCCTCGTCAAGGAGCAGCGCAAGAAGGATCAACGCGCAAAGTTGCGTACGGCTTGAGTTGTGCGTTCAAATCTGTCATTACAATTGCATAAATTCTCATGAAGCCACAGTGTATTGTTCTACATATTATGCATTGCACCTATCTTCCTTGCCCTGCTCGCACCGACTCGAGTAAACGAACTTTTTCGGCTGCTATGAAATCCTTCACGGTCTGGTGCACCAGTGCGTCCGTTCCTATGTCGGGTGGCGGCTCGGAGAGGAATTTGAGCGCGCGAGTGACCTGGAAGAAGTGATTAAGGATCAGTGCACCGACACTGCAGATTACACGGCAAATATACCTTGCTCATCGACGAGTCCTGACCGCCAATCGTCTTCAAACGATTCAGAATAGATACCTGTGGCTGAATCTCGAGTGCAGCGGGAGTGCGAAGACAGCGCAAGAAGATGAAGATGTCCGCAATCGTGGACCATGTCATGGAAGCGATCGTCTACGTGGCCCATCAGTTCAAGGTCTCTGCATATTCCGAAGGGCTTACCAGAGACATGCCCATGCCGAGGTTACCCTCCAGCACGCCGATAAGTCGCTCGAATGGAGGCCACAACTCGTTCCACACCATCAGCGCCGAGGCATTGCTCTCAGCTGAAGTCTTATGGATGAGAAGTAGCCAGAGCTTGAGCGCAATGTAGGCATGGTTGATGTCTGTAGTGGCTTCATCCACGTTGGTTGCCAGCGTCGAATACGCCCTCAGAGTGCTGTTGTGTAGGGTGGAGAATGCTGAGAACATTCCAAACACGGGTCCGATGGCTGTGGTCGAATTTTCGAGTAGGATGGCAAGCAACGTGATGTTCCATGTGCGAACACTCAGATTCTGTCGTCCTGCGCGCTACAAGTACAATCAGTGCCGAGACCTGGGTGGATAGAGCGCAGACAGACCTCGGTAGAGTCAGACAAGCGGCCGTATATGCTGCTGTTCAACGCCGCTGCCTGTACTACCAGCTTCGCGACAGCAAGGCAAGCATAAAAGTCATTGTCCGAGCGTGGATCGGTCCAAGTGTAGTTTTGAAGGAACGGGAAAGCGAACTCTGCCATACTCATGAAATGATTTGTATGGGTGTTGGCAAACGACATGAGGCCCGGCTGGTCTGGGGATGCGACAACCTATTGCGATGAGCAACAACGCCTGGACATTCGAAATAACTCCACCTCGATCATGGACTTCAACGACAAGGGGGATGCGCGTGCTTTGAACCGAAGGACGTCCGAGAGGGCTTCGAAGACTGCAAACACCACTGGACTGGCTTCGCCCGGCTGCGTTTTGCGATACATACTTGCAGTCACATGAATCAAACGGGACAGGCTGTCGAACTCTACATTCACCCGTTGCAATAGCACTCGGAGAATAGAATCTACCGCCAAGACCGTTTCCTGGTAGAAGATCAGACAGAATCTAGCATCAGTTGGACGACTAACTCGGCTGTTAGACTTGTTGTGTTGGATAACCAGGGCGGGGATCATAAAGAGCGGACCGGTCTCCAATGCAGCCCCTTCAGCGCTGAGTTCCATGAACCGTCGAGCAATGATGACAATCTGCTGGCCCACGACTAGATCCGTCAGCACAGCAGCCGAAAGGATGTTCCAGAGGCAGACGACGCACAAGCCATGAGATCGGCGGAATAGTTCTGATGATGCACCACCTCCATGAACGTCAGGACGTTGCCCATCATCGTCTGGATTGTTGCGGCGTCGTTCTCGGCGATCCGGGGTAGCGTGTCGCGCAGCAATGTCTCCCGGAGTGTCTCCCCGACCGCCTGCCGTGCCTTCGCGTCCGTTATGTCTTTGACGATCGTGAATAGATTCGGATCCAGACGTCGCTACGTCCCATGAGCCTGGCTTGCCAAGAGGGGGTGACTGACTCTGCCCACCTTGAACAAAGTAGCCACGAATCCGTTGCTCGCATACATCGTCAGCGTGCTTCCGACAAACGCTTTTGCCTGGCCGACCAACGCGTCTTGAGGGCTGTGAGGCTGCATCGCGATCAACTTGCACGCTTGCTCGACTGATGTGCTGTGAACAAACGTCAATTCTCTATCCCATCGCTGGCACCCGCCGACGCACTAGACGATCGAACCAGTGTACGCCGGCCAACGCTTGATAAACGCCTGAGTGGCCGAGAGACAGAGTTGGCGGATTTCGTAGCTGACGTCGTCCAGCATCAGCTCAAGCACGCGAAGGACCGCCCGTCGGAGGGACGGCTGCAGATGTTTCAGGCGCCGGTGGTCAAAGTTGTGCTTGTAGAGCGTCACTCCCAGCGACTCGACGAGACTCTTCAACGTCAGAACCGGGAGCGACATCAGGTCACCGGTGCAAATCAGGTTGAGTATGACATCGGCGAAGGCCGATCCCACGAGGAAAGACGCATCGTTGTGTTCCAGCGGATGAGGTGCATCCAAGAGCATGAACAATTCATTGACGCAGGGCAAAAAGTTCTCCGGGATGTGCTGCGAATCTCCAAAATACACAACAATGTTTTGGCCGCTGGTGGAAGGAGCAACAGACACGTCGGCAAATCCGATAGCTTTGACGAGGGCGACCTTGATCTTCTGGATTTGGAACGGGTCAATAGGCACACCGTCTGAGATCATGCGCAGACTGAGCAACAGAGTCGTCCCGCGTAGGATCGACATGTCGGGATCTGTGTTGAAAGACTGCACACCGACTTCGTCTCTCGAAGAGGCCAGACCGTACAAAGACTGGCTCAGAGTCAGGGAATACATGCGGTGGCCCATGTCAGACGTACCAAGTGCGTTGCAGATCTCACCGTGTCGTTTTTATGGTCAAACTCGTCCTCAGAGAGCCCGATCTCGATGATGACCTCCCACGTCAGCACTGGAACAACGGTTATTGGCCTCTTTTCAGCTTTTTCGTGTAAAATCATACCTTTCCACGATGGGAAATGAGGTCGGAGTTGTATCAGAAATGAGACGAGTTTCACTCTCTCTGCAATGGGAGAAATGGCCAATGCCTCCGTCCAGCAGTGACTAATCGCATCAAAGTGCGGGGGAAGCAAGCTAGACGTGAACGTATCGACCACGACGCGAATCTCTTCCTTAACAATAACATCAGCCCACAACATGAACGCGATCGGAATAAGGACCGACCGACCTTCTCGTCCACCCACAAAGCAGAAAAGAAGCGATAAAAGACCTCGATGACACTCGACCTCCACTGTCGACCATCGATGTTGAATAATGGACTGGTCACATCCATGACGACTCGGAACAGTCGCGTCACGGCCAACAAGCTGCATCGTCATTTAGATCTGCAAGTCGTCTAACAAGACGGACGGGCTCACCGCTGCTGCCATTGCGCAGTAGGAAGAAGCCATTCGTGGAGCAACTGCTGGAGAGGCTGCGAGTCCACAACCACGACCCTCAGGAAAAAAGACGTTCTGACTGACGAGATGTCGTGTCGCTGTATCTCATAGAATTTCCAGGCGCTGCACACCGAGCATAAGATAAGGAGGTCGTTTCATAACAAAAACACACACCATTCAGTGAGAAACCGTGCATTGCGCAAAATGAAGTTGTCAACTTCATACGACTGCAGGAACGGAGTGTCGTGCAGGAACAGGTTCAAGTACTTGGCGATCAAACAGGGCACTTCCTCCACGGTTGCCGTCGTCAGATAAGTTTCCAGCGCGTGCACTATTTCAGCGTGGATCACAATTGGGTCCGTTTGAGGCTCGCCTCGGCCATTGACTTTGCGCCTGCGATTACGTGAGTTTGTGTGTTCAACGAGCATACAGGATGCACAGACCGGCTGGGAAGCGAGTCAACTTCTGATCCCTTGATGAGGCCCAAATCGACGATGGTCTCTCTGTGCGAGCCATACAGCAGCAGACAAGTGCCCAATGATTTGCGAATGAACTCAAGACTGGTGACGGCGATGTGATGATCAGTGAGTGACAGGGGCGGTATAATATATCGTTTACATCTGAGGAACGGCTAGCCGGGCGGCAAGGTCTTCGACGAGGCGAGGCAAAAGCAGCGTGTGCAGCGAAGCGATGACTGCCTGAAGCCTTTCTCTGGACGCTGGCCGCAGCCAAGTGGCGGCCATTATCGCTTCAACGAGCAGCGTCGACTCCTCCAATGATGCGTGGAAGAGGGGTGCGAGAGACGAGAAACGTTCGAACACAGCGGCTGATATCTCGACACCAGAGCGAGCAAAGCAGCAAAGCCATTCTATGCTGCGGAGAAAGCCGTCTCTCGATTGCGAAGCCGTATCTACGACAACCCGCCATGGGTCGGTCTGAGCTGACATCTGCGCGAGGTTCGCTAGGTCTCCGTAGGTGCTGTGACGCTGAGAAAGATCTGCATCACGCGGAAAGAGGCGCAGCAAAGTAGGCATAGGCTAAGGTAAAGTAAATCAGATGAAGGAAAACCAGAGACTGGAGCTGTACCATCATGTACAGACCAGTGTCTGAAACACGCTCCAGCCATCGCAGGAATAGCGACTCGAACACGAGAGTCTCGCCATCATCCGAGACAACCTCCACGAACTGCTGGATGCTGCCTAGAATTCCGTCTAGAGAGGTGGCATCACGTAGCTGTAAATGACCAGGTGAGTGACAGAAAGCGCCACGGAGATCGGGACAGCACTTTTTGCTCCTCGGCGGTGAGAGCTGGCGATGTGTGGGACTGCGCTTCAATGATCTCGCAGCACACTTCATACACCAACGTGCCATACAGTTCAGGATCAAGCCTGTACAGTTCTGACAGCCATTTCAGGACATATCGGCTCTGAAGAGCCCTTCTCGCAGCCAGATAATCGCCGCCATTATTTCCGCCATTTGCCGGAGCCATACGACCAGATCGGGAAGAAGCCCACGTAACAGAGTCTGTCGGTAGACGCACACCGGGCAGTGGTCGACCTTTGGTAAGATAGTCTCGAAGAATAGTAGCCAGCACTTCTTTCTTGGGGCAAATCAGCAATGTTTACTTGACTGTGACTATTCACACAGCCGTACCTCAGCGACGATCCACGTGACCACTGCGCGTAGGAGTCTTTTCAAAGAGTAGTCTGTCGCCATCCCATTCGGCCATAGCTTTCGTAGAAGAAGCAGAAAGCCCGTCTCGTTTACCGAGAGATCCAAATCGGCCAAACATGCCTCGATCGCGGAATACAGCGTCTCAACCTGACTAGAGATGTCCATCCCTAGCGGAATCGGGAAGACACACATTGAATCAGAGTTCGCCTGATCGACGTCGACAAACGCTTCCGCAGGGTTCAGTGCGGTGAAAAAACCGAGATCTTGCAAGTGGGACAGCAGAAACTGAGCGGCGACATCACTGTGCACGAGGAATTCGTATCCAAGAATGTCTCGCATATGGCCGAGCGGTGCCATTTCAAAGGGATGCTGGGACTCGGAGGCAGGCTCTTCCCCAGAGACATTGAGAAAGGTGGACGACGTGATCGGGATGGGGTAAGGAGATTTGATGGTGCTGGCAATGAACGTTAGATGAGTCCAATCATACAGCAGGCCGTGGACCGATCGCGGCTGCTTTGACAGCTCGAGATAGTCGCCCATGGATATCGATTGCCGCAGCAAATCAGAGGCTAACAGCCCCTCGCACCAGCGTAACACGTGATGCAACTCGAAATCATCTACTTTGTGGCCCTTGGCGTGAGCTGCACTCTTGCCCTTCTGGAGGATTTCGATGGAGCCAGAGGATACTCCATTTGTCATTATTTGCAATTGCGCCCAAAGCATTCCAGACAAGATGCAGATCTCTTCATAGCTTTTGGAGCTAAGCTCTTGCTCAGTCAAAGAGAGCACCGAGGGATAGTGTTCTTTGCACGATGCTCGCAGCATAGCCCATTCGATCGAAATAGACTCGGGGCTGTGCGTGGTGCCTTTTCCGAAACACGTGTGATCGGGAAGCACGCAAGTCGAATGGACGAACTGAAAGCACAGCCCGCAGTGCAACCCTTGCCGCGAGCATCCCCAAAGGGGCTTTCGACACACACAGCACAGACACATCGTGAACATGTTCACTAGCCTCCATGAGTGTCCACCAGTCCTCCTCGGCCGAAGATGCCAGCGATCATCGAGAACAGTCGAAAAGCGGAACGAGGCGAGCCGTTGAACGTTTTCATCCGGCGAATATGGCAGGACAAGACTACCCCCGGGATCGTCGTGGCATCCGAAATGAACACTACACAGACAAAATGGACACTGGAGTCCGAAACCTTCGACAGATGCTGCGCAGGAATGACATGGAACAAGTTGTCCGTCATAGCGCCAGGGGAGAAACTGGTGGACATGGAGGTGCGGAGATGATTGCGGATCGAGCGGTCGTGCGATAACTAAATGCCCCAGAGCCTTGGGCCAAAATCTGAAGAGAAGAGCCAAGGCCGAGCGCCGCGCCTGAGGATGGTAAGCTGCAACTTCCAGAACATCCATGTAGGCATCGGGTTTTGCAGAGACAATGAGATCCATCAGTCGGTAGAAACGGTGAACAACATCAAGGCGCTCTGAGTTTGCATCCACAAATTCGAGGACGGTGGCAAGTAGCGGAGATATCAATGCAGCCAGGCGCGTGACCACTTGCGACTGGCCAGGTGCACTGGCAGAAACAGTACACTTGTCAGTAGCCGTCGCTGAAGACCAAGGGGCCCAGCCGTATGGCCCGTTCTCTGTCGGAGAGTCTTCGTACGCTGCGACCGTGATGGATATGGCACCAGGAATCGCATGCACTTCTGAAGAGAGGGTCACCGGTTTATAATTCAAACGGCTGTCTCACGTACCGTCTCTCCCCGCTTCATTTCTCATTCCACGAGCCCGCTGGAGATCGTCCAAAAGGTGACGGAATATGCCCTCTTCAAAGAAAGAGAGCAGGCGTATATGCATCTCTGACGGAAATGAAGAGAATGCCGGTATCAGAGCAAGACTCAAGTCAGCAACGATCTTGGAATCGTGCCGATGAGTGTGGATCAGAAACTGCCCGACATCGAGCACCATGGCCTGCAGTGAATTTGGCGGCCGCGAAGGCCGAGGTAAGTGCATACGGAAACGACAGTCCTCGAGAATTATGGAAGCGAGGACAGATACACATTGTTCAAGTAGATGAGGTGGTGCATTAGGATGGGCAGGGGACGGAGATCGAGAACGCCGCCCGGGCTGCAAGCTATTGCGGCTGCGTGATATGCGAAAAGGGGACTTATTCTGCTGAGCAGGCATTTCTGCTGCAGACCTAGCTGGAAATTGGTCAACAGTTGAATACATGCAGGCTTATTATGCACCCTTCGTCGAATATCTGCCATCCCTGTGCCGCAGATATGATCAGGACGTCCCGAAGCTGTGTCAAGAGATCCAATGTCGCGTCCGTCGAGAAAGTCATATCATCCTCTTCCTCCTCTTCATCCGAGTTATTGAGAGTGGGAGACGATATCTCGGATAGCCCTGTCCGCTTCTTGACAGCAACACGGACGGTCTGCGCTATGGCAGCAAAACTATGGCTTCCAGCACCGTCATAAGTCGTGGTAAACGTGTCATAGAGGGGGGGAGGCAGAGTACGTTCTTGAAGTTGTACAAGGACGAGAGCGAGGAGTTTACGGGATTCTTGTCGAATCCTGTTCTTGGACGAACGTAGCTTCTCAGTGATCGAAGACGGTTCAACGGTAAAGGAAGGGAGAGGTGTCGTGGGGGTTGTGGGCACGGTGGGTGATGGAGGATTAAGTTCTATGGAGAGCCTGGGATCCAAGTCAGTACGGATAGCGGGTGGACGAGTCGCCATCTCCGGACGCGTCTCGTCCAAGCTGGGTTGTCGCAGCTTGATGACGTAGATGTAATTGGTCAAACACGCCACCCTATCAATCCTCTGTTATGCCTTCGACTAGACAGGCAGCGCGCAACGCGACGAGAAACAGTGCAGAGGAACAGTCAGAGCCTTCTGCTCAGAAAAAGCATCAGCGGTACAATCTTCTGTTGTCGCTTGAAGCAAAAAGTTTCTTAGACTGCCCTGATCCTAGGCCCAAACGGAAACGCGCTCCTACGTCGTCAAACTTGGTGGAAGACAACTCGGAAGATCATGAGCCGCCCCCCAAGAAAGTTTCTCGCACCTCGCCTCAAAGCACGCATAAGCTGAGGAGCAAAACGCAAAAGTCAAAGGAGCTTGATCGCAAGTCCAGTACACTGGCAAGCAAGGCAGCTGGGGCGAGGAAGAGCAAAGGCAACGGGTCCCGACAAGATATGCCAACTCCCAAGAAAAATAACTCTGGACCGCGTTCAGCGAAGAAGTCCTCCAAATCCAGGTCTTCGCGGACCGTACCGTCGGACGAATCGGGGGACGAAATGGATTCAGATGGTGCGTCTGACTGTTGTTGAATCGCTATAAGGGAGCTCAACATCCTCCCAGACATAATTGAGTCCCGTTTTCGCACTCGTAAGAGATTATCAGCCAAGGATCTTGCGCTCGAACGACTTAGACGCAAGCGACTGGGGCTCAGTCCTCCCAAATCGGAACCCTCCACCGACGAGTCTAATGATGAAAGTGACTTCAACAGTCTTTTTGACGAAGATTCGGAGGAAGAAGTGAACTCGTCCGACTTTATTGTTGAAGACGATGGGGCAGGAGCAGTTGTCTTGCCAGATGAATTTAGCATGGACGCGCATGAGAATGGAGTAGATCAGTTCAAGAAGATCTTTCAGTTTATGGTCAGTCCTCAGGAGCTTGTAGGGTATTCGTTGACAAGCTATTTAGGTCCATCTCGCCGTACAGACCGAGCCAGAGAGAAAACAATATATGACCAAGACACTGAAAGGCACTTCTCCTATCTTTCTCTTTGAATAGTCTCTCAGTCCGTGCGCAGGGGAGAAATATTTCGCTGTGCCAATTCAGGCCATGAGAAGCAATCTTTCGAGTATCCGTGCCTCACTGACAAACTCTCGCTGGAAACCCGAATTCGCTGCGCTGATCGAGAAGCTTCCCGATTATGAGGTCAAAGACGTTTCAGCCGCGACCTCGTCGAAAATTTGCGATGTATGCGGTACGAAGGGCAAAGGAAGAGACTGGAAGGTTGGGAGGTTTGGTGGCTATGCGTATGATCGTGTTGGGTTCAAAGTGAGGTCTTGCTCGAGTGCTGGTGTGCTCAATATTGAAGGTCCCATTCTAGGAAGTGGATGATCAACAATCCGAGTCTTCTGACGAAGACACCGATGATGAGAGGGTCGTCCGACCTACATTTCAACTCGGCTCATTTTGTGCTCAACGAACGAGAACTTATCATCAATTGACGCACTGGGAGCATAATCTATTCAAAGCAGTTCTGCGCGAGGTGGATCAGCTTTACGAGATATCTCAAGGGCGTGGCTCTGTCGTTGACGATAACAATGCATTTGTGCACGCGACATATCGAGCGGGTCTCGCACCTCCTGAAGATCTGCAGGATGCAGTAGGTCCATCTCCCCACATACAGTACTCAAGATTGTGACTCTTTCTGCCAGGATGGCATCAATGATTGGCTTGTCAAACGCGGTTTCAGTGACATCGAGTGGAAGAAAATCAAAGACATGATCACCTCGGCGCAGAATCTGGAGAAGGCAGCGAAACGCGGAGAAACAGATTAGAGGAGCGGAAGCTTGAGATGCAGTCATGACACTAGATATTTATCAGCATTTTGTACAACACTGCATTCAATCTTCTCGTACAAAGATAAGTAAACCTATTCCTGAAAAACGCGTGCTATTCACAGTCCACGATCCATAACTCTTTGCACGTGGTCGCGACCGCCTTGCTCCCACTCGTCCCAATATGTCGCAAGCAAGGCCGAATCTCTTCCTAGACCAGCGCCTCTCCCGCTACTGACTGGGCGGCCTGGCCTGCCCTCTGGTAAGATCCATGTCCATCTCATAGTCCCTTCGTGATTCAACCCCATCTTCTTCGCCAGAGCAACACTCCCCAGATTGTCCGAATTGGCAGTCCACTGCAGGCGCCGCAAACCTAAACCACCCTGTTCCGAGGTATCCAAGCAATATTGCATCAGCAGGCCCACAGCATTGGATGTGACGAAGGTGCGCTGGTAGGCTGGGAAACATATAACTGGGCCGATCTCTGCAGACAGGTTCCGCGTTGTTGCGTGAAGAAGACCGATGATCCCTGCGAAGCCATTTCCTCTCGTTTTATCGACGACGGCAAACAGAAAGGCGTCACTGCTCTTCAGAATGTGTTCCTCGAGAAAATCCGCGTCGATGGTTACAGGAATGTATTGGTGGATATCAGGGTTGGCCGCCAAGATTGAATAGAGTTCGGGACCATGTAGATGCGGGTCGAAAGCGACCAGTTTTACGCGAGCAGATTCGAGACCGCCCTCAGGCACAGGGAAGTTGAAAGGGTAAGTCATGCCGACGCGTAAGTATAGGTCAAAGCTCAATGTTTATCAGTTGACTCGGAAATCTTCAAATCGTCTCCGCTAAACCCGAACCGGCCGATACATACGAAAACCCGAAATGCCGAATGTAGATCGCGTCAAATCCATGCTTCCAGTAAACAAGCAACACACAGCAAGTGTAGCGCACAAATCCTGCAAACTTGCTTCACGGTTATCGAGTTCGCAAGTGCAACAACTAGAGAACGTCGAGGTCAATGAAGTTAGATAAATAAAAGGAGTATCATATCACGTGATCGTCCCGCTGTCATTACCAGGGGATTTGGACACAGAGCACGACCCTCAAGCTCACTGGTCTCTTTTTGACTTCTAATGTCTCAACAGCATACGAATCCCGTCGCTCCAGTCAGTGCTCAAGCAACAAACACGATCTCGACTCCGGCAACACCAACTTCTGTTACTCCAGCTGCTCCCACAACGCCGGCAACACCAGCAACGCCAACGCCATCAACACCAGCCACTCCAGCGGCTACCCCAGCACTACCTGCGGGATACCCTTATGCATTTCAAACTCCTTATACCACGCATCCAGCGTATTCCCAAACGCCTGGGGCTCATCCGTATCAGAGCCCCGCGTCTTACGGGTATCAATGGAACTACCCTTATTACACTCCTCAAGCCTCCGCCCCTGCTACCCAGCAGCGAGCTGTGCCTGTAACGCCTTCCCCTGCTGCTTCCCGACCGGTGATTCCTGCCGCTGCCACTCCCAGAGCCACAACCTCTACGTTTTCGACGTATCAGCCTTCTCAGCTTAGAGAAAGTGTTACTGCTGCTTCGACCGCGGGTGCAGCCGGCCGAGGCCCCCGAAAGCAAGCAAGCGTGCGAGGGACATTCACGAAAGAGCGTGCGTATCATCCCATCCCTTCTTTAGGGGTCTCATTTCTCACTGTTTCCAGTCAAGAATCTCATGTACGGCTTTGGCGATGATCGCAATCCAGCCAACGACACGGTGAATGTGATGGAAGAGATCCTGTTGGAATACATTACTGATGTGGTGCGTGTCTGGATCCCCGAGAGACCATCTTGTCTGAAACGTATTCAGTGCCAAACTGCTGGGTCCCAGGCTAAACGCGTCCGTCTATCCATCGAGGATCTCAGGCGTGCTTTGTCTCGACCACCTGATGCTAAGAAGCTTGCTCGGATGGAAGAGCTGCTATTCATGCAGGAGGACATCAAGCGTGCTCGAGCACAGTTTGAAGAAAATGACGTTCACAATCAACGAGACTTCTAAACCCGGAGCCGCAGGTCGGAGAATCCCCATCCAGATTCCAGGCACCCACACTAGCTAGACATGTGAAGATCTTGTGCAACTTCCTATGGTAGATCGAAATCTCTGCGACGGCTCCGAATCGCCCGTGACCATTCCATCGGCAGCCGCTACTCCGAGCGACACTATTCTTCCATCGCGTCATCATCTTCGCCGTTCTGTTCAGCATCTCCGCCATCTCGACCGCGGAGACCTGGTGATCAATGTCATATGTGCGGTCCCGAAAGTTGGGGCGATAACATACCTGCGCCGGATGTAGTTGATTTTGAATTGGCCTTGAGCCATTCCTCGTTTTCCCAGACTGGTTGGATATATTAAGCCTCTAAGAATAGATCGTGTCGTGAAGCGCTCACTTGCTCTGTTCCCTGCGGGCAACTGCGCCAATCCTTTCATCGGACGTGCGAGATTTACTTTGACAACTTTGCCATTCAGTTCATTCTGGTCCATGTTGTCGATAGCATCTTGGGCGTCAGCCGCAGAACTATATGTGACAAACGCAAAGCCACGGTGCTTGGCCTCTGTCATGCGCTCAGTCTGCGTCGCCCCAGTCTGATGCATTGTCACGGACCGGCTTGTAAGGTTGGATTCGTGGCCGCCGAAGGGAGTTGTACTTCGATAATATCTCCTGCACAGATACAGTGAAACGCGGGGGAAGATGCAAGAAGGAGAAACGTACCGAATGTCGAGAAATTCTCATAGATGATTGCCTCGTCCACTTCCTCTGCGACCCCACCAACAAAAACTGAGAATGCAAGTAATGACAGATGAATGAGTGGATAAAAAACCTGCGAACCCGTCTTTTTGGACTTGGTACCCTCCTCCATAACTTACATGGGGTAGCCAATCACTGGCAGTCGCGCGATGGTCGGTTACAAGTGTGTAGGAGATGTTCCCACGGGTCACATCCGTGCACTCTAAATTACCACTTTTGGACGAAGTTTCTCTGCATTGACACTTGCTCTGGGCTGGAAGTTTTTCGGGAGGATCTATCTATACATCCCCGTTCATCGTGATTCGCTAGGCAAGATCTAGACCATATTGGTCGCTTTACATCGCACTGTGGGACTGCCTTTCCCCATCAACATACTTCGGACAAGAGCCTTATTTCCTTGCCCGAGACACGGGCATTCTTATACATAATGACGCGCCTCCTTGCTTCCAGCCCTCCTGTCGACATCCCTTCGCTACCGGATGCCTGGTCTCTCAAGCGTCGCTTCTTGGGATGAGTTACCCCCTTCTCCAGCGTCTACGTCTGGAAGCTCTGCCACGTCTTTCGACGACGACGAAGTAAACGTCCGGGTCCAGCCGTACTGGCCCGACTATCGGAATACACTCAAATTGCATGGATACAGGCTGGAAACTGTCCAAGACGCCAAGGACTTCTATCTCGTCAATGCTCGGTGCCCTGTACCCGAGAGTTTCTTGTTGAAGCACGGCGATGACGAGCCCGATGCGCTGTGCCATGACTCCGGTCTTGTAAGCACATGTCCTCCATGTGCCCAGTGCCCGTCCTTGATCTCCACAGCCCGAAAACCTGTTCCGTGGTGCCAGAGCGCGTGATCGCTCCGTGAAAGTAGTTGTCAAGGCGGTCCACCTGCACAGTCGCGAGCTTGGGATCATCCAGACTCTGGCCCGTTCGCCGTTACGGGATGATCCCATGAACCACTGCATACGTGTGTTGGCACCACCCATGCTAAGCATGCATCTGATCCGGACCGGCAGCCGTCCTCGATGTGATTGAGCTACCTGAGGACGATCTGGCCTTCATTGTCATGGAACAGGTGAGAACTTTTGTCTCTCGGCTCTGGAACAGTGCCTCTTATTGCTGTCAGTGGAGCTCGCAGCTCGTAGTAGACAGCGACCCTTGTTGTCTGAGGCTTTTCCTGGCAGCGCTTCGTCAGGCAATTGAGGTTTGTGTCTGCGATTGACAATTTGTTCTATCGCTCACAAACCTGATGCAGCACGTAGCATTCATGCATCGACACCGGATGGCCCACCTCGACATCTCTTTGCGCAACCTACTGACAGACTATCGAGGTGCACTTGTTTACAGGACCTAGTGATGCATTCACTGAACACACGGCGATGTTAGGACATTATGCATACATCGACTATGAACTCAGTCGCAAATTTGAAGCTCTCGAATCTCCTAGAATATGTAATTTTCGCACCACCGAAGTACCACCTGAATGCGAAACATCAAACGGTGACTGCCCTGATGCATTCAAGGCCGACGTCTGGGCGATGGGCATTCTGATCTTGCGAGCCAGTAAAGTGAGTGTATAGTGCTCGCTTTGCCTGCTCTTTCTCATAGAGTTCGGACAGCTTACTGGTTATTGCCTACCGGAATTAGTACACTTAGTTCGCCCAATGCTGAACGCAGATCCAGCAGACCGGCCATCCATTGAGCAGGTTCTCGTAGCTTTCGAAAAGCTTGTTTGTACAATGCAGGACTTGGATAGATTACATAGTTTATAGAAATACAGCTCCGTCAACGAGGAAACTAGCATCACTCCACACTGACCTCCTCAGCGTCCAACTTTTGCCGCTTTCGTTGCAAGTAGCGCTCCCGTGCACTCTGAACAGCACTCTCGTCATTTCTCTTGGCCAGCGTTCTCTGTGTCCTCTCGAACTCAGATCGCTCTGCCTCGGTGCGGACCCGATCTTCTTCCTCTTCCATCTGCTGCTGGATTTCTCGCGTCCTTCGTTGATTGATTTCGCGTCGCGAAGCCGCCGTTCCCACAGCACGGTGTGCTTGAATTGGCGTGTCATCGCTCGCGCCGTCTTTCCCTTTGGAGCGCTCTAATCGTCGAGTATTTGGCGCAGAAAGATTCAATCCCGCTTTGAGTAGATCCCGTCGGTCAACGATCTGATTATCATCATTCAACTCCACCTCTCTACCCTCTTCACGAGCTTTCTCCGCTCGAGCCAGGTCAGACAACGGTGTGAAGTCAGGAGGTCGGGTGATAGTCAAGTTGGGTGTCGGGCCGATGACAGGTTTCTGTGTAGCAGCAACAGTCGCTTCGTGTTTCTGCTCGGATTCTTCCAGAAGTTTGCGATAGAAATGGGCCATGCCAGTAGAGGAGCCACTCTGCTTCTTCATCAACTCTGGATACTGTGTCAGAATTCTTATAAGCAGTGTGAGGACTGCACTCACCATCTCGTTGCTTCTCCTCCTCTTCTGCTGCTCTGACCGCGGCCATTTGATCCTTGTAAGCCTGCGTTACGAATGACTCTTTGTCTTTGAACTCGTCCCCTTCTGCCTCCCGCTCCCGTTGCATCAGTTTTTCTTCAGCACGAAGATAGTCTAGCCGACGAGTAGCCGCTGAGGATAAGAGATTACTGATGTGTTTTGGCTGGCAGTTATTAGCGCAAGCGAGAGCAAAGATCACTTGCATAGTACGCACCTTCCGGTCCTTGGACTCCAACTCCTTGGCCTCTTTCTGCCGAAGCTTGGACTCTTGCATTTTGTCCCAGACTTCATCGTACTGATACACGGTTTCGTCGACTTTCTTTTCTGCCTCCATCCGCTTCTGCATAGAGCGCGAGGTCTGCACATTTCGAGCTAGTAGCTTCTTGTTCGCAGCAGCACCCTTGTCTATTGAGGTTGCGGTCGGGGCCGCATCAAGATGATCGTCATCTTCTCCTAGAGCAAAGGCTGCTGTGCGCTTCAAAGGCGGAGCAGGAGCAGCGGGTGTTTTGGATTTAGCAAGAGAGAAGGACAACTTCATGGTGTTTGCGCAGGTGTGGAGGTGATGCTCTGATCTCCACCTACCTTCATTTCTAACTTGATTATTCTTCAATGGCGAGCAACTTCGATCGAAGGCGGAATAACGGCCCAGAAGAGAGCTTCAGTCCTGTTTACGACTCTGATGCGACTGGTTGGACCTCAGGCAATACTCGAAAAAGCAGAGGACCGTCTGATATCCGGCCAATATGTACATCCTCGATCCTTGTTTCTTGGGGGCTGTTTCGAATATTCCCCAGTTCTTCAACCCGGCCTCATCAGTCAAGCGAATGGATCTGCCTATATCGAAACGCAGAACACCAAAATCGCCTGTGCTATGTCAGTAAACCCTGAACCATGTTTCGTCGCGTTTTCAATCCTCATAGTTATGGGCCACGCCAGTCTAAAAACACGGCATACAGCGAAATGGGGAGGCTGAATGTCGAAGTGAAATTCGCACCATTCTCGTGCACGAAAAGACGCGCTCCTTTGCGGGTGAGTGATCGAACCCGTGTACGCGCTCGTGGCCAATCCGAATCAGCCTATAGGACGCTGAAGACCGGACTGTTGGTATGGCTATCCATCAAGCCCTTGCTGCCTCTGTGAGATTAGACCTGCTGCCAAAGTCGACGATCGATGTGTTCGTGCATGTGATCGAGTGCGATGGTTTAGCGGCATGCGCGGCCTCTGGGGCGGTAGCTGCCAGTACAGCTTTGGCAGATGCTGGGGTCGAGATGTTGGGTGTCGTGACGTCTTGTGCTGCGGTATGTGCTGACGTCTCTGGCTCTGGATGCATTCGTGAACGAGTCTTAGTCTATGATTGGTTCCGAGATATGGCTGGATCCTACAGAAGCTGAAGCAAGCGCGTCGAGCGGCATTGTGGTTTTGTTCTGTATGCCCGCTCTGGGCAAAATCACCAACATCTGGCAGACGGGCCGGCTGAAAGTTGAAGATGCTCTGGCAGTAAGCAATCTTTGCCAGGGCAGCTCTCATGTACTGATTCTACAGTGCATGGAGGCATGCCAGGAAAAATGCACCGAGATACATTCTGTGGTTGCGCAAGCACTGGTGGAAAATGTGAGACCATAGAAGTATATCATGTTTTGTTTGAAACCGGCAGAGGGTTACTTCAATTATCTAGGCAACACACCGGTTGGATGTGTTCAGTTATTCAACTGTCCCAAAGCATTTATCATTACAGTATTGTGATCTTCCAAGCTGACACTTCTTCACTTATCAACGACCGCCAATTGCGTGTTTTCACTAACCCCACGGGCCGCGGTCAAGCGGACGATCTCGCTGCTTACTGAACATTATTTAGTTTCTGTCCCCGGTTGTTGTAAGTACGTGTCGTCATGTCGTTTTGTTTGTTCAGAGTAAACAACGGTCCAGACGTCCTCGTCTACGGCCCTGAAACCGTTAAACGTTATACGCGCAGCCATGAGTGCAGCGGAATCGGCGGCTTCTCTCTTTGGGGACGATTCGTCGGCCGACCCTTTTGCTTCCATTGGCGAGGGCTCCTCCGACACGTCCACCTTTCCGGATTTTCTCAGTCAAGATTCATCCGTGGACAGCGTCGGGCAATCCTCGTTCTTCGACGAAGAGGCAGTAGCTGCAGCTTTGCATACGAAGCCTGTAACCGACTATGGACCCCCAGCAACGTCTAATCCTGGTTTGACCAATGGCAAAGCGAACTACGGGTCTCAATATGCTTCCTCAGCGTATGCTCCTGCAACGTTCTCAGGTGCTTCCGCCATTGGTTCTTCCCGTTTGACTGCTCAGTAATATCCAGGTGTCCAGAATGTGCCGCCGGCCGCTGCATTCGATGGTCATGCACCCGTAAAATCATCATACGAGCCGACAACAGCAATCGACACCGCGACACAGGCGTATAATCCGTACGCTCCAGCCGCAGCCAGTTCACCCTCGTCCTCCACCGGAACCCAGGCATACACCCCGTACAGCCCTGCCCGCAGTGCTTACTCCCTGCCTCCTGTTCCTCCCGTTCACGCTCAGCCGGCGACCAATGCATATGCTCCTGCAGCTTCGGCTTCCGCTCACCACACGCCAAGCAGTTATGCTATACCGCCTCTGCCGTCTGCCCCGTCACAACCCACATATAATGCATACACGCCTACTGCACCAACCTCGGCCTACAATGCACCATTTGCATCGACTCCTGCACCGAAGCCGCCGGTTGTGTCGTCTCCTTCGTTGAACCGACCCAAAGTTTCCAACGCATATGATCCGCCATTTCCGACATCTCGACCGGCGCGGCGCGGCACCTCCGGATCCTCGGTTGCACCGACATACTCTGCGTACTCATCTCCGCCGCTTCCGAGCCAATACTCCACTCCACCTCCCCAAGGCCAGTTCAGCGCCCAAGGTCATGTTCTTCCTTCCGCTCCGCCTGTTGGGTCCGTTCCCTCTGCAAGTGGATGGTCAGGTCACCTACCGCCCACCAGTGCACCCACGCCACCTCCACCGAGGCCCCAGAGCTCTAATTACGGTCCGCCGCCGGGCCGAAAGACACCTGCGTTCGTTCCGGTGGATAATGCACTTCGTTCGGCGTCACCAGCACTTAGCTCAGGCTTGCCACCGCTTCCACCGCTGCCGAGGCCAAACTCAGTTTCCTCGCACGCTAGCGTCGACCCGCATTCATATGCGCCGAACAGGACGTCGTCGCCAGCCTCGTTTTCCGTCCGCTCAGCGACTGCTTCGCCCGACGCTTTCGTAAATGGCCAGGTCTTGCCCGAGGGATTACAACGGATATCATCGCCAGTCCGGATGGCATCGCCGGCGCGCATGGGTTCACCGGCTTTTTCTGTAGACAGAGCACGCAGCCCCTCGCTATCGGCTGCTCCTCCAAATCCGTATCTCCCTGGTTCGAGCACAATTCCTCGAGCGCCGTCTCCGTTGAAAAAGTCGACCACCAATGGTGCCAGTCCTTATCTCCCCCCCAACACAAATCATGTGGTACCCCCTCCTCCCATGCCACGCCGGACTTCTTCGAGCGGATCGGTCTACTCTACGACGTCATCCAGTCCCGAGCAGCTTTACTCGTCTCACGGTCATGGCAAGCAGCCACGCAGCGAGGCCGAGTATGGAAACTACACTTCCAGATACAACTATGGGTCCGTGAGCGAGTCCTCGCCGTACAACGAGAATGGGGGTGTGCAGGAGATCACTGTCAAGACGATCCAACCCACGGCGTATGCTCCTTCGCCGTCGTTGCTCGGTGCCAACGATCCTCTCGGGCGTACATCTTCTAGAGCCCCCGTATTCAGCTTCGGCTTCGGGGGCAAGTTCCTGACCTGTTTCCACGGTGCATCGATGAACACCGGTTTCGATGTGGCGCTTGCCTCGCGCATCTCGACGAGCGTCACAATGCACGTACTGAACAAAATCATTCCTGAATCAGCCCTAGAGGTCTCGTCCGCTGTGTTCCCCGGGCCTCTTTTCTCGGATCCCGGGAGCCCCACTACAGGGCTCGTGCGAGCAACTGCATCAACGCAGACGAAGACGAAGAAGACTAAAGTGATCAAGTATCTGGCAGACAGGATGGAGGAGATCTCGTTGAGTATCGGCTATCTGAATAGCGACAGTGTAGAAGGCCGGCAGGCCGAGGGCAAGCTCGTTCTCTTCAAGATGGTCAAGATCCTGGTAGAGAATGATGGGAAACTCACTGGCACGTGCGTACTGTGCCATGCCTTGTGTCGATCAACTCTGATCTTTCCCTGGCAGCGCGCAGATCGATGCAGCGGTCCGAACAGCTTTGGTGCCTAAGCTGGAGCTTGCTTCCGAGGGCACGGATGAGCCCCAGGTGCTCGGCTTTGCCGCCGCCGCAGATATCGCTCGTGATCAAACGCTGTCGACCGACGAAGCTCCACTCGCGACGTCAGTTCTGCGGTCTTCGTCGCTCGACAAGATCCAGGATTTCTTGCTGCGGGGAGAGCGGAGAAAGGCGTATCACTACGCATTGGACGAGCGATTGTGGGCCCATGCCATGGTGATTGCAAGCAGCATCGATCGCGAAGCGTGGAAGGAGGTCGTGAACGAGTTCCTCAAGACTGAGCTCAATGTGTCCAAGACATTGACACCGGGACCAGATGCATCACCAGTCCCGTTGAGCGGAAGGGAGGGTCTGCGGGTCGCGTATAGTTTGTACTCTGGGCAGGGGTCTGCATGTGGTGCGTGGCCATGCTTGACTCGTGTGTCGTCAGCTGACTTTTTATATTGTTCCAGTCCAAGAGCTCGTGCCCCAGAACCTGCTCTCGCGAGCTACGGCTCGGCTGCAAGTTCCGGCCACAACATCCCACTTGACACCTATGACACCCAATTTTGCAGCACCTGCCGTTGCCAACTCCATCCCTGTTCAGTCTTTGGCTGCTTGGCCCGAGACTGTTGCGATGATGCTCACAAATCCGATGTCCCCGGAAATCATTCAGTCTCTGACTGCCCTTGGAGACCAGCTTCTGGCCCACCAGTGGGTCGAGGCTGCTCATGTTTGGTGGGTTCTCACCTCAGCCCGTGTGACCTTCAGTCTGATCGCAACAGTTATCTGTTGACCGGCAACTCGACCCTTCTTGGGGGCGTCGGCAACCCTAATGCGCGTGTCGTTTTACTGGGCTCTCGCAGCCCCCAAGTGTGGCCCAGCTTCTACAAAGACGCAGATCCGATCATTCTGACCGAAATTCTCGAGTTCAGCCTGTCGCTCAACGTCCCGAGCAAGGGACAAGAGCCATTCGTCGGATTCCCTCACCTGCAGGCCTATAAATTCATCCGGGCGCTTTCACTGGCTGAAATTGGTCAAGTCCAGTTAGCGAATCGGTACTGCGAGGCGATCACTGCATGCCTGAGTCGGCCGTCGCCGTTCTTTACACCTGTGATGGTAGACCAGTTGAAGGCCTTGACTGGGCGGATTGTCGGTCTCGATCACGGGGACAAGTCTGGGTTCTGGAAAGGGACACCGAGCCTGGATACAATCGGAAGATTTCTCGAAGGTCGGTTCACGAAACTGGTCACCGGAGATGTCGATCCAGCGACACCGATCGACGAACAGACAAAGATGTCCGACGCAGCTGCTGCTGGGCCCTTCGCGGGCTACTCGACCATCTCAAATGCATCGTCGGCCGCGCCGTCGGCGAGTCCATCTCCTCAGCCATCTCTCTACCACGCCTACTCCCAACCGGGGTTGAAACCTGTTCCGCCGCCTGTTCCGATTGATCGTGCTTCGTCGGCTATGGAGCACGTGCGACCGCGGCCAGCTCAGCCGCGGGTAGCCTCTGCCAACGCATCAACGACCTCCTTCTCGCAGGCCCCGTCGTTTGTCTCAGCCTACACTCCCAACGCGTACAGCCCCAATCCGTATTCCCCCAGCATGGCTACCCCCAAGCCAACAGACGAGGAGGACACAACAGGCCAGGAGGTTTCCTGGTGGGGGTCCTCGTATGGGACGGATTCGGCACAGCAGACACCCATGGCGTCGACATTCATGAAAGTAGACGCTCAAGCGTCGTCGGATGGGTTTGTTTCGCTTATGGACGCCAACCCGTACTCGGTTGCCGCGCCCGTCGCTAATGGGAACGGGAAGGTAGAGGAAGAGGACGACGAGGATCTTGGCTTCGGGAACTCGAAGCCCAAACCCAAGCCAGAGCAGTCTCCTGCTACGGATGGAGGCGCACCTACGCCTCAGCCGGCTGGTATGTTCGTCATCTCTGGGGATAGACATCGGCGCTGACTCAGTTCTTCAGTGGTAGAAAAACGGCCAGCAGCTGCACCGGCTGCTGCGCAAGGCGGGTCTTGGTTCGGTCGATTCTGGAAAAAGTCAGATGCGACACCGGGACCGGTGAAAGCGAATCTTGGGGAGGAGACGTCGTTCTATTACGATGCAGAGCAGAAGCGATGGGTGAACAAGAAGGTGCGTTGCGCAGTTGCCAAGCGCTGAGTGGAATGCTGACTGCAGCGCAGGCCGGTGCCGAGGCTGCGAAACCCGAAACACCAACACCCCCGCCACCTCCTTCTCGGCCGCAGACTGCTTCGCCCGGGATGCTTGGAGCGAGAGCAGGGGGAGCAACGCCACCACCCCCTCGGTCAGCGTCGGTTGCCGATGGACCAGCACCGCCCAAGTCGTCGACGTTGCGCGTTCGATCGAGCCTCGCGCCGACACCCGAGTCGACGTCGATGCCCAGTTCGCCGCTGCGGCAAGCGTCCATGACACCTCCGCCGGGACGACCCAAGTCCCAGGCATCAAAGCGTGCCATCCGGTCGCGCTATGTGGATGTATTCCAGCAGCCGGAGTAGTCATTATATAGTTATTATCGAATCTGTTACATTATATCCACCGCACCAGCACTCGACCAGCGAGCCGCGTCCTTTTCCCCGTCGACTTTCTCGTCGAAGCTGCCGTCGTCGCCAGCTTCCTCGACAACCATGCCCTCATCTCGCAGGACCGGATACGTCTCCTCCTTGACACGCATGTTCTGCCCATTCGCGAGTGCTTTGACAATCCGTCCCTCGTTCTGCGCGTGGACTGTCCGCCGGAAAGACCGTGAGAGAAACGAGGACATGACTTGCACCGACCAGTGCTCGGGTACCACAGGCAGCACTTCAACCACATCGAGGTTCATTGCCTGTGCATTGATGAGTCGCGCCGCTCGGTCCACATTGCTCGTTCTGAAACAATCATGAGCATTTTAGAAACATCAACGAGAGATAGCGCGCAACTGGTTGTGCATGTAGACTTGGAGCAACGTCTTGAGCAGCTCCTTCCTCTTGGCGATACTAACAGTCTCATCCACCGTCTTCTGCTTGCTCTTCCCGGTCCACGCCGAGGTCCACATACTCAGCCCCAATTTGGGGTCTCCACATAACGTCTGGATGCTTTTGCTTGGGATGACATCCCCTCCGAGTGTGCAGTAGGCTTCGGCCGAAGTGCTGTCCTGCAGATCATTTACCAAAGCCGATAGTGCCGACTGGTGGTTTTGTAACTGCGAGCAGCTCAGCGAGTGCAGTATGGAAAGGCATACGCTACTGCGCACCTTTCCGTCGACGACAGCCAACTCAAGACTGAGACCCTGCTGCCGATATGCAGCCAATCGACTTCGTATCAGCTCGCCGTCGTACAGCGACGATCCTTGCAAGAACAAGAGCGCCTTTAACCGGCTCAGCTTCGAAGGAGAATCTGGTGTCGTCGAGACGAAGTACGAGAAGAACGTCGAGTTGCTCTCGTGGCTGGACGCGTAGGACGAGGCTGAAACGGCATTCATAATGGCAGACAGATTGGTCACTGTTCATTCACCTTTGGCTCGCCATAACTTGGACACTGAGTCATCCTTCAACGCAGAGAGCATTTGGTCAACGCATACTGTTGCGAGCTGGGTGTGCAAATCACGCGACTATCCGCCCAGATAAGCTTCTGTCGTTCCGGGAACAGACACAGAAGACACACCAAGCTCCGTTTCTGCAGCACCAGATATTCCAGGAATCGGGCACCGGCAGCGGGATTGGCCTCTTGGATATCTTTCAACAGAGCTAGGTCATCATCTGGTCTCTGCGGTCGTTTCCCCGAATCTTTGGGCATCAAAAGCTGTCGGAGGGTTTCAGTTTCCCCGTCATGATCATCGGGGGCTATTACCGTAAGTCCGCGTTCTGGATTTCGACGTGTCAGCCATAACCCCCATTTTTGGATCAGAGGTCGATTTCTTGAGCTCATGAGTAAAGTGAGCATATCTCCAATAGGGTCCGGAATGTCTGGCTCCGTCCACTCATTATCGATGATTCTGTACAATGCCGGTTGAGTGCAGAAAAGAAAGCAGTCTCTCACACGTACTTGGACCAGATCTCAAGCAGCCCTTCGTCGTTGTTGGATTGGCGGTACAATAGACTCAGTGCATGGTACTGTCCTGTCGTCTTGAGTACTGGCTCTAGTTCCACCAGAACGATAGAGTTTGGCTCTTCAATAAGCGTCCGCAAATCTGCTGTTTTCTCTCCTTGCGCGTAGAGTTTCGCGAGCACGGTATCGACAACCTATATCGCTCCCGGTTAGTGCATTTTACCGTGAGAGGTAGAAACTCACAGCGAACGACGGCTCCGGCTCCTTCCTTCCCTCCACCACCCGCTTCCTCCTGCATTTCTTCAGGAAAGACTCCAACATCTCGACCGCCGCCATGCCGAGAATTCTGCGCAGCTCCGCAGTCGGGGGTGCGGTCTGGGTATCGAGAAACGGGGAGTAGTTCCTGACTAAGTTGATCGCAACTGGTTAGTGGTCACTTGGTGATGAGAGGGTGTAGCGCTCGAGGATGTTCGGGCGCGCGCTTACTTATATCGTCGACGGAGGACTCAGGCGGCATGTGTTCGGCAACGCCGGCGAACACGTCTGCAGTCGCGTTGGAGGTGAGGAGGGAGCCGCGCAGCTCGGGGTAGTAGCTGACGAGGACACGTGGGTCGAGATCGCCGTTGAAGAAGTGCTTGCCCGCGTCCTCGAAGAGCGTTTCGCTGAAACATTGGAATCCTATGCGTTGGTACACGTAGCGAAGCTCGTCGGCCTGGATGGAAGGCGCCTTATCAGCAGGTCCCTTAGTGCGGAGAGTTGCCATGACTCACCTCATCCTCGTCCACGGTGATATTCGCCTGAAGCTTCTTGCGCTGCTGGTCTGCTAAATTCGAGGCGTCTTCAATGCGGTGGGCGTCCAAGAGGGACTCGGCCTGCGAAATAAGCGTTGAGGGAACCAGCGACTGTACTGTTTTTCCCAGTAACAGGATCCCAGACTTGGGAAACGTCGACGCTAAATGGCGCATCATCGCAGTAGCACTGGCAGCGTCGCGTCCGTGACAGCGCACTGGTCCCGTCAGATTGACAGTCACGACGCCGGAACATGCCGAGATTAGATTATGGGATGTTGTCTCCACGGACCGCGCTTGTCCCTTGTCCTTGTGCTCGAATTGGCACGCATTCCTGATCCTGCTTTAGGTCTTGTGGGATTAAAGATGAACAATTTCTCGCCCCTGGACCTTGTGCTCGAAGAGAATTCGGATTCTATCATATTCATGCGACATCTACCCGACCCTCGCACTCCAAAAAAAGTCATGCTAAATTTGCCGATGCGCTCCGTTGCGGATTCATGTTGAGATGAAGAAACAGTCCTTGCAAAACATTGCACTGTACGTAATCAGATTAGGTTTAGAGTAATAGTGCATTCGGCGCCCACTGCTGAATGTTATGTAATGTGACGCTGCTCATCCGATCTTAGCCGGGCGGCCGAGTCTGTTCACTTGTACAAGAGACCTTGTTCTCTTCTGGGACTGTCATGGATCTGTGCGCCCACATGTGCGTACGTCGGCAGATAGCCGTACCTTGCTCTTCTGCCCATGCGGTAGCGTTTGGTCCCGGGAACATATAAAAGATGGATGCTTGGAAAAGCCACCCTCAACCGCCCCGCTGAGATGGTTTCCACCTTCGTTTTCTTCGCTCTCCTCGCCGTGAGCAAGTTTGCCTCGGCGTCTCCTTTGGCTGCACGAGCGGGGGTGTCGGTCTCGACGCCGCTCGGCACAGCTCAAGGAATAGTGGACGCGGATGGCGCATATCGGTTCGCAGTGCGCTACGCGACTGCCAATCGTTGGGGGGCCTCCTCGGTCGCGACTCAATGGGATCTCCCGTTAGTGTTCTCATCTCATTCATCCTCGACTTCTCGCTTATTGTCGTTAGGAACGGCTTCACCGATCCGGCAGCGTATCCTCTAATTTGCCCTCAGACTGGGGTGGCGGCAGCCACCTACTCGGAGGACTGTCTCTCCGTCCTGCTCTATGTCCCGCCGACGCTGAACACCTCAAGTCATGTATCGACGGTTGTCTGGTCAGTCATGGGTTTTTTTGTTCTTCTGACATCATTTGATCATCTTACCTCAGGGTTCACGGAGGATCTTTTATCATGGGGTCGGCCACCGGCACTGGGCTTGACGGATCGAAACTTGCGATCGCGACGAATTCCATCGTCGCTGTCATCCAGTACCGTTTGGGCGCGGTATGCACCAGCTCGACTTTTGACTCGATCGCCGAACTAATCTGCTTACCCCCAGCTCGGCCTGCTCGCTCCCAATGGCTCCACCAATTTGGCTGTTGTTGATGTTATGAACTCTCTCAAGTTCCTGGGCAAGGTCCTTGCCTCCTTTGGCGGGTCCGCGTCCAAGATCACACTCGCCGGACAGAGCAGTGGGGCGGGGATGATTCGTACGCTTTTGGCCGTGCCGTCGGCATCCACCTTGTTCCAGAGTGCGATTCTTCATTCGGATCCGATGGTGGGTGGTTTCTGTGCTCATCGATGATTGCAATCTTGATGCCGGATATACAGGACTACGGATTTCTGTCTATGAGCACCCAGGCCATGCTTCAGAGCACCTTCAATTCCCAGATCGGCTGTTCTGCGAGCGACAGTGCTTGCCAGTCCGCGCTCTCCGTCTCTGATATCTTGAATGCCCAAACAAATCTGGGCAACGAAGCGGACGGCCTCGATGCGTCCACGGGACTCGGTGAACCGATTCGCAGCGTCAAGGACGGTGTCCTCGTAACTAATCCCCTTGACTTGACTGCGGCTTTCCCTACTGTCAGCAAGCCCCTGCTGCTGACTAATGTCAAGGATGAAGGTGGGTGGACTGTGTACGACAATCTCTTCCCCGGACCGGACGCATATCCGACTGCATATTGGGATCCTGTTCTCCAGCAGACGCTGGGGTCGGACCGCACCACAACCGTCGACAACTCGGACTTTTATCCGCTTGACTCGTCTGTCGACATGCGCGTCCCCTTGCAGACACTGGTGACCGACTCAATCTGGCGGTGCCCCACCTGGACTTTTGCCCGCAACTGGGCTGCCAACGGTGGTTCAGCTTATGTTGGCGTATTCACCGTGGGGGCGACCTATCCAGTCAACCAAAACATCACATTCTGCACCACCGATGGCGCAGTCTGCCATCAAGATGACATCGAAATCATCGTAAGTGGGACTTTTTTCTGTCTTGCTACTTTCTCATCATATGCCTCCAGTTCGGCACTGTCTCGTCACCTTCAGCTGCCCAATCGTCGCTCATCACAGAAGTCCAGGCGCGTTACAAGGCTTTCTTGGCCACCGGCAACCCCAACGGTGCCGGCCTCGCCTCCTGGTCCGCTGCCGAAGCCTCGGATGTCCATCCGCTCGAACTGGGAACAGCCGCCGCCTCCGACGGATTGTATCCTACCGGTGCATGCGACCCTTCTTTCTGGGGAAGTGCTGTCCCCTACGACTATCAGGTCTACGGCATCTAAACACTCTTTTATCTCTCCGCATCGTTTTCCCGTCCAAGTCTCTAGATCTGTAGCCATATAGCCCACGCTGTCCTCTCTGTTTTCTCGATTTGGGTTTCTAGTCTAGTTGAAATACTTTAATACTATAATGATCAATGCATGACCATCAGTGACAGGTCGCGATCCCATAAGTAATAAACAACGCGTCAACAACGTACCACCATGTCAACCTCCGCACTAGACGCTATCTGGGATGCCGACGACGTGGAATACCACACCTCCACATCTTCCAACCGCGCGAGCGATGCATCTGAGCTCGAGACTCCTCGACGCCAGGGTCGAGCATCCACCTCTAAATCCGCACAGCCGCTGTTTCTCGGCGATGACGACGACGACGAGATGGCTGACGCACCGCCGCGGAGAGCGACGGCAGAATACGACGACGATGACGATGAGGGCATGCCGCACTCTTTCTCGGGCGACGCCGCACACGCAAACGCGATACTCGACGCGGCCATAGTGTCAGACGACGACCGCGTTGCCATCACCAGCAGCTCGCCTGCACATCGCTTGAGAGACGACAACGCAAAGGACGGAGACGGTGTCGGCAAAGACGGGCCTGTGAAGTCGAAGCGGAAGATCGCGCGTTTGGACGAGGGGAGACTGGTTGCCGAGAATTATGGGTTCCCCCGACTTATCCAGGACGTCAAGTATGTGAAGATCAAGGGCAAGGGGCACGAGGTCGGTCTCTAACGATCCTCCGTCCACTGTTTTCTGACGACGGAAACTATACAGGCATCAGACCTGAATCGACTTCTCCAGGTGTATCAATTCTGGACGCACGGTCTGTATCCCAAAACGCCGTTCAAAGAAACGGTGGATCGAGTGGAAAAATTATGCCACTCAAAACGTATGCGCGTAGGTAACTCACATCGCGCTTGGTGACAAACGTTTGACGCTCCATTCGACAGAACAAGTTGAGTGAATGGCGGGATGAAGCACACGGTATCGTCGCAGGAGAAGAAGAGGCAACAAATGAAGACTTTCCTTCTCACACCGGAGAAGAGCCAGACAGGGTTCCAGCGTCGGATCGCGCCGAGATCGCGTCGTCATCGTCTCGCGCACCTACTCTGCCTCCATCCTCCGAAGGCGACCACGACGACGACTTTGACGTCGCACTCATGGACCGAATAGCCTCAGAAAATGCAAAACATGTCAACTTGCAGGATGACGATATTGGAGACGACGACGACATGTATGGAGGGGCCGACGATTTCGATGCCACTGCTCTCGCTGCAGCGATGGACACAGCCGCTGAGGAGATTGCGGCCAAAGAACTATCATCGATCCCAGCAACCGCCAAACCCACGGTTGTGGACGACAATGACGACGAGTGGGACGCAATCGACACCATGTGATAGCCTCAAGATATGCGCGATTGTAGTATATCCACCACATGTTTATTCCACGTCAGACAGAGCCCACAGTACAGTTCGACCGCTACCGTTCCCGCTAACAGCCCGCTCAACGATGCTGGGATGTGAGCATGTCACCGCTTGCACAGCTGATATCCTGCCAAAATGCGAGTCAATTCAGACGTCATGTGAGCGCACATATTTGTTGCAAACCGTTTCCGATCCTCCAATCGGGTGATCAGCTCACCCTGTAGAAGTTGAGCGAATGAAGTGCTGCGGCGAGGGTCAACTGACCTTGCACGAGAAGATGTCCAAGGAGTGATTCATGTTCCCAATCGTAAAGTGGGGATACACTTCCGAGTTCGGCGACCACTGGGCTTTGAGAATAGTCAACCATTTACCCTATGATCTGTCAGCCACTCGTTCGAGATCTCAGCAGTCGACTTACAGTCTGACAATTGTGTTTGACGCTTCCTAGAGGGCGAGATGAGGGAAACGGTGCATCTTTGTGGAACAGGCCAGCATCCAGATTCCACACTAGGCATGATCAGTCCCCAGTTGCGCGAAGGGAGCCATTCAACCCACTGCGAAGGGTATTGTCATAGCTGGTACTGACAATCCGCCCTCCTCGAGCATCCCAGTATGCCGAGCTGACTGACTGTTCATGCCGCCATTCTGCTCGCAAACATCCTTTTCCCTTCTTCGAATCGAGATATTCGGTGACCGTGTCAAGATCTACATCGCCGCTGACTGTAACAGCCGAGACTGGTGACAGAAATGGGCTTCCTGGCGAGGAGGGTGCAGGCGTCGCAAGTGTCTGTGTTGCGGCCTGGGAAGATAATCTTTGCAATTTCCGCACATCCCAGATTCTAGTCACCTCTATGAGAATCTCACACCTGAAGAAGGCCCCGGTACTTACTTGAGAGCCCGACTGTTACTTGCAGTGAGCACAAAATTAGGTCGAACGGGGTTAACACTGATGCATCCAATCTTCTTCTCTGAGAGCTCGTATCGGGTTGCTATAGACTTGTCCTGACGAAGGTCGCGATGCCAAACCGCACCGGAGTCATCTGTTCACACTCGGTTATTGATTTGAGAAGCTCGATTTTGGAGCTCACCAGATATCCACATCTCGCGTCCTCCTGGCACAAGGTCTATGCTGCAGATGAGAGCGTCTTCTATGGAGAAGACTTCTTTGGACACTCCAGAGATAAACGATAGACTCCTGACGGTCTTGTCGTATGAACTAGTGTACACCTGGAGCGATTCGGCATGGACGGTTTCGCTGTGCTGGAGCCACATACATTTTGTGAATCAATGGGGTCAATTTTGACGCAAGAGATGGAACTAGGCAAAGTGCTCAACAGTGACAGCGGAATGAAAGACTGTTTCCTTACGATTTAGAGGTGGCGGGCCAGTGGAGCTGTAGACGCCAATACTTGCCACCCTCTTGGTTTTCGTCGACAGAGATATCACCGTCTTCGTCAGCGACTTCTTCTGGTGGGGCACGGGCATCCCAGATTCCTAATTGACCGTGCTTATCTGAGGATGAGATGAGTGCTGTCAAGAGTTTTTGTAAGCTTCGTTTCACTCGCCTCCGAAAAAGATGAGATCTGAGTCGTTGGTCGGTATGAGAATCAGCAGTCCTGTAAATGAAACTTACCTTTCGTGACCTCCGGATGGTATGCAGCACTGTATATCCTGTCCTGAGTCACCTTGGCACGCGACACCACCTTCATATCCTGCAGTCTGTCTCGCAACTCGCTGACATACGCGTCGTCCTCGTCACCCTCGTCATCCGTAAGCGCTGCATCTTCGTCGATCACACGCGCCTGTCGCTGAGACAAGCCCTGCATGAAGGACGCTAGACCCGTGATGTCCGCTGCGTCCTCGTTCTCGGCAAGCGTAGCAAGGTCCAGCTCCATGTGTCGAGGTCGTTTAGCGAGACGCTCCCTCTCTTGTTCTTGGATTCTCTCTTCAGCCTCGAGGGCCCGTTGCTCTTCCATTTCTGCCTGTGATGGATTGTGAACATGTCGCATCTACATGGTTTCCGATGGATGTACCAAACGCCGTTTTTTGGCTTTTGGTGTTTCATTGGGGTCTACCACTGTGCCACGGAGGCGAGAAGATTGTCGTCTGGGGCCATCGGTTGGTGCTTCGCGAGGCTTCTTGGTGCGTGATGACTGAACAGGTTTCGCCTGAGACTTGGAAGTAGCGGTGGGGGGAGCAAGATCATGAACTGCTTGTTTCAGTTGGAGTTGTTCAAGCAAAGCCTTGTTGCGAGCAATATTTCGCTCGCGTTCGAGTTCGTATTGTGAAGGCATGTCTGACTCTGAGGAACAGAGTCACACGGTTACACGTGATGCGTGACGCGTCGCGTTGGTGCATATTACAAGCGAAGAATCATCTCTGTTCTCTACTGAAATACATAAAGTAACAACGTCATCAAAGTAGAAACACAACAGCGACGACCGCAGATGATTGGTGACAACATGGGCAAGCAAAAAACGAATGGACGGCCAAATGAAAAGCGATTATTCGGCCTTGACGAATTCTTGGAGAACAGCGAGTGCCTCGTTGACCTTGGAGTCCATGGCATCGGGAGTCTCCAGAAGATGCAACAACTCCGTGTTGTCCATCTCGAGCAACATTCCTGTGATCTTACCAGCAAGCTCCGGCTGGGTCCTGTGAAATAGGTTGAGGTTAGTTGTGGCTATGCAAATAAGATCGATGGTCACGCACACAGCGATCTTCATGTAGATCACTTCACCCAACATTTGCTTCTGCTCCATAGGCGATGCGGCAGCCAATGCAGCAGAGTTGAAGTCGGATGTTCCACTCGCACCACCGTTGCGGACCTGAGGGTTGAGTTTGTAACCAGGCTGGGCAGGAGCAGGAGCTGCAGCAGGAGCGCCGCGGCCTGCAGGAGTGGAGGCAGGAGCAGCAGCCCGTGGTTGGGTAGGGGCGGGGGCGGGGGCCGCACGACCTGCCGGAGGGGCAGCGCCGGCACGAGGCAGCTGGGCATTAGGCATGGGCGGGGAGTTCCGGCGGGGGCCACGGTAGTTGCCAGGTGCGCCGCCGTAGGGCTGAGGCGGGCCCTGATTGTAGGGAGCAGGCATCGGCATCCCCCCGACCTGGCCGTTGTTCGGAGGATAGCGAGGCCGGGGAGGAAGCATGTTGGGCTGGCCGTAGCCCATCATCCCGCGACCTTGGGGTGGGAAGCCAGGGCCCGGCGGGTAATACATCGGACCGTTCATGTATCCACCAGGCATACCAGCGGCAGCAGCCTGCTGCATCCGGATTTGGTTGCGCTGGGCAATCTGGCTCTCCAACTGCTGACGCCGCACCTCGCGACGCTGAGCCAGAGAGACATACAGAGGCTTCGACCCGATCATCTTGTTATTCATCTCTGCCACAGCCTTGGTGGCCTCGTCCGCAGATGTGAAACAGACAAAGCCAAAGCCTTTGGAGGTGCCCTTCTCATCGCGCATCACCTTCGAGCTCGTGATCGTCCCGAACGGCTCAAATTCAGCGCGCAGCTTCTCGTCGTCAACGTCGTCCTCCAGGTTCTTGATGTACAAGTTGACGCCTTGGTACTTGCTCATCTTCTCCATCTTGGCCTGCTCGTACGACTTGCGTAGCTCTTCTTCGCGTTCAGCCTTTTTCTGCGCGCGAGACACGAACAGCTTGCGTCCGTTGAGCTCGGTATCGTGTAAACCATCGACGGCCTTCTGCGCGTCTTCGTGGTTCTCGTAGTTCACGAATCCAAAGCCCTTGCTCTGGCCGTCCTCGCCGAACTGCACAATGGCGGACGTAACAGGACCGAAAGGCGTGAACAGCTGCTCAAACTCTTCCTGAGTGACCGAAGGGTCCAAGTTCTTGATGTAAAGGTTGGTGAACTGGGCCTTCATCTCGTCCATCTTGGATTGACGTTCCTAGCAAGCGTTCAATTGGATATCTTCACGGATCACAGCAGGCTTACTTTGCGTGAGATGTGGTGGCCAACATAGACCTTCTTATCGTTCAAGAGCATACCGTTGACAGCCTTGATAGCGCTCTCGGCGGCTTCGGCAGTCTCATAATGCACGAAACCGTAGCCCTTTGACATGCCGTGCTCATCGGTGGCGACTTTGCAGGAGAGTACGTTGCCGAAAGCAGCAAAGGTATCGTGGAGGGCCTGGTCTTGTGAGTCGGTGGGCGAGATATATAAGAATGGGGCGCAGACCTTGTTATCGATAGCTTCATCCAGGTTCTTGATGAAGATGTTGCCTTGGCCGGTCTTACGCAAGGCAGGGTCACGCTGAGACCACATGATGCGGCTTGGAGAGACATAATGAGCTGCGTTGGCATATTTGAGCCGAAGGAAAAACGTACCAGGCACGGTTCTTGATCAACGAATAGTTCAGGCCTTCGAGGGCACGCTCGCCTATACATGTCTCAGATCAGGCACAAAGTGAATGGCGGGTGACTCGCCATCGGCAGCGTTCAAGTAGTTCACATATGCGTAGCCGAGCGAGCGACGAGTGACGGCGTCACGGCAAACACGGATGCTACGTAGATCGTGCTCAGTTGTGGAGCTCTATACTTGAGCGCATACACGCACCTCGCCACAGGACCAATCATGTTAAAGATCTCGAAGAGCATGGCCTCGGTGACGATAGGCTCGAGCTCACCAACATAGAGGGAAGCAGAGGGGGTAGATCCCGCAGATGGCTGGGGAGCGGGAGGGTTGTAAGGAGCTGGAGCCGCGACAGGAACATCGGGAGCAGGCGCAGCCTCGGGAACAGCGGGAGAAGACATATTTGTGTTTTTCTGGGTTTTGAGGGGTCGTTACTGCTTTATAGACTTTTTGAAGACTGCATCGCAGAGGGCAGGGTCAGAAATCGTATGAGTGCGAGGGGCGAGCGACTACGCACACAGAAGCGACGAAGCTACCGCTTGGATATAAAATGGTTTTTTATATGTTTTTTGACGGCTGGGGATAGTTCAAATGAGCCCAATGAAAAGCAAGTCCATATCGCACCTTGAAGATGGTGGAAGATGACAGCCAACGCCGGGTTTTCAAGTTTCCCACCACATGTCAAATTCGAGCTCCGCTTGATCCGTGAACACTTGCTGGTAAGCACGGCCACGATCCTCCTTCCTCCCGCTCCATTCGGTGCTGGGCAACGTATAGCGTACATGGCACCCAGCGCAGCGAGACGGACTACCCCTGCCCGTTTATTCAAGACGGTCATGAAGTCGCACCGTGTGCGCATTCCCAAATACGAACATCTCCCTCTCCGCCTTCGCTTATGGTTCATTATATTCACCGTTTTAATCATGTTCGTGCTCGCGTTTCTTGGATTCACGAATTTCTCGAGAGCCCTCCCTCTCAATGACAAGGCACTACACTTTTTGTGCCTTGGGCTCGCGACTTTTGTGTTCTATTTCATCTTCGACGTAGAAGAGTGAGTATAGTTTGCTTTGCCCATACCTAGCTCTAACGACTGCACTCAAACTAAGAGATTCGAGAAGAATATGGTTTTGGCGCAATTCTGGGCTGATGTTAACAGGATTCTTCTGTTTCTTCTGTGGTGGGATTCTGAGTGAATTTGTACAATCAATGCTTCCGGTGAGCTCGATTGAAACATCTTTCCGAGTTCACTCATGCGATCCTTCCAGTATAAAGAGGTGCGTAACGCTTCGATAGTCAGTCATTACCCGCGAATGACCGGTTGCTTAGTTCCAATTTGGCGACGTGGTGGTGCGCAATCCAGTTGTCTTGTTTGACGTGCGATTCGATAATTTTCTCAGGCAAATCTCCTTGGCTCAACAGTCGGACTGTTTAGTGCGTATCATCTCGAACGATATCACCGAAAGCGGCGTGAAGTTTGTGAACATATTGGTGTTTGTGTTCTGTTCTCATGGTACTACCATAGATTGCTCGTCTATACCAGCCGCTGGATGCTGGCTCCCAGTCCGATCTTGAAGATGATGACGAAGTCGGGCTGCAACTTCTTCCAACTCATAACGAGCCTATGCACCCTAAAAACAAAGCCTCGCGTAACACCAACAACATTTGGGATGCACGAGAGGAGCTTTTTGACATCGGGGCAGACAGTGACGAGGAGGACAGTGCTACAGCCCGAGCCCATGCTGTTGCTTCGCCTGTGCCAAAGATATATGTCAGCTCGACATAGTCACGGTAGCCGCTGTATCATACACATACACACCTTTGTATATTTCACGTGTCACTTAATTCCGCTTCTTAGAACGCTCGAGTTGCTGTTTCAAGTCATTGAGTTCGCCTTGAAGCAGCTCCAACTCTCTCTCTCGCTTTCCAATCCGGATGGTCAGATCCTGACAGGCAGTGCGGGGCACCACCAGGACCTGCTCATGCAACGTTTTCTGGAGCGTCTCCTAGAACCTTGCTCAGAAATTGACGCCACATTTTCGAGGTGTGCATAACACACCTTTAGATCTACTTTGGAGCCACCAAGAACACGCTCGAATTGTCCCCACCATTCCCGCTTGCCCTTGTCCCAGGACATCGTTGACCAATACACCCCAAAGACTGCCCCGAAGACGCCCGTAGCAAGAGCAGTGCCAGGCTCTAAGCCTATTCCAAGAGAGGCCGCCAATCCTCCATTGCTAGAAAGATACCCGAGATATCCGCTCCAGCTGATGGCCATACCACCTATCGCAGTACCAATCATACGAAGCAACGCTCGCTGGGCAGCACGATGGAACCGAGCTGTCGGGGCATCGAGAAGCAAATCGCTTCTTGCAGCGAGCGGCCCAGGCAATGTCGTTGGTTGAACACGGAAGTTTGGCGACGAAACGAGTTGATCGAGAGTGTTTTGGAGCACAGGCGATTTCAAAGACTGAACATTTGTTTGCTTGACAAGGGCCATCGTCTGCGCAGTCATCGAAGCTTGAATTTGTTCCAGTCTTCCAGAGTGGAATATAAGCTAGAAAATCAGCATCAGTCAGCTGGCCAGAACAGTAAGGATAATACTCACATCCTTCTCTAATTCAACACACCAAATGCGGCGCACGGTCGTAGCAAGGTATGTTGGAAGCTCGTCAACGCTTGAAGCCATCCTCGGCCATTTGGAAAGTTCCATTTTCAGCTTCATGGTTTGTGTTGCATTGTATATGGCTTGATCGACGGCATGCTGACCGCGATCCCCAAAGACTTCACCATCGATGCGTTCGTACTCCTTCTCCGTCGCTGCAGACAATTCACCCACAGCACGAGAAATCGTATTGAGCTCGGCCCACGCCTCCTCCAAAGCCGTCTGACAAACCGCAAGCGCACCCTCGGTCTGTGCGACCATCGTCCTTTCTTGAAGAGCGAGATTGTTGGGTAAAGAGGCTAAGATTCCGTCAACACGCCTCGTGAAGGCCGACATACGAGAACCGATGAACTTTGCTTGGAATTCTTGCACGGCGGCAGGGGAGTCCGGATGTTGCTTAAGTGATGAGATTGCATTGGAGGCTTCGGTCGGGCTCACGAAGATATACTGACGGGCGAATCCTTCATTGGACCGTGATTTGGGAGGGTGTCGGACATCTGACGCATCCATATCGACAACGAAGAGAGCGTCTGGTCGATTAATGGACAATGAAGATAATTCGTCCACACTTGTGACAACAACAGCGATATCAGCGTTGTCGAGATCTGCAGGGTTCGAAGTCTCGATGACGGAGAGTGGCACAGCGTATCTGTTGAGGAAGGGCAATGGGAGTTGCAGTACATCTGAAGTGGATGTCATAGCTCCAAAACTGAGATCTCAGTTTGAGGCTGTCTCGAGACCAGTGAAGATGTAAATAACTCACTCTATCCGCAGGGGCCCTCTTTCTTTCTCGGCCCACCGAGAGCGCAAAATTTTCCCTATTTGCTCGTCTGAAGCAAAAGGTTCATCCAGGAGGGCATTTACTAAGTTTTGTGTGGCCCCAGGATTGGTTCCATACACTATCACCCAAGCATGAGTGCATTCGCAAAGGCTAGACAACCACCAGACGCACCAACGAGACGCGCAGGTCGTTCCTCTTTGATCTTGGACTCTTCTACAGCACGTCCGAGTATTCCATCCCATACACTTCGTTGGCGTGGATTATGCGCCAGTGCTCGAGGGACGAATGCTGCCGTTGCACGAAGTAAATTCACAGAGTCAAGAAGCGCGGCGGTTTGAGATTGTCGAACATTCTGAAGGGTGGATTGACGGCGCGAAAAAATCCGTTTTTGCGGTATGCGACTTGTTATTCGACGACATGGCATCCCGAATCAAGTGAGAGCAGGCAAACTTTGGAATTTGAGTTACTTGGCGGCAAATCACATGCGGCGTGATCCGTGCCAAATACGGCGACAGCCGGTCCTGTCCGGCCGGCGATATCATTGTTCGCCGATTAGGGGAACATCCAGTAAGTAATTACACGAATCACTTATGCAATACTGGATGTCAAGTCCTAAGTACAAGGTTGCATATGTGAAGATCGACAGTATACTCTAAAAGAAAGAGAAATCACATTCAACTGCTGAAAAAGAGAGAAAAAATGCCAGAAGTCAGCTGAGACTGCGGTCAGCCGGAATAGATACCCCGATCTGTCAGCTCAGATTTCTTAGAAGCTCAGAGCAACGTCCATTATCTTGAGAATGTTGAATTGGCTCTCCATTGAGGATCACAGTTGTCAGCTAGATTATCGATAAGCCAATGTAAAAATTGTGGCTGTGCATATTGTGGCTGTACGATCCATCCTTTGAATCCGCACGGCGTACTAGCTTGAGAATCAGACCATGGATCCCGACTTGAAAGACGGTCTAGGATACTGGGCTACCCAACCAGCAACCTATGACGGAGTTTTGGGTGGGTTTGGCAACGGTGTATGTGTAGGATGTCTCGACCAGATCGCTCACATTTCGATCATCCTCAGTCTCTTCCTCGTGTCGACGCGCTTGGATCGCGCCTTTTTCTCCTAAATCTTCTTCCAGAACTCTGCACCGTTCCCTCTGCTCTGAAGCCTCTCCATCCAACATCGAGTAATACCCGAAGACGAGCGGTTGAAGTAGGAGCAGGCGTTGGTCGTGTAACCTCTGACGTTCTACTTCATCTCTTCGACGACGTCGTGCTGGTGGAGCCTGCTGATCATTTTGTTCAACAAGCGCTGAGTAGGGCACGTGCTCCTGGTGCATGGCGTGGTCTGGATGATGCGTCAAAAAGCGTCACCTTCCTGCAGGGGACGTTACAGGTGCTGGTCATCTACCTACCTCTACTCAACCGAATATCATATGCCCCCAAGGAATTTGACCCTAAACGACCCCACCATTGTAAAGTGCTGGACAGATTGGGTCACACCCCTGCCCAAACGGACGCTGTCTCGGGATTTGACGTTATCTGGTGTCAGTGGTGCTTGGGACATCTCTCGGATCCTGAACTTGCGGCTTTCTTGAAGCGCAGCCATTCGTCGCTGCGGAACCAGGAGAAAAGTCTCATTGTTGTCAAGGAGAATTTATGTTCGGATGAAGCAGATGGCTCTGCTCGCATCGTATTCGATGAGGAGGACTCCAGTTTGACACGGTCTGCGTTCAGCAACTGGTACTCTCCAACCATGCTTAATTTCCAATATGCAGATCTGATGCCGCGTGGAAAAATGTATTCAAAGCGGCTGGACTGCGTGTCATCGATGAAAAAGTCCAAGATGGACTCCCTGATGGTCTTTATGTTGTAAAAATGTGCTGTTGTTATTTCCATTTCAGGAAATGTACTCATCGAAAGTTTAGGTATGCCTTGAGATAATTTGACCGAAATCCAAATGAACTCGTCTGTGCCCCAGCCAAGGGACATCATTCAGGTCGCATACTCTCCGCAGTGATGCTTCTGGTTTGTACGTAGACACCGTCACCTCGCGGCCTGAAGGCATGTAATGAAGAGGTCACGGTGTCTACGTACGTATTTTATTCGACCCTTGAGTCGCTGGCCGCGAGTTTTTTTCAGACTTTGCCAAAGCTGTTTGTCAAAGCTAATCTAGACACGGAACATCTGAGTAACTACTCGTGCGATCAAAATGTTGTTCGAGGATCTGAGGATGCCAACACTGCTTCACTTAGACTATGTCGCCGTCGAACGTCCAACGTGGGACCTGCTTCCTTCAAAGACGGGAATTCCGTTCGAACCAACGCGTCGAGCTGGGGCCAAATCTCATCCGACGTACTGCCGGACAGGGTGCGGAGCAAGAGAGTGTGAGAGTGAGGGAAAACCAGTTGATGTGGATGCTGCTTTCGTGTGGTTCCGGGAAGACGATGTCTTCTATTAGCGGATTTGGCATAATATGCAAGCAGTGGAGAAGTCGACGCGTAGAATTGCTGTAGACGGCGTGCAAAGGTTTCCTTTGGAAAGGGATGTCAGATAGCAGACGCAGTAGGCAGATCTCACTGACTGGATTGTCGTCCGGTCGTTTCATAAGTGGTTCTCCAGTGACGTCGTCGAAACCATCAACTTTGGGAGGATTATAGGACACATTATACACGCGACCCGAAGGTAGGTGCACCCAGCGATCTGATATGCGACTGAGGATAACTTCGTCCGGGACATCCAAGTTAACGACAAGGGTCAGAGGCATGCCTTGTTTTCTAGTGCAAAGATCGACTGCTCAGCCTTGCAGCCTTACGATGAGGAGACGGACAAACGCACCCGAGATGCGCGTCCAACAATTCGCCCTGTCCCAATGTGCGAGGGAACCCATCCAAAATCCAGTGCTACGATGAAGTGAGCAGTCAAGATGATCGACGAGCCGGATGGTCGGACCTTGTTCCGAAGGCCATCCAACTGCGACGTCACGACCTTGAGCATGACTTCATCTGGCAAAAGCTTGCCCTGCGCGACGATCTCCTCTGCCTCGCGCCCGATATCAGTCCTGTAGGACGCGCGGTGGAGATTACAATCCACACGTTCGGGTGCCACAAGTCACACACCGTTCTGCAATGTGCTGCCTAAGCAGGTCTCCCGTGGAAATCGTGGTGATGCCAGTGTATTTTTTAACAAGTCGCGACGACAACGTGCCCTTGCCTGCGCCCGGCTTGCCAAATATTATCAGTCGAAGCAGTTTTCCGGAATCTCCTTCTTCTCGTTGGGCGCGGATGGTATTGAGGAAAAAGGCCGAGGCTCCCCGTGTTGCAGCGGACGAGCTTAGACAGCGCCGAGCAAGCCCGAGAGGTTGACGGCCGCAGAGAGCGTTCATGGTATTGGACGGAGTGAATCCGAGGCAGTACCCAGAAGGTTTTGCTCAAAAACCCCTGAGAATGGCGATGACTAAAAACCTCAGGTCACGCGAGTTCGAAGCCCAGAAAAAGTCTGGGCAAGGCTCATTCAGCTCCAGTCTTACTGCGCGATGAACAGCAATCCAGCTGCTTCCGGCTTCTACCCGTGACTTCGTCTAAATTTCGGCGGATCTGCCTCCCTGAGGAGACGCGGTATCTCTTGATTCACGCGGTGATAGACCGATAGTACGAAGAAGACATCCAGAGACTTCATACGACATGTGGATCTAACGTGTCTACAGTCTTCGCAGTATTCCAACCAACCAGATCTCGCATTCTGTCCACCTCCATCACGCCCCGTATGTCGCCATCGAGACAAGCCTTGACTGCAGCCGTCGCAACGTGGTCAACATGAATGGGTTTAGTCACCAGCGCATTCGCAAGTGAAACAACAGGCGAAGGAGTCGAACTCGATACCCGAGGCAGCTGGGCCAGTACGGCACGGAGGGACCCTTGCAACTGGGCAGGGAGAAGCTCATGTGCGCTCGACGTCAGGTCCAACAGTGCGGCCGCCGGGGTCGTTATTGGCCGCTGGTGGGCATGATAGACCAATCCTGTAGATAAGAAGTTCCAGACTGCACAGATACCCAGAGAAGTGCATAGATACCTGGCCGGAGATACACTCCACGGAAAGAAGCTTCGTGCCCAGCCAACCGCTCCTCAATCTCCACTTCAGCCGCACGTTTCGTCTCTATATAACGAGCCGGCACCCATGGTCGGAAAACGTCCGCCGCTGAGATGAACACAAATGGGCGTGCGCCTCCACCTACCGGCGCCGATGACGACTGGAAGGCCTCGAAGACACGCAGCGCTTATAATTGATGAGGAACAACGCTTCAACAGTTGAAAAGATCAAGTGCGCACCTGCATCCCGATTCATCTTTTCATACGTGGGCGTCTCGGTGTCTAATGGATTCCGTCCACCGAGAACCGCCCGCAGAAGTGTAGGGAGGTCCCCTTCGCGGACGGCACGCTTGTACCCCGCATCCTCGAGCAAAATTCCTAATGAGTGAACGACACCAAACGCACCATCCAAATGGTGTGCATATGATTTGTGCTCCAGGGCATCGCCTCTCTGCCAAGAGACGCGAGAAGTCCATGCCGGTGTATGTCCCTTGGCTGTTTGGAACGGCCTCCCAGAGGAACTGAGCCATATGAGCGCGCCGTGATTGTTCGGCAGGGACCCTTTCGGTACCTGATGCTTGTAACCTCCAGGCCGCGCGCTAGTGCTGCGCGACACACAGCAGAGCCTGTGTTATCTTCAGTATCTGTCGGGGACGAAAGTTCTCAGGTGGCGGACGCACCAATAAATCCATTCCCGCCGAATACCACAACACGGGCAGGCGGCAACATGAATGCTTCAGGCAAGAATTTGATCCAACGAGGACTGTCTGCAAGCAGATCTTGTACGGCTCAATGTAGGATCATATGTTTTCAAGAGAGGACGACCAGCCATAACGATGTACATGCAGTAAGTAGCTCGCTACGTATCAACCTGGAGATAGCATATATACTGTGATGGAAGTGGGGAGGGGGTCAAACGATACGCGCTACACAGTGCGCTCTAACATTCAGTGCCATTCGGTGACACCCAAGACTAGCCCCGGCAGCCGGTGCTCGCCGGCAGAAAGAAGAGTTGGAAAAAACGAGAGCAAGAAAGCGAGGCGATGTATGTAGGGGAGAGAGAGTTGAATTTAGTTGTCGACGAAGGCCCAGTTGACTGACAGATTGGTCAATTATGGCACGGATAAGTATATCAGGAGAACAATTACTGTTGATGAGCCCAACGGAGAGGGCAGCAAGCTTGGTGAATACTGCCTCGCTCATGTCTACGGAGGTGTTGTTATCACAAGTAGGGCATTCGTCGGCAACGGTAGCATCCACTGTCTATGCCCAGTGTCAGCTCCCATGCAAAACAATCAACACTAGTATGTAGGAGGTACCTGGCCGTTGGCAAGATTGGTGATTTGGATCTTGCGTCCGCAGTTGTCTCCGTTCTTGTACATAGCGGTGTCCAGGGCCACAATAAGGTCCGAGTCCTTGTGAACGGTACCACATGCTGCGGAGCCAATGAGCGACAGCACGCTTGAAGCGTTAGAAACAAAGATCTGACCTCCAGCAACACCGTTCTGAGTAAACCATGTGCCTGAAATCATATGAGAAGCAAAGAGCTAGGGAGGCTTCCCAGACTGACCGTGACCGCCGGTGAAGACCTGGCCGGTGCTGGTGGGGTTGGAGGCAGTGGTCGTTGTCGTTGTCGGTGTTGGTGTTGTTGTGGGTGTAGACTTGGTGGTGGTGGTGGTTGGAGCCACTTGGTGTGTAGTGGTTGGAGCTGCGGGTTTCGTCGAAGTGGTTGATGGATCTGGGGCAACGGCTTGGACGGGTTGCGTGGCCTGAGTGGTGGTATGCGTGGATGTGGTCGTATCTTTGGAGGAGGTGTGGGTCGTGGTAGCGTGGGTCGTAGACGAGGTCGCCTGAGGGGAGGGGATGGATGACACTTCGTGCGTGGACGACGAAGCATCGGATCCACTTCCGTCATCACAATCCTCGAGATCGCCGTCGTTTCCATCTTCAGCGCTGCCAGAATCGTCGCCGCCGTCGTCACAGTCCTCGCCGTCGTCGCCTGCCGAAGAAGCAGCAGATGAGGTCGCCAGAGCAGCAGTAGACGCCTTCGCTACGGCGGCAGTAGACGATTTCGCTACGGCGGCAGTAGACGATTTCGCTACGGCGGCAGTAGACGACTTCGCTACAGCAGCAGTAGACGTCGGGACTACAGTGACAGCAGACGTGGAGGGTGAAGTACCAGGGCAGGCGACTGTGGCATTGACTGCACAGCAAGCGTTGCGATTCTTCTCGACAGTTTCGGTCGACTAGATACAATTGATCAGTGGGAGAACATGGCTCAAAGAGGGTCATACAAGCATAGGGTGGCAGCAGAAGTCAAAGAACGGCGAGCTGTGCTTGTTCTCGCATCCAATGGCCTGCAAGGATGATCAGATGGTGAGAGACTGGTTGATTGCTTGAAGCGAACCATGTATCGGTCGTGATAGGTGTTGTAGTCCTCCAGGTAGCCGAATGCCCAACCGGGAGGAGGAGTCGCCCTACGAGACATGGCGGCGCGAGCATGGCGCATGTGATCCATTGAGTGGGCGGAAGAAAGCAGGGCGAGAGCGAGGACGGTGGAACTAGCCAAGGCGAACATGATGGGCGAGGGAGCGTGGAGCGGTGACAAGGAAGGTGGGCCTTGGAAAACAATATGGAGATGAGGATGGTTGTATTTGAAGACGCGGCTGGACTGACCTTGGAAAGCGACGAGGACGGGTTGAAAGAGGAAGGGGAAGGGAAGAAACCTGCACAGCGAACCAAACAAAGCGAACCGATTTCTCCACCGGCATTTCGGCTTCGGACGCAGCACCGCACCACAGCCGCGCGGTATCCATTTATAATCTAAGCGTTGCTAAGCAGCAATTATGTTTTTAATTTTAGACCCCTCTTCTTGCAGACGAGGCCCAGGGCATGCCCCGGCAGGGTTGCGCGGGTGTTTTCCGCGTTGAGGACGCACGGGCGCTATTTTGATCGTGAGAATATCCTGATTAGGCATCTTAACGTAGCAACACTGCCACCTCCCTCTCCCACTTACAGCTTCGATGGGTGCGGAATACCAGATTCACACCAGAAGTGTTGCGCTAACATAGCTCTAGCCAACTTCAACCAGAACCCGTTTGCTTCCACACATTCTCTCGACACGAACCCGTTCGATGACCCTACCCCCACACAACCTGCTAACGATGCTCGGCTAGAGCAATTAAGACAACGCGAAGAAGACCTTCAACGGCGAGAGCAAGAACTCGCAGCCAAGGCCGAAAACATCCGCAAGAATGGCAGGAACAATTGGCCTCCGTGTTCGTCGCTTACCTGACCCGTCCCTGCGGTCTTACCTCACTGACGTGACTTGCGCAGTCATGCCCCTCATCTTCCACTCGATGTCAGTGGCCCCTTTCTTCGTGACGCCAGAGCTTAGTCTTGTAGTCCGGATGAAATCCCAGAAGCATCTCAGCTCTTGGTTACTCGTCTCTACCAACTGTGGCTAGTTCTAGCCGCCACGCTCATCATCAATGTCGTCGCGTGTATCATGATTCTCATTTCGGGATCGAGGGATGGCGGGCGTGATCTCGGAGCAAGCATTGGGTGCGTATCGGCGCGTATGTTGGCACATAACCTCTAACTTTGTCAGATATGTGTTCATCATCACCGTCACGTCGTTCCTGCTGTGGTATCGGTATGGCGATTATATCCATTTCGGTACCCTCCCACTCACAGGTCCCGCCAGCCCTATTTACAACGGTTACATGAAGGCAACTCTATTCTGGAATAGGACCATTCGGCAACTGACTGTGTTCAAATCTAGGAACAGGCACTCTATTATTGTAAGTATGCAGACCTCTGCTTCTTCGCAGCTATTCTCACTTGCCATATTTAGACTTGTATTTCTTCTTTGGAGGGTTCCATCTGATATTCAGTGTTTACATGTGAGTGCAATGTTATTACCACGATCCGGGGGCTGATCTTGCACCTCCCCAGGATCATCGGTGTGCCAAGGTCTGCTCTTCGTTTTTGATTACCATGAACGATTGTTCACGGCATCATTAACAGCACCGGCTCGGCGGGGCTGATCCAGATGATCCAAATGTTTGCTAATCATCAGCAAGTCGGTCGTAGTCGCCGAAATTCTCACTGACCTGTATTTTAGCTGGGTCGCTGCTGTGTTTTGTCTCATCGCTACTATCGGCTGGACCGTGCAAGGATTGGGCAATGCCTTCTACTATCGGCAGATTTATGCTCATCACACGGCTGCTGGCCACACCATGGAGAAGGTCCGTCGTTTTGCCAAGTTCAGGTTGATTCCTGACGTGTTTGGATTCAGGCGAAGAGTGAACTTGCGACTCATGGAGCGAAGGCGTACTTTATGCGAGGATGATTGGCATGTCTTTATTTGTATAAAACGTGTTCAAAATCCCAGAACTCGTTACAACCTACATAGTAGTGTCCCAGGTCATGGATTGTACAACCTTGCCCATTCCAAAAGTACAAGCGCCCAGTAACAATCATTTTGATCATCCGTAAGAACACGTTCAACGAACTCTTTTCCCGCAGTTTGGATCCGGTGAGCTTCTTCATCGTGTGTTCGAGCCCATTCAATCTGAGTAACTAAATCAGAAAGATCTGGCAGGACCGGGATGTAATGTTCAAAAGGCTGCAGCCAGTCTTGGAAGTATTCCTGGAACACCGTCGACTGATGGGCATGTTGGTCAGTAGAGCCAGTCTATACGAACGAACAGCGCAGGCACCTTGAAAACCAGCGAGCCAGACTTGAGTAAGCCCAGATATCGCCTGGTATACCGATCAGGATGGAGCCCGAAAAGAGAGAAACATGCTGCTTACCCTGACCAAGCATTCCCGTCAACGTCGAATACATATCGATAAGCAAAAGATTCTTCCCGCGCCGCATTGAAGCCCGTGATGTTGTACTCTTCGATGATGGTATCTGCATCACAACCTTCAAGCTGGCAAAACCACGAATAGAACGAGCTGATGGCAACATCCATGATATCGGCGTGCTTTCGTCCGATCTCGACCAATTTGAACCGCGGAAAGCTGCGATAGTTCGACCCGCTGATCCATCCGCCCGTAGACTGCCCCCTCCAGTATAAAACAGGCTTCTTATCAGCCCATTTGATGTTATCGGCGGAGCGGTACTTCGGGGACCAGCGCGATCGGTTGTAATGGAACTGCAGCCGCTTTAAGCTCCAGGAAGCCTATGCGAAGCAGATAGCTCACCTCGCTGGGGAAAACAATATCGGAGAAACAGGGGTACAGCTTGGATTGACTCAAAATAGGATAAAGATCGGTGGAAAAATCAGCGCTGGCGCTGTACGACAGGACTGTTTCTGGGCTTAGCAAAAAGACATTCAAGTCCAATCAAATTCTTCATCTCACATGAGTTTGCGTCGTTGGCATATGCCAAAAAGCCCGTCTCCTGGTTGGCGATGAGACAGTGTTTCTGCTCCTTATAATACTTGGAAGTGGGTGCAGGCGAGTTGCGAAACGCCATCGTGTCTCTCAATTCCAAGGCAGAGTCGCGGACATTGGGAGCACGTGTATTGAATACGACGCGAGGTTCGTCGCGGTGATTGATGACTAGCTGCATGTCGGGAAGTAGAGATGACAGCTACAAGGGAAGAAAAGTGTCAACAAAAAGCTGTCTAGATTTGAGGAGTGACAGACGTTGTTTAGCATATTCGTCCATTCATTGTCATAGTTGCTTGCACGATCGTCTCCCATTTGCACCTGTCCGTTTCTGATCTCAAAAGTCTTCATTCCTAGATCCTCCTCCCGGGCCTGGTTTTCACATGAGCTTTGGGAGAACAAGAGCTACAGGATCACATACCATTCTGAATGACCGTTCTACCATGTCCCGAAAGAAAACGGGCGAGCTTCTCGCTAATTGATGGAAGGGCTCAAAATCACGGTATATCTGGTTGTAGTCGTCGATGAGACATTGCCTTTCCTTCGCGAAGCGGAACCATCTTTCGTAGTGTGGGGGAGGGGGCCTGTCGTTACGTAGCGCGTATTGAGCAACAGCTTGGGATAAAGTGGCCGACTGTCTGTCAAACAAATCGTCCACGGCTGTCCCAGCTTTGCGGGAGCGCTGGAGCAGGTCTCGGAATGCGTTCAGTAAAGTGAAGTGACAACGAGTGTCTCGCACGCACTGAAGCGATGGGAGACGAGAAGCAAAAGCGCTGCGATAGACCCTAAACAGCCCACCCACAATGCTCGCCATTTTAAAGACTTGTGGCGTAGAAAGAAGCCGGTTTGACCATGCCCAGCCCGGGAGTGCATAGTTCCTTGCAAATGCAGGACTGATGACTACCGCAAAGGCTCTGGAGTCGAGAGGACTTGCGGGAATACCCGCCAGGGCGAGATCATTAATGATTGAATTCAAATCAGTATCTGAGTAGATGTGGCGGTGTCGTGATCAGCTCATCTTCCTCATAATTTAGCACCGCTTGAAATCTACGGTGTTTGACACCATGACCCGCGTCACGAACATCGGGATCAAGCGCACCCATTTACAAGCCGGTTTCTCGGAGAATCCAGACGTCGCAGAGCAAGCTCCTCCGCCGCAGGTGGATCAGGAGGCGGTCGACGCTCCTCCGAAAAAGAAACGCCGGGTGCGCACGAAACCATCTAAACGCAACGGGAATGCTGCACCATCCAACGACGATGCATCTCCGGTCACCCCCGTCTCAGCCCCACCTCCCAATGGCGAAAAGAAGGAAAATCCCAAGAAGAAAAGTGCGTAGCAAAGCGCTTGCTCGACCTCCCCGAGATGAAACGTCGGTCGTGCTCCCAGAAAAGCCGTTCATGAGCCTCTCCGAGCGGAGGCGAATAAAGCGGATCGAAGAGAAGAATGCGGCAACCACCTGCTTTGCATGCAGAGAAAAGGGCCATAGCGCGAAGGATTGTCCTTCATCTGAAAAACAAAGTGTGGGCATATGTTATCGGTACGAGTTACCCGTGCGTTTCATCCGCAGACTTGAAACCATTTTGAAGGTGCGGCTCGTCCAAGCATACTTTGGCGCGGTGCAAGAAACCCCATAGTGCCTCTGACCCGCTTCCGTTCGCGTCGTGTTTCGTCTGCTCAGGAAAAGGGCATCTTGCGTCCGGATGTCCGCAGAATAAAGCCAGAGGGGTCTACCCCAACGGGGGAAGTTGTAAGTTGTGCGGGGACACTTCACACCTTGCGAAAGACTGCGGAATACGGAAACAAGGTACTTGAATGATCCGATGTACGTTCTCGATCTGATTTGCGCCAGATGCGAGGCAGGATGCGACAGTCTGGGGCACAGGCGACAATGCGGGTGCAGACGAAGATGATTTCCACAGTCTCAAAAGAGTGAAGAATGAAGTAGACAAAGACGAAAAGCAAGAAGACCGCGCGAAGCGACAGATCGACGTAAAACGCGGTGCTCTGACCGGTACTCTGAGGTCTTTTGCTGAACCCCCAAAGACGAAGAAAGTCGTCTACTTCTGACTATCGTAGTGAGTATTCCGACGTAGATGATGATAGGTACACTAGAGTCCATGTTCCTGAAGTTTACAATCTGGGTGACTGGGTTGGTTTGGCGGGCGCATATCTGGCCTGGCAACGGAGTGAGCTTGCTAGCTAGATGAAAGCAGAAACGTGCTGCACACCATCTCGTTCTCTTTCTTCTCGAACCCGCACTTTTGATAGAAAGCTGTAACTCTGTTCAGCGAGTCTGTGCCAGCAACTGCAATGATGTGGCTTACGTATGTTGGCGTCGCTGCAATTCAAAATCGTCTTGTAGCAACCGCTGTTCTCGCTGATGTATGTGAGCGCCTGAATGATGCGGAGTCCCAGCTTCTTCCCCTGCTGCTGCTTGTCAACAGCAATGTCTTCGATGTGTCCCACAAGGCCAAGACCACGCAGGAACTTGCGTTCAACGACGAGAGTCCCTGCACCAATGATCTTGTCGGTATTCTTGTCGACAAGCACGATGGGGTAGTATGTCTGCGGTGCAGCACGCATGGCATGGTATTGGGAGACCCAAGCGGCTTCTCCCAAGTCCGTCGCAACAGTGAGAACAGAGAGAACGGAAAGATGGCCACGTCCATGATCTGTGGAAGCCAACGGGCGTATCTACAGGCGTGTCGAGTGAGCTAGAGGGAATGGGGGAGCGAGCGAGCCGACGAACGTGGACATCGGAGTGCAGCTCAGCTGTAACTTGGGGACTAATGAGACTGGCCGGGAAGAACAAATCGAGCTCTTTGTCTGAAGTGAAAGGCATTGCTGGTGAATGAAGAAAGAAGGGAACGAGTGGTGGAGCTGGAGCCTTGTGATAGTCGATTCGAAGTATAATTCACTCTCACCTCGCCAACACCGCCATATACATACCACCGAGACACTGCCACACGTCAAGGCTCGATCGAGTTTCGAAGCAGCTCATGCTCCGATCACAGCCCCGCACACTCACTGACATATATTCAGGCAGGAGATATTGGAGGCCAAGTGGTCATGTTCACGACTCTAAATATGTCCATGCACTGGTTATACTTATGCCTAAATGTTCACTACGATGACTCATGATCCGGCCCAGTCTGAACATGCTGATGGTCGGGAAATCTACTGGAAGAGCACCTTCAGAGGGGAGTCCTTCCTCATAATTTTGAGACCGATTCGGCGCACGGCGAAATTAGACAGACTTTGATGGGAGGGAGTGGGAGGGGGGTGCAAACTGATTATTAAAATTGAGGAAGGGATTGTTTGCACCAGGATCGTTCATGATGTAGGACTCCCAATCGGCCAATCTACAAGTCATGAGCCAAGTCAAAAAGATGGATACTGAATTGCGCACTCAAACCCGGACGGTGCTGCTGACCACATTGACATGATGTCGGCATCTGCATTCATATCGGGGTTGCCAGGCATCTGGAACAGGTTCTCCGCGTCGAGAGGAAGATGATAGGAGGTTGCAGGCCCAGTTTCGCCATGGGAATTCGGCAGAAATGCGTAGCTGGAGGAATTTGCACCATAAAATCCACTGCTTTCTGCAGGGACTTGCGCAGGCCATACAGTGGGCTCAGACTGGATTCGCTTGAGAGCCATTGAAACAAGACAGATAGGGAGATACTAACGCTGGTACACTCGGACGCTGACCCGTGCTGGAATCGAGCGGGTGCCGTTGCTTCAACATATCGCTTGGACCACTCACTCATGTCTCCTACAGAAATCAGTCTCTCGAGAATGTCACTGCGGAGCATTAGAGGGGACATGGACGGGATCAGGCAAGCTCACTGGAAGCGACCTGCTGCTTGGTATCTATGGAAACTGAGATTTTCGATATTACCGGCTAAGATGGACAGTACCTGGCCTCTGCATTAGCAAGCGCAGCCATGCACTTGAAGACGTCTTCCATCTCCTTCTCGGGATCATATGCAAAACCAGAGCGTTTGCCGCTCCAAGTATGCAGCAACAGCACGATTGCAGAAGTGAACGCGGCGGCCTGTAGTCAAAGGCTGAGTTGAGCACGTGTGCTTGCGAAAAAGAACGCACGAGCATGTTGTGATTAGGCTCGAGACCAAGTTGGTTCTGAGTGTGAATGATTCTGGCACATGACCGAGCAGCATTGGTGCATATGGCAAGTGAAGGCAATGCACCTGCCATCAGTCAATTGCAAGGCCAACAGAAAATGGGTTCTGGCGCACCAGGTCGCGCAGTCTCCAGCGGCGCGGGTATGTACGGCCGGTGAACCATGATCTGCACAAGATAGTATCCTGCACGTGTCAAACTAAAAGTAAACATAAGAGCATGGCACACAAACCGCAATGAAGTAGCGCAGATTGATTCAGATGCAGAACATTTTTGCGCTCGGGATCCCACGTCACTAAGCACTCACGATGTCATAATCGGACACGAAGGTATGACCTGACTCACAATGATCAGGGATCTCAAGAATCCACGAATTGAGTGCAGAATCGAAGGCGACAATGTTCTGGGCATCCGACACAGGAGGCAGAGCTCGACCAGAAAGATCCCGCGCTTTTCGAGGTGAATAGATCGTACTCGTAACAGCGGCTTGGATTTCGAAAAGTTTGGCGTAGCAGATGAAGAAACTGATCTCAGAAGGCTTGCCTGCTGGCTGTCTGAGGGCGAGAGGTCAATGCATCGCAAAAACAGGCGTCATCGATCTCTCACCGAAAACTCAGCGGCGCGGGGCGATCCCAGCACTCGTCGTCGCAGTCGACGGGAAGCTCTTGGTCATAATCCTGTTCGTGCATTGCCAAGGGCCGGCCAGCCAAGGTCCCTGCTAACCACTCTAGACAAAGAAGCACCCTGGAGAGTGCTCAGACACATGCAGGAAGCACAGGAGACAGACCAACCAGAAGACTCGCTTCCACTGTTCATTATCGGCTGTAGGGTGATCCAACTTCATCCTTCGATGGGCTCCGACCTGCGTCTAGATCAGACGATAGCGCAATAGTGGAAGTCTAGCGCACGCACATCCTGAGCTCTTCTCAATCCAAAACCAATCTGATTCCACGCAACAGGCGAGATAGCCGCAAGAAATATGGAGGAGAGAGCAATCGTCTGGAGTTCATAGAGATTTGGCTTGTACACGAGATGTTTGGGGATGACTTGAACTTGGCTATGCCATTTCCATCCTGCGGATTGCATGCTAGGCACCCCTTCCAAACAGACACGCGGATCTTCCGAATGACGAGCTCCTAAAGAACAGACCATGAGCAACGTCGCAGCGAACCGGTGGTCGCGCATATGTAAGTTGTCCTTGGCTTTCCTCTCGAAGGTCGGTCGGTGGAGGGTGGGATAAAAACAATTCACGTGAGTAAAGTACAACTCGATGAGCACAGGGAGCAGATCTGCATCAGGAAACGTGTATTGAGGGTTATCCTCTTCGTCTGGGCGAGGTAACAGCCACTACAACACCTTGAGCGAGATGCGACCCATTGAAAGTGATCCACATACTTTAACTGGCTCCCAGTACTGTTTTCTTCGTTTGGGCATCGGGCAAGTGATCATGGGAGGAGTGCCGCCCACGACATGACTTCTGAAGTTGAGGGCCGTTTGCACAAATTGTATGCCACTGAGAGGATTCATAACTATGCGCACATAGATTCAGAGAACACGAACCTCGATTTCCCGAAAAACCGGTGCTCCTCTGGATTCAGCGTCAGCTTCTGAATCGCTCCCAAGAGATGATCTGCGTCATTTCGTGGAAGGCTACTGGCCTCTTCAACGGCCGCCGGATCCTCTTCCTTATCGAATTGCTCCGTGAAGTCGATCCCCGGAAGGAGCTTATTGAGCAGGCTTTCCATCTTCTCGAGTCGGTTCTCTGACGAGACTTGTGAGGAGAGGTCTGGATTTCCGAACGGCATGCATACCCAGGCTTTCGACATATCTGCATTCGCTCGGTGAGATACTTCCATGGATTCAAGAGGATGTACTCACCCTTTGGCAGATCCCAGGGTCTAAAGAAGTTACTCATCAGTGGCTAACAACACTCCGGATGTAGAGTTGACCTTCATAATCTCTGCGTGCGTACACTCCAGCCCCGCGCTGAGACAGTTCGTGCATTTGTTTCCCGGCTGCTGCCCACTGTCACCTATTCGAGGTCTAAGGAAACGAAGTGGCGGACCAGGTATCATGCGTACATCGAACTAGAAGATACATATCAATTACTCAATGAGCCAGGGTACCAACGAGAACTGACTTTTGCGCTTTTTGCAGGTGTCGCAAGCACCAGCAATCCTGCGTTTCTTAATTTTGGGTTCGTTCGTTTGAGGAGACATTGAAGGACTGCGCAGGCCACCGGTACGACAGAGACTGCCGTCAGATCAATGGGGAAACTGCCGATTACCTAAACATGTCGGGTAGGTACTTAGATTACCGGAGCACTCTCCGAGAGGAACGGCCGGTGTCATAGTACTCACCGAGTGAACAATACAGCACTTTGCCTCTGTAGACTGTTCCAGATCTTGAATTCGTAAATCTTGTATTGTAGTCTGAATTATTGGCGGGTTTTCATCGAAAGTTGTCTGAAACCCCGGCAGACTGCAGATGAGTTGAGCTCAACGATGATGTTGTGTGCAATTGTTTATCAAGACTGGACACGCTATGGTTCTCGCGGACTTGGGCAGGAAGCTCAATGCCGCCCTCTCTTCTCTCAACCGGGCCCCTGTAGTCGACGAGAAAGTTCGTCGCCGTTTACTACGTCCTATTCAAACTATCTGTTCATACACGCAAAGGTCGTTGATGCGACACTCAAAGAAATCACAACCGCTCTCCTCGAATCCGACGTCAATGTCAAACTCGTCCAGTCACTCCGGCAGAAAGTCAAGACGAAAGTCAAGGCTTCGTTGGAGGCTACCGCCGACAAAACTAAAGAATCTGGAAGGAAGAACTTGATACAGAAGGTATTTGAATTGCGTGTGCGTTTTTGGCGATAACTAGATCCCTTGGAATAGGCCGTGTTCGATGAACTGGTCGCTTTGGTGGATCCTGGGGTGGAGCCATATAAGCCCAAGAAAGGGCAGGCGAATATTCTCATGGCAGTAGGTCTGCAGGTCCGTATTCACCACACCCTTCGGACGTACGTCTTGCGTCTGACTATCACTGGTGCAGGGAAATGGCAAGACGACGACGTGCACAAAGCTGGCAGTTCATTACCAGAAACGCGGGTTCAAATCAGCCATCGTCTGCGCTGATACTTTCCGAGCAGGGGCTTTCGATCAGACTCGACAGTCCGCCACTAAGGCCAAAGTAGCGTATTTTGGCTCCTACACGGAGACAGATCCTGTCACGATTGCCGCACAAGGTGTGGAAAAGTTCAAGAAGGAGCGATTCGAAGTGATCATCGTTGACACGTCTGGTCGACACAAGCAAGAGTCGGAACTGTTCCAAGAAATGGTTCAGATTGGGGAGGCGGTTCAACCCAACCAGACGATCCTCATTCTCGATGCCAGCATCGGTACTGTTCCATATCCACCTTCACCTGCTCACCGTTCTCAATGTTTTGTAGGTCAAGCGGCTGAAGCGCAAAGTCGAGCATTCAAAGATAGTGCCAATTTTGGGGCTATCATCGTAACGAAAATGGATGGGCATGCTAAGGGTGGTGGTGCTATATCAGCGTGCGTGTCTACAGGCAACAAGAAGTGACTCTCCCTCATCCGCTGTAGAGTTGCCGTGACCAAGACGCCGATCATCTTCCTGGGTGTCGGAGAACATCTGCACGATCTTGACCGGTTCTCACCGGAGCCTTTCATCTCAAAACTGCTCGGGCTGGGAGACATGCAAGGCCTGATGGAACACATGCAGGACATGGCTGCTGCAAATCCGGACAAGCAGCAAGAAATGGTCAAGAAACTGGAGGAGGGAAAACTGAGTATCCGCGACTGGAAGGAGCAGATACAGAACGTGATGAATATGTATGCAGTCCAGTGTCTCTCCCACTTCGGTGCACTCAACAACTGCACAGGGGACCCATCAGCAAGATCGCGTCGATGATACCAGGCTTACCGCAGGAATTGATGGCAGGGAGTGAGGAAGAGGGCACTCAGAGAATGAAGCGGATGATCTACATCACAGACAGCATGACCACGGCAGAGCTCGACTCGGATGGCACACCCTTCATGGAGACAGGCAAGGACGGGAAGCCTACTGGAGTGACATGGCGAGTGACCAGGGTTGCTCGAGGCAGCGGAACGAGCGTTAGAGAAGTCGAGGAGTTGCTGGTCCAGTATCGGATGATGGCGAACATGGCAAAGCAAGCGGGTGGCAAGAACGGATGGTCTGTGACAGTGAACCCACTGGATGCATCCTTCGGTCTCACACCTTCCCAGGCTTTCTGCGATGCAGAAGATGCAAGCTGCGGCTGGCGGCAAGGGCCGCGGCCTGAATGGCGCACCGACACCTGCACAGATTCAAGCCATGCAGGTGCGCAGCAGTTAGCTCTCTTCCAGCTCTTCCTTCCTAACGCACAACACAGAGGGCGATGCCTCCGGGGATGCTGCAGCAAATGCAACGACAAATGCGCGGAGGCGGCATGCAGGAGATGATGAAAGCAATGATGCAGGGCCAAGGCGGCGATCAAATGGATATGGAGGAAATGCAGCGGATGATGTCTTCTATGGGCAACGGCCTCGGCGGCCTCGGCGGCTTGGGCGGTATGCCTGGAATGGGCGACATGATGAAAAAGATGATGGGCATGGGAGGGTAACGGACTCCGTCATTTATATGTATGATCCACACTGTATTACTTACACGCTGTTATCCTTACTACTCATATACTCATTCTCGGCGCTGTCTCTTGAACCACGCTTTTTTCTGGCTAGATGCAGCAGATTTGTTGCCGAACATGAACGCTGAAGTGTGCTTGTCTGCCCCCGTCTTCTTCGAGACAGATGTTTCGCTACCGAAGACAGCCTAGTGAACCGTCAGACGCGGACACGAACTGAGGAGCAACGCACCGCCCAAAGGCCCCATAGACCGATGATTCCGCTGCCAACGAAAACAAGTCCACTGAGTGAGCCGACAGGTTGTGTCGTGTTGTACGCAAGGAAAGAGGATGTGCACGCCGCAGCCGTGATCGGCACCAACAGCGGATGCCGTCCTGGTAAATGTTGCTGCGGCAAGTGAGTCTCGGACGGGATCTGCGTGGGTCAGCGAACACGCAGTTTCACAAGTCTGGCCTGGCCTTACATTCATGACGAGACAAGCTGCAATAGCAAGGAGCCATACACTGGCGTGGACGCCGATAAACGACTCGAGAGCAGTCAGTTCGGTACGCTTGTCGATTCCATCCGAGTCAGCAGACTGGGAGATGAAGAGAAGGAATCGCGGCGAGAGGGAGAGGATGATCGATATGGTCGTCAATCTATCCAATAAGATGAGTCTGAAGATGCAGAGAATATGAATTGACCGAGGGCATACAGCAGCACGGTGCCCCAGGCCCAGTAGGCACTGACGGGATCAGACGACGAATCTGGGGAGTTGGGGAGGGCACTTGACAAAGACGGCTCTGGCTGGGATTGCGGAGCACGATTTCTTTTCGAAAGATCATCCAGCTCTATGTCAGCCATGGTGTGGGGGCGGAGGAGAATAGAGTTTCAGTGAACAGCTACGCGCGCGTGTTGTACGCAGTCGTATACGTGAATGACATCAGACGTCATCAGTGGCGATGCACTCGCTTGTGAGTTCCCCGCAACCTCGATCTCTGCTTACAGGCCTCGGCTACTTGCCGTCGTCTTCAAGTAATGCACATGTCCTCTGAGGTAAAAATTTGCCCCTCTCTTGAAATTGGTCGCTCGATTTCCGATTCTTGATTTCTTCCTCGGGGAAGCAGAATATCCGAATTCGACATGTCACAGTGCGCCAATTACACAAAGCCACGCAGATCCACTCGTGAGTATAGCATACCCACTCCAGGACACTTTGCGTAAAAGCAATACGCGTACAGCACAGCACCTTTCGACTTGGAAGGGACTCCGCTAGCTCTGGTACGTACGGCACATGTCTACAACAGCGGATTCCCCTACATGCCTGTCAGACGGTTCTGGTGGGCAACCCGTACGATGTTTCGGTCACCAGCAACCCGAAATCTGTCGGATTCAGCATAGATGACGGTACTGGTCGCATCAAAGTCTACGTGCAGGGTCCCGATGAGATGCGACACATGCTGCAAGTATCACTCGGGTCTACTCCGTCATTCCCCAAGGGTCTTATCAGGGTATAGGGAGACATCTCCGTACGTTCGTGTGGTAGGGGATGTCGCGGCCTGGCAGGGGATAAAGATTGTGCAGGCCCGGAACGTGTTTCGGTGCGAGAGCCCATATGAGATCTTCGAACATCTCTTGCGCACAATACAAGAGACGATCTTGTGTGCTCAGGCGCTCTCGGTAAGTTTGGTGTCAGTGATCACTTGTGTGGCTTCTCACATCATATTTTAGCCTGGCGAGAACTCGAATATCATACCTCCGCCCATGAAAGATCTGACAGTACCCCCAGAAGAGGAGATATTCGATCAGGAGTATCAAGAGGACGTTGAGAGTCCTTTGGAATATATCGAGCGTCCGATCACTCCGCCGCGAGTTCCCCAGACGGCGAGTGCAAGACGGACTTCCAATCCGTATTCCACCATCGGTTCACTGGAGGAAGATATCATCGTAGCTCTGGAGGTTTTGACCTTGAAAGATCCGCCTCAACCTGGTCGGTCTTGGCCAGGTGTGCCTATCCTGAATCTTATGGAAGCCCTGCCCGGAGCAGAGGAATCCGAATTCATGCATGTTTTCTCACTCTCCTTCCAGCGATGTATTGCCGAGCTGAAACACTTCCAGGAAAGCTCTTCAAGCTCTGATCATGAGCGGGTATATTTTTCGGCCCCTACTGAATTCGCACTGCGCTTTAACTTGAGTGCGGGTCAAGAAACACGCGCAACTCGCCGGATGTGTAACCGTGTATTAGTAATCAATATTCCGCGTTCTCCCACTTTCCATTGGAAGATATTTTGGTACAACATCATGGCCTGTTGTTCTCTACACCGACCATGAGCACAGAGAATAAGCTTCCAGGTGAGAGCGCCATAGCTCCGCAGATATCCAAACGATCTGAGCACCACTCAAGAGTGCTGGGGTCATCGCGGCGTGAGCGATCTCCTCCGGTTATCTTGTCCCGGCCACCATGTAACATCATCGCCAGGCGTCCGCCCGCTTCCCAGAGAATACGCTTGCCTCATTCGAGGGAGCTATCAGGTCAGCCTTGGGCACGATGGTTTGTTATCTCAGCTAAGGCGGGCCGATGCACAGGGACGGAGTCGAAGGCATCGAAAGCGACGTGCATGTCTCGAAAGACGATGTCATTGTTATGTTCCACGACCCCAGTGCGTGTCATCACTCACTCTCACCCATCCGAAATTCGCCCCCGCTGAGTACATTCCCGAAGGCTTGGATCGCACGACGAACTACAAGGGCAAAATCTCCGAAACGAACTGGTGGGGACCGGATGGCATGGAACATGCCCGCACGAAGAAAGAGCCCGCGCAGTCGATCCCAACATTCGTGGAGACACTCGCACTGCTGATGAAGGTGCACCCCGAGCCCCTGTTCAGGATCTGCGCTGACCTGAATGTGATAGCCTGAACACCAGCACATCAAGTTCGATGTGGATATCAAACCGGGCAACGACCCAACCAAATTGTTCACGCTCATGCACGAGTCCATTTCGGCCTATCCTGGCTGGGAAACATTGGTGCTTGCACTCTCTCGGCCATCAGCGAAGGTGTTGCTGGTGACTGATTCCACCCCTTAGCTCGCCCCGAGAATCGTGCTGGGCCTCTGGCACCCGAAGTTCATCCAGCCCGCCAAGGAGATCCTGCCGTACTGCCGGAGATCGTGCATTGCGTTCAGTGTGTGGATCGCGCGGCAGTACTTCTGGAGCGACGTCGACTCCTTCAGCATCTGGTTCAACGCGCTGGCCACTTGGGAAGGAAAGCGGTGGGTCTCGCGGCCGGCGTGTCGATTGCATCTCGTCTGATGCATCATAGGTTCCGCGACGAGATAAAGGCGGCGGGGAAACACCTTTTCGTATTCACGGTCAACTCACCCGAATATATGATGGAGGTTGGGCTGTCAATCGTGGGCATATCGTGCTCCTTCGCTTACTTTTTCTTTCAGGTGGCCAGCTGGGACGTAGATGTGATCATCACCGACATACCCTCTCGCTGGCTAGCTCTGCGATCGAGTCTGCAAAGTGCGTCTCATCCGTCCGGGCATTCCTTTGAAGTCACTGAATGCGGGGAACAGAGAACTATGATGCCACAGTGCAGAAACATTCGGGCCGGCTTGTTCTCTACATGTACCTGACCATGCTGTCTCCGCTGATCTACGCCATGCAACGATTCTCGGAACATCTGGTGCGGAAATCCGGGGGTCCGTTACCCATTGTAGCATAGTACTCTAGATAGTCAACGGCGGTGGTTCCTCAATCGGCACAGGCCCCAATGCGGCAATCTCGTCATCATAGAACCGCCTCAGGCGCTCCGCGTCTCTGCAGAACGCCTCCAACTCGAGTTTGATTCGATCCGCCTCGACCACCGGCGCAGTGCGTGACTCGCGGCTCTTCATGCCGGCCATGCGCCCGGGGCCCATCAGCCGGTTCGTGAGGAAGAGAAAGCCCTGTGCGCCGCCTAGAACCTGCACGAAGGCCGTGCCAGACCGGTGCACGAACTGGGAATACGTGAATGGGTCCCGCCGGTAAGAGTAAACCACGGAGACCGACGCCGGGTACAGATTCCCCGCCTCGATGTCGATGATGAAGTTCAAGTGGCGGAGCAGCGCGTACTCGAAGTACTGGGCGGTGTGGGTCCCAGGGGGAAGCCGCTTGTCGAGCTGCGGGACGATGGGGGGCGGGACAGCCAGAGGGATGGGAAAGCACGACTGGAACGGATTGCGCTTGCGCACATCGCTGATTTGCTCCACATACGCCTCGACCAGCCTCAGCCCGTAGCGCTCGATGGTGCGGTTCCACTGCCGCAGCTGGTCCTCGATGCAGCGGGCTGTGGTTCCGATCCACTGCAGCTCGAAGTGGAAGACGGTGCCGGGGTTGTGGATAATGTCATGGTGCAGAATGACGGTTTCTGCTTGATCACTCCGCTGGATGGTGTCAGACGCCGGGGGGAAAGCGTTTGAAGAACACACGGACCTTGTTTGAGTCGATGTCGATGACCATCGTCTGACTCAGGATCAGCCGTTTCTTCCGTGCGCTCGGCACCCGCGTCGTCGTCGTCTGAGGGACAGCAGGCGGACTGGCGATCCCTCCAATAATCTTGCGAGGGCCAAACCAGCCACCCAGTCCCTTGGGGGTCATCGGCACAGAGAACTCTCCTTTCAGCCGGTAGAAGTAATGTCTGACAGCCCCTCAGCAAGATTCCGAGGGAGTTCGAATGAGCCGCTTACCCATCCAAAAAGGCGTGGTGGCCGCGACAGTGCTCAATGAGACCCTGCTCCTCTAGCTTTATCCCCCATTCAGTGCCCTGGGCGCGGGTTGACACGTCCCGGAACTCTCGGACGAGCCACGAGACAAGGTCGTAGCCGGTGAATGAATTTGGATACTGGACACGGTGCCACTGGTTGTGCTTGATAGACAGGCCGTCTTCCGCCTTCATAGCCTTGGCGATGGCGGATAGCTCCATCCCTTCGATCTCGCGCTCGCTCTTCATCTTTTTTTTGAGAGGACCGGCGGTGTGGATCTGGTCAAGCTGTTCCATGAGAGCCTCGTCCAGGACCGACACAGCAGGATTCAAGGTTGTCCAGAGGAACCTGACGGGCGGGGGAGGACATCTCTCGCCGGGACTGGTCCAGCGCACTTTGGTGAACTGTTCTGCGAGCTTCTCGATGCCCAGGATGCGTGTCTCCTCGTCATTCAGTTCTTCCCCGTTCGGGCCGAGCTTGTGCGACGGCGATTCGGTGGTGGGGATGACGACGAAGCGCGTTCGCCAGTAGCGCAGAGACTCGTTGAATTCGCGCGCGTAGCCTGCGATGAGCATGTCCATCCTAAACCAGTCAGTATCCTCGAAAACACGTGCGAGACGTCGAGGACGGACCCGTTCCAGCCATACGCTTCCATCTCATTCCGCTTGAATTCGGTGGCATGCTCGGTATAGCCGATTCCGATCTTGGGCCAGATCAGACATTTGTACGCAAAGGGGTCCATCTTGGGCATGCGGCGGACGTAGCGTTTGACCTGGATCGCCTCGTCTGCATAGGATATGCGATGGATCTCGTTGCTCATACTCAGCCAGACGACTTCGTCGATCGAGTGCAGGACCTCGGCGGCGCCGCTGGGCCCCCGCGACTGCTCTTCGGCCAGCCGGAACGGTTTTCTCCGGCTCATGATCGTCGGTGCGCTGACATGGTCGGGGGTGCGCAGGACGAACTGGAAGCCCTGCGCCAGACGGACGGCGGCCATGCCGCGCATCACAGCGAGCGCCCACTGCCGCCGGGCCTCGTCCTCGTTCAACGACGCCGGAGGCGGCTTGACCATGAACGACTGGATGTCCGTCGCATCGAGCACGAAGTCATACGAGCCTTGGACGTAGTTCGTCTCGAGCTCCGTCTGGCTCGGGAAAAGCTCGACCGTCAGCGGCAGGCAAGCCGGAGTGACGATCGAGGCCCATTTAATCTCGTGCTTGTATGTAGGCCGTGGGAAAATATGCTCCCATCTGCGGGCCAGAGACGTCTGGGATTGAGACACGGTCGTCTTGAGGTGGGACGGATTCGTCGGCGGGCTTGGCACCGATGAGGCCGGAGGCATGGCCACCGTCAGGGTCGAGCCCCGGCGCTTGCTGAACGTCGGCTCATCACGTGGCGGTGTGTGCTGCAAGGGGCGCGGGTTCTTGATCGGCACCGGCGCACGTGTAGTGGTCGCCGCAGCAGGGCGGGGCGGGGCCAGTAGATATGGGGCCATCGTGCTGGCAGCCGATCCGCTGGCACTCGAGACCGCCGACGCCGACACGATGTTGGCCACCGGTTCGCTTGGAGTGCGAGTGAACGCCGTCAGGAACCAGGAGGGCGCAAACTTGGAGGAGGTCCGTTTCGCTGATCTTTGCGATGATGCGATAGACTTCGTGGACCGGGATGAGCGGATGGACGAATGGGACGGCGAGGTCCCGGTCACATCCTCCACCAGGTCTCGCTGGGTCATGCTGGGACTCGACCGGGGACTTTCCTTCTCCTCGACGAGTTTGGGCTGTGCCCACGACACGGGCCGTTTCTCTGAGATGCGCAGCGGGCTAGGCCAGGGATCTGTGATGACTGGCGGGCGGGTCGCTGGACGCAGGGTAAAGACATCCAAGTCGAACTGCACTGCTTCGTTCTCAGAGGGTGGCGGAGTTTCGCCATCCCAGATGGGGCTCGCAGCGGATGCGATCGAGCCGCTCGGGAGATAAGGCACTTCGATGCTCGAAACAACGTCGTGCTCAAGCAGGCCCAGCATTTGTATCTCGTGCATTCTCGCTCGGGCAATGAAACTGGCCAACGTCAGTCACCCCAGTCTCGTCGAGAGCAGAAGCCGTCTCACCGATCCTCTCGGAAAGGTAGGTCCATCTGTTTGTCCCAGAAAGAGATGTACATCCAAAATGGTTCCCACCAATGTCTCGTTGCCTTGCCTGTTTCGACCGGCCCCTCATCCCACAGCGGATCGACAGTCTTCCTCGCACTTTCTGGTTTGGCTTCCGCACCCAGGAAATTGAACACAGGAGAGCGATGCAGTGGGTGTTTTGCCAGACTGAACAGATCGACGCCGAATCCTTGATCGAGCATGCGCATCGTCGTCAGCCGCAAGAGGTCCCGTGACACGCGATAATGGCCGGTCCCGGGAGTGATCACGATGGTAGCCGCACCAGTCAGAGACAGGGAACGGTCGATGAAGTGCTCCTCGGACGGGACCAGGTTCAAGTTCAACGCTTCCAAAAGCGGTCCATCATGCGCGGAAGAGAGCCGCCCGACAAGCCGGACTTGTTCTGCAGCCGTCAGTCCTCGAGTATGGAAGTGATGAGTCAGCAGAATGTCGCGCTGGAAGTCCCAGAAGGAATCCTTCAGGCTGACAAGTGTGGGCTTCCAGTCGGCGATCACCTCCAAGTCGGTGATGACTTTGAAAAAGTCTTTGTACCAGCCGCCCTGATCGTCTTGCCGCAGCGGCCCAGCAGCGTAGTCAAGCTCAGCAACATCATAGTACACGCGAGATATCAGCACGATCGTCACAGTGTGATTCGCGCTGGCGTCGCGCCACCTGGCCAGCAGATCCGGGAGGAACGAATGCACGATCTTCTCCGTGTATCGCTCGCCATCGCCATCGAACGTCCAAAGTTCCCGGCACACTTGGATAAAGATTGTCACTGGATTTCATTGAGCGTTGTCCACAGGAAACAATGTGGGATGTACTTTTGGCGGAGAGTGATCGGTAGATGGTCTTTGTGGACGGGTGGACGCATGCTGAAGACACCTGCACCTGTCGAGTTATCTGACCCACGCAAAGAGAGAGGGAATACTGCACCTTTTGGTTTCTGACGTAGATGGCCTGGATTCTGGCCGCGATGCCACCTACAAACACGATATCCTGGTCTGTGTAGATACATTGGCCCACCAAGTGCTCTCCGAGTCGCCACATGTCACTTCTCCCCTGTCGTACAATGAATGACTGTCAGAAGACCCACGAATAGAGATCACATACCAGATATTGGTCTTGAAAAACCAATTCGACGAACTCCGCGACATATTCAGCTGGATCCACCTTGTCATACATCCACAGCGATACGAGCTCAAGCGCGAATCGAACACACCTTGGTCAAAAGCACGTCGCTATTGTTCTTCAATTTGAATGCTTCCGCGAGGGGCTTCGGGATCGATATTTGCAGCGCCTGCTTGCAGTCTTCCTCCCTGGGGACCACAAACACGAACCCGTCCGTCCCACCGCCCGAGCTCGCGCTCGTGACACGGAGCATATCGCCCTCGCTCACACCACGCCACCACCCGTGGTTCAGAATGACGTTGCCCGAATCTTTCAGATCATGGACCCAGGTGTTCAGGAATTGGGAGCTCCCGACCTCCAGGGGCAGATGCGGAGGCGAGTGGAGCATGGATTGGGCCGTGTTCGAGCGTCTGCGACCGTACCCGGACCGGGATTCCCCTCGCGAGCCCGACATGGCGATGGTTTATCGGTGACCAGAAACTCAAAGGGCCAGACTTGACGGTTCGCTCATGCAATATTGCGCAGCCCAAGGGCACGCGGAAAAGAGTTGGAGGGCTCTGCTGAAAATCAAGGTAGCGGATCTGTAACTCTTGGTTCTTTCAACGTTCGGAGGGTTCTATGAGTCTAAAGACTGTGATCGAAGTACTGAGCAGGCCAAGCTGAGCGGTTTGCTTAGTCACCGCCCCTGACAAAAGGGCTCGGACGTGCGAGACATATATCTACACATTCATGGGATACAGCTAGCGCTCACAATCCACACTTCATTCATCGCCCTCGGGAACGGAACTGCGTCTTAATATTGTCATCTCTCTTTCGAATCATACATGTGTGAAGTCTCCAAACTCCGACGTGATCCGAAATGATTGCACTCGCGGAAGACCCTCCCCATCCTTAGATCCTACTCGACGAGGCTCCTGGTGGTCGTAAAAACTTCGGAAGGGGAAAAGATACCCGTAAGCATTTGGTGGCGCACCCTATGTCAAGACAGGGCTGCTCTTGATCTGAGGGTGAGCACTGAGAAGGTATTCGGACATGATGGATTGAGTAATCGCCATCAGATCGCCTGTCCCCATTAAGCAGCTAAGGGTGCTCACGTACATCGCCGCCACGTGCTAAACGTCATCTCAGCTGCTGCTGCAGCCTGCAACTGAGCCTGATGCTGACGGTTCAGTAGACTCAGTTTGGTGTCTACCATGTCCACCTGGTACTCAAGATGGACTCCTGGTCTTCCGTCAATAAACCTTCCGTTTCCTACGAGCATCCAGCGGCGTTTCATATCCTTTGTCCTCAAGAAGTCTCTTGGACACCTGCTGAAACCCGGCCAACTCGATATCGAGCAAATCGACTCTCAACTGGGTAGCGGGCATGTCCAGATAAACGATTTGGAGCTGGATAATGAGGTGCGTCTATCTTTGGCCGGGGGCACAGAATCGTTCTGACGCGTTGGTCGGTTAGGCAATCAACAAGACATTAGCTGGACTCCCGGTCGAGTTGCGCCAAGGCTCTATCTCGTCTGTCACAGCACGCATCCCCTGGCCGAATCCTCTGACCTCTGTCGTCGGGCTGTCTGCGAAGGGACTGCATCTCACGTTCCATCTACTGGCACCGGGGAGCGCTGCAAGCACAGACCCCCATCACAATCTGGCCGATTCGGTCGCGGATATGGCGGGTTCTTTCGTGCATGATGAGCTCACGACGACAGAGGAGGCCGCGCTGCGCGAGTCGTTCTATCCCGCGGAACAAATCGTTCCCGGCGGGATGGACCCCTTCATTGCTGCGCCTGAGGAGGAGATGGCTGCTGAAGTCCAGGAGATACGCGATGCTGACCCCGCTGGGGTGTCCATCTTTGCAACGCTCATTGAACGATTACTTGCTCGGTTCGAATTCGACGCGGCCGACACGACCATAACGCTAGTGCATCCTGATCACACGAGCTTCTCCTTATGCATCTCTGAGACCATGTACTGTACCGAGCAGCGAGCGGAGGAGGCTAATCAGGCTGCGGGGCCCAGTAAACCTTCTGGAGAGACGCGGATGATCACCGTGTCTGGTTTGTCGGTCAAGGCCATCGACATCCGCCCCTCATTAGGCATTCCGTTCGCCCAGACGTCTCCCGTATCCTACTCTCCGAGCACCGGATTAGCGCCTCCATCTCGATCGTCGTCCCCGGCTTCCTCCTCCTCTTCCCTGGATGACGAATCTCATGCGATGATGACCCAGTCCCTAGCATTTCTTCCCCCGAGGCCGGCATCGCCCGCTAGTTCTGTTGCGAGCAGCATGTATGAAAGCGCGATATCGTATGCCCCGGATCTATCCGGCGAAGATGCACTCTCCGAAGACCGCAACACTCTGCGGCACACCTCACTCGCTGATACATTAACGAAAGACACCACAGACACCATTCTGTCCTTCGGGCCTGATCCTCTGGTGCTCAGGGTGACGACCCCCGTGCCTCAGAGCGGCTTGACGACAGATGTTGCTGAAGTGATTGATGTCTCGCTTCACATACCAGTCATTGCTTTTGGTTTCGCCGCCTGGCATATCAACGGAGCCTTGCAGGTGGTCGATGTGTTGTCCCGGGCGTTCACCAAGGAAGAGGTTGAGAGAGACCCGACCCCGCAGGCCAGCTTGAACCTGCGGATACAGGCTCGCGCGAGAGGACTCATTGCTGTTCTGTTACCCTCAGTTCCAGGCACGCGTGCAGCTCTTCCAACAGACTTTTTCGAGCGACCGCTCCTTCCGCCCAAGATCCCGCAGCCTTACATCCGACTTCACCTGGAGAACCTGAATGTATCTGCGGACAAAGATGCGTTCAAGGCCGCTTTGGAGGAGATGTCCGGCTTTGTTGTCCACCGCTCGACAGAGGACGAGTCTTCGCTCGCATCGCCTTTGTTCATCACCGATCATCATCTCCAAACTCAATACGATCCTGGGCATACGGACAACGAATCAGATCTACCCACTTTCCAGATATCTGAATCGACGAAAATGGCTGGACTGAAAGTCTCGCAGTGGAGGACCAAGCTGAAATCAAGGGCCCGCAGAAACAGCGACGCGCTTTTCGAGGTTCCTCCTGCTATTTCTATCACAGGCAAGCGAACTACGTTGGCTCAGCGCATGTCGACATCCATCGAGGTCGCAGTAGAACCTCTCCATCTTTTTGTCGATCTCCAGCTTCTGGCCGATGAGATGGGCGTTCTCGCGTTCTTGAACGAGATCGCAGTGCCTGGTGGTGGTGTCGCCATTCCCGTTGACGACGAGTCCGATATATCGACACCTCCAGCTAGCCCCCATGCTCGTCGAGAGAAGGAGCGCCAGCGACTGGAGCAGATCGTACTGGACGATCTTGGTCTTGAGGCAGACTATCGGCCGAAGGCGCCGAAACCTCGGCTCAACTCTTCGCCCGGCTCCCCCCGCAAGCAGGTAAGTCACCCGAGTTAAACTTATGCAGCTCAGCCATATGAAATCTTACAAAGCAGAAAGCACGAAATGACGATCGGAATACTACTCAGATTTCAGTGCACTGCTGCATGATACGGGTGCAGGTGCGCAGCCCGCCCCCTCCAGAGAAGAGGGTGAGATCGGGTGCTCTGGTGCTCGATGTACATGGCATCTCCCTTTCCACAGAACCGGCTGTCCTCAAGGCCTCGGCCAGATTTGCCTCGGGGACGGAACCTCCTACGGGAGAGCACGTGATGACTGCTTCGGTTTCTCGCATCCTGCTTGCTATAGCTGCCGCGGATGACCCGAAAGCATCCGGCTTTCTGTCTATTGGACCACTGCCTTCACTTCAAAGCGTCGAAACTCCATTGCCGTGCCAGCTGACCTTCACGAAACCGAACGCATCTTCGGCAGTGGTGGCTGTGCGGCTGCCTTCCATCTACTTGCCGCTGTCCAAAACCCAATTCGATGCGCTGCAGTACTTTGCCGACGATGCGTCGCAGGCCTTGCAGCGCATTTCCAGCGACAAGGAGTCGGAGAGCAAAGACTCTAGCTTGATCGGCAGCCGTTTCTTTGCCAAGTCTCGCACAGCAAGTGGAATTACGGCTGGCATTGACAGTGGGCGAAGTCTCAAGAGCGCAACACTAATCAAGATCGAAGTTTCTGAGGGTCGGTGTAGTGAAGTGGCCCTTTCAGAGTTTCTGAAAGTCGTACAGTGCTCGTCCAGGTGATGGTTCCCAGGGAACCCTCCGGTGTCTATCCTCTCAAGGCTTCTGCCTCTGATTTGGACGTACTGGTCCAAGTCAAACCGGAGGGAAAGGTATACAACAATGATCTACTCGCATTTCTGTTGCTGATTGTATCAACGACAGGACAAGACAGTTGTTACACTTTCTGTCTCGAATCTCGATATACTGAACAGCTCAGCGGTGGGTGACCTCCAGTCACTCTTGGCACTGACGATTCCTCGGGGCCTGGTACTCCGCTTAATACTCGGTCTTGGCGAGTCTCACATGTTCACAGGCTTCCGGGTCCAAGCCCCTGCTCAAGCTCGGCTTCACATCCTTAGTCGTTCCTGGCACAACGGTGAAAGAGACGCGGGTCAAGATTGCTCTATGGGGATTCACATGCGATGTATCGCCCGACGTCCAATGGGCGAAGGATCTAGGGCTTTTCATCAAGCCTCCGCCGGGGGTATGTCAGCATCATCACTTTTTTCTGCTAACCCTCAATTCTTGATCAGGCCTTCGAAACTGTGGCACCCACTGAGCGCACTCAAGTCTCGCTGCAAATCACCGACGGCTCGGTCCGGATCAAGGCGGCAGAGCATCCTGGCATTCTCGTCGCCCATGCCGAAGCGCTCAGCTTTGCGACGGTGGTCGGAGATCAAGAGACACCGGACAGCTCGTTTGATCTTGCAGTTGGCGGACTGGCTCTGCTCATGGTCGACAATGGCGCAGACGTCGTCCGGCCGGCTGCTCACCACAGCATGCACGGCGTGCGATTCTGGAGAGTGAGTCTAGCAGTATCCCGCTTCGATGTGTACTGATACTGTAAGGCAGAAATCGGGTTTTGCGCTCCTCACTGAGCTTTCGGATCTTGACCTTGTTTTCAAGTCCAGCTCAGCCTCGGATATCCAAGTGATCATCAGCCGTGTCAACCTTCATCTACATCTTTGCGCTGACTCGCTCTCGGCTGTGGGGGACTACGCCAAAGATTTGGCTGCAGCTTTCAAGACTTATGAAGAATTGTGTGTTTTCTCTTCGGACTTGGGAATGTTCTGGCTCACTCTGCTGCAGGGCTGTCAAACCCAAACAGACTCCTGCAGTGGTCTCGAGTTCGGTCTCGAAGGAAGCACTGATGGCCTCAGTTGAAGAGATGGCTTTCAGGAGCGTACCAGAGGTGGGACCGCCGCCCGATATGATCCAGGACGATCTGCCCACCAATATGGACTACCTTGACGAGTCCTTCGGTGCCGCAGCGGGACTGCGAGAACTCAACGACGATGATCTGGATGACTTTGCCGCCCACGACAACGCACGGGGCAGTCCAGATCCGGGTATCGTCTCGGTCGTTGGTGGTGAGACCGTGAAGATGCTCCGGCCCGAGGGGCTGCATATCGTGGAACACCATTTCGATGCATTGCCACCGGATACCTCCGACGGGTCGGCAAAGTACGTGCGGTCCACCTCGCTCCTTGATGTCATCTCAAGCCACGCAGTCTGGGTGCTACCACTGCCAAAGTCAGAGTCAGCAACGCTAACATCAATGTGCTCTTGTATGATGGTTACGACTGGGCAAGGACACGCAGAACCATCGAGGACGAGGTCAAGCAGATGCGGAAGCGCCTCGCCAAGATCCGACAGCTCGTTGCAGGTGGCCAAACGCAGGATCCCCACCTCGAAGAAACCAGCGCGCTGCTGTTCAACTCTGTTTACATCGGCTTGGAGCAAGACGTTGACGAACTCGAGCCTGGAGAGATCATCGCTGCTATCGACGAAGAGCTTCGCGACGACTTTGAGACCACGAGCCAAAGCTCTTGGCAATCTCTCCGACCAGCGGGAGCACCTGCCCAGAGCAAGTCTCCGGCTTTGCACGGCAAGCGTTTAAAACGGTCAAAGACACCGAGCATCGAGTTTCAGCTGAAGGGCATGGGTGCCGAAGTTGATCAATTCAAGCCAGATGAGGCGATCGTATCGAGAGTGTTCTTCACCATCAAGGATCTGGAGATTCTGGACCACATCAAGACCTCGACTTGGAAGAAGTTTTTGACAGAACTGCATTCCGATTCGAGGGGGAACATCCGTGAAACGGATTCTAACATGGTCAGAGTGGAGTTGCGGAGTGTGAAGCCGGTCCCAGGACACCCTTCTGAGGAAGCTAGGTTACGGGTGAGTGGGCGCATCCACCAACCATCGATTGCACGGTGCTCAGATATAACCTAGGCCAAGATTCTCCCTCTGCGACTTTATGTCGACCAAGATGCTCTCGATTTCCTGAAGAAGTTCTTCAGCTTCAAGGACCCTCAAGCAGCTCCGCCCGGAGAACCGGATGCGGGTGGCGATATATACTTCCGTCAGTGAACTAACTGCTGAATCGCTATCCACACCAGCTGCTGACCGCCGTCACAGAACTTGCCGAGATCTTCCCAGTCGATCTCAAGTTGGACTACAAGCCCCGGCGCGTCGACTACCGTGCGCTGCGAGAGGGCAAGACGATTGAACTCATGAACTTTTTCCACTTTGACGGCGCGGAAATGACACTGCGGCAGATAACACTCGCCGGGGTGCGTTCTCACTTCTGTCCGCAGCTCTCCTTGCTCATTGATTGTCTTCAGATCAGCGGATGGCCGAGATTATTCGATCTGCTCAACGATATTTGGACACCGGATGTGAAAGCCACCCAACTCGTTGACGTCATCTCTGGTGTCGCGCCCATCCGCTCAGTGGTCAACGTAGGCTCAGGCGTGGCAGATCTCGTCCTACTGCCTATCGCCCAGTACAAGAAGGATGGCAGAATTGTGCGAGGTGTCCAGAAGGGGACGACGGCCTTCTTCAAATCCACTGCAGTGGAAGCAATCAGGCTGGGCGCTCATCTTGCGACAGGGACCCAGGTCATTCTCGAGCAAGCAGAAGGTCTGCTAGGTGGCCAGTTCCAGTCTCCAGTCACGACAGAAACTGTCCCGGGTCTGTCCTACCCGCGCACCGGAAGTGACGGCGAGGATTCATCGGACGAGCGCGAGGATCTCATTAGCAAGTACGCTGAGCAACCGACCGATCTCAAAGAGGGCATGCAATCTGCATATCGAAGTTTGCAACGGAATCTGAATTCCGCTGCGCAAACAATCCTCGCTGTTCCGATGGAAGTCTACGAACGCTCAGGGAACGAGGTACTGTTCCAACGTGACGCTAATGCCTTCGCACTGACTCAACGCAGGGACCCGTTCGCTCTGTTATCCGCGCTGTCCCAATTGCTGTTCTCAAACCCATGATCGGCGCCAGCGAAGCCGTGAGCAAGACTCTGCTTGGACTACATAACACGCTGGATCCCAATATCCGGCATGAGAACGAAGCCAAGTACAAACATCGATAGCGGAGCGCAAGGGTGTTGCTGTATATATACATAGGTCATCTCCTGTACTAATAGTCGAGTGTAAACATCATACAAATGTCGGAAAGCAAACCAGAAGGGCGCAGAACATGCGATTAGTCGATGTCCATTCCCATCGACCGGCCCTCGCCTTGTATGAGTGCGCTCCGCGATTTGGCGACCACCTTGACCTTTTCCCGGACTTCGGTGCTCATCGTCGGCTGCACGAGTTTGCCGGCGGACAGCTTGGCAGCCTCCAGCGCCTTTTTGCGGTGCGCGCGGTTTTTTTCGCGGCTGACCGACATCCTGTCGGGCATGAAGTAAGCAATAGAACTGGTGCTTCGGATGCGTGCGTGACGGACCTGTTTCTCCAGAACGCCAGTTCCCTCCGTTTTCTGATCTCGCCCACACGTTTCATGGCCTTGAGCGTTGTCTGCACCAACTCGCGATCGTAGCGCACGGGGATGTTTCTGCGTTTCTCGAACTCGAACGTCGAGTCCTGAGCAGAAGGGTGAGTGTGTGAGATGAGCTTGTGCGGTTGCAGACGTACGATCGTCATCTCCTTGCCCGCAGCTTTCCGGAACGCCTTCGTCCATCGGACTTTACGAGGGTTGCGTTTCATTCTGTAGGACACAATGAGATACGGAGCAGATCCTCAAACAATCGAGTCGCACTTGAAGTTCTTGTGACATCTGTAAAAGGCATACGCCTCAGTCCCGTGTACCACAACAGGACAATAATGCTTACTTGGATGTGCAAAATCGGAATACTTTGGCATCATTGCGGACGAATGCGCTCCCTTGCGAAATGTCAGCGAGTGTTCGGGAAGCTGGGAAAGAGCGGTACCGTGGCCAGGGTATACGCTCGTTGAGCAGAAATAGCATTTTTCAATACGCATGGTGGCTGCAGCACAAGAGCAAAATTATACTTACGTAATTGACGTGATGGAGTGCCATCGACTCGGAGTGGTCTGTAGTTCGAGATTGCTCGGCCATTCGCGATCCTCAAGAATAAAGGATTGATGGTGTATATATGTACATGAATGCGTTTTTAGGACCTGGTGTCATGCCCGCGCCGCGCTACACTCAGGCATTCAGATTCCATTCCAGACAACCAGACGACCTCAATCCCAGCGTCGATCAGCTTCTGGGCACCTTCACATTGCACAAAGTCTGTTGGCTCTCCCACACCGATGAAGCAGCGCTTGATTCCGACTTCAATGAGTGAGTCGGCGCATGGGGCCAGACCAGATGTGCGAATGGAGCACGGCTCGAGCGTTGTATAAACATCCAGCCGAGATAAGATATCCTCCAGCGATGTATGCGGCAGCAGCGAGTGCAGCTGCTCAGGAGACAGATTCCTCAGTTTTGCGAGTGCGTTCGCCTCTGCGTGTGTGTTGCCCGGCAGTTCTCTGGAGTACCCAGTCGAGACGACGGTGCAGTCTTGATCTTGCGGGCCAGGAACGGTCAGTACACAGCCGACGCAAAATGCAGTGACGACTGGTTCGCATTTGCGCGCCTCTTCCAGAGCCAATCGCATTATAGCGTAGTGTCGATTGTTGGGAGCCATACGATTTGATTTGACGAGCCCGAGATTGTGGTGGGAGTTCGGAGCGATATACGCCTGGTGGCAGTGTCCTGCTTAGTCAGAACAACACCCACACGGCCATACCTAGACCTTTGTGACTTCCCAACTTCTTCCAATATGGACTCCTTCGAGGACCCCATTCTCGACGTCGACGACCCCATGAATGGGGAGCGTGATGCAGAGGAGGAGGGCGAAGGCGATGTTGTTTTGCCTGGGGCCGACAATGACAGTTCTGAGGAGGAAGAAGAAGACGAGGATGAGGCTCGTCGGGTGCGGGAGGGGTTTATAGTCGACGAGGACGATGATGAGGAGGACGAAGAGGAAAAGCGGCGGCGCAAGCGACGAAAAAGGAAGCATTCCCGGAGACGTGCGTCTAGTTTGTTCCAATCCGTGGTTGAAATCTTACCGACACTGGACTGCAGGCGACGATGATGACGAGGAAGAGGGCCTGGAGGAAGACGATCTCGACCTCCTCGAGGAAAACACGGGCGCATCTCACAAAAGGCAGAAGAACCGTCTAACGCGTCTCCGCCGTGGTCGTGATTCGGAGAGCCCTGTGGCTTCCTCCTCCAGACGGCAGAATGTGATCGAATCCTCGGACGAGGACCTGGACCGTGACGAAAACTTGCCCTCGGTCCAGGACGTTCAGCGTATCTGGGACAAGGATGACGATACGGACGACGGGGAGCTGGATATGGATGACTTCATCGACGACTCGGACCAAGAGGGCGACGAGGCCGAGAAAGCTCGACGACGACAGGACCGTATGGAAAAGGAACGTCTTCGGAGGTCTCGCGCCAAGCCGGAACTTGCGGGAATTGACGCACTGTAAGGCCTCTCAGTTGCTCCGCCGATCACTCTAACACGACTCCAAGCGCTTGGGATGAAATCCATGATGTGTTTGGAGATGGCCACGAATTTGACTGGGCACTAGTGGAAGAGGATGAGGGTCCTGCTTTAGATGAAGTAGGGAGGCAGGATGCCAAGTTTACGGATGTGGGTCTTTCCTTCGGTCACTCAGTTGCAGCGCTCAGCAACGGACAGGTCTTCGAACCATCTCAAATTCGGCGGCTATTCCTCAGTGAGGACGATGACTTGGTCCGCGCTCAAGACATCCCGGAGCGTATGCAACTCTCTACTTCGATGCTCTCCGCCACGGTATTCGTCGCGCCTGTGATCGCATTCGGGCTGGAAGACATTGACGATGCTTCCATGTGGGTCACTCAGCGATTGTCCCCGGAACTGCTCTCGGATTACTTCTCTGCAAATGGCTCAAAGCAAGGGCTGAGGGGTTCCTTGGTCGCAGCTGTGTCCTCCATTCTGAAGCAGCTGTTTATCGAAAACGTGGAGGTTCCCTTCCTGTACAGTCACCGGCGGGATCTGATCTACCATTTTGATTCTGCACAAATGCGGACGGGCTCCCAGCTACTCGATCTGGAAGACTTGTGGCGCATCTATGCACTGGGCCAAAAGTATCGCTCGTTACTGCAGAGACGACGGGACGTCGATGATGCTTATGCTCGGCTGCAAGTGACAGATGCGTATTACGAGGAGGAGATTAGAGCGAGGAGGGACAGTGTTGATGTTGTTGCTGACACATCCGAATGGCTTACGATGAAGTACAAAGACAAGAGGGAGGAAAGCGTTCGATTCCGCTTCCATGATGACGAGGATCCGGAAGAGGTTGTCGTCAAGCACAAGATGCCGAGTCGGATCTCTGCATACGAAATTGCGAAGAAGAGTGTCATTTCTAAACTTGCTGAAGTCAGTGATTTCGACGGTCCGACCTGACTTGTACTGATCATCTGTAGGGATTCGGAATCCAAGCACACCAGGCTGTCCTCAACTTCCTCGCAAATGACCGTGTACATTTCGTGGACGACAACGACGTGAACCCGCTGAGCTATGCTGAACAGTTTGCTAGCCCGGATGGCTCCAATCTGCTCAGTCCCGAAGAGCTTCTCAGCCGAGCGCGCATGATTTTGGCAACAGAATTGGGCAAGGATCCGCTGCTTCGCGACCAAATGCGCAAGATCTTCCAGACGGATTCCAAGATTTCCGTTGAGCCCACGGACCAGGGTGTGGCCAAGATCACCCCGAGCGACCGGTTCTTCGTGCGTGACTTGTGTATGCCACGCTTCCATTCCGAACTGAACACGCCGTAGACATTCAAGTATCTGTTGAACAAGCCGGTAGCTCAGCTGAAGAACGGAGGCTCATTTTTGTCCATGTTGCAAGCCGAAGCCAAGAACTTGATCGTCATTTCCGTCACTCTTCCCCCCGAGACCAAAGCCATGTTTGAACGGCGTCTGACCGATGCTCTTTCGTCCGACAGCTTCAGCGAGACGACCAAGGCATGGAACGAACAGGTTTCCCTCGTTGTGCAAGAAGTGTTGGACCAGCATCTGCTCCCGATGGGCCAGAAATGGACGCGGGAATACCTGCGCCAGGAGGCACAAGAGTCGGTTGCACGGCAATGTGCGGCTGAGCTGCGCGAGGCACGTGTTCTTCAAAGATCGCGAGTGCGCCAACAGCTAACTGTTCTCGCAGCGCATCGATGTTGCCCCGTTCACTGTGCGAGACATGAAAGACACCCAACCTGCTGTTGTGACCGTATCCTGGGGCAAAGGCGACCCGCACAAAGACGTCATCTCCGTCGTCTTTCTCGATTCCCGCGGACGTCTACGCGAACACACCAACCTGGACAACCTCACCGACGAAGCCGCGCGAGACGAGTTCATTGATCTGCTTCGGCGCCGGAAGCCTGACGTCATCGGCGTCGGCGGCTTCAACATGCTCACCCCCAAACTGTCTGCCCGAGTGAAGGAGATTGTGCGGGGGATGCACAGCAATGAGCTGGATGCGATGCCACCTGTGATCTACCCACGGGACGATGTGGCGCGGCTATTCCAGCACAGTCAGCGAGCGGACGACGAGTTTAGCTCACACACGACCTTGACCAAGTATTGCGTCGGTTTGGCACGCTATATCCAGAGTCCGGTGAACGAGTATGCCGCGCTAGGACCCGATATCGCGGCGATCACTTTCGTGCCCGATCAACATATGGTACGTATCCAACCGCACACGCTCACTTCCCTCGCTGATTCGGCCTATCAGTTGAGCTCGGATACCGTGAAAACTGCTTGCGAACAGGTTGTCATCGACGTCGTGAACAAGATCGGCGTGGACATCAACCGAGCGGTGGGCGACGGATACTACCAGACCCTTCTCCCCTTTGTCTGTGGACTGGGCCCACGGAAATCTCTCCAATTGGTCAAAGCCATCGAACGTCAGGTAGCACTCGTCTTTATCTTGCAGGACCGCTCCTCACTTTCTAAAACTTTTCGCCAGGGCGAGAATGTCAGCAATCGGGAGCAATTCATCAAGGCCGGGCTGTTGACGAAGACGCTGTTCATCAACGCTGCCGGCTTCCTGCGCATCTCGCAGCAGGATGAATACAAACCCGCCAAGTATCGACCGGACGATGATCACGCCCCAGATTCATTGGACGACACTCGGATTCACCCGGAAGACTACGAGCTGGCGCGCAAGATGGCTATGGACGCCCTCGAGTACGACGAGGAGGACGTTGCCGACCGGCATCCGTCGTGGGTCGTGGAGCAAATACTGGAAGACAACGATAGCGAGCGGAAGCTGAACGAACTCAACTTGGACGACTTTGCGGTCAGTCTGTACCAAGAAAACAGGGAGCGGAAACGCCAGACGCTCGATCTGATCCGCCAGGAGCTGGTGCGGCCGTTCGTTGAGAAGCGTAAACGATATCCGATCCTGAACGGCTGGCAAGTCCTCACCATGCTGAGTGGTGAGACGCCTGCCGGCTTGTCCGACGGCCAACTCGTGACAGCGACCGTTCTCCGAGTCAATCGTAGCGGGTATATCGCTCTCAAGCTGGACTCGGGGATCGAAGGCGCGGTCGACCCGACTCATCCGAACAACATCCCGGGCGCTGAGCCGGAGAAGGGACGGCCGATGACTTGCGCTGTGAGCAAGGTCACCGCAGATCCCGACAACGACCACTTTTTCGTCGATCTGCTCACACGGCCACTCGATCTCTCCGGGGCCGATCTGCGGAACTACTCGTACGATCGGACTTACTGGGACCACTCGAGACACGACCGGGACTTTGAGCTACTGGCGCGGAAGAAGAGGGCCGAGGTCGACAAGAGCAGACGCGTGATCAAGCACCCCAATTTCCACAATTTCAATGCTGTCCAGGCCGAGGCGTACCTTGAAAACCAGTCCCGGGGCGATCTTGTCATCCGGCCGTCGTCGAAAGGATTTAATCACCTGGCTGTCACTTGGAAGGTTGATGATGGTCTGTACCAGCATATCGGTGCGTTCGAGTTTTTCATGTATACAACCACGCCGATCCATTTGCCCTTGCAGATGTCGTCGAGCCAAACGCGGATCCCACGGGCCAAACGGTCTCACAACTTCTTGTGGACGGTCACCGCAACTACGCCGATCTCGACGAATTGATCGTGAATCACGTGCAAGCGATGGCTCGCAGAGTCGAGGAGCTGATGGCCCACGACCGTTACAAGCAAGGCACCGAGGACGACCTGCACCTATATCTCAAAAACGCATTGGCGGCAAATCCCGGCAAAAGTATGTATGGATTCACCCTCAACCGCAAGAGGCCAGGCCATTTCAGTCTGTGTTTTCTGGCTAACAAAAACTCGGTCGTCCAAACTTGGGTTTGTGTTTTTTTCTGGTTGATGGCATTGACTCTTACACACGCTTATCTCAGCCCGTACGTGTGACACCCGAAGCCTACATGCTCTTCGATGCTCCGGCTGTTGGCGTCCCGGAGCTCTGCGATGCATTCAAAGTCCGGCATCTGCACGAATCGCAGTCGCAGGCCGCCGGAGGGAAGACTCCGTACGGCGCTGGGTCGCGCACTCCCGGTCGCGCGATCGGAGGTGCCACGCCGGGACACATCTCCGTCCGCCAGCCAGCGAGGACGCCGAATCCCTATGCCGGAGGAACGACACCGAGATACGGAGGCGCGACTCCAGCGCCGATCCCGCAGACGGCGTATGGGATGGTCCCGCCGGCCGGGTACAACGGTTACCAGACTCCTGCCCAGCGTCCTGGCCAGTTCCCACCCGGCCAGCCGCCTCTCCCCGCAGGCATGAATCCAGCGCGTGCCGCCATGATCCAGCAGTCCTCGGCAAGCGGGGCTTGGCCATGAGCCAGTCTGTTCTCGCGTGTCCGACTTCTTGGTGTATCCATCTTACTTATATTCTCTCTGTCGTAATTGTACACACACACAAATATATAGCAAATGCAGCTTCAGTACAAAAATTAGTTGGCTAGTTGGATATGCGATTCGTCGATTGTCGTGAACATCAGCCCGTCATCGATCATCCTCTCGACGCAGGCGCTGGAACGGCACATGAGTATCGGCTCCGTCAAAAACTACGTAGCACCGCAACGCACCTGAACTCGGCAGCGTCCACATCCAACGCCTGCGCAATCTCGCCGATATGGAAGCCTTCCCGATTCGGTGGCTGGTTCGTCATGTAGTCCGAGACCCTGTCCGCCAGCGAGGAGAACAGCTTTTGGGCTTGTGGCGGTCGGGATGAGATAGCATAAGCACTGCGTCCATCGTAGTTCCCTTGCCCATCCGAAGTTGAGCCATGGCCTCCACCCGACTCCATTTTTGAACCGGGCTAAAGAGCACGCGTCAGATCTGCGAAGTATGACCGGAAGGAAGAGCACGAACATATCCATTATCTAGGTAGAGGCCGACGGTGATCACCTCCAGAATGTGGAAGTACAGCTCATGGTGGTCTCGAATCACGAAGATGTTCGCAAGATGGATGTATTTCTTGTTGTTGTGGCTTTTGAGCGTCCCCGTCGCGCGAACGTAGACCGGATCGTTGTTGCTGGGCCGACGCACTCAGTGAAAGCCAAACGGAGCGGCAAACACACATACCCAACGGGAATCCCGCGCCAGGGCTCTTTTGACTGGGCTTCTTCCTGCTGCGAGTCCAGCCAGAGCTTCGCCTCGATGGTGCCCGTCCCGTCGTCCAGCGCAAATGTGTGGTTCGTGACGAACACCTTGTGGTCCGTCACCTCACCCACGAGAGTCACCTGCGCGCGCGCAAAGTCAGACCCATGCGGCACAGAGGATGGGAACAAAAAGAGAGTGCTCAGCACACACCTGCCCGATCGGATGCCCATCTACGATCCACTCCGAATCGGAGTGCGTTTGGGACGACTTGCGAAGCTGGGCGATGGTCACTGGGCGCAGGGATTGCGTTGAGCCGCTCCGCTACCAATATATCTCGTCAGTCCAACAAAATTGTCGGGCTCGAAGCCGAAGAACACGCACGCCTCCCCCAGGAGTCCCCTGTGAATTGTTTCCTTGGCTCATGAAACCTCCTCCACCGTATCCTCCACTCGGGCTTGCATCTGGGAAGCAGTCAATCGAGGCTATGGGCTCAGCTCAGGGTGTCCTCGACGCGTACAGTTGCTCATGTGTGCGTCGAGGGTGCAGGCAAGGCGTTGTAAGAAGAAAGGCACGAAGATGTGACAAGTGGTGTGAGGTATCCCACGTGATGCGTGACGTATCGCGTCGCCCATTCGTATGAAAATGCCATTTTGTATCAGTGAGGTGGGTGGTATGTATCTCTCTCTCTCTACATGTAGTAAAACATTGATGCGTGAGCGTTTTATGGGTAAGTCGTGCAGATCTTGGCGATGCCCTTCCCGATTCCATCCAAGACCTTTTTACGAGAATCAGTGGCCTTCTTCGCAACATTGAGTATAAAATCATGGTCGATCTGCGGGGGATTTAGTCTCAAAATCGGTCGTACTAGATTTGATCCGTCCCGTACCTGGTCTGCTTGGAGAGAGGCACACCCATCCACGAAAATCTTGCGTTTGTCAGCCGTTCCGTCCTGTTCGCTCCGCTTAATCAAGCTGGAGGAGATTTGGCGCAGAACTGCAATCGCATTGGTGCGCAGAGGTTTGAGGTGTTGGACAAGCTGAGATGATCGTGAGTCATGGCCCACTGAGACCAGAAAAAGCACTGACCAGACCGAGCTTGTGCACTTTGACAACCGAAGCAGTCTTGAAGCGCAGGGTCTCGATGATGAAGAGGAGGTAAGCCTCTTGCATCAAGCTTGCCACGTGCAGAGGCAAAACAGGCGACGACTCGTCTTTGACTTGCTCAAATCGCTCCTTCATTGCTATTCGACATCAGACGAGTGTCGAAACAAGAAAGTGCAGGCACGAACCATCGAAAAACTCCACCACGGCCTGAGGTGGCTCCACAATGGCAGGCGGTTCCTCATCCTTCTTTAGCCCATTGGCGGAGCCATTGGCAGATTTCGGAGGTATCTCAACACCTCTCAGCGGGTGCCCGGTTTTGGCTTCCGCCACCTTGGCAGCCTCAGCAAGTACAACCGATGGCGGAGGACGCGCGAAATCGTGATAAGGCTCAAGCCAGTTCGCGAGTGCGTCAGCATATTTGACAAACGCCAACTCATCTCTGGTCAGCTGAACATCGCGTCAGTGACCCAACTCCTTGGATGAAGAGGCAAAAAGTCGTACGTCAGCCAACTCTTCCTCTGTTCGGATGCATAATCGTTCCTTGAGCGGTATTTTGTTGTCAGGGGATGTTTGTTTTGGTCGGTCGCCGATCAGCAGCTTCTCCTCCACAGTCTCATCAAGATCGCTCCCCTGCTGAAGAGCCCTGATATACAACTTGAGGAATGACGTAAACCAGCCCAACTACACAGGTTTTAGTCAGCGATAATCGCATCAATTTGGAGGACGCACTCCTTCGGAACGACCCAAAAGCAGAGTTTGTTCGTTCAATGACGCATTTCCCTTGGGGTGATAGTCTGCGAGGATGTCGAAATCGCGATTGTCGTGATGTACTGTCAGCTGGTTCAGCCAGTGAGCTAAACCGCAGACATATCCAGCTCACGTCGGTCGAAGATGAACTTGAGCTCGATGAGCTCCATGTCGATCACATCTGAGGTAATAGCTTCGTGTCCAAGTCGCATCCGCAAATGTTCGATTCGCACGATGTCCCTCTGAAGAGAGCTTTCCAGTCTCTCTTCGAAGATAATAAACTCGGGGATCTGCAGAGCATAAGCATACATCAGGAACTGCTAAGATAGGGCCAAGACTTACTTGTGAATACTTTTCATTCGTAAAGGCACGGATGATATATTCTCCCGTCTAGGCATAAGCGTGAGAAGGGAGCCGCGCCGCCGACTTGAGAAAGCTACACACGTCTTGCATGTTGCTCATATAAAGCTGGGACATTTCGACGCATTCCGTAAGCAGCGTCAGGTCACCAGTCGTCGCCAAGGAAAAGGTGGATGACCGCGAAAGTAAAAAGTGCGAAAGCGTGTCATGCTGAACCTGTTTGACCTGCATGGCACGATAATGCTCCAGCGCCATGGCCGGGGCCCCTGATCAGATCAAGTCAGAAGAGCACAAAAGCGTGACCGCGTGGCTTACCTAATAACCTATAGATCCTGACCAGCAGGATGCGCATCTGGAATGCCTGCTTGCTCTTCGTCAACGCGAATTCGAGCAGGGAGGCCGCGCTGTAGAGGTACTTGTCGTCACTGCTCAGTTTCCAGAGATTGACAAAGACCCCGCCAGCCAAGATGGCGAGATCGTCCGCCGGCTGCAGTTCCGTCGGCGGGAGATCGGCACCGAGCGGCAGTGCCTGCAGGTAAAGCTGGGTGTACAGAGATGCCCGCCCGGATTCTGTGGCCTCGTCCACCTCGCTCGAGGGCAGATTATACCGCAACAGTTTGTGCAGGTTGATCAGTCGTCGCAGCAAGGGTTCACTGGCCTGGGGCTGCATGTGAGTGCGCGAATGACGGTAGAGTTCATACTTGCGGTGGACGGTGCGAGAGAGTCCAGATGTGCCCTCCAGTGCTCGGAGTCTGCTCCTTCCAGGATCAAAAACGGTTTCAAGTCTTCGAAACAACATGTCTTGTCTCCAAACTCCGCCAGATACCGCTTCATTAGCTCGATCAGACGCTCAGGATCTATGCCAGCATTGAGAGCCCTGTCATCAAAAGCACCGAGGTGCGTACCATCAGATAGCCCATGCGCTCGCGCCCTCTTCTCCAACTCGAGCAGAGCGAGCAGGCCAGAGCGATCTTTCCGACCGTCTTTCTCCGCAATCGCAGAGAAAAGTTCCCGAGCTGAGGACACCTCCGCTGAGCATCGCTCTCGGGCATCGTCGGTCGTGGAAGAAAGCTCCGCGAAAGTGGCATCCAGAACGGACAGGAATTCAAGCCAGTTACGATCACTCGGATCGCATGTTAGAATGAATAGATCCCCGAATGGATGGATGCATGACTGACCCAATGTCCTTTATTCGCGACTCGGCTTTCGCGCCTTCTTCCTTTAAGAGACCCTGGAGACGCCACAGGTCACGGCGGAGTTCGTTGCACACGAGACTGGTGGCGCAGATGGTCTTGCCGACATCGCTGTCGAGTAACGTTCGCGCTTCGTCGAACAGTTGCAGCTCTCGCACGATGAGCAGGTGCAGATGGAAGCGTTCGGCGTGGACATATGACGGTGTTGGTGACGAGGTGACAAGGCGGTGGGCCAGTTTGTAAAGGATGGTTCGCATGGTCGCTGGTGTGGCGGGGTCGTTTGCCTACGAAGATTTGAGATGAGAACAGACTGGTGAACCCTTGCTCACCTGAAGCAATGCCCCGACGACATTCCAATATACGTAGCGATCTTCCTGGAACTGCTTGTGCATACGAGCCGCGATCTGAGCAGGATTCAAGATCCATTGATCTCGTGCGGGGATGGATGTGCTGACCTGCTGAGCAGCTTTCCAGTTCTGAACGCGTACATTGGCGAAGAATGTCTGAGCTGCGAGGTCCTCGCTACCGGGCTGCTGTTTGTATGCTTCCTCGAACATCACGACGATGTCCTTGTCTGCGCGTGGTCGGTAAATGCATGCATGGACATCGCGAGGTGATGTGAACGCACTTCGTCCCAGCCCTCGCAACACGTGCATCATCGCAGTCAACACGGCATCGTTCGTGGATTTTGCAGCCAGAACCTCGTCGCAGAGGATGAGAGATTCTTCGACTTTTTGGGAGCGGACCAAGGCTAGAGCTTTGAGCGCCTGTGAACGAGTTCTGTGCGAGAGGTGGAGATGCGCGGAAAGAACGGACTTTAACGAGGTCATTGTTGGGTTGCCTCTTCAATAGCTTGTTACATGCTACTATTGCAGACTTGTTCGAGCCAATGTCCAAAGCCTCTGGGGAATGTTCAACGCGACGGTGTGCAATACATTCGTGACGGACCATAGATGGGTTTGATCTGACGTTCCATTCCACGGGTGAGACGCGCACCGAAGTAGTGTGCGTAAGATAGAGTCGAGAAAGCTCAATAGCAAGGCGTGTGCTTTAGAAAAGCCGGAGGACACCGTGCCGATTCGGGAAAATCAAAAATTTCGGACTTGGAATCGTGGCGTTGACCCGATCACTAGATCAGCGGCGGCTCGCCAAGGACAACCAATACTCCTTATACTAGCTCATACTTCGAGCCACTGGTGGACCGCCCAATGACGACGCGACCAGAACACACTCCATACCAACTGGTTAGTCTCTCGACTCTCGCGAAAGAGATCTCAACATGTCTTCCAGCGCGCCTTAATTATTGACTATCTCATTCATCATGGACACAGCTCGACAGCTCGAGCGTTCGCGGAGGGAAGCATGATTCAACCCAAGCTGGATGCAGACGGAGACGAGATCATGCGAGTAGCTGACTCCCTGGATCCGCTGTTGTCCGATGAAATGTTCACGCAAGTGGAACTGCGCCAACGTTCGTAGTTTCTCCGCACCGACAAAGTCGCTCATCCACATCCTCAGGCGTCCGGCAATGCATCGTCTCCGGACAGGTGGCAACCGCTATCGAACTCGTCGAGCTCCACTTCCCTACCGTTCTGTCCGCATCGCCTCCTACGACACTACCCAAGTCGTTGACCGGCACCACGTTCATTGCTCCCACGACACTCGACCCCGCGCATCTCAGCCTGAACCTGCGCATACTAGCTTTCATCGAGGCGTTGCGCAGTGCGCTGGATCTTATACGCGACCAGTCCACGCCAATGAAGGAGGACGACCCTCAGATCATGGGCCTGTTTTCCAAGGCGAAGAAGCTGCGCGTTCTTGTGTCTATGTTGACCCATCCGCACGAGCGAGCCGACTACGACAAGGAGGTGGAGAACGTGATTGCTCTGCTTGCATACCCCGACCCGGAAGCCAGTCCTGTCGCCAAGTACCTCAGCCAGGAGCGGCGAGAAGCCGTGGCCAATCAGATCAACACCGCGATTCTTTGTGCGTCTCTGGCGAGCGATCTCCGCCGCGCTTCTGATGATGCACTTTCAGACCGCACGGGGTTCCCGGCGACATCCAAGCTCGAACTCTCGGCGCGGTACACCTCGACGCTGTGGTCGTTCCTGCACGACTTGCGCGTCAAGCCCCGGCCAGGCGCTCCGCTGCCACCAGCGGGTGTGGACAAGTCCGCGACTCCGTCTCTCAAGGGTGTCAAGCCGGCGGAGAAGGACGAACCCGAGGTGAGTCCGGTCGGTGCAATGTGCTGTGCATGTCTGACCGAGTCCGGAGACGCCGCGGTTTGACTTGAGCCAGTTCCTGGATTCCAAGGTGTAGTTAGCCCTCGTGTATGTTGTTGTACTTTCTCGGACGGTATCTGGAGCATCATTTGTATCAGCTTTCAGTGCATAAGTGAGCATGTGAGATCAAATCTGGGAGAACAACAGAAATATACATTCTACTTTAGATACAACCAACGAAAACAAATCCGTCCCATCCTTTACTGTATGATTAAATTTACCAACTCGGGGATCCATTGTATGACCTTCGTTGCGTGGCCGCCTGTCAAAGGCAGAAAGACGAAACTGTTGGCGATCCCGGCCATGCCCAAGTCCTCGAGTGCGTGCAGATGCGCCTGTCCCGGAGAGAACGAGGTGGTGATGATGCTCTCGTCGACGGTGCTCAGAGTGGAAGTGGATCCGCCGCGCACAGTGGATGATGACGAGCCGTGGGTACCGTGTTCTTGTGAGATGCGGAAGATGCTGGACAGCGCGCAGATGATGGCGGGGTTCGACGCTTTCGATAGCACATCCATCATCTTGTCCTGGAGGCCATCGTACCTGGTTTCTGTATCAGCACACATAAAATAGGTGAAAGCATCGTCAACACGCACGTCATCGCTACGATTTCGGGATATCCTGACCCAATCTCTGCCAGCAAGCAATACAGCATTTCCGACTCCGCATCGCTCCCCTGCGCGCTGGAGACCACAACACCGATAAACGACGCGGCCATCAGTGCGGTTGCCGCGCTGTCGATGCCCAGCATAGACAGCGGGATCCGCGGCACGCCTCCATCTTGTTCGAGACCGTTCTTCGCAGGCTCATGTCCGTCCAAGAGGCCGATGCCCTTGAGCAGTCGGGAGAACTCGCCCCGAGAAGCCGACGCGGGCAGCAACGCGATGAAATACCCCAGTGCATCAGGCGTCAGCGCATCCTTGGGGCTGGACTCGAGATCGCCGCCCGGCGACATCGTGACGCTGATCAGTTTCCTCAGCACTGCCTCGGCATCTTTGCGCACGATGCTCATCCGCATGCCCTTGAACAACACCGCACTGAGCGCAAACGAAAAGTTGCTGTCGAACGAGATGCTCAGTAGCTGGTCAAACTGAGACAACACCGCCTCCAACGGATCCCTCCCCTCGAGCAGAACAGTCGACACCGATGCATGCTGGAACATGTTTCTCGTCCGCATGCTCTCGAGCGTCACCGACATCAGCCGCGCCGCCTCCGCGTAGAACACCACGTGGCTCGACTCCAGCAGCACGACCGCCAGCCAGAACAGACACGCAAAGTACCTCGAGGTCGATGGCAACGCGGGAATGGCTTTGGAGATGGACCGCAACATGGTGATGACGATCGCGGAGTCGTTTTCGCTGAAATGTTGCAGCGCGGTGCGGAGGGCGACGAGCATCTGGTACAGGTAGTCATCATCAGTGTCCTCCGTCAGAAGCGTGCCCAGTGTCGTGAACGACCGCATCTGGACTGCAGGTGAATATTGGAACGCGCTCGAGGTCGCCAGTCCCATCCAGCGGGCTCGCCAGACGTTCAGCAGACCTGTATAACGTGAGAAACTGGCCGCAAACCATGGCTCAGACCACGCACCTCTCGATCCAGCGGCGACATCCAGAATCTTGACCAGCAGCACAGTCAGCTTCTCCTGGTTATCCACCTTCTGAACATCGGTGGCCACGTCGACCACGATGTACTCGCTCGTTGGGCTCATCCTCGTCAGTCCGAATAGCCTCAGAGTTTCGTTGTCCTCAAATTCTTCGATCAGATGAGTGAGACCTGGGGAGGGCGATTCTTCCGTGCGTCCGGCATGAATGACTTGGAGAAGCTTGATCACTGTTCCGTAGACGGACTTGCGCACCAGGGCAGGGCCGGCAGAAGCCGTGAGCGTGACGAGATGAAGAATCTCGGGCACATAGAGGAGATTGTGGTGTCGGCTGTTCGTAGATCCCGCACTGGTCACTTGATATCCAGCGACATGGGACAGCCGGATCAACGTCGAGATTTCAGGCCAGTTGGGATACTCCAGCAGTGTCTTGGGTTGACGATGTCCGAGCGTTTTGCCCAGCGACTGACGCCGAAGTAGTCAGTACTTTTCAGTTGAAATAGAGGATAGAAACTCCAGGCACCTTGCGCAACTTGGCGATGAGCTTCCCTCGAACGTTGATGGACGCCATGGACGCCAGAAGCAGCCCAATGGTCTCACACCGGATCGACCCGACTCCTCCGTCAGTTGCAGCGCGTACAAGCTCGTCCAAGATCACATCGACCAGCAGGGGATCTAACTTGCCGACTTCAGACCAAACAAATCGTTGCGTTGCCGATATCAGCTACGCGAGACGTCATTAGACGCAAGCTCATGATGTTTCGTCCCGACGTACCTCGGGCTGGCTGGTGGACATATCGCACAGCACCCGGACGGCATCGCGGACTCGGGCCCCGCTCCTCTCATAGAGTGCGCTGGTTGGGTTGACAAACAGGACCATGTTTTTGATCCAGGGACTCAAGTACTGCACACAGCTCACACGCTGCGAGATGGCGGACTTCTCGATGCTGGTCATTGCCGCAGCGATCTCAGAAACAAAGTCCAGCGTGAGCTGGGGCACAAACGACGACAGCTGCTCGCTGAGCTGTGTGACGAAGCGGGTCGGATCATCGGGCACAAAACCAGCTGGTGATGATCCCTTCAGTGATGCACGCTACCAGAGAGACAGATCAAACGCACATTTCGCACCGACGATGGGGCTTTTGTCAAAGTTCAAATACGTGCAGACCGCGCCGAGAAGCTCGTATCCTGCCGCACGCAAGTCCTCGTCTTGGATATCGACAGTCAACATCCCCACATGCAGCAGCGTCGCAGGAATGTTCGAGAACCGAGAGAACCGCTCGGTCAACGGTAGAGGCGTTTCCTTGAGCCGGCTTTTGCCGGTCCGGATAGCCTGGGAGCAGGTGAGGCTCTTGTGCATTAAGGCTAAAGCAACGACGCACCTTCACAATGGCCTCTCGGGAAGGCGACGCGAAGTATAGGGTGTTCCCCGCCTGCAGTCTGCGGATGATGAACTCATTCACGTCCTGAGTGCCAGACCCCGGTGTCGATGAGACATTGTATACATCGCTGACATCCGCCAGCGGGATGATCTCCGTGGCCGAACACGACAAACGCGGCGAGATGGGCTGGGCTCTCACGCTTGTGAGCCTCACGTGCGTCTCCGAAACGAGCAGCTTGATCGGGAATCGGACTTGCTGTAGGCGGATCGTGGCGTCAGTGAACGACTCGCACGCCTCGGATTCCAGTGCAACAGCGGTCCGGAGCTTGTCAGTGATGTCGCCAGAAACTTGTCCGACCAGCTCAGCCACCGACGAATAGGTCCGGATCGACGAACACAAGGGGACACCGGCAGCGAAGTTGTACAGCCTCCGCATGTATTTCTGTGTCAGCGTGTTGCAGTTCAGGATATGCGCCGTGCGGAACCGAGCCCTGATATCCGAAGGTATTAGCTCAATACAGAACTTGAGGTATTGCAGCGGCAGCTCGGAGATCCCCGTAAATGCTGTGCAGTCCAACACGATGTCGAACATACGGTCGTCGTAGATCGGCAACTCGAGAGTCTGTAGGATGCATTGAGAGGTCTGTCACTCGACCTACTGGTCAGTCACCACGTACCTTGAAGATATGGTACATCAGCAGCTCGATATCCAGGGCCTCCACGTCGATCTTCGACAACAGCAACACAAACACTGCCGTTCCTGTCGGTGGCCCATCGGTCTCCAGAAACAGGTGCTTCACCGGCTCGACGTTCTTGTGCACGTGCCTGGCCATTAGATCGATGTAATCTCGATGGTCGGCCGACGAAGCCGACGACAGCTTCGGTGTGTCCAGAGGAGTGCCCAACTCGACCAAGAGACCACATAGTTCGTCCCAGGCGTGCTTGCCAGATGCAAGATCGGAGTCGGCAGGCTTGGTGAGGCTAAGCAGTTCCTTGCCGATCTTATCGGCATGCTTATGGAAGTAACGGTGCAAGACAATCAGGTCTGTGTCATCAGTCGTCGTGCCGAGCCATTCGTCCGTTTCTTCGTCTGTCGAGGGTCCCTGATATTTCTGCAATTCGTGAGCGTTTCATTAAAGAAAAGAGAGCGAGTGGGACAGACATGGAGCTCTGACAGGAAACGGGTGATGCTTGCGATGTGTGTCTGCAAGAACTCATTCAGCGGGACCATATGCTTTTCCTTGCCAAAGAACAAGTTGTTCGCAAGGTTCTGTATGATCTTGGCAATGATCATCAGCCCTCGCCTAAGGACCATCGCTTCGTCCTTGGGCAACTGGATGTCGATCGTCTCGGGCGCAACGATGGCGGGCGAGATGAACCGCAGGAACAAGAACGCGCCCATGGCAGAAAACTTGGCTTCTGGCCAGACGCGGGACACGACGCGTCCGATGTGAGCACAGATCTCACGGAACATGGTGGGCAGGACCGGAATAGATGACGTCACGATCTCTAGGAAGGATGCCGCCACGAACTTGACGTTCTCCAGGTTCCTCTTCGCCCGCTCCTCGCCGATTTCTGGTTTGTCTGGGTCGAGCTCGAAGCTGCCACCAGGCGGCAGAGAGGCCATCGTTGTGATCAGAGGTGTGACAAGGCTCCTCAGATACGTATATCCGTGCACCTTGGCAAAGGCAGACAAGAACCGGGCGCAGGTCGAGTTGCTCCGGAACAGAGCAGCTTCGCTTTCGGTCTGTGCAACCTCGCGATCGATCATGCGCTTCAGCAGGGCCATCAACGACCCGCGGGTGTCGAAGATATTCAGCAGCACCGAGATCATCATCTCCACTTCAGACGGCGGACAAGTCTCACAAATCGCCATGACCAGCGCCATCTGCGAGAGGTTGTGTAAGCATTCTGGGTGGACCGAAGTTTAGAGTAGCTAACTCACATCAGAGCCTTTGACCAGCTCAGCCAGTTTCCCGTGGCGGCCGGGCTTGATGGTCCGATCCTCGACATCCAACCGCGTGCCCTGTCCAATGACTCTCGCAAACACATTCGCGAAAATCTCCCGTTTCTTCGAGTCGCCGCCATAGGCTAATGGCAGGCACTGTTTGAACCCGTGCTCAGAGTTGGACCCGACGAGATGCGCCAGTCCTGTGATGACCAGCTCGCGCAGTTCGGCTTCACGCTGAGCAAATCGGTTCCGTTTGGAGATGGATTGGGCCTCCGAAGCTGTGTCTGACTTGTGATAGATGTTACTGGGAATCAGACGAGATGAGGACGATTCAACTCACCAATTGGCTTTCCAGATGTCCCTCGTTGAGCCCGCGTAACAGGAACCCAGAGTACTTGTGGAACAGCCTGGAAACGGCGTGCACGCTGTCATCCCCTGTGGAAGCTTCGTCGAGGCTCTGGATCGGGAGTCGGTCGAGCAGCTTCACGCTGGTGCGCAGACATGCAAAGCTGAGGTCACCACCAGTGATGAAGATATCTTGCGTATCGGACTGGAAGCGGCACGATCAGATCCAACTCAACAACAGACCGGTCGAGGAACACACCTTCGGTCCTGCTGGCATCCACTCCATGATGATATCCAGGATCTTCTGTCTCGCAAGATTGTCCTTTCGGAGTGTCAGAGTATCTGTTCGCTCGCACAAGGCATCGCACAGCTGACAGAACTTGAGTCTGAGCCGTGATGCAGCGTGTGCTTCAAACCGGGAAATGAAGGTCGCAAGAGAAAGCATTGTCGCGCTGATATCGATGCTCATAATCTCCTCAGATTCACCGTGCGTGTTGTCGATGATCATGCGCAGGACGGCACTGAACTGGTTGTTGTTAGTGCTCGAGTTACACAGCATGTCGTTCTAAGCCGTACCTGGTCAACAAAGAGAGCGTGTGGTTCCTCAAGCTCTGTCCCAGCCACAAGCCCGTTGATCTGATGTATCGTCCTGGACACTCACTAATCAGATCCGCTCCGCAATCATGTTGACGGACACTCACTCTTCGAAATGCCTCATCAACCGCAAGTAAAGTCGCGGGCTCAGCTCGGCCCCAAGCGCATTCCTTGCATTCTCTCTCAGGTGGCTGTCTTCAATCACAAGCTGGTCCGTCATTGCCATCACAAATTTGACGACCAGCGGCTCCATGTTCTGCAGATCTCGCATTTGATCTGGGAGGTACTTGGCCGGAACGACAGACGTCAAGAAACTGTAGTCGACACCGTCTTGGACACACGCCCCGCCAAGTGAAGCAAGAAGGAGGGTCAGATTCTCGTAGGCGAATCGTTTCTCCTGGAGGGACGTCAGTCCGCCTATCGTCCACGCCGCATGTCGCTGACCTTGATGATTGCTTGGATAGTCTCCCTCTGGTCCGGTGCAGCCAATGCCTCGTCGACTGTGTCCTTGATGAAGTTGTACAGATACATCCACCGCCAGTAGCATTCCTGCCAGACAGCGACATGGATGGGCGAAGGAAACGACAAGAGCCTGATCAGTTTGCGCATGCGTTTCTGGTATCCCACTCGACCTGCAATTCATGTGAACAAACAGTCGCAAGAAAAACGCAAAATGACCAACCGACGATGATGACGCGGGGATCTCCAAGCTGCTGATAGACAAGGTGCCGTTTTGAGAGCAGCTCGTCGTCCGAAATTGATGTGGGAGGGGCACCCGGTAAAGTCTCGAGATAGGCCAGATGCCGCAAAGCCTTGGCAGCGAGCTGCGACACAGAGCTGTCCTCAGAGGTCAGCGTCACCAGGAGCGAGATCTCGACGAGGATGAATGCGGGAGTGCGCGCTTCGTTCATCAGAACCTCGCGTGCCTTGTCCGACTGCGATGCGATTAGATTCTGTCAAGAGAAGAGTGGGCAAACATACACAATGGCTCGCAGTGGCGTAGAACCGCAAGATGCGCTGGATCGCAGACACCCACATTCTGGTGCTCTCAACATCCCCCCGAGCGCGTAAAAGATTGGAGCTGAAGCAGAACATCGCGGTGGGCCTGAGTCAGTTAGTCGGGAACGGTCACACATCACATGCATTGCCCACACTCACAGTGCATGTTGCAGAAAGTTGAAGTAGATGGTGATGTGTTCGAAGAGAAAGATCTGACATGCCCCTACGAAGTTGACGATCGTCGATGTCTTGACCGCATTATCAAGCGGCGACTCCCAGACCCGCAAGGCCGCTTCCATCCAGGCCGTACCAGATCGATCTTCGCGATGCCAGAAACCACCGCCTTTGATCCGGAAGAGACTCAGGATTGCGATCATGACCACCTCGCTGTCATTGAGTGGCTGGGGAACCCGCCGTTTACATTTCGGATACGGTTGGGGCCTTTGCACACGACCGCTCGCATCAACTTCCCCGCGCCGTCGACCGCCCCCTTTGAAGATGGCCGTCAGCCTGTCGCTCACAGCTTCAGCCAATTTCGCCACTGGCTTTTGCCAGGGAAGTCGAGGTGCCTGAGAGGAGGATGAGGTGACCTCGTACGCGCTGTAGCGTTAACTGAGCGCACCTCTGCCACGAGAGTCAAACAGGCGCGCACAGCGCACATCTTGACTGACTCGGCCCGTTCTGGAAGCAGACATTCGACGAACAGCGGGATCGAGTCTTCCTCCGGTGAGAATCGGAAGATGGCTGTCAGCACAGAGGCATACAACGCAACATCGATTTCATCCAGATCCCAGAACGGCTTCTGGCCAGTGCCCATTGGATGCCGCAGAGCACTCTGCGCCGGATGAGCGAGCGCTAATACAACGTCAAACACACCAGCACACCTTGAACTCAGGGGCGATGTCGTGTGCGAGCATCCGCACAGGGACCTCCCCATCAGGACTCACTCGAGAAGCTACTCGACACACATCAGCCGCACAAACCATCGCGATCTCAGATAATCGCGTTTGCATATGCGCTCGTCGAAGAATCTCTTCGCTGAATAACACGTTCTATGCGTGGATTCAGCGCAGTATACGACAAGCACGATCGGACATACAGGTCTCGCGGAAGCCTTGCTGCGCCCCGAATTTGGCTGAATCAGATCCGGTGAAAGGCGATCTCCAGATATACTATTCAGCATGGCCAGCGCAGGCCACGTCAGTCGATTACTTTCTGCAGTCGTCGACATGGTGAATAACTGATCAAACAGGCGCTCGGGTATCCCCTCCAAGCCACCACGAAGTCGGATGGTCTCGTTGAATTCGTCGGGGTATTGATCAATCCAGTTCCAAATGGCCAGACGCAAAACCGGGGCTATGGATGTGAATTCTTCTTTGATGTTGAGAATGACAGTCAACACTTCTGTAATAGCCGAATGAGTATGGAACCAGCATGACACGAAGATAGACGGAGACCTTGCAACGTCAGCAACAGTCTTTCTCTGTTGATAGAGCTGTACGCAAGCAGCTGTAAAACAGCCATGTCCAGGTGCGGCTGTGATGGTTCTGTTAGACCCGCCATCTGATGCAACTTCAATCGAAGCTGCTGGAACACGATCGGCCAGTTCGAAGCAGAAATGTGGAAAATGACGCGTCCCGCATATTCAGCCAGCAGCATATTCAACAGATGCGGCGACTTCAATGCTGATCGCATCGTGATTTCGTAGGTGGTGTTCGCCTGTGCCGGAAACGCAGAACCTGAACTCTCCATCGAGCTCGATGAAGCTCGGCCTCGCAACGTCTCTGGGATGTACGGCTCTTCGTCCTTCCCCTCGGTCATCTCCGCAAACAGAAGCTCATATTGGGCAAATGAGATGTCAGAGATGCTGTCAGGAATCATCGGTGAAATGTCTTGCATCTGCGTCTGGCGGAGGTAGGGAGCCATCACGTTTAATATGTATTGCGCGATCGAGTCTTCAAGTGGGAGAACTTCTGACGAACGCGTCGAGTTAGTGGACCGTTGGTCCGATGAATGTCGGCCGCGGGTTGGCAAAGGTGAATCCGTGCTTGTACGGGAAGCCGGCCGCTTTGTTGACGACCACATGGTAGACAGCGACATCGCCAGGACTTTCATTATGAACAATTGAGATTGTAGCAGTTCCACTGATAGATGAGCTGGATGTTGCTGTCGTTGCTCTTGATGAGGCTAAAGAGCGACGCAAATTGATATTTCGTACGTAGAGGAATAGGAAAGGGACGCACGTCAGCCAAAGACGCCAGAACGTTCGAGAGCTCCCAAGCAACGAAATCCAGACCATCTCGCGCCAATGCCACTAGCGCTTCCACAGCCTGCTGGGCTACACTATCGGTCTCCAACTCATCCAGTCCCATCCCTGAGTTATGCGGAAGCTAGCGAAAAACTATTAGCGCCGTGCTGGAAGTAAACTTACAGCAAGACGAACCTTTGATTTCAGCCTGTTCACCAATACTACGAGGATCCGATATTGGGGTTTGGATGAGTTTGGGGCATAGGAAAGAGAGCTGTTGGATATCCCGAAACCATTCGAGTCAGAACTCCTCGCGACACGCGTCGTCGATGTTGCGGCGGAGGAAGACCCAGCAACTTGTCCCACTATCGGCACCGACGGCCGTCGACTGCGGTTCATGGCCAGAAAATAGCCAAATCGGCAGGGACGACGGTCCTAGTAATTGGTGGAAGCAGGGCGCCGGACGTCCCGGCGACGTGGTATAAGTTGGGGCAGTAGGGAATGGACAAGCCCGAATGTGTGGCAGTGCCGGCGTGGTCGATCCATCTGATCATCACGCATAACTTTTTCGACATGGCCTCCTCGACCACATCTGAAGATACGCCTCCGCCGCGCAAACGACTGCGGCAAGACCCAGATTCGCACTCTTCGACGCGTAAATCGCATCAAAATACTCGCTTATTTGTTCCATTCCGGGCATTGGGCTTGATAACCGACCATGTTCCATTTGTGCTGCAAACTCGATCATACAAGGGTGCTGTCGACGGACCGCGCATCCATCTTCTTACATGTCTGGGGAGATCTTGGGCACTCTGGGAGGGAGGCAAGATGGGGCTGCTATTCGTGGGTGGGTTGTCTTGAGCGGATGGCAGATTGTTTCCTCAGACGGCATAGGACCCGATGCACCTCATAAAATATCTTGTCTCGCAATGGATGGCGATGCTGTCTGGGCTTCTTCGGGCCCGTATGCCATAAAATATCTCCGGGGCAAGGAGGTGCGCTCACGGTGCGAAGCTCGAACTGTTATTCATGTGTCCAGGTGCTTCGAATAACGAATCCGTTGGAAGCCTATCTGTCCTTCATCACGATCTTCGGAACGCAGATTATGGCTCTCAGTGAGGATGGCAGAAGAATGTTTCTATGGGACTCGACAACTGGAGGTGCGCGTCTCCATTGCATTCGCATAAGTTGCGGGAAGTTTCACGATGACCAGATCTGAACTCTACCATCGAGTTTGACGTCGGGTTCACTGCGACGATGATCTTGCATCCTGCTACATACGTTAACAAGGTGCTGGTGTCAAGCAGTCAGGGCTCTATCCAACTGTGGAACGTTCTCTCACAGTATGTGTGCAATTGTCCTGCGCATCGGCACTGGCCTAAAACCGCGATAGCACATGCATCTTCAAGTTCTCGTCTTCCCGTCTAGTCTCTTCCCCGGATACAGCCGACTCAAGCACTTGTTCCATAACCGCACTGACACAGTCCCCTGCCATAGATGTTGTGGGAATTGGATTCATGTCGGGCGAGATTTCGGTCTATGACGTCCGCGCAGATGAACGTCTCATGAGAATGTTCATGGAAGGAGGGGGTGTACGAGCCCTGGGATTCCGGGCCGGTGCGCCGCGTCTGTCCATCAGATTGAACCGTTCGTGACATATCCGCAGATGGGCACCCTGTACTTGCATCGGCTTCTTCCTCTGGGCATTTGGCTTTGTGGGATCTGAATGCAGGTGGCAGGCTCCTTCACATGGTTCGCGGTGCCCATGACGGCGCCATCACAGCCGTCGAGTGGGTGCCTGGGCAGCCTGTGCTGATCACCTCGGGTGAGGACAACAGCGTCAAGGTTAGTTATATGAGATCACGTGTCTCTTGTCGCTGAACCTTGAGGAAGCAATGGCTATTCGATTCACCCACGGGCCCTCCTCGGCTGCTCAAGTTCAGAACCGGTCACCAAGCACCGCCGCATCTCATTCGATATTACGGCGAGGACGGCAAGCAGCTGCTCACTGCATCTCGTGATCGAAGCCTGCGCTGCACATCGGTCGTGCGAGACTCTCGATCATTCGAACTCTCGCAAGGCACTTTGGCCAAAAAGGCGACCTCGCTGTCGATCCCTCTCGCGTCACTGAAACTGCCGCCTGTGACCTCTCTGTCATATTCTTCAGCCAGGGCCAAAGACTGGGACGACATCATCACGGGCCACACTGACCTGCCCGGCGCTCGAACATGGACGATGATGAACAAGAAGCTGGGCAGTCACACTCTTGCGTTTGGCAATCCGGCCAAGGGCAAAGCGCACGAGCGTGCGGTCTATGGTTCCGTGCAGGTACATTTATTTCTCGTTTCACATCAATTTCAGGCACTCATCCACTATCTGCAGTCAGTTTGTGTCACTACATGTGGGAATTTCAGTCTAGTGAGCACGTCCATGGGACAGATATCCCTATGGAATCTCCAGTCGGGCATCAAACGCAAATCGTTTGATATAGGCCTGCGCCCATCTGAGATTTCCATCCCGGGCAAGAAAAAAGAAGGGCGTGCGGTCTCTGGCTTGGCCACCGATGCACTGAATACATTGGTGATTGCTGCTACCACAGATGGAACGATCAACGTGAGTGAGATTCCTAGCTCCCGCGCTTATCTTACGCCGCAGACAGTTCTTCGACTTCCACACCACCAGGCTGGAGCACACATTAACGCTTCCGGCATCGGTGCTTTCGATCTTGCTGAACCGGGACAGTGGGCTATTGGCCATCATCTGTGAAGATCAAGTTTTGCGCGTGGTTGATATCGAGACAAGACGAGTCGTGAGGGAATTGAGCGGTTTTAAAGGCAAAATCTTGGACATTGTGAGTTGTTATGCCTGATCTGTACTGATGCTGACTACGGCAGGCTTTTTCTCCTGATTCTCGATGGCTGGTCGCCACGTCCTTGGATTCCATCATCCGAACGTTTGACGTGCCTACTGGTCGATTGATTGATGCATTCAGGACTCCGAGTGTAGCCACTAGCCTCACATTCTCGCCTACCAATGACTTCCTCGCAACAGCCCATGTGGATAGCGTCGGCGTCTACCTTTGGCAAGTCCCACAATTTCACGTGACTTTGTATCTGACCTTCCTGCCAGGGCGAATCGAGCGCAATATTCGCAGATCTCCTTCCACAGCATTCTAGAAGAGGACATCGACTCTGTGGACATGCCTTCGATGCAGGGCGTGGCCGAAGAAGAAGCTCTGGACTCTCTTACGGCGCTCACCGTAGCTGACACACCGGAAGATCCATTTTCGACACCACCGCAACTAGATGGGGATCTAATCACGCTTACACTGCTACCTCGGTCAAGATGGCAGACTCTCCTCAACTTGGAAGTCATTCAACAGCGCAATAAACCAAAAGAACCTCCCAAAGCACCGGAACAGGCGCCATTCTTTCTGCCCACGCTCCCAGGTGTCGAGACCCGCTTCGAGGTTCAGCAGAAGCAAGTCGAAGCCAAAAAAGAGACGCGGAGATTATATCAAGCTGCCGCAAACACCAACAGTGTGTTCCTCGAGAAGCTGCTTGCTTGTGATCCTACCAGTGATTGTAAGCCTTTCGGGTCTCAACCTGCTGCTGTGGCACTTATCTTTTCGAAAGACGAGGAACTCTTTGCATTTGCCAAAACACTCTCCCCGGCTGCACTCGATCTCGAGTTGCACTCTTTGGTCACCCTGGAGCATCTGCAAGCCTTTATCATCGCGCTGACGCAGCGACTTCGCTCCCGCCGCGACTTCGAGGCCGTGCAGACTTTCCAGAGCGTGTTTCTGAGAATGAATGCTGACGTCATCGTTTCCAATGCTGAGCTCCAGTCTGATCTCGACACATTGAGCCAGGTGCAACGGCAAGAAAGCGATCGTGTTCTACAGCTTATCGCATCATCCCTTGGGACACTGGGTTTCGTACGAGACGTGATGTAAATACACAGTTGCTAGTACTTATCGTTGCCACTTTCCATGATGAAGCGCTCAGTAATCCGGCATGTCCAACTGCGGCTGGCAGTGTGATCGGTGCGCTAGAATTAACTACACAGCCACGGCTGATCTTCGCTCTCCTGACTCCGAGGAGGCGTTTGTTGGATGCGACCTGCTTGATCGAACAACTTCGCTCTACTGGTATGGCTGCTACAATAACCAGGTTCTCAATTGTCACACTTGTTCTCTTCGGGCTCTCCATCGGGTTCGTCATCTTCCCCGTTTACTTACGATTAGGGACCAAGAAAATTCCTATCAATCTCACCACTGCGCCGATCCTGACCATAGCCATCCTATGGGCATCTCAATGCATCGGTTCCACTCAGATTCGAGACGGGATCGTGGGCACATGTATGTGCCTTGTAATTCTGCTGGGACTGTGTCCTGATCTCGCAAGCCAGCCGGCGTTGAGCCATATAACATCCTCATCCTGTTCTTCTGTCTCGCATACATGACTATCACTCTCGACATCAGCGGGGTTTTCCAAGCAGCTGCGTTCTGGGTCTCCAACAAAGGCGGCACCCAAGGCCGACGGCTGTATTTCTACTTCTATGCCATGATCACGCTCCTGGGCATATTCGTGGGCAACGATGCTGTGATCCTCTCTGGCACGGTATTCCTCATCTATTACACCCGCAGCGCCGATGTGTACCCTGTGCCGTGGCTCATGGCCGAGTTTGCCTCTGCCAACACCGCAAGCATGGTCCTCGCCGTCGGCAACATCACCAACGTCGTCATCTGCGAAGCTTTCAACGTCCCTTTTGCATCCTTCACGCTGTACACTATTCTCGCCTTCCTGGCCTGCAGCGTTGCATGCTACGGTGCTCTGGCGCTCCAATTCCGCGAGGACAGACATATCCCGCGTCGGATGAAATCAGTGGGCACGCTGGATGTGAGGACGGCCATTAAGGACCCAGTAGCGGCTTGCGTCGGATCCTTCTTGCTGTTCTCCTGCATCGTGGTCATCCTTGTTGTCAGTTTCTACAAGATCGACGTCTGGAAAATCAGCCTTCCATTTGCGGGATCCAAACTCGTATTCGACCTCGTATGGGACTACGCGCGCACCGCATCGGGGGACTCGAGCGAGGGTTCTACGCCCAGTGGCTGGAAATACAGGCTGTCCTCCCGCTTCCCTACAGTCTTCGCTGCACTGCCCAGACTCCCATTCGCGCTCATCCCCTTCTCCTTTTCCCAATTCATTCTCATCGAGGCTCTGTCTCATCAGGGTTGGATAGACGTATTCTCTCACTGGCTCGTGGCGGCGTCGGGGCGGTCGATGCACGCCACCATCTGGCTCGTGGGAGTGCTCACTGTCCTGCTCTGCAATGTAGCTGGCACGAACATCGGTGCGACTATTCTGATGACTAAGGTCGTGCTGCAGGCCGGACTCCCGCCCCATGCCAATCGGGCCGCCGGAGTTGCACTGGCCGTCGCAAGCAACATCGGGGCCGTGAGCTTCACGTTTTCGGCCAGTCTAGCGGGACTTTTGTGGAAGGGGATTCTCCAGCAGAAAGAGACCGAGATAACAGCAGAGGAAGTGAGAAGAGAGGAGATCGACCTTGCGACCGGCCGGCCGTCGACTGACAAGCTGACCGAGAGCTTTGCACACTGTCGATGCTCTTCGTATGCCGACTGTCTCAATGTCTCGCAAGGAGTATTCGCCAAGTGGAACGCGTTGCAGCTGCTCGTGATGACTGTAGTCGGCCTTGGTGTTGTTTCAGCAGAGATGGCGGTCTTGTACAGGCATAGTCACTGATCAGCACTCAACTCGTGATGAGACACGTCGTGTCACATCACGTGTCTCGATATTCTCAACCCCAAAACGAGCGTCTGCGACGCCTTACACGTAATTTTTGCCATGTATCTTACTAACAGCATGTCATCCAACAATTCGGCATCGATCAAGGCTTCAATGTTGCACCTGAGCATGTAGCCCGTGTGGTAACACCGGAACGAATCAAAGTGAATGGCTATCAATATCGTCACTGATAAGCGTCCTCCAAAACCGACTGCTCGCTTTCCTCCTTGTGCGGCCCATCCCAGCCGAAGATGCTGGACCACTCGCCCTTCGCCGCGCACCTTGGGACGAACTATGCCCCCAATGAAGCCGAGCGAGACCAGATACGCGCTCTGCTCGTCGACCCCGACCGCGAGCTGGGACAGATCGACGCGGCCATTGGGCGACTGAGGGAGCAGATCGCGGAGCTCGAGACGGCTCGTGCCCCGCTGGCAGCGAAAGTGGACGCACACCGGGAGCTTTTGTCCCCTGTCCGACAGATTCCAGACGAGGTGCTGGGGGATATCTTCATCGCCTGCCTCCCGCCCACGCACAATGCCCTCGTCCATCCCAAGGAGGCGCCGCTGATGTTCAGACTGATCTGTCATCGCTGGCGTGCGGTGGCACTATCGACTCCGGGCTTGTGGAGCTCGATGAACCTCCCAATCTGCATCAACTACAAGTCGTATGACGCCCCCTTGCTCAGTGTGGCCGAGCCCTGGCTCAAACGGGCCGGAGAGCTTCCGTTGTCAATCTCGTTGACGACATCCCCGTTCGACTCGATGACATCGGAGCCCGAACAGTTCCAGGTCATCCAGTCCATTGGGGATCAAGCCCGCAGGATCGTGTCGTTCCTGGCGCGCGCGCATGTCGGGCAGATCCGGTCGATTCTGACGGCGGAGCTGCCTCGACTGCAGGAGTTAGCGCTGCTCTGCCCGTCGAGCGACAGCCCCGAGGATCGATTCGACCGCTTCCAGTGGCTCGCGCGCGCTCCGAAGCTCACGCGGGTCTCTCTGTACATCACGTCTGACGGACTGAGTCTCCCGCTGAACTGGGGCGCGCTGACGGTGCTCAACCTGACCTGCTTCCCCGGCGGGCCGGCGCGCGGTCTGGATCTGACGAGCGCGTGGGCGGTGCTCCAGAGCTGCCCCCGCCTCGTGCGCTGCAATCTCCGCACGACGCAGACCGAATCGGCGCAGCCGGTGCTGCCCGACTCGCCTGTTGTGCTGTCTCAGCTGCGCAACCTGAGCATAGCGGGCGACTTCCAGCCGGCGGACTTCATCCGGCCCTTGATCATGCCGCAGCTGCATATGCTCGGATTGGGTTGGAATCTCCATGACTGGTATAAGACGGCTGTCCGGGGCACCGGGAGCGGCGGAGAGTTCGTGCTGCATCTAAGAGACGATCTCGATGCCGCACAGCTGACTCGCGTCCTGCCTCTGATCCCACCGGTCACGCGGATCGAGATGTTTGCGTATAACAGCGATCAGCTGGAGGCCATTTCGACTTCCTCCATGCTCCAAGCGCTGTCCAGCGTCGATTTCGGGGACCGGGTGAATGCAGAACAGATTGAGACATTTACGGTCCAAAGATACGCGGCAGGCCATCCGCTGAAAACAATAAAAGCCATCCTCAACAGCGAAAACACCATCACAACACTGCGAGCGCAGTTGCAGGAACTCATCGAGACGGGGTTGGAGCTGCAATTGACATGCGAGGGGCGCAGATATCGTAGGATCGCGTATGACCCCAAGGACGGCATCTCTCTGGCATCTCTCTGATGTCCCTGTGCATAAAATAATACAAATAACCATACATAACATATCACGGCAGGACGAGGACTGTCCCCAACGGCGCAGCCTCATCCACGTGGTCCCGGTCTCCCCTGCGGTCCAGACGGATGTCGACTATCTTGACCGCCTCTCCTTCCGTCTCAACCATCTCGCTGCCGTCTACGCGCTGCTGCCCCAGCGTCCTCCGCTTGTCCACAACCTTGATCCGTGGCACCGCCACGTGTCCACAATCTATCGCCACCAGCTTCCACGAGAGACGCTCTTCTCCGCCAGGCAGCATGATCGGCAGCCGCCCGCTCCGGAGACCAGTCACGATGAACCCGTCGGCGGGATCTGGCTCCAGCTGGATCGTGACATTCGCAGAGCGTGACGGGTGCTGGTTGCGGATGATCATGCTCAGAGAGAAGGGTACGTGCAGCTGGGCCGTCGGAGGAACATTGAGCAGCGCAACCACACCATCGATCGGTGGCCGCAACGGGGGAAGCAAGAAGGTGCTCGTCGCTGATGGTCCTCGCTCGTTGGACTTGAGTATCCTGTACAGGAATGAGATGAACGGAAGAAACATTGAAGCTCGGATAACGCACCGCCTCCAGACCACTTCGTACTTTCCTGGGCCAATGATGGCATGCTCTTCTAAATCGATGTCGTCGCCCAAGTTGATGCTGATGCGGCATGCGTCTGAGAATTCATCGCCAGGAAGATACTCTATGGAAAGTCAATGTCGCAGATAGTTCTGATTCGACGTTGTTGAGATTTACCTTCGTGCACACCGTCCTCCTGAGAGTCAATGCCAGCCTCTAACACTTTTGCGTGCTCGTTATCCTGAAGAAATTAGCAATGAAAAAATCAGCGGCAGGACACAGGATGCTGACTTGTCGATCGAGCTTGATGTTGACGACTTCCAGGGGCCAGGGACCCATGCATTTCAGCCGAGTTGTAGCGATGGCCTCGCCTCCATCACACCCGTCCCAGAACTCGTGCTCGTACGTCGCCAGATCCGAGATCCCAGGCCGCGACATCCGCGCTCGCTTGTAAACGACACCAAACTCGGCGGTGATGGCCTCTGATGTGGGCACGACGAAAGTCTCCAGAGTCTCTGACGTGTCTGCATTATCAGAGGACTGGTGCGGCACCACAGATCGAATTGAGACGTCGAGTGTGCGATCTCCTGCTGCGCCTCTGCTCGTGAGATGCAACGTCTTGGTGACGCTAGTTCCCGGTTGCAGAATTCCACAATCGACACCCTTGATCAGACTGGACGACTGCGCATCGTCCATGGCGATGGTGTTTTCTGTTTGAAAATGAGCCGGAATACACCCAAGAGATACAAAAAACTCACCCGTCCCATCAATCTCCGTGGGCTGGAGCAAGACATCGACGGTCACAGCCAGCTCGCGGTCATCGCTATTGATTACCTCCACAACGACGGGATACTTTTCGTCCAAATACGCAGGAGAATCGTGTGAAATAGACACAGAGATGTTGTGAGGTCGATTTTTGACACTGGCGAGCAAGGTGAGCGACTCGAACGCAGGTGCAAACCAAGTAAGTGCTACCGGACTGAGGAGTAATCATCACGTGTGATTGGAATGAAGCGGGGTGGGTCCACGCTGGACAGCCAACGAGCAAACGACGTCCCTGTCGAAGGAGTGGGGTCGAATGGGATCTGAATCGTCCAAGGTCCTTCAACGAGGGTCAAGATCAGCTTGGTGATCTGCCAGCCAGGTTATCTCAAGCGAATGTTATCGAGGTGATCCATGAGACGCACCTTAATTGCCGATGGAACTTCGGACAGCAGTGTGCCAGTGCAAACAATCAGTCCGCCAGGCTGCCACCTCAAGTATGCAGTCACTGATGCAGCGTCTGGCACGTGACCGAGATCCACTCTTTGCACCTCGGTGCTCACCAAATCTGGGTCGTGTCGCACCGTGACCGACGGCAGTCCAGCCGAAAATTGAATTTCAAGCGAACCGAACGGCAGGGAGCCAATTGTGGCATGGCTTGGCGGGCTCAGACACAGCTGAAACGCTGCTGGTTCACCGACTGTGACTTCTGAGGTCCAGAAAATGGCGTTGCAAGTAACTGCGAAGAGGGGGAGATTAACGCAAGAATAAGTTGAGAGCCCCGTCAGCGTACTCAACGGTTGTGTTTCCGCCAGGTCAACGACCATGGGCTCTGGTGTTGGCGTCGACGGAACCGAACTCTACCGATCATCATTCCACTGGCATGGCTAAAGAGAATACATGTGGTCACCTTCAGCACAGCAAGCAGATCTTCCTCCAGAGAGCTTGGATCTTCCGCGTCGGCGACACCTGGAGCCTGTCAACCAAAGCCAGACAGAGATCGTACAAGACTGACCATGCCCAATCATCTCGATCAGCAGCCGGATGCTCAAATCAACATCGCCGAGTCGTTGGGCGCAAGCATACCACGTCGAAAGCAGAGGCTTCAACAACAAGCCCCACTGCTCACGGCGATAGCTCTTGGCGATGCGTTCGAAGAAGCGGACAGCCATATCGAACTTGCCCGATTCGTAGTATGTCTGGCCGATACGATGGGCGATCCACAAAGTCAGTCGCCCCTGGGAGTGATTTTGTGCGTTCGTAGGCGCATGCTTCTTGAACAGTTCGTATGCTTTGGTGTAGAGCTGAAGTCACTCAGTCATCCACCTGAGAACCCATGCGCACGACCTAGCATACCTCCAAGATGAGCACCAAGTGTTCCACCTTCTTTTCGTTTGCAAACCCTGCCGAAACGTTGCTGGACTAAGCAGGATATCAGAAAGCTGTGCTATTGGAAGGAGACCGCGTGACCTCCGCCTCTGCCGCAGCGAGAAAGCGTTCTCGTCGCATTTCAGTGCATTTGGCAGCCATGTAATAATAATACCCTGGATGCTGCAGCGCATGACTCGGATTAATCCCCATCGTCCGCATGGCCTCCGCGTCCTGTGTCATATTCGGTCCAGATGGCACAATTTTCGGCATCGAAAGGTTCGCGGGTCGGTGATTCGGAAGCACAAGCTTCAGCTGTGTGCCATGCTCGAGCAGTTCTGCGAGGATGCGATGCCTGGAAATGTAAGTAAGCGAGCCAGAGCTCTGGGAGAAGCAACTCACTGTCTGGCGATCCAGCTCCAGAATTCAAATGTCTCCTCGCCAATGCCCCATCCCCGCGAAAAGTCGCCAAACTTACGGATATGCGTGTTATGATAGGAGAGGGCCAGCGCATGCTCGTTGTTGTACAGATAGAGCTTGACGACTTTGATGTTGATACAATCCGCAAGGACTTTGGCCTCCGCCCACCGCTTTGTCCGCGGAGGCAGGATGGCAGGTGACCCGAACATAATCAGCAATATGTCGTATGCATCCTGATAGTGTCTGGCAACGAGCACAACTGAGTCAGAACGATCGAGGCGCAGACCGGCACCCACTTGAGCGCGATGTCGTCTTCACCGCGAAACTCTGCAAAGCAAGCCATCTTGTATTCATATCTGACCGTCCATCCCTCCGGACGTAGCGGTCGTCCCAGGCCAGCACTGCCGAGGGGAGTGTGAGGGATGGGGTACGTGGACACGGATTGGGAGTGACGATTTCGTTTCCGCCGCACGCGTTTCGAATGGGCCGTGTAATACTCCAATGCAGGCTCGTAAAGTGCTTGTTGGAGACTGGGAAGCGTGAGCAAGCGAGTGTCACCCCCGCAATAGCCTCGCGCACCTCTTTACAAAGTCCCCGAGTTCACTCTGGCTGACGGGACTCAGGACGAAAAGCGCTGCGCGCGAATCGAGCCCGCTCTGGCGTCGAATGTAAGTCAGCCTGTTGTCTAATGTCGGATCGTCTGGAAACGCGCATTGAGAAACCGCACACATCGGCGATCCAGTCGTCACCACGCACCGAGCAATCTTCTGCTAGCCATTAGCACTACAGTAAGTTTGATGTTGCGCTCATTGGTACTTTTCTTGCGCAGCGCAACCTCCGCAGCCAACTCGCTGTCTCTCCTCCGCTCCTCCGCTTCCCGTTCGCGCTCCTTGTCCGCATCAGGCGCGTCGAGCGGCGACCGCGGCGTGGGCGCAGGGTACTCGTATATCCGCATGAACATCACGAACACAGACGGCACGAGCGACGTGTGCTTGCGAATCCATATTGGCGCGATGAGGCCGTCCGGATGAAGCGGTGACGTAGGGGTAAGCGGAGACAGTGGAGAATGCGCGCTCGAGCGAGTATCGTCTTGCGGGGCTAACTTGCGTGGGGGAAATCGTACTGAGGCGTCTACTGGGAGGATCTGGAACGTTTTGCTTTTGTCTGGTTGCCAGATAGCCACTTTGCGTTGAGTAAGCAGCGCCTCTCTGAGTCTACTGGAGAGAACGGCGAATGGATCCTGCTGGTAGCGGGGTGTGCCGGGAGTCGTAGGCGTCTGAGGTATCTGCGGTGTCTGTGGTGTCTGTGGTGTTTGCGGTGTGGGAGTCTGCGGCACTGGCGGAGCTGGAAGATCCAACCCAGACACGAACATCACCGGTGCCAGTTGAGCCAGCAGCTCAGGAGGATATGAGTTCATTGTCAACCCAGTTGTGAGTACAGGACGACTTGCGTCGGTACGATTGATCGGATCGGTCATGTCATCTGAAGTTTGAAGCTTTGAAGCCTCACAAACGACTTAACAGGGAGCTCATTGAGCTCTAGCGCATGGTAATCCTACCAAATGGTGGTATATAGTGATGAGGGTATAGACGATAGCAATGCAGATGTCAAATTAGGAAGAGGGCCGATAATGTCCATAGCAAGCTGGTGAATAGACTGATCATCGCAGGCGAAGATCGTGCTGCACGGTCAGATTTGACTTGAGAGTCCGAGTGCGGAGCACTGTTGGCTCTATTCTTCGTCAGCTTCGGAACGGTGGTCGATTCCGGAAGATCGCCAATAGGAAGCATAGTCTGGGGTCCTATCTCACCGGAGCCAACCATGACCTGAACTCCCACAGATGGAACTCCATTCACGACGACAAAGAGAAGAGCAGGACCGGGCACCAGCACAGCAGAATTTGGAGGCAGTTGGGAGACATGCAAGATGGCTGTGCAGTTTTCCTCGTAGGCGGTGTAGGTCAAATCCAGTTGGACATACCGCTGGCCAGCATTCTAGAGCTGATTTCAATACAAAAATGCATTTGAAAATGACACGGACCATCGTGTGAGTTGAGAATCCCGTGCGGATGACAACCACAGTCGCGGTAATCGCATGTTGTATGTTGCCAGCAAGGTCGTCTGAGGACAATGAAACGTCGAAGGAGGCGCCACCATACGACAGCCGTGAGACGAGGCCTACTGGCTCAGGGCGCAGTTCGTTGTAGTACGACGGATAGAAACGTTCAACGCGATATTCTGTGGGATACTTGATCTCAGGCCCAACATTATAGTCGCTATTGGGATTCGAGCCAGCGATCAGAACTGCGCCGTCAGGAAGCAGAGTAGCGGACGAATGGTACATGCGCGGAATGGTGCTTGCTGAGAGGCCCTCTCGGCTCCAGCGGGAGCCCGCCGGCGCGTTTAGATCGTAGACGACCGGCTTTAGCACAGGATTGTCTGCATACGACATATTGATTGCCCACGTCTCATTTCCATAGCCCGCAGTTCCTGTCAAGGGTGAGATCCTGTGAACAGGATAATTGGCGTCTACGAACCAGTTTCAGCGCCATTGACACAGAGGATCCTTGCATCAGGCAGGAATATAAGATTGCCCATTGACCTTCCCTCAGGTAACGGATCGACGTGTGTATAAGACCCGGACACGTCCGGTGTTATTGTCACACACGACGTCGAAGCCTTGAACGCAGCGATATTCCAGTCCGTCGACCAATCGTCGTTGTCAGACCCGCCACAGAACATGACAGTCGCTGTCCAGTTATTCGCCGGTGTGAGGGGAAGCATGATGGATCCAGCACTGGCAGGGTATGCTCTGACTGCGTCGGGCACATCGTCCAGCGTGTATTCAATGTGAGTGTCCAGATCGAGCAGGACTGTCGCTCGGTTGGCTTGTAACAGCAACATACCAGATGGAAGAAGGAAGGTCAACGGATACAGGTTGATTGGGAGCGTGTTCGACAGAAATGGGGACTCGATCGGCTCGCCACTGGAAGGGAAAAACTCGTATGTCGGATTATCCTGCCGCGCATCGTTGACATAACCGCCATTTCTGCAACCTCCCAACTGGGATAGTAAGGGATCAAAAACCGAGCACAGAGTGGACTTGTTCTTACAATGATTGCGGACCCATCGGGCAAGGTCTCTCTGCAATTCGGTTAACAGAAGGAAACGCGAGTCGAATGTGATGAACTCACACTGTTGGGTACCAGCGCCGAGTCGTCATTTGCTTACTTAAAACCCATTCGCATTCGTTGTCATCGCATGGTGTGAAAATTCTACATAAACGGGTCAGATCTGCAGACCATGTCATGAAGCACGTAGGCAGACCGGATTCTGTGTCTCAATCAGTCATCAAATCGCCTGCAGAACAGTCGACGCACGATTTCCCTCCATCCGAGTCATCGTATGGGGCTGTCCCAGTCTGAACAGTCGCCGCAGCACCACCATAAGTGACCGCCTGGTTGCCGCCGATGTTGATGAACGACCCATTGCCAAGGACGTTGCCGCCTGCACAGAACGTGTTCGTCACTGCAGCCATAGGCCGCTGTGAACCGGATGTTAGATCGTATTCTGCTCGAGCGCGTAAGATTCAATCCGTCGATATGTGCCGCAACGCACCCGAAGCCCAAGCAGCGTGTCCGTCGATCTGAGCAGGGTTGTTCTCCACCTTGTCCAGAATGAACACTTTATCCGGAGTACCGAGAAACATCTACCCGGCGACTACTTTTCATCTCTTTTCACGCGTTCAAACAGACGATCTGACCTGCTGGGCGCTGACAAGGGACTCGCCAATGATCTCGAACCCGCCGACAAGACCATGGTGCAAAGGTTGTGAAGGAGCACTCTGCGTGTTAGAAGAAATAGTCTGGGTGAGAATAGAGGACATATGAATGCCTGCGAGCAGAAATACTGCGAATAGGCGCATAGTGGCGGGCAAGAAATGGTCGCTTCGACGGATGACGTCGCGCAGAAAGCGGCGAGCACCTCAGCTGCAGACAGAGTAGAGATGGTCTGAGAGGATACACGATGCGAGAAGATGACGAACGCGTGGTATCCCCGCGAAACGCGATCGCACCTCTAAGCCTTCAAAGTTTTGCCCCTATTCCAAGGAGACTCCATCGAGCAGACGCTTCGCGCACTCTGAGTAGTCAATAGAGCCCTGCGGCCAGGGAAATGGCCTATCGTCCCAACGCAACAATAAAGGGCATGTGGCGATAACAATAGCAGTTTCTATGAGCTCGAGTCTTTTCAGAACTTTCCAGGTCAGTCCGAACTGTGGAACTGCTCGTGTCATGTGCTCGTAACTGTACGCGTTGTGTGACGTCACATGTGTTTGCGCCTGTCACTGACGCCCGGGGACCGGCCCGATCGTTCTTTCCTCCTAGCTTACCTGCAACTGGTCGATCCAAATCAACTACCGCCGAGCGTGACGGATGGGAGAGTCTCGTGCATGGACAGTGGCGACCGGTACTGCTATCACCTGCAAGTCTCGGTCTCGTCTCAAGTAAATCGGCTCACACCAATGAATTCAATTCTTCATCAGCTGCGCTGAGTACATGCGCCACGGGGCTCTATGTTGCATTTTCGCGCAATAACAGGGGGACTGGGGGGTATCTTGCAAGTTCTGCTGCATTGAATAGCGCTATAAGTGCTGCAACTTTCTTTTGTGCGTCTTAGAACATGGACGTGTCCAGACGAAGCTGATTCTATATCCGAACTCTAAGCCGTTCGGGAGTATGTAGTGAGTCCTGGAATAGAATTTTCCACTGGAGTCCCAACGGATTATACCGATGAAAGTCCAACACGCATGCGCACAGACAAGGTGCTTGATAGCACGCTGAGCGGAGCTGTCATGGGTGGCTTGCTGCGGGGGCTTACGGGTGCGCCCATATTCCAATTCGCTTGATTCGCATTTTAATGGACGTGCAGTTGGTCGACGGGCGGTGCTACCAGCTGCGATGACGGTCGGGCTCGCATGCGCGTTTTTGCAAGTGGGATACAACGAATTACGCGTCCAGAGGATCAACTACATCACAAAACCTACTGAACCACCACCCTCCATCCCCCAAGAAGACCCGGTTGTTGACTCGCGATCCCTGGTTGAGAGAATGTTGGATGGCCTTGGCATCCAGCAGATCTCTGACGAAGAGACCATAGCGCGAATGAAGAAGCAACGTGAAAAACACCTGCAGAAGATAGCAGAGCTTGAAACCCGCATGGAAGAAGAAAGCACAGAGAGGGGATCATAGTAGTAGCGTAGATTATAGATTTATTGCATTCACGCATGTAAACCCTAATATCCTTAAGATTTACACCACATCTCAATAATTCCTCGAGCGTTGCTTGTGAGTCCGGCGACTACGAAGCGATGTTGATCGACTACAAGAGCATTTGTTTTAGCGACACCTGTGCTTTCTTGCCAGATGTTCACGAGGTGGCTTTCATCGTCTTGACGAAAAATCGTGTACTGGCTGACTGTCCCGAGTAGAGTGGAAAAAGTCACCGTCAACGGGTCGGAAAAGCTCCTGGATAATCAATCACCCTTCGGCGAATACGAGCCTCGGATCCTACTCACATTGCGACGATAGGTCCCTCACTGACCTTCTCGATCAGTTCGTGGCCAGGATCGAGGCCGTCCCATTTTCGGCGCTTTTTTGCGGCCTTGACACCCTTCTCACCACCGCAGCCGACCCAAATACGTCCATCAGCAGTTCCCGCGGCCATAACGCCTGTCCCACCGAATGCCGCAGACATCAGAAATGGAGGAGAAAGGGACATGCCCTCTGTTGATGCAGCCACAGCTTCTCAGATGGTGACCCACATGAGTCGAGGAGAGAGAAAATCAAATGACAAACGCACGTATTTCTCGCCTGGAAAGGACTGTACCTTGAACGAAATCGAAGTGCAAGAGGCAACTGTCGTATCCTCCGCTGACTATCTCTCGTGGTCTATCTGGAATGAATTTGACCAGGCCACAAATCTGGACCCGCAATTGAGTATTCGACAGCCAGAAGACGGTATGATCGCACGCTTGAATGGTTTGTTTTCATTCTCGAAACAATCTTTGTGGACAAGTCGACCACTCCGACAGCACCGGAGTCCATGCTGAATGCAAGATGTGTTTTTGCAGTATTGAGTGCGATCTGACTGAGTACGGTTCGCCTCAGGGTCGTTCCAGTAGTGTTTCCGCACCTCATTCAATACATCATCCCCTTTGTCTTCCACCTCGATGACTTCGAGAGCATCTGCCTCGATTTGGACAAGTTTCTCCTGATCCATCCTGAATAGAAGCATCTTCACAGATATAAGATTGCATCTTTTGAGGCATCAGGTGCCCAGATGCGACGGACCTTGCATCCTAAAGCTAACCAGACATCCCGCAACTCCGACCCCGCTCTTTTGAGACAGGCAAGGGACGAGATCTCCTCGCCTAAACCATGCACTGCTCTCACAACTTTGGATGAGGAAAGATCATAGACCCGGAGCGAGCCATCATCTGGGGGGCCTGTTTGAGATCCCAGGAGTCTGTGTGTCGAGGACGGTGCGATAGACGTGCCTGATGCAGCATACAGATGTCCTGAATGACCAAATGCCAGCGCTGTGATGGGAGCTGGCGTGTTTAGAGTGTGCTGCAGCGTGTATTTTGGAATGTTCTGTAGCAAGGTCTCGGCCATAGTACAAATGTGTGGCCTCCTTCCCAGACTTCTCCTCCCCGGCGTAGATGATGATGTTTTTGGGTAAGCAAAAGCAGTGCGATAAAGGAATGAAGCAGTCCGGGGCAAACGGAGAACAACAAGCCATGACATGTGATGAGCGCCCATGGTACAGACTGCGCCACTTGGCATTTGACCTCAACTTGACTCTCACCATGTCCATCCATTGCCTTACATCGTTCTGACTGCAATCGACTAGAAAACAGAGCGCTCACAAGCCCATTGTGCTCTCAACCATCTTCGATGCCTACTCAACAGGCTCGGCAGCAGCTTGCAATCTAGCTTCTGACTGTCGTATCCTCCTCTTCTGTTTGTACCATACCTAATAAGATTCGCACGGCCTTCACTACCAGGTCTTACACGCACCATCTATCAAGATCAACGTTCGGAAATGAACCTTGATATTTCCCTCACTAGGCGCGATAAGGTTCAACAGCACCACTTGTTGTTCCCATTTCCGTGTCGTTTACTCCGAGGTTAGAGTGGCCGTTCCCCCTCCGGTACTTTTCGCCATCTCATGCCGTCGGGAACGTGCCGGTCAGCTGCATGCGTCTTCGAATGCGCAGGTTTGAGATAAAGCGTTCGAGGCATCGCGTGAGAGGCCCGGCCTCGTCATCTGGGTGACGATCATTGAGTCCAGTGTAGTCCAGTGTACTGCACAGGATGTAAACTGACAGAATGTGGGTGTGTGAGTTTCCTAGTTCGCCATTTGAGACAGCACGTGGTGCAGGGCCACCCGTCACAACTCCACTAGTCTCTCTGTTCTTCCTTTCACCAGCGATGCCCTCTGAAGACATCTGCATCTTCCACCACGATGAACCGACAAGCAGCTCTGCTGTCTGCTCGTCATGCCATGCAGCCATGAAAGACGTGGAAGTCGAGCTACAGCCGGACGCCTTAGTCTGTGCAGCATGCCGGAACCGTCTCCTGCAGGTCATCTCGGTCCTGTCTACGGACAGGCATGGTGCCTCGCGACAGCGTCACAGACCGCGTGAAGACCTCCAGGAGTGTCCCGAGCCCTTGCTCATACCGGTTCCCCCTTCCGCGCATCCCTCTCTTTCAAGCCCTTCCTATCGCCCCTTGCCGCCTTACTATCCTCCCATTGCGCTACGCTCCGAACCTGAGCCTCCCTTCGTCCATGCTCAAGAACCATGCGCCCAACCCCTCAAGCAGGTGTCTGACCCTCCCGAAACCGTCCGATCACCCGCGCGCGGCTCTACTTATGTGAAATACCCCGACCCACTCACCGATATCACACGCCTGCGCGTACGACAGAAGTCCCACCATGTTCTTCATCCTGGAGCTACGTTCCAGGGCACACAAAAGAGCGGTCGTAACAGCTACGACGTGACTGTCACCATCGTTGTTCGTATCCGCTGTTCTCCATTCCAGCCTTCACTCATTGTTCGCAGGATGTGGATTTAAGTAGTTCATTCTTGTGTGGCTACCTGCGTATCCGAGGCTTGACGGATGACTGGCCGGAGCTTACAACCTACTTTGACGCGGAGATTATTGGGCCTCGTTACGGATTCCTCACTCAAGACTGGGGCGCAACGGAACAAGCGGACATGGTTCACTGGGCTCGTTTCCCCGCTTTCCGACATCTCAAACAAGAACTGTGCAAGCCGCGTTTGACGATGCCTGAGCGAGACCGAGGTGCTGTGTTCATGCGATGGAAAGAAAGGTTTTTGGTACCAGATCACCGGGTGCAGGACATCAACGGCGCCAGTTTCGCGGGTGCGTGACAAGCGTGGGCACGGGAAGCGTGTGTTCCAGGCTAAATCGGCCCAGGTTTTTATTATGTCTGTGTGGACTTGAATCCCGCCCCGCATCACAGCGAGTTCGACGGTGCGATGGACGATGAGCTCGGCCCTCTACCGGCATGCTCCCCGGTTGCGGTCACGAGGTCGAGACGAGACTCGTCCGCCAGTCGCCGGACGCCGGCTACTGGGCTCTCATCTGGGCCGCGGCCAGCCCTGATGAGTGGGTTCTATTATCATCAGAATTCTGAACCGTGAGCCCGTCCCCTTCGGTCGCCGACTTGATTCTCAGTCTACACAGATACCAACAACTGACGTTGAACCACATTCCTGAACGGACCAGCTGTAGCTTTGAGTTCCGCTGACTGTCGTAACATATGTAGCAGTAGTTATCGTACTCACGCTCTAGTTGTCCTCGCTTTGTGTATCTTTACCTCCGCATCTCACACCTCGGCCTTGTCCGACTCCTTGTCGAGCGACGGATCGGCTCGCACGGTGGCTTGCTCGTTATCCTTCTCAGCCACTGCATCTTGCTGATCGCCTGCTGGCTTTCCGTCGCGGACCACCGTGCGCTGCAGACTGTACTTCCTGGTAAAGAGTGCTTCAAAAGTCGGTCAATACTGTCCAAGGGCAACCATAAGCGTTCGCCTACATAATAGCAGGCCGGCGCCGGCTACCGCTACCGCAAGGATCCAGATTGTGCTGATAGAGCGAGAGTAAGCATGCACGACTGCGGAGCGCAATGTCGCATCGGGAATGCTCTTGAGTTGCAGGACGTCCTGGCTCAGAGTGGCAGCCGAGAGCTTGAGAGTGTCTGATCCAGGAATGGAATCGATGCGATGCTGGAGGGTCTACGACGAGCGTCAGGGTGAAAGGACCGCTCATTCACAACACAAGGACTTACTGTGGTGATTATCGTTTGACCCGCTGCGATGGCAACTGTCCCCCCCAGAGTTCTTTAGTGTTTGTGAGAAGTGTAGTTTGCAAGTAAAGTATACAAACAACGAACCGAATGAGCACATACGTCGAAGTGCTTGTTGCCATATCCTTGAGCGGCATCGCTGCCTGGAGCCCGATGAGAGGTGTCTGGTGTGTTATTAGAAGTGAATGGGATGAATAATGATCTCCAACCTGGACTAGTTGCGATCTGTTAATGCAAAGATGCGCGGCAAGTATATGAACTCACACAGAGAACCAATGCCCATGGCGGTCACAAACGGATACAGCACTTGTTTCGCTCTGGGAGGAAAATGGGTACTCTGCAGTCACCAGGCGAATCCACCCGACTCACACGCTTGAATGGTCATCCAGCGTCGTCATCAATCCGTATCCGAGAACGATCAGGGGCCAGGCAATCCAGATGACCGTGCGATAGTCCCCGGTTCTGGCCACAATCTGCCCCGAAATGGTGGAGAACAAGGCGCCACCGAGGGAGAACGGAATCATCCTGGACGCAAGATGAGGAAAACAGCCAAAGACTAGCGATCAGGACAGGCCAGAACTCACCGCACGCCGGCACCAGTGGCGGAGAACCCGAGCACCTGGAAATACAAGGGCAAATAGTATGCACCTGAAACCGTCGATACGAAGCTCATTCGGTGTGCAGTCCAGCATCCTGACCTCCAAAAAATCCAATGGCATGGAGGAATGTCGAAACCAAGATGGCAACAGTCGTCCGCGTCTGGAATCGCGATCAGCCGGGAGGGCGCAGCAGAAGAAGACAACCTACCCGAAACAGACGAGGTGGAATAATCGCGGAACGCTTCGTGGTTATTTCGTTGATAGAGGCCACCACGAGAAGAACACAGCCGATCACGAGCAACGCGATGGTTTCGGCCGAGGACCAAGAAGTCTCGCTAGAATTGAAGCCGAGGAGAACGCACACCACCCCGGCGACAATCAAGAGGAGCCCGAGGTAGTCAAACTCCTCGTGGTATTCCCGGAATGATTTGAGCGGGCGAGGGTTCAAATTGAGGAAGAAGAATAACAAGACAGCGGCGATGCCCCCTGTGGGCCTGCAGCGTCATTCAGAACGGACGCGGCTCGTTCGATGGGGAAGTCTCACAGATTGATAAAGAAAATCCATCGCCAAGAGGCATGTTCGGTGAGAGCCTGTCAGGATATGAGTCTGGATCAATGCAGCTTCGGCCATTGGAGCTCACGCCTCCGATCAGGGGTCTGAAACCCATGAGCACTGTGAAGCATGTAATCCAGGAGCACTGACCCAGTAACAGAAGCAATTCCCCAGGTTGCACCTGATACAATTGGAGTCGATGTCCTAGCATATGGCAGAGGGGACTTACCCATCGCACCGATATACTTGCCTCGGCTGTCAGAAGAAAAGCTTCAGCATGGCATTCGAGCCAAGTGATAGGACGACGCACTCTTCGAGCGAGACAATATCACCAATGGTGATGTTGACCTGAAAATAGTGAATTCACTAGTTCCAACTTGAAGTTTTGCAACTTGCGAGTTGAAGGATCCCTCCGCCGCCAATACCTTGAACAGCACGACAAACAACCAGCCATGTCATGTTCTGCGCTGCCCCGCATAGTGCCGACCCAACCTGATATTGATAAGCAGATGTATCCAAGCAGCGATTAACTCACCAGAAATATGGATATGCAGCCATAGAGAAGCGGCTTCCTCCCTGGACTCGTTCACACACAGAGTCAAGTTTGCATTGCAGCAGCACACACCGAGGATATCTATCAGGCCGGAATAAACAGACAGATAGGCAATAAGCGATACAGGGGCAGACCTGATAGCTTGCCGTATAGTGGGGACAGAGCAGCGGCAGCGAGAAGGAAAGAACTGACCGAGTGTGAGCAGCAGCTGATTAGATTGTGGTCCTTGCTTACCTTCCAACCCAGCTGTACTCGCGCCCACCGCCTAGCTTCGCAACAATCGTCGGCAGGGCAGTCGCTACAATGGTCTGCAGGCGTTTTAGCCAGCGAAAGCACCTGATAGAAACGAGAACGGACTTGATCCATCGCAGCCTAGGCAGGTTCAACCCTATGTTGACGTCATGTGTTATCTCGACACGCACCAGGAACAGAGTGAGCGTCAAGGCGAGGAAGACCTGCGCACCCCGAAGAGTCAGACGGATTCATCAGTTCCCAAGTGATTCGACTGACGACCGGCAACCGATTCTTGGGCAGATGGTGGGTCTCATTCTCCTTCCAAGCACCGCGAGTTGGTTTAGTGTCGACCGGGGGCTGCGGTGTGACTGATTCCTTCTCTGTACTTGGCTGAGACGACTGAGCAGCGTCCGCGGTGACGGGAGACATATTCGTCGAGGAGAGGAAGACTGTGCCGTGGAATCCTTTCACCACACATACTTATGGTTTTGCTCTTGTTAGAAGCCGAAATGCCGGACACATGACAGAACATGTGTGTGCCGAGAGCTGCCGCAATACAACGAAAATAACGACCATGCAAAAGCCAAGCGCCGAAATCGTGGGAGGCAGCGGAATCATATTTGTCAGGCCCGGCTAAATGGGAGAGTCTGCGGCGCTAGACGGCCGAGTCTCGAGAGAGTGCCGAAGCATCGCTGCTCAATCGTTGAGAAGGGACGCACAAGCGATCGCGAGCGAGTGATGTCCATGGCATTGTGTGGCACTGTCCCCGAAGTTCCATTTCTTAAATTCTTTCCGAGATGGTTGATCATTTTAATCCTACCACGCACAAGGGAGTAGCTTGTGGATGCTGATGCCGCGCAGCTAGTCTTCACAAGTTTCAAACGTCAACTTGTGATCGATTGCCCGCCATCGGAGAGATAATAGTACACACGGCACCTTGGGCTCGCAGACTCGCCCGATTTTCACTGTCGAGTGTGAGGTCGTGAAACGCGCAACTTTTCTGCAGAGCGCGCGACTGGCCTGAGTAACCTCGAGAATGAACATCAGAGCCAGTCAAACCGAGTCGCCGAGATTTTTTCGATTGCGGGTCCGGCAAAACAGCAACAAACTTCCAGATCGCACAATTCTTCAGCTTTCCTTTGACCTCCACTACTGCCCACTCCTCCCTTCCCAACTCCCTCTTATATCATGACTCAAGAAATTCCTACTTTCAAGCTCGTCCTCGGTGTGTGGGATCGTCATCGCTGGTTTTCCGGGCGCTGACTGGCTTGTTCTCTTTGATCGATGTTCTCTCTGCCACTGCATTCACTTGACACTCACTCAACCCTCGCGCCAACTCATCTTTGTCTCGCGATGTATACCTGACCGATCTCAGTTGGCGACGGTGGAACTGGCAAGACTACTTTCGTCAAGGTCGGTCGACTCGCGAGGATTTTTTACCGATCGCGTCCTGATCAGTCCCGTTCCACAGCGCCACTTGACTGGAGAGTTCGAGAAGAAGTACATCGGTCAGCTCAGCCCAGGATATCACGTCTTTCTTCGTCGATCGCGACTTACATACGTCCATGTAGCCACTCTCGGTGTCGAAGTGCACCCTCTCACATTCAGCACCAACTTCGGGACCATCTGCTTCAACGTCTGGGACACTGCTGGACAGGAGAAATTCGGTGGTCTGCGCGATGGATACTATATCCAGGGACAGTGCGGTATCATCATGTTCGACGTTACCTCCCGAATCACCTACAAAAACGTCCCCAATTGGCATCGTGATCTGGAGCGGGTGTGTGAGAACATCCCTATCGTGCTTTGCGGCAACAAGGTCGATGTCAAGGTGTGCATCTACTGCTTTTTCTTTCTTTCGCGAGCTTGCTTTGACGCCTTTGTCCAATCGTAGGAGCGGAAAGTAAAGACCAGCGCGGTCACCTTCCACCGAAAGAAGAACCTGCAGTACTTCGAAATTTCCGCCAAGTCGAACTACAACTTTGAGAAACCCTTCCTCTGGCTTGGTCGTAAACTCGTCGGGTAAGTCGATCGCCGCGGAAGTGTCTAGCTCTGGAAAGCTGAGCCACATCAGAAACCCAAGTCTCGACTTTGTCGCTGCCCCTGCTTTGGCCCCGGCTGAGGTCACAGTCGACGCCAAGCTCATGGAGGAGTACAACCGGCAGCTCGCTGAGGTACGTTGGCTGTGGTCGCGCTGAAGGGAGACAGTTTTACTCACGTGCTTTTAGGCTGAAGCTATTCCTCTCCCCGAGGAAGACGACGATCTGTAGATAGGATTCCGATTTTCATCATCTGTTTACACCATCGTTTCCTATTTCTGCAACCGCACCACACCAAATTGTATTCCATGAACAGAATTAAATGCACGCGACGCCAAGTTTAGAATACTGCAGGGGTTTTCAAATGATCGAGGCAGTCGCAAAGATGTGAAGCTATACAATACAAGTCGAATCTAACGTACATATTCAGCAAAAGCGGTCACTGAATACTGGTCAGCTGCGATCCCGGGAACGAATGCTCGACTGCACCTCTTTAGTTTCATCCGCCGATCTAACAGAGCCTCCGCTAATCGACCTTCCTTCTTGGCACGCTTCAGCTGTAACGGTGATAAGCAGGGTTTGAGGGAGGGAGCGAGACCAGCTCACGTCTTGCTTGTCACTATGTGACACCACACTTCGCCCCATCCCCCAGGCTTGATAGATTTTACTATGATAGTGATGAGTTGCGGCCAGTCAGCAGTAGAACCCACCCACTTCGTCCCAGTTTCATCAATATTCAATGGGTCACCACTATCCCTGAGATTCTTCTGTTTCTCTTCTTCGTGGGCTTCCTTCTTGAACTTATACTGGATCTTGACCCAGAAACGTTCTCGAAACCCGACCTCTTCGCTGTCTCCACGCAACACCATGGAACCGCCTGCCACTTCGTCGACGCTCAGATACTTTTCATACACGTTCATGAACGCGACCATGCCGTCTGGAAGTACCACAGGTGTCCACTCCTCTTGCGGACCACGCGCATCCCGATCCGACGATATGAGCCCGTGAGCGTCACTGGATAAGAATTTGCCTTCCCCAGTACCAGTCCGCAAGTTCACGGTCAGAGACCCAGCTATGCGAGTGACGACCCAGACCTGCGATACATCTGTCGGCGTGCGAGCCAAAAGACTGGGAGGTTCCCCGTCAGAGTCCTCCGTGCGAAACTTGTCGAGACTGGAGAGGACGACGCGATTTGACGTGGAGTTGTAGGTTACACATATCGGAGAAGGGTCGGAGGGGTGCACAATGAACGTTGGGCCTCTAATTTCCTCGGGCTTTTCAGGAAGCACCCATGTTTCGGGGTCAGGCTCGTCCTCTCTCCGTTTCGTAGACCGACGTCGACTGCTGGTGCCCGCTTCTTCACCCTCCTCATCGTGCTCTCGTTTGCGTTTCTTCTTGACCTTCTCTCCTTTGAATGTCAGCCGGGAGGATTTGACCTTGTCAGACATGAGTAGTAGCAGGAGTGGGAAGCTTGCGGGGGATCAATGACGTGTGATCCGATTGATGACTTGCTTTGGGCTTGTTAGCTCTGAATGGTCCTATACAGGTTGCACAGCCACGAGCGTACGCTCAACGAAGAAGTTTCGACAATTCCGCAAGACACCTCAAAATGAAGTTCAACACCGGTGGGCACAACTGGGAGAAGACTGGGAATCCACGCCTCACAATGCCATAGATGTCTCGTCGTCCCGGCGCAAGTCCCGCAAGGCGCACTTCTCGGCGCCTTCCTCGATCCGCCGCAAAATCATGTCCTCTGCTCTGTCGAAGGAACTGAAGGGCAAATACAACGTCCGTGCCGGTGCACCCCATGTTCAATGTCACATCTCAACGTTTGCTAGACTCGTTCGCTCCCCATCCGGAAGGACGACGAGGTTCGGATCGTGCGCGGAAAGTACAAGGGTCGGGAGGGCAAGGTCACTCAGGTGTACCGCAAGAAATGGGTTATCCACGTCGACCGTGTCCAGCGCGACAAGTCCAATGGTGCCACTGCACCCATCGGTGTCCACCCCAGCAACGTCGTCATTACCACCATCAAGCTCGACAAGGACCGGTCAGAGATTAGTGCAAATTTCCGACATCACTCTGACTTGCTTCGCAGGAGAGCAATCCTCGACCGCAAGGACAGGGAAAAGACAACGAAGTCTCAGGATGTCGCGATGGCTGAGGCACGTTTTCTTAATTCTCCGGCCTCACTCGCTAATCGTGCCGCAGTGATTTCCCGGTTTTTACGTTTCGCATTAGCATGTCCCCAAAACACCGTCATGTACTATGTTGCATATATGCCACATGCTCCTCTCCATAACTATTGTGCTTGTGAATGTGAGAGATGCATTAAAGGGGTATATTGTATACATGCCAGGTGTGGTTGATTAGAAGATAACGTCCTCATCCTTGCTGCTGAGCAAGTCTCCACTCCCTTCCCCAAATTCTTCAAACTCGGGAGGCGGCGGCGCCGTGTCCTCGGCCTTGTCTCTCTTCTTCTTTCCTTGGACTTTCTTCAATCTGAAACATGTTGGGTCAGCCGGGCAACCGGCCACTGACGCGAGAACTGACCTGAAGAATTCTTCACGGTCCATCTCGTCAAGCTCGCTCATGATATACTTGATAGTATTCTCAAGCCGAGGAATAACGACGTGTTCGATGGCGTTGACTCGGCGATTGGTAGCACGAATGACTTCATCAAGGATAGTGAACGCCGTTTGCAAGGATGCGAGATCGACCAGTGTTTCGATGGCCTTTGCGTACACTTCCTTGGCTTTCAATACTTGCTGTCCTCCTCGACCGAGACCTGTTAGATTGAAATCTTCAAGCAATGTACATATTAGCAGGTGATCAACATGTATATCGTCGACGCACCTGAACCTCCCACCCGATCAACCTCGAAGGCGGGAAGGACCACGCCAGAAACATTTTCCTGCTTCGCCTTGACTTTGAATGCTGCTTGCTTCGCCTGCTCCTGCACGAGATATGATATATCTCCTGTCGCATACGTGACCTCAGCCATCGAGAAGGAGGCTAGCTGCATGACACGGCCCATCTTCCGTTTAGCCTGTGCCAATTCTTAATATCTTCCGCGATTCGACTAGTAGCAAACACCAGACCTCGTCGACTTTGCGGAGGATGGCTCGGAAACGGGTGGTGAGGGCATCGCGTTTCTTGGCCAGCAGAGAATGTCCAGTTTGGGCTCCCTTCAGACGCAGCTTTGTGTTTGTCAGCGCCATCCGCGTGGCGAAGATGTTTTCGCGAGCACCGGTCCCCGACATGGTTCGAGCAAGAGGATTGAGGTCTGGTCGCCAGTTGAGTGGCGATGACGCAGTTAGTCACGGTGTCACATTCATCGACTCTTCGGTCGAATTGGGATCGCTCTCTCGAAATTCAACTGGCCAGCAGAGAGGATTATCAATTGATCATCTTGAGCACAAGAAGAGATAATAATTACCGTAAAACTGTAGAGTTACGCGAGATAATTGGATACGCATGGCACGAGCTGGATGCAATTTATTGAGTGCTCAGATTCAGCATGATGCGTGGCGCTCATGTGACCGCGTTTCCTTTGACAACACCTGTGATGTCGAATGTGTCCTCAGCGCAGGCGGATTTCGATTTCTGGGAATTTGTCTCCTGTTCTCGATGCCAACTTCCATTCGTCTCTGATGCAGGAGCCACCATCCCCTTCTGGCTAACAGAGTGCGGCCATGTGTTGTGTAACACGCACCTCCGTAGGCCGCTAATCTGTGCTCAACCCGGCTGGTTCTGATTGCACTCCGTCCACCCAGAACCAGACCAGAGCTGCGCACAATGCGGAATGGCAGGGATTCAGCTCGTTCCTCTTCAACGCGAAGTAGCTTCAATAACACCTCTGTTGTCTCAATGTTCACGCGTTATCCCGCTCAGATGGAGGCGCCCATGTCGGAATGGTTTCGTTCCGTACCTCATGCCCTAGATGCTGCAGCATATGCTGCAAAAGTAGGTGAACTCTTACTGCAGGCTTATGTGAGGCCTCACTCGCTGTGCAGTTCCAGCAAGACACGATGGCGTTCCAAATTCGATTCTACAAATCGAAGCAACAACATCAACGCGCCGTCATCGATCGACTAAAACGAGAGACTGCTGAGCTTAAACAGTAGCTGGTCCGATTTTCTCTACTCAAGCATTCAGTAACAGGCATCGTAGGGTCAACGCTGTTCTCAGTCAAGAAAACACCAAGTTTCGACAACATCTAGGATTTCAGGACGAGTTCGAGTCTTCAGACGCGCCCAATATCAATAATAAACGGCCCATGGCTACATCCAATCAGTGAGCGAGTCTTTGGTGACTGCACCAATCCCAGTCAACAAGCCCTTGCAGCCAACGACCGCGGACCTCGAGTTCGCGATCCGTTGCGACCCCGCTTGGGCCTAACCGTCTTACTCTCCCTCCTGGACAGCAGCCTCCCAGTCTAGCTGTCAATGCTTCGGCAAGATCGAACCTTGAGCACCCTTCTCATCGGCCAGGTACCACCCAGTTTGCTGAGTACATGCAATCATGCACAGATTCACCGCATATACTCACATTATATGCAGACAATACGCCTATACATCACCTGGACAATATGATTCCCAGAATCCTTCTTACGCTCAGCTAGCACCACGGCGATCGAAGCAAACTCAAGATCAAGATCGGCGTCAAACCTATCCCCGAGAGCCTCTGCCTTCTGGAAAGTTCAAGCCCGCACAGAAAGCACCGCTATTGAGCCATGCAAATTCAAATTCACGCGGTCAGGCGCAAGTTCTCCAACGTCAATCCCAACCACAAACAATGGCGCCTCCTCCAACGCCTGGAGAGCCTGGTCAACGGAATAAAATGCTTCCCCCCATGGACCGGTTTGCAGCGCCAGCTTCGGATCAACAGCGTTTTGTTCCTTCCACTTCAAGCGGTCTACCACAGCGACAATCGCGCCACTCTTTGAGAGATATTTCGACCGCAACTCCTTATAGAACAGGGAACATTCCTGCGGGTAGCGGCCAGCGGGTTCCGTTTGTGCCCCATGCAGTGGGAGGTTTTGGTTAGGTCTCGCCTTCCACATCCTTCAGTCTACTGAGAGTCTCTGTGATATCTGGGCACGTGTTACAAAATAACTTGATTTTTACGAGTTTGAGTTTGGGCACTCGGAGACTATGAACAGACTGGGAACATTCAATTCGTCAGATAGGTGGTAGCTCCCTCGGCCCTTGACGAATGAATGCGATTCCCGGCTTCTTTCGGCTGCTGTATCCGAGGTGAGAAAAGTTCAGCGCAGTTAGACATCTGGGAGTGTCGTATGACGTAATCGCCTAAGAACTGTGAACTGCGCAGAGGCTGTGTTCATTCACTACCTTCTTCTCATTACCTCCCACTACGTGCTTTCTTTCTCTCTATACTCATGGCATATCAAGACCCGTATGCAGGCCAGCACGGGCGGTATGAGGAGCCCCAATACGGGCATTCTGGATATGGGCAATACGACGCCTCTGCTACGCAATTCAATCCATACACCACAAGCGAGCCTCATCCGACATACGAGCAGGGTGGCTACGATAACTACGTCGGTGGATACAGGGACGAGCCCGAGTTTGGCCACGGAGCCGCGAACGCTCCTCCTGCACCGAGACCACCCAAGTCACTGGATGAAACAAGTAGATTTGAGCCGGGGGAGTTCTCGCCAACAACCAGGGACCCCAAGTGAGTTGATTTCGTGGATTGTGTGAACCCCGAACGAAATTCCCAGTATGGCTAGTAACGTGAGGCAGTATCGGAGGGACTTCCAGGGCAATCTATGGACTAAAGTGTGTGGCACATTGTCGTAACCATACCGCAGATCTGACTTGCACAAGGGAGGTCAAGGACGGTGTATTGGAAGATTTTTCTGTTGCACTCTTATGAGTCTTGTCTTTCTCATCGTCATCGCGCTTCTAGCACTCGTTCTGGTAAGCAGAGCCTTTACATGCCGGATCAATTCAAATCATCTAACACCTCGTTGTACTAGTGGCTTCGCCCACCTAGTTTAACATTCGGCAGCGTTGCTCCCGTGACATCGGGATCTACAGTATGTTTTGGAAACGAGTGGGATGGTTCCATCGACTGACATAGAATAGATCGCTTTGACGAGCAATGGAGTCAATATCAACATGGGCGTCAACATCTCCGTTACTAATCCCAACTATTTGGGCGTGAGCTTCAAAAAAATCTCTGCTCAGGTCAGTTACCGTCACTCATAGTGCAGATATTGTGCTTGACCGCGACTGTTCAGATTTTCTATCCCATCAACAACACTGCCATTGGCAATGGGACGCTCAACAATATTAACATCCAATCGAAGTCCACGACGAACTTTACTTTCCCCTTTGAGATCCAGTACTCCACTGCCATTGATCCCAATTCGAAGATTCTGCTCGACCTGGCTACGAAATGCGGGGTGTTGCCCGGGGCCACGTCCCAACTGACTGTGGATTACAAAATCACGGTAAGCCGTCGTCACTCTGTGCAGAGCACTTGGTTCATGTCTCCAAGCTTGCTCTGCGAATTCTGTTTGTGACGGTGTCGCCTACAATATCGAACTCGTTCACCTTCGCCTGTCCCTTGACAGCTGACGAACTCAAGGTCCTTATGTTTCTTCCTGAGCATTTCAACCAGATACTGAAATAAGTTCTTAGAAATTGCTTGCAGGGACGAGCTTAACCACAGGTCGCTCGCTGTCCGAATGACATCGCCGACGGACGTATCTTGTATTATATCTCATGAGCATAGTTAGATCACAACCAGGACTGTAGTACATAGCCCTTGTCATCCATGGACTCAGTTGACTTGATTCGATTATGAGCATGTATTTACTACATAGATCAGCACGACTAGAGCTTAGCGGCAGCCACCAACTTCTCGTCAAGCTTAGCCTGTGAGGCGATCAGCACTCATAGCAGCCCCAAGGAAAGGTCTGGCTGACCTTGACTTTGTCCATGTACACGTTAGTGACAACCCAGTGTTCGCGCTTCATTTCTTTCCCGTGGATGGCAAGAGCAAGATCCTTTGTCATGACCCCGTCCTTGTCGATGACTTCGATGCAAGATGCCTCGAGTGCTTCGCAGAATGCGCGCAGAGGCTCGTTTTTGTCAAGTTTAGCACGGTGCAGCAGACCGCGAGTCCATGCGAAGATCGAGGCTACCGGGTTCGTCGAGGTCTCGTTTCCTTTCTGGTATTCGCGGTAGTGACGGGTGACAGTACCTAGCCAGGAGCTGAGAGGAAGGACAGGGATGGCATGGTTATGCACGCACCATGGGCAGCCTCGCTCTCGATGATACCACCGTCTGGTGTGATAAGCTCGCTCGTCATCATTCCCAGGCTACCGAAGCCCTGCGCCAGGATATCGCTCTGCACGTCGCCGTCATAGTTCTTGGTTGCCCAAACGAACCCACCAGACGACTTGATAGCCTGCGCGACCATATCATCGATGAGACGGTGCTCGTAGTAGATTCCAGCTGCCTCGAAGGCCGACTGGTACTCGCTGGACAGCTGATGAATATACGCGAGCCACGCTGATTGGAAGCACAGACCTGTCGTAGATTTCTTGGAAGATATCCTTGAATCGTCCATCGTACTTCTTGAGAATCGTGTTCTTCGTCGACATGAACAGAGGCATCTTCTTCGACAAAGCCATTTTGAATGAAGCGTGGGCAAACCCAGTGATAGACTGTCGCGCGTAGTGAGAATCATCTCCCAGTCGGCGATGATGGTCACACCTCGTCAGTGTTGTACATGGACATAGCCACTCCACGCCCAACGAAGTCGTACACATTCAAAGTCGTCGCAGGGGATCCATCGGCGGGTGTGTACACCATCTGCAGTTTGCCCGGACCGGGGGCAATGAAGTCCGTCGATCGGTACTATGACAGGGTGAGCAGCCCTCCCGCGGATCGCAAACGGCAGTCGTGAACGCACTTGATCACCGAATGCATGTCGCCCGATAACAATCGGTTTGACCCAGCCAGGAATAGGTTTTGGGATACGTTCAAGAATGATTGGCTCACGGAAGACCGTTCCGCCCAGGATGTTACGAATCTGGCAATGGTTTCCAGAACTGCAATCAATCTCGACACCGTTGCGCAACGTACAGTACCGTTCGGGCTCCTCCACATCTCCTTCAGTTTAAACTCCTGGACACGGGCCTCATCTGGAGTGATCGTCGCGCACTTGATGCCGACTTTGTGCTCGAGAATCGCATTGGCCGAGTCCACGGTAATCTGGTCATTCGTCGCATCACGGGCCTCTAGCCCAAGGTCGAAATACTTGATGTCGAGTTGGAGATACGGAAGGATGAGCTGAACGGATTCATTAGCAAATCGCAGACCAGGTCGTGCGGGCGTGACGTCAACTGACCTCTTCACGGATCTTCTTCCAGATGATACGCGTCATCTCATCGCCGTCGAGTTCGACGACAGGATTCGCAACGACAATTTTCTGCATTTCGCTCCCTGTGATGGTAGTGGTCAGTGTCAACCCGTTGGAGATGCGGGGAGCGGAAGCAGGAGGATGGGAAACTGGCTTCTTCCCGAGATCCGGGGACGCAACAACAGAGATGGTAGCAAGTAAGGGACTCACTGGCACGGAAACCCATCGAAAACCCCCGCGAATAGGGGGACAGGGAGCTGGGTCGTCGGTAGATCGGAATGCTGCCACGAAGGGTCGGAATAGTCCGTAACATAGTTGGGTATCGGCCTCTGTGGGGTAGGGTATCAGCGAAAAGAGGTCCAGATATCATCAGCCATGGTGGCGACGCACTAAGAAACTGGTCCGCACTAATCCCGGGACACAAACCGCAGTAAAAGCAAAACTGAGTTCTGCGACAGAAGGCTTGCACAGAGGTTTAGAAACGAGCACGAATGGCCTCGAAAATTGGTCCCTTGAAGGATGGGTGGTTAGGACGCGTCCGAATCGCGTCGAATGTGCTGGTCGAGTTGAAAGACTCGGAGGTCTCTTCCAGCAAGACTGATGACTCCTAGCTTTGATGGCATCACCGCACCTCTTCGCCGAAGCGGAACACTGGATTCCGAGTCGGTGGCCTGTAGGGCCACACTGCACACTTGGGATTCTACCGCTACTACTGATGGACTCTGACACCGAAGAACCCTCTGATTCCGCAGAAAAATTCCGCTCCTCTATTGCACAATTCTCCTTTCAGTCCCTTGATAGAGATCGACGTTCAACTAAACGAACCTTGCATAGTCGAGACAATGAAGCCCTCGCAACACCGCTGTACAAATCTTCTGTGCCCTCTTCATCTCGCTTGCCAATCCAGAATCGAAAGCACGTCGCAAAAACGGGTTCTCCGACAAAGAATCGAACGCGACCGTATGCTCCTCCTGAAGTGTATGCTCATCTGAACTCTGTTCCCGACCATCTCAAAGGCGAACTCGATGGTGATCACAGCTTGGATCTACTTCCCGAGCGTTAGCTAACCACTCGGAGCAGTCATTTTCTGTGGTATCAAGTATGTACATCGGAATCCGTGACACTGTTCACGTCTAAGCAAGAGGCCAGTCCGGGCAAGATGTCTGCAGAGACAGGCCATCACTACGGGAACCGTTCAAACCACTTTTGGTGGTAAGCTCACACCGCGGGCACCCTTCTAATACTAAACCAGATCGTCACTGGTTGTAAGGTGTCTGCATCAATCCGGTACATCTGACCCTCACATTCGCATTGTGAGCACTGATTAAGTCCCTAGGTTTAACGGATACACAACTTCCGCCGAGCGACAGCCAATTTCTACCCGATCGCTTCTCGCTTGGTCTTACAAACTTGGTTGATCGCCCCACTATCCAGGTATCTGGGAAGTCAGGATCAAACTCTCCCATATTGATCCTTCGAAATTCAGCAAACAGAGCTATCGAAATCGGAGCAGTTGGCCAATGCCCCTATATTCCTTGCCAAGATCGCACGCTACAGGCCTCGGGCGGTGTGCTTTGTCGGGTTGGCCATCTCGAAGATCCTGGATGCACATCTGGGCATCCCGCCCGATACTAGCGGGGCGAAATCATGGGGCCTGCGCCCATACAAAATGGTGCACGACTCGGGATCTGTTTCCGAGACCGTGTTCTTCGCAGCGCCTAGTACTTCAGGGCTTGTCACACAATTCCAGGTTTGTCGACGCCCATATTTCTTTACTACTCTCACGTCGACCAGCGCCCCGAAAAGGCTAAGATTTTCCGAGAGCTCAAGCATATTGTGGAGGACATCAAAGTTGGAACATTTTCCAGTGAAGGGATGATCGTAATTCACGCGCCACCTGCTCTGGTCACGCTCAACGATTGTTAAATTCCCTGCTTGTCCTCCAAGTCCGTCATTCGAAACAGAATTTCCGATGTTCCGGGTCGAGAGTACAATATGTATCTACGATCTCTCGATCCAACTGCTCCCATTTATCTAACGAGTGGATGGATTTGACGTCGAGATCAATTATTGTCGCGACTCCCTCCGGGAGCTGCACGATGATCGAGCAGTCCTTGAAAGTCGCGGAAAGGAGGTAAGCAAGTATGTAGTAACGCGAATTAGTAGCTTCGACCGCAGGTGGTGGATTTGATAGGTATTGTGAAATGAAAACAGTCCATTCAGCAGTACTGGGATCGTCACCGGGCAAATCAATTGGGCTCAAGATTTTCTTGAGACCTTCCATGTCGAGAGGATCTAAAGTGCGTTGAAGCCGGGATAGCGTGTCCAGGATATGCGTGTTCTGGAACACTTCGCAGAGCAGCGAGACCATCACATGTTTGATATCCAGATCGCTGTGTTCAAGGAGACTGCTCAGGACAGATGTCTGCGGTTGTCAGGTTGATCCAGGAAAGCGAGACTGCACTCAACACATACCTCGCAGGGATCGACAGGTTGCCCCTCAGCAAACACCCGGAAGTTGTTGATCGCTCCGCTCGTCCTGGTCCACGCATCCCAGAGGCCACCTAACGCCCTCATGACCCTCGCCTCGTCCGCCGAATACAAGTCCAATGGGCAATATTCCAACGCAACGGGCATCGCCGATTCTCGCGCTTTGACGCGCGAGTGCATGCAGAAACGGCACGTCCCAGTCTTGGCAGGCTTTGATGCCTCGGAAAGATAGGTCGGCGAAGGAAGAAAGCCCCATTTGGGCTCGAAGAGAATCAGATTATACATTCGGACTGCCAGATGACAGTGATTCAAGCACCTTGATTTCGACCGCTATCTGCGCACTTCCTATGAGATCAGTGGCGATAGTCGCAGTGGTAGCATGAGTGTCGATACTGTCTATTTTCCGCCGTCTGGGAGGCCGAAGAGGTTCGCAAGTGAGAGATAGATTTTCGAGCCAAGCTCTGCCCGTAGACCCTAGCTCTACGCATTCCATGCGTGGCAGATGCTCCAGTGGTACGAGACGCGTCATGCATTGCCTATAGAATTCGAGACTCGCAGCAGTGGCTTTGTCGACATCTTCTGAGCGGTGGTTGATTTGAGTGTGTTTACGCTTTTTCAAACGAAGCACGGTTCGCTCGAAAGTTGGGTTTGGGTCTCCCTTGTACGCGAATACGATCGTTGCACCACCTTCGGAGATGTAAGACCAACTGGAGGAAGATGTATCCGTGAGGTAGGGCACCATCATGATGAGCTTTGCGAGTGCATTCGAGTTGATCAGATGATGTGCGTGCGTGTTTACATAAGTAATCCTGCTATGTACCCTACTTACCCTAAATAAGACCAATACATTATTGTAAACCCCATTCAAACATCCGTAGTCTGTGTCTTCAGAGTACGCCACCATCCCCAGGCGCCGAGTCCGATAATAAAGTTGAAGATGCCCACAACAGCAGACCCGGCGCCCAAGATGGTGAGCAGCCACCAGATGCGGCCCACTATCCTGTCGATGACCCGGCCGGTGTAGCGCTTGCGGTTGGCCGCAGAATCGGGCATCGGGAGGTAGGAGTCAGGAAGACGAATTAACGGTGCGCTGTCTCTGTGTGACGTGCTGGTCGGGGGCAAAAGGAGAAGAGAGACGATGGGTTTCTGAAGGACTGATCAGACAAGCTGCAAACGTTTGAGAAATTCTGCAAACATGGTCTGAAGTGGTATATCCTGGTATGCTTGTATACAGCAGGTTGGTGATCGTAGATCCATCCGCAACGTCCGGCGAATCCGTGTACGTTGTGTACAATATCCGATCTGTCCACGAAGGGGTTCGTTTTTCACTAGCAGGCTGTTAACACAGAAGAAGTCAAGGGAAAACATACACACCTGTAGTGATCCACCCCCCCAATATAGTATTTGTAGCTGCATTTGAATCCCCAGAACTCGCTCTCCCGTAATCCTACAAATAATCTGCTTCCCGGTTTGCGGCGCTCGCACAACAGTTGATCAAACTCTTTGAGGTTCTCCCGCACCGAATGCGTGGAGAGGGCCTGTCCGAGCGTCGCAGAAGTCGCCCCCTTGAGTGGATGGTCTGCAGGAAGAACGACCCGGAAGTTCATGTCACCCAGGACGAAGAGGTGCGACGTTTCGTACAGGGTCGAACGGCCGTCGAAGAGCAACGTGCCGACAATGTGGTTCCAGTCCGCAATTCGATTCGACAGCTTCTCAGCGTGAGCAGTCAAATGAGCACAGACAAAGCTGTCCAGAGCGTCAGGGCCATCTTCTGAGAGAAGCGGGGAAGCACTTGCGTGAATAGTTCTCCAGCGTCGCCGTGCTCTCCGGGCACTCGAAATCGCACGCCGACCGCACCCTTGTTGCCCATGTACGCTGGTCCAGACCCTGTCCAGCTCGTTTGAACATCACACGCGGTCCGGGCAATCCCTGCGTCGCGCGCGTAGACTAATAGGGCTACACCACCGTTGACGACTTTGGCGATAAGTGCATAACGTTCCTTGCTGTGCGCTTCGATTTGCTCCAAGATGTGCGCGTTGCGGTTATTGATGACTTTATTGGAGAGACCAGAGACTGTGAGGATATCCTTCAACACACAAAGGCAGAGGCAGAAGCAAATCGAAGACGCACGGCCGAGGTACAGAGGCAACAACTCCTGAAATCCAACAGCAATGATATCTGAGCTATTGAGCCGCCGCCTGTAGATAAGCCGCGAGGAGACATACCGGCCGTTCGCTGGTGCGTCAGAAATGAGGAGACCTGGTATCCGACATCAGATTGAGGAATCATTTGCTTCCTGTGAGAAGCACTTGCTTGGAAGGTTGGGTTCAGCCAATCCACAAGATCTTGAGGGACACCATTGTCTCCCTAAATGGATGAACAAGATGCAAACGACTGGCCGCAAATGGTAAGACCTGAAGGTTCGTGTTGTAGGACGCGATCTGGACGAGAGTGGATGATGATGATGACATGGTTCTGAATATAGATGCGTAAAGCCGCATCTGGACCGCCTCATGTTGACATTCTCTGATTCTAATCTACTGAAATCTAATTTACTTGCTGGCGGGGCCTTGTGAGACCCCCAGGTCACGCAGCTCGCCCTTGGCCAGGTCGTACACCCAGCCATGGATCCAGATGTCCTTGCCCTTCTTGCTCTTGTTTGCCCAGGCATTGACCACAGTCTCTGCCTGGGCGAGATTGGCCACCTGGGCTTTCACATTTTCCTCCACGATGACCGGCATGGCTTCATCCTTGGGCACACTCGATAATTTTAGGGAGGCGACGAGCTTTGTCAGCGGTGTTAGCCACTGGTTCAACGGCGCATCCGCCGACAGTCCAGGGTCTATGACACACGATGGCGCGCTAGCCGAGAACTGCGGGGAGCAAGCCGCACCGAAGCAAGCCGCCGCGCCTCCACATTCGGTGTGCCCGACAACGACAACTACAAAAACGGTTGGGATGGCAGACAAGAGTATGAAGAAAGAAGCCAAGCACCATGTTCCACGCCGAGATGGTCCACCGCGTAGGTAAGGACGGAGAGCACACTGTTGTCTTCGAGATGGAATTGACTGGGGTACGATGAGGACCCGTTACAGCAAGCGTCGTTGGTTGAAAACCCACTTTGCAATGTTACGGTGCACAAAAATCTCTCCGGGGCGCACGGCTGTGACGACGGATTCGGGAACACGGGAGTCGGAGCAACCGATCCATAGCAGTTTGGGGGACTGTCCCGTTGCGCTCTCCTTGAAGAAGGTGGGTTCTTGGGACTCGACGCGTTTGGCCCACTCGGAGTTGAGAGCGAAAAAGCGATACAGGTCAGGGTGAGGTGCCATTTCAACGGAGGTGAGAAGGGGGATTAGAGTTGTTGCAGATGATGGGAGAGAGAGCGAGAGTTCTTTCTTTATAAGTGTGATACTTGATCGATAAACCATTACTCCCGTCTGATGTCTTGGGAAGCTTGTCGACGTCGTCTTTGCGACCATCATGTGTTTCTGCATGTGGCGCGGACAATGGCCGCCACAGCAGCGAGTACTTAATTAGTCTCAGGACAGGCACGGCACGTCTATCTGTCTGTCTTTCATTGCTCTCTTGGAGCCGCGGAGCCGACTGTATCATCACCGTCGACTGCCACAAGACCGAAACTTATCCGAGGTGCGGACTGGAAGGAGTCGGTTATTCCGAACCGTGATTGAGACTGACAAAACCTGAGAACACCTGATACGGAGGATTGCATGGCCTTCAGCGCTTCCATCGGCTTCGAACTTCGACGTGCCGTACCCTGCTTCTTATCTTGGGTCTTTCGGAGTCCTCGTTAGAACGTAGCGGTTCCGGCCCGGTCATCACCCCGATAAACGATCAATCATATATGATTGATCATCAAACCCCAAAGCGTAGCAGGCCGAAGGTCGTTCGAGCCCAAGTGGACTTGAAAGTCAGCTTCAAATCCCAATCCCCATCATCGTCTCAGCCTGTTGACAATTCAGCACTCTCAACTTTCGAAATAACCGCTGCGCTCTAGATCTCTGCTCCTGAAGAGCTCATCAAGAGACCAACGAATAGCCACTTTACTATCCAGATGATATGTTCCAGCAACCCCTCGGGTCAAAGAAAGCAAAAATATCCAAATTGACGCTTACCAGCCGTCAAGCCATCGGTCTTTACGTTACATCTGCATAACCAAGATTCTTGATCATAGTGCAATGGCAGTCTCAGACAAGTGGTTTGCTGTGGATCTCTTTGCGGCAGCAAGGTGGTGGTTCGCATGCTGTGTCGGCTTGTCACGTCCGGTGGTGAACATCTTGGCACATCCCGACAACAGCAGGCGTCGTCGTACGCGTCAAATGAGTGGCGCGTGGCAAAACCTCTCATCCCACATAACACCAAACCCGAGGCGTAATTTTCCAAAGCAGTCAAAAGCGGAAATCCATAACTGGATAAACTCCCGTGTCTAGATAGCTGTAAGGCTGATTCAAAACCATTCGCCGTGGTTGAACGTTGAGTGCTTGAGCTTGACGCTCTTGATGGCATTACATAATCCTGCGATCAGCACAGCAGGGCTTCCTCTTCTTTTGTGCTGGGATAGGCACTGGCGGTGGTGTTTTCCAGATCCACAGCGCTGCTGCTCCGCCTTTCCCTCCCTCCCTCCTTCCGCTCCGCTTCTTCTTGTCCTCTCCGTGGCTAGTAATCACTCTGTGATTCAAATACCCTACTACCCCTCGTACCGCGGCTCCGCCCACCCGCGACGCACCACACCCAACATACCCAAACCATCATGTCGGCGCACTCTGGTTCTTCTGCTGCCAACATAGTTGGAATCCATTACCGTGTTGGAAAGAAGATTGGAGAGGGATCGTTTGGTGTTATCTTCGAGGGTGCGTCCCATGTGTTGCATGCTTGTTTTTCGGGGCGGGGACTTCCTTCTGGTTGGACCCTCCTTCGAGTGACGATACTAACGCAGCGCTGCTTCCAGGGACCAATCTCCTCAACTCCCAGACAGTAGCCATCAAATTCGTGCGTGATGGCCTCCTTGTAGTCGGCCTGCCGTGTAGCTCAGATGAACTCCAGGAACCTCGCAAAGCTGAAGCGCCTCAACTCCGTGATGAGTGTCGCTCCTACCGTATCCTTGCTGGTTGCAGTACGCTTGATTTGCCCTATTTCGGGTACTCTCCACTGACCTCACTTGTCAACTTAAGCTGGCATACCCCAGATTTACCACTTTGGCCAGGAGGGATTGCACAATATCCTCGTCATCGACCTGCTAGGGCCCAGTTTGGAAGACCTATTCGATATGTGCGGACGTAAATTCTCCATCAAGACCGTCTGTATGGCGGCGCGGCAGATGGCACGTTGACTCATTCGAGCTCTTACGGTCTGCGCATCTGCTGACACCTTGCAGCTCTTCCGCGTGCAAACCATTCATGAGAAGAATCTAATTTACCGGGACATCAAGCCAGATAACTTCCTCATTGGCCGACCGGGGACGAAGGGTTCTAACATCGTTCATGTTGTCGACTTCGGTATGGCGAAGCAGTACCGTGACCCCAAGACGAAGCAGCACATTCCCTATCGCGAACGCAAGAGTCTGAGCGGTACCGCTCGGTACATGAGCATCAACACCCATCTCGGACGAGGTGCGTGCTGCACCACCTACGGCTTCCCTTCTTCCGACGCTCAAATGACTGGACAGAACAATCCCGGCGAGACGATCTTGAGGCTCTTGGACATGTGTTCATGTACTTTTTGCGTGGCAGCCTTCCTTGGCAAGGCCTCAAGGCTGCGACCAATAAGCAGAAGTACGAGAAGATCGGAGAGAAGAAACAAACTACACCTATCAAGGAGCTGTGCGACGGATTTCCGGGTGGGTGACTCGCTCTCTTGCTTCGATTGCAGGCACTCAAGTACGACGCAGAGGAATTTGGGATCTATCTGAACTACGTGCGCAAGCTTGGATTCGAGGAGACTCCAGACTACGATTTCCTGCGAGAGTTGTTTTCAAAGGTGTTGAAGAACAACAATGATGCGGATGATGGGGTCTATGACTGGAACCTACTGAACGGTGCGCCTGATCGTGGCTCGAACTGAGGAACCGCTACAGCCAATTCACAGGTGGAAGAGGGTGGGAAGCTTCTCTCGGCCAGAGCCAGATCCTGCAGCAGGTCCAGAACGCAGGCCTGGTCACCGGCAATGAGCCTCGGCGACGTGAACAGCGTGATTCTGATCAACGGCGGCGATCATCGCAGCAGGGTGCAGGTGTTGCACCTCCGTCGCCCGCACTCGTCCGACACGGCTCGAAGCAGCGCAAGGTTCCCAGTGCTTTGACACCGGGGCAGACTGGGGCGCGGGGCACACCACAACATCCATATGCCAATGCCGGATACAGCGGAGAGGATTTCGGAAACTCTCAGCAGCAGCAGCCGCAGCAGTACGGCAGGGCATCGCCGATGATGTCGTCAACAGCACCTCCCGCGGTCAGCACGGTTCGTGCACAGGGTGGTGATGTCGGACTTTCGCAGGATCAGGACGAGCCGCCAAAGTCATCGCTGATACGGATCCTCACGTGCCGCTGTGGGTGAGTGTGTGTGGTGATTTCTCCATTCTTCACGATGTTACGAACGTTATGCTGTCTCCATTTGCCATAATTCTTCTTTCTTTGCCGTGTCACTTTGGTAAATTACTCGAGGATTTGAATACAGAGTTGGTTTACTCGTCCGCATGATGGATACAAACTCAGTCCCAGTCCCCGCGCTCCTCATATCCGTCGGCGGGCGAGCTTTCAGGCTGATAGCTCGTTCTGCTTCGGAGACTCGGTGAGTGGACAGGCTCTGTCTGAGGCCAGGACGCCCGTTCCAGTCTTTGTGGGGTCACGTGCTGACCCTGGGACCCATGCTCGAAATGTCGATGCTGCCGATGGTGTCCGGGTTGGTACACTCTCCCGCGCGTATAACCACGGCCACGACTGGCCCTCGATGGTGGTGACGAGACATCCATCATGGGAGGGTAACCGGGTCTCGGCCGTCGTGGCGGTCCATGCTGAAGGGCAGACGAAACACCAGCGGTGATGCTGTATGCCAGATTGGGTAAGTTGCGCAACTCCTTCAGCTCCTCGAGTGCTCGTTGGTGCTCGTCGTAGAGCTCCTCGTATGCATTTTTCAAGGCTGCAAGATCGTCCCCTTTGCCAGTCGGTTCGCTCCACCCGGTCACGGAACTGGACGATGCCTGCGCCGGTTCGACTTGGAGCCGTTTGCTGGAAGTGCCATGTGTTGTGGCGGCTTTTCGCTTACGATACGACTTGTCGTATCTTTCTGGCGTGTCTTGGCGGTTCTCCACGGACTGGTCCGGCGCATCTTGCCGGTTCGGCATGTTGTATCTATCTGGAGTGTCGTAACGGTTCGGCGTGGCTCGTCCATTGTACGCGTTGTTTTGGAGAGATGCCTCGTTGCACGCATCGACTAGAGATCTATCATGCCTCTGGAAATGCAGATTGGTATTGACTTTTTTCCGAATAACCGGGGCTGCGGGCGCCAGCCCATGCCCAGCCTTGCTGTCGACTGATCGGTCAACTGAAATGTCTGCGGCAGGCTCGAATCGCTCCCGAGACCGTTCTTCTCTAGGCGGCAGCTGACGTGGGTGAGACATCAATTAACTACTCACAACAGATAGAGCCTCACCCGATCCTTGAGGAGCACCTGATCCCTCTCTTTCAAGGAGACCCTCCACGATGAGGTCTTTTTCGGTGCTGGCGGCACTGGAGGAATCAGCACGTAGTCCATGATCCAGCGGCCGATAGGCGGCGAGGTCTTGTCCAGCAAAAATGCCTTCACTGACACAGAACTATCGACCGGCGACAAGGCTTTGATTGGCGAGGACGTCTCGACCGGCGAAGGGTTCTCGACTGGGGCAGCCAGGGGCAGCGTGACAGGAGAGTTCATAGATTTAATGAGAGGATGGATGTCAGAGACCTCCTCGTCCGGTGTCTGAGATTCATAGGTTAACCGCAATCCTCCCACGGAATGTGCCAGGGACCGACCGACCTCGGAGATATCCCAATACCCCAGATCATAAAACCCGATCTTCGTTCCTTTTGGATTCACAGGCCGTGGATCTGGATACTTTGTCGCCAGATAGACCAGTTGCTCCCACGGCCTCGGCGGACAAGCAGGATCTTCTTTTCTTACTTTCTTCAGCTCGACGCCATCTTTTTTCCTCTGCTTGCTGGCCTTGTGGACATTATGGTAATGTGTGCGGGTCAAGTCTTTCCCAAACTCCTGGAGCGCCTCGCCGGAGTGGAGGTTTAAATCCCACAGCAGATGGGCGAAACATGTCCCCGCGTGACATTTGACGCAGGCCAAGTTTTCGATCCGGGGCACCTTGTGGGTTCGACTCCGATCTGCTGAGGGCCGGCAACTTCGTTCCTCGTCATTAACCTGGGTCAAATCTCAGAACAGCGTCCATGTAGAGAAGGAAAACGTACTGCAAGCCGCCGTTGCTGCAACAAAAGAGCGCCGCGGAAGAGGGCGTTCTCCTCCTGGGACAACAGTCCCGCCTCGCAATCAAATTCCAAATCGGAGTCGAGCAAAGAATCTGCGGCCTGCTGCCTCACTCGCATCAGCTCATCGAACGGTCGGATCTGCTTGGCTATCATCGCATCTCCGCACTTGCATATACGGCCCTCCAGATAACAACCCGGGCAGATGACGACATTGCAGGCTTCGCCACACTCGAAGAAGCTCTGGAAAATGTCCAGTCCGCAGAAATCACAGGAAAGAGATCCCTGATGCAGGGGCATTTCAGCATGTCGAGGCGAGTATTCTTCGACAATGATAGAGTCCAGCAGTGGAAGCAGCGCCGCGGTCGTCCCTGTCCTCGTCTCCGAGATGCTTCTCTTGAGTGTGTGATAGATTGTCGACTTGACCCGGTAAACCTCGTAACGACAGACTCGTCGATACAAGGGAAGCTCAAAACGCAGCCCGAGTGTCAGTCCGCGAAGGGTCATCCTCGACCATGAGGTCTTAATCGTGAGGCCGCCGGAGTTGACGACTTGGTGCGCCGATCGGGGTGGCACGAACACGAGATCACCCAGTTTCTGCTGTGTCACGTAGATCGGGAACGGCGCTTTGCTGAGCTCTTTGAGGGAGGTTACATGTGATTCGTGGTCCAGATCTTGCAGCAGCTTGTCCTTGAAGTATTCGGCAACTGCGAGGGCGTCCGATGTGTCCGTCATGAACCAGAACGACGACCCGTCGTTTTCCGTGTAGCACATGAGGTTTTGACCGGACGAAGCACAGAGGTCTTTGTGGCATGGAGTGAATGTGTCTCCGATCCCAAGATAACACATGAGCGTTTCCGGTTGGTCCTGGGCGCCAAGAAAGCTCAAAGAGATACACGAGAGAAGGAGTCAACAATGCTTACGTCTTCAGGCAGGTTATTCAACAGGTTGGATGACGCGCCAGGAGTCATCTCGGCGGGCACGACTCCGCCCTGGAGCAGGAACGTTTCCCACTCTGCAGGACACCTGACATCTTTGCCGTAGAGACGCTCTGCCTCTATTCCAGTCAGCAGGGCGTTTTCGTTTGCCATGTTAGACACGCGCACCTCCCTCTGTCGCGAAGCACGGGGCACGTCGCGCGCCTCGCACAAACTCGTCCATCCTCATGTTGCTGTCAATCCGACTATGCACGTTCCGAACGCTGATGTCTGCGTCAAACGCAATGAGGACCCTTGCTAGCAGAATCGCTCTCAAGCTCACTCTCTTCTCCGCGTTCGACCATCAACCATTCAGGTGTGAAGTCCTGCGACCAACCAGGCAATCGATGCAACCCCTCAACTACGAACGGTTTGCCGTCGGTCTCGAGTTTCTCATCCTGAATCTGTTGATAGATGGACTTGGACGCGCTCGCCGTAGCTTGGATGCGGGGGATATGCCTGAAATTCCGGTGGTCTGCGATGAGGTTATCGAGTGTCCAGCCATCGCAAGAGAATGTTCGCGGTGTTGTGCGCTCCCTCTTGCGCGCAGTGGGCGGATTCATGATGGCTCGGTCCCAGCGCTCTGATCCTTCAACGCGGTTGCATTGGCAGAGAACGAAGTCTGCGTCGGGGGGAATCAGGGGCGGTGGTGCACGTGCTGCGGAGTGAGTCTCCGGCCGCCGGACCGGGCCGACGCTGTTATTTCGGGAAGCGGCGAGAATGGCGGGGGTGTTGAGGGATCCGGGGGCATCTCCCCACTTGAATGTGTTGCGAGAGAGTTGCTTTCTACGTTCTTCCATAGAGAGAGGGGGGGCGTAGGGGTGTATGTAGGTGCTTACGGGTCCCGGTGTGCTTTTCTAGCTGGGCCGAATTCTGAAAGATAAATAAGATCCCAACGCCGTGTATTCAATTTACGAGAAGATGGAACGATAGAAGTCATTCTATCTCAGTTCCTGCGGCGCGAACCTACTACCGACTTCCCCATGGCCGATCATCCGACTGCTCCAACTTGGTGTGAAGTCCGCATTCCTGACGTTCGACGTCTTATGCACTCTTTTGGACCTCGAGTTGGGCAGTTGGACGTCAATTCAACCCAGGAGATGGAAGTAAACGTCCTGTCTTCGAGTAACAAGGCGAGAGTGGGAGATCGTGATTTCGTGTAGCTTCCCAGGGCTGGCCTTCCTTGTGAGAACAAAAACATCGGGCAAGGATGGCAGAAAGTAATACGGCCCGGAATTCTTTGAGAAAGATCATGGAATGAACATGTTTCCGACTGCCAGAAGAAGGCATCGTAAAGCGCCCAAGTTTAAACGTAGCCAGCCACCGAGTCAGCTTGGGACAACACGTTGCAAGCAAGCAGCAGATGGCTGATTCCATGTGCGCGTGTTGAATTCAGCGTGACAGAAATATACGAGGGCGCTTAACTTAAATGCAGCAGGGGTGAGAACGCATGAGGGTCTGGTAGACACGAGTTCCGATGCCGGGGCTTTGGGGATCTACAGGACAGACAAGATTGTGATGGGCCAAGATTCTCTTGAATGACACAAAGTGGCAAGCAACTGGACGCTCGCTCTCCTTGAAATGGCAGGCTCCCAGTACGATTCAATATTGTGATGGACGGAGAAACCCGATCAAGATGACACAAGCACCGCCACGCTGTCTTCGCAGTCAAGTTCACTCGAAACTAGCTGGCGTCGGCAACATCCGTCGTTGCCTGCATATGTCTGTACCCATCGAGTTGACTCGCGTTTCCCACCCGTCCTCTCGCTTCTTGGTAGAAGAACACGCACGACCACACTCTCCTCCGGGGCGCTCAGACCGCTTCTCGTTAGGCCCTACTCACGACGAAGTCTCACTCGATGAAATCAGGCCGGAATGGCGGCGCAACTTGTTTGCCCTGGTCGAACAGCCCAAATCCTCGGACTCTGCATTCTTGGTGCATGCCCTGATGACTATGTGCGTTTCCCATACCATTCAATGCCTCCCCCAGGAGTGAACGAGTTGCAGTCTAATCTTGGTCTCCGCTGGTCCGTTTTTGCGTGGCTGCCGGCTTCTAATGCACTCTTATGCCGAGTCCAGTCATCACCATACTCGAAACCGTTCCGGCATTCCACTCCATTAAAACCAGCGTCTGGTTCGGCCTGGAAACAAGTTTGGTAATGACCTTCAGTGCGGAAACGGCTCGGATGTCGAATATTAACGAGATCTTCAGGTGGCACTCTTTACAATAGAGTACATCACCCGTTGCATTGCCTGGAGCAGCACTTGGATGGACCTGCTTCGATGGATAGTTTGTACGTCCCCTGCTCCAGTTACTTTCGACGCGGTACTAATCCATATCTTAGCCTTTTTTGGAATCATAGACCTGTTATCTGTGGCTCCTTATTATCTCGAGCTCATCTTGCTACACGATACAGTCCGTTGACAGTCTGCTGATATGCACACATTGGCTGACCTTCCACTAGTCTGTATATTTCAGATTCTCGATCCTGCGGATGTTTAGGCTCTTGAGGGTTTTTAGGCCCTACCGTTCGAATCACACTGTTCTACTGTGGCTGTTCTTCACTCCGTTGGTGTCCTGTCCTGACCCAATGATAGAACGATAGAGGTGATATACATTGCCGTGCGACAATCTCAGCACGCGCTTTTCGCTGTCGGGTTCTTTGTTGTCATGGCCCTAACCGTGTTCAGTACACTTTTGTACGATTCTCATCTCAGCTCCGAGCCCAATAGCTAAGGATCTTGACAGATATTTCGCCGAGCGCGGTACCTGGGACGATATTCTTGGAACGTTTATAAATACAGACGGCGACCCATCACAATTTGCAGTGCGTTTTTTGGACAAGATTTTATTTGGTGGATTGATGAAATCTTTCTAGTCAATCCCGGCGGCTGCCTGGTATGTTCGCATACTATTTCTCATTCCAATTACCTAGAAATCTCTCGCAGGTTTGTTCTAGTCAGTACGTGTTGTCGCTCGCCCTCTTCTGCGGCGTCTCACATTTCTATCAGCCATAACAACTGTGGGCTACGGAGAAATCACCCCGCGTTCATTTCTCGGCCGTCTGATCACAATTCCTCTGCTCATCTTCGGACTGCTGCTCATCGCCCTACCAAGTTTTGTGCTGGGGAGAGAGTTCAGCATGGTTTGGGAGCGCATGGCTCGTGAAGTACGTTACATCGTTATCTACTTTGCGGTCTTTGAGATGGTCTTTGCAGTCTCCAGGATCCCAGCCCGAGTCGCCGCTCATCTCGTCCCGTCGTCTGAGCCCATCAGATGACTTGTCGAATCGGAAACTGGCGCACAACCAATTGGAACTAAGCCAGCAGATAACTGAATTGAAATCCATGGTCGAAGCCCAGGGAAGGTTACTCAATCGACTGTCTTCCGCATTAGAGGGTAAAGGCAAGGAAAGAGCACAACCGTAATGTACACATTAATGGATTAATCGTGTAGTAGCCCTGTTAATTCATACACAACGGGGATTCCATTCCTCTTACCAACCCTCCTGACCGGCCTTCCTGCCCCGGTGGTTGAACTCGATAAGGAGTGGTACGAGGGAGTTCTGAGGCTCTTCGTAGTAGTCGAGGAAGACCCAGCCTCGGATTCTTGGCTCGCCCTTCTTCTCAGTCCGACCGCCCGACTCTAGCTGGTCCAGGGCCCATTTCCCGAGCCGGTCGTTGACCCCTTCCACTCCGAAGCCCAGCTTTGGCCACCCAAAACCCTGGGCGATCGTCTGCGGTGCTGCAAGCGGAAAGCTGGCCGCAGAAAAGTAGGTGATGGGCAGCGCGGGGATTGTCTCGTCCGTCGGATGAGGCTCAATGACTGCCGTCGCAAGAGCGACTTTCTCGGGTATAGACAGGAACGAAGGGATGCTGTACCTGAGGAAAGTCAGACAATGCAGCAAGAAAGAGCCGCAGCGGAATCGCACCAGTCATTTGTGCGCACTACCGTATCATTGCACATCCAGGTAAAGCCATCTTTCTCACTATCGGGCCAATAGGTCGGATGTATCCCCATGCCGTTGAGCCCGCCTTCCCAGCCATCTCCGTTCCCGAATCGACTGAACAAGACAACCTTTCCTCGGACCTCACCCACTGGCAAATACATCAGAGTTCTGCCATGCGTAGTGGACAAATGAACTAACGTGTGGGTACCCGCGACTCGAAGAACCACATATCACGTCCACCCCGTCCATAAGCGATCTCGTCGTGCACCAGCTGTGAGAAAACGTTTGAAGGCGCCTCCTGCTTGATCGACATAACGACGGTCTCCCTCGAGCCTTCCTCCGAGGTCAGGAACTCATGCACAGTGATGAGGATGTCTTGGAACGGGGTCTTCTGCGGATACGCGCCGTGGTAAGCGATCAAACGACCCTGGACCGGTGTAAGTCGTATATCTAGAAACCGGATTCCGGATCGAAATTGGACGTTCAGCGGGGTCGAGATGGATTGGCATTGCGAGAACGGCCACCCGTAGAATGCCATTCTGGTCCATTGAATAAGTAGTGCTTTCGCTTACTAGGGTAAGAGACGGACGTGTCATGAGTACCGGGTAACAAGCATTGTGATAGAGGGACGTCGTCGGGTATGTCCTGGGGCTGCCGTCAGAATTGATCAAGCGCGGTGAACGCCGTGGACATCTTACAGACAAGAACGAAGCCAGTTCTCGATGAGGTAGCACCGTTAGCTTGTACTGTCCTCGAGCGCACTAAGTGGTTCACGTTGACTCCAGTCCAGATTATGCTATGCTATCCACACCAACTGGCGCACCTTGCTCAGATACACCCGCCACGGACACCCTGCTGGAACCTCGATGGGGACCCATGAGCCACCCTTGGCTCCAGAAAGACGAATCGTCGCGACAGCAGACTGCTTCTCGCCAGCGGTAGACAAGGTCGCAGTGCAGAACTTCGGGAGCGTAGCATGGACTGCGGATGATGGCAGAGGAAGGAGGTCGTGGTGTTTCTCGGACAATCGGTCGTTGCAGGTGAAGACAATCGAATCCTCAGTGAGGTTCAGGAGAGTGAGGTGCATTGGAGGTCAAGACCAAGAGACGACTGCTTTCAGCTTCAGCCACCCATGTGCGTAATGGATTGAACGTTGATTGTCGGACCGAACAACAGGAACAATGTCACAACCTCGAGCCACTCACACTTCTGGCTAACCTCGTTGCGCAGATAATGCATTGAATGATACATGACTTGGAGTGCATTGGCAATGACTGATTCAGACAGGAAGAGCTCGAAATAGTCGGTGGAATGAGCAAGCCTCAGGATGCAAATTACTTGCATGGGCTGAGGGCCGTGTAAACCACGCAATGATATCAGTCCATCGACAGCACTCAAGTGCTGATGCATCGGGCGTAATGTGGATGTATTGGAAACCAGAATAGATCGAATACACACACAGTAACCGTACATACAGAACATACTCAAGGGATGTAAATGCACTTTGTGACCGCGCGTTCGTGAAGAGATAGCAAACGAGCGGCCAAAGAGTGCATTGGCAATCTGAGGCAGCTGCAATGCTGGGAGACTAGCGACAATGCATACCAGCATGTGGTATGAGCGCCTGGAATTTGAAAATTATGACGGTAACAGACGTGTGACGCAGGCTATATAATGTGACTCTTAGTCACGTGCCATGACGAGATCAATAAATCATCTAATCTCTACTGCGAGTGCGCCTGACCCCAAGTACCCATTATTTCTGACTCGCCAGAGAATATTATGTCCTTCCGTTCTCCTCATGTTTTTTCAATATATCCCGGAAGCTATACACGCTTCGACATCTAGTTCTGAGGTCAGGCGGACGTACGTGTGCTTTGGTTCGGGTCATCATCATTCGTTCCGTCAACATACTTCTTAGGAACAGATTGGACTAGGCCGGTGATGTTTCTGACCTGTGAGACTGTAAAAGGCGCCTACACAGCACCTGCGTGTCGGTGACCCGGACTTCTTGCGCCCACATCGCCAACGTTCCGGATGCGCCGACTTGGTCGCGATCTAGTCTGTGTGATTCTGCTGGCCTTGCGAGCGGCCGCGCAGTCATCGAACGTGACGACATGCATTAGCGCCTACTCATGGGTGAGATAATATATCACGAGCCTCGTCTCCCCATTAGTGGATTGACACTGCACACCAGACCGTCAATGCCCAACATCTGACACCATGTCTAGTAGCTGCTTGGTTGGAGAGTGTGTGTCTTGGACGTACGTGCTTCAGAAGTTGCCAAGGAACCTATCATCTCATCTTATCTGCAGCGACTGAAGTTGACGCCATTCCGGCAAACACACACTACATCGGACCGTCGACGTCAACCGCGAACCTCTGCCTGTGCAGCACGGTGACATATTCGCTTATAAGCGCCTGCGGAGCATGTCAGAACCGAACGTACACGTCTTGGACGAACTGGACCCTGAACTGTGCTACGAGTAAGAGAATGCATTTTGACCTCGGTGACGTCGTTGATTCGAATGAAAACAGTTCAAGTGGGGACGTACGTGGCCTGGTCCAACCTGATCTATTCTCCATTGAGCGATATCCCATTTCCTGCCTAGGTTCCTGGAACCTGTGCCTTCTCAGGTCGTCGTTCCGGCATGGGCCTATCTTAATGTCACCAGGGTGTGTGCTCGTCCTGCTCAGTCGAAGTACCAATGCATTCATCTTGCCTTTCCAGTCCAACAACACTTTCGATCCAGCTGCCGCTTTCGTCAGTGCGTCGCTGTCTCTGTGATCGGCCTAGCTCTTGTCAATCATATCTTGATATCAGATGCTACCGAGTCGGAGACAAGTTCCAGTCTGGCTTCGACTGCCCAATCGTCAGCCACCAGCAGTAGCAGCTCGAGCTCTGCCTTTGTGACATCATTCTCGCCACCTTCTTCTACGGCTCTGCCGATGGTCGACACAGGAAAAAAGACCAACGCGGGTGCCATCGCGGGCGGTGTGGTCGGAGGACTGGCTGCGGTTGTGTTCGCGGGACTAGGGATACTCTACTATCTACGACGACGAGCGAACGACGGGGTGGACATGGACCACGATCCGGCCAGCAGTTTTGCGGGCTCGATTCCCCATGAGAATGTCGTCACCCCGTTTCCTTATGCAAGTCTTTTCTCTATCGACGTGCTCGCCGGTAGCCTGCTGACGCGTCGGAGACAGGGATCCAAGGAAGTGCGCTACCCGGAACCTTCGATTTTGTCTACAAGGCAACCATCTGATGACCCTTCGATGACTCCAGCTATCGAGATAGTCCATCGGTACAGGGAAGGAGACGAGTGATCGCAATTATGTAGTGTGAGGTTGAGCCAAAGGTTTTGCCTATAAGAAAGTACTGCACAGAGAATCCAGAATCATAATGCCCGCTCTCTCACTCTATAGTCCAGCAGCGTCTGCTCAGGTATGTTGCAGTCAACTTGCACGGAGGCTGGCCTCGAAGGGTTGTTACAGGAAGAGCGAGCCGTGTCGTTACCAGTGGGCAGGTACAGCAGCTCTGGAATTGCGTGGATTATCATCGCTGTCGTCGGTTTGACACTCGTCATCCTATTTGGTGTATTTGGCTACCGCTCCTGGAAGAAACGGCCTCCGCAGCAGATTCCGCATCATAAAAGCCCGCGTCTCAGCGCGACCTCTGGCAGCGGCAGCTTCGGTGCCCCGGACATCTCATTTACGTCGAATGTGCCTTCCAAAATCAATGTAAGCACCTCCAGACCGCCTTCAAGCTTCGTCTCGAACGTTCTCAGGAAACGCTGCGAGACCCTTCTCCCCCAAAGGACGAGTCTGCCGAAAGTCCTGGACCGGTTCTCCCCTCACACGTCATCCGGCTCGTCCCCCAAAGACGTCCAGGCGGAAGATGGGATAACAGCCAGAATATAACACTGGACAACAGCTGAGGAAAACGGCGCGTCAACGACACCGCGCGTTAATTAGCAGTATCACGTGATCGTATAAACAGCTTTGACCTCGCTGCATGTGTCCAAGATGGACCATACAATCGAAGTAAATGGATTGTAAGCATGCTCCATATTACATAGTCTGATTTCTGGTGTCCTCTATCCGAGCCACAAAGTACATACATATCAAACACGATATACTGTATGAGTAGATCTGAGAACGACGATCGATACAAGGCTTGTTGGCCAAAGACTTGATTGAAATATCCACTTGGTGGTTGTGCCTTTATTTGGGCGGAGGTGTGCTGGGGCCTAGAACCATAAAAGTCTGATCGACATGAAAGGCAAATCATCCGCACCGAAGAGACCCGTCCTGGGCGGAGGCGACGGTGCTCGCAGCGCCGGCATGCCGGGGAGGGGACGGGGCGACATGGCAGGGTTGGCTGAAAAGTCATTCAGCCCTTATGAAAGACGCAGGGACACAGAAACGCACGCCTCCACTGCGCCCATGCAGGTACATTCGGCTTGGGCGGCTCGAGAGGCGGGACTGAGGCTGGCGACGGGGGGCGCTGAGGCTGCTTCGCCCGACGTCTCTGAGCATGAGCAGACGGAACGACACGCCATCCTGGACGGACAGGCGCTAAATCAGGAGGGGGAGAAGGAGGGGGAGGAGGAGTAAGAGACAGATGGTGCTCCTGCCGTTGAATAAGTGCGAGTCACAGAACGATGAGAGAAAGGGACAAACGGGTTCAGGCCTCCAATCGGGGATGTACTCCCCTCCCGCACCGTGCTTTGACTTGAGGCTCATGAGTTCCGCTATCTCGCTAGGCCATCGTTAAGCAGGAACACAAAGACAATTGGATCTGGACATACAATTGCAGATTCCTCCGCTGATCTCTGAGCTGGCCCAGCTCTGCCAGCAGCACCCTGACTTCTCCAGCTAACGCCTTGGTGAAGTCGTTGATATACCTGTGATGTGCGGCTCCATGAACATCGAAGAGCCGATAACGAGGAAGCTAGTAAGTACTTCGGACCACCGGTGAGGTTGGGGTTGCCGCTAGGAGTCATGTTGTTAGGGTTGCTCTGGCTGGGGTAGTTCTGGTGGTGCTGGTGGTTGTTATTCTTCGACATGGAGGCCATCGTTGAAAGCGAGAGCGATGCGTAGGATTACATACACGTGAATCGTGATGTGATTGACGGCCGATTCGGATGAATCAAATGCCGCTTGACACACACGCCGGGACCACCTCTTTCGTGCCTCTTTCTCTTACCTGCGTACTGGCACTGGCTTGAATCGAACGAGCCCGCTTGCATGGGTCTCTGCTGAAGCCAGACTTCCGACCCGTGAGTCTGCCAGCTCGTCCTTTGCGATCCCTGACCTAAAGTAAGCGCGTCAGCCAAACATCGCCACGCCTCTCCGTGCTCCCACGATATCACTCTGCGCCCGCAGGCTGAGCCACGATGCCCAACACATTCGAACAGATCGAGGACTTTCTCGAGGACATGTTCGCCTCTCTCGAGCAGATGCCGGACACCCTCACGCAGCTCACGACGCAACTCTGGCATGATATCACGCGATACGGCCCGCCCATCCCGTCCTTCCCCGAGGTCCATCTCCCAAGCGGGCTGGGTGACTTTGTGGTGCCGCCTCCGCCCCCACCCCCTCCGGTGCTCCCGCCGCCGTCGTGGGCCGAGCGAGTGAAGCGGCACCCTGGTGTAGTTATGGGGGTTTTAGGTGGTGGGGCAGTCGGAATCGGGTTGATTTCGTATGGATCGGTGTACATGCGAGCAAGGAGGGCGAGGATTTTGAAGGAGAAGATCAAGGAACGGAGACAGGTCGTGGGTGGGTCGTTCTCCGTCACTGTGCGCTGCTATAGCTGAATTCGGCCATGCGATCAGTCGTGCTCGGGGCGGATGCACCGCTTGCGTTGCCGCTTATACTCGACCTGGAACGCAAAGGGTATATCGTCATCGCGAGCGTGTCAACAGCAGAACTAGGTGAAAGCTTGGAGTGGCGGTGCAAGGGCTACGTCCGTGCGCTGGTACTCGATCCGAACGAGGTATGCATTGTCTCCTAGTCGCAGTACTCTTCTCAATACTCACTTGAAAAAAAAAACAGCCCCATGCCGCTCCCAACTTCCTACGCTCGCTCACGTCTGCGCTGTCGCGGAAATTCCCTATCAACGCTGGAGGGGACCCGTTCGTGTCCTCTGCAGCGCAGCCGTACATTCATTCGGTGATCTCCCTGCTCAGCTTGAGTCCAGCGCCTTTCGCACCGCTCGAGCACATCTCGTTGCCCAACACGTATCTGCCATACCTGCAAGCCACGCACACGGTCCCTCTGCAGGTCATCCAGGGCGTTCTGCCGCTGCTCCGGACCGGTTCTAGCCCGCCGCACGAGAAACGGACGATCATCGTCTGCCTGCCAGCCACCTGGACACGCGTTGGGCTTCCATTCTCGGCGATGCAGTCCATGAGTGCGGTGAGCACGCTGCGGGCGGTGGAGGTGCTCCGGCGGGAGGTGCGGATCGCAGCGTTGACGGACAAGTCGCAGGCGATGCGAAACATCAAAGTCGTCGCGGTGGACGTCGGCGCATTCAACTTTGGCGCGGCCGATACCTTCTTGGCGCCAAACGAGGTGTACGGCGCGATGAAGCACTGGAGCTCGTCGGAGAAACTGACGTACGGGCCGTCGTTTGCGTCGCTGTCCCATGCCATCGCCGATCTCCCCGCCAAATCGCGGTGGTCGGTCGTCTCCAGCGACGTGCAGACCTATGGTATCTCGCGGAAAGCGACCGATGTGTCTGTGTTTGTGGACAGCATCGTCGGGACCGTCAGCGGTGGTCGCTTCGGGTCGTCCTTTGGCTTTGGCCGATTCTGGTACTGGATGCGGGGAGACCGGTTCTCTGTGGGTGCAGGTGCGAGCACGTACAAATTCGCATCGTTCCTGCCGCCTCTTTTGCTAGACGGGTTGATCAGCATCCCGCACTTGCTCGTCGAGATACGGAATGCTTTGTTGCCGGTGCAGCCGTTCATTCGGCCCCCGCCGACACTTCCGCCGGTGCAGCAGCAGCAGCAGCCGTTGACGAGCGAAAGCGAGTTGTCAGGGACAGATCTTTCTGGCGCAGAGCTGTCGGAGACGGGATCAGAGGCTGACGTTGAAAGCAACTCGGGCGATGGTGCGAGCTGGGTCGACCTTACCAAGAGCCAGGCCCAGCTCTGAAGCTGATGGGTGTAATACCAACCTGTAAATAACTGACCGACCGACTGACTCTGACTGTACACCGAACTAACTGTATCTGCCCAACTCTTAAATTACATCATATGATACATTACAAGCAGCAAAAACAACATTGTGAGCGCACAAAGTACTCTACTCCTCCATCGCATCGTCGCTGTCATCCTCGTCGCTGTCGCTGTCTTCGCCCTCCGCGACGGAAATCGGTTCCAGCGAGATATCGTGGTCTGCACCGATGTACGAGTCGCAGATGACATACAGCTTGAGCAAGTGCGTCCCCTTCGGCAACGTGATCTCGAGCTTGACGGACAGGCTCTTGGTCACCGTCACGCGCTTGATGGCCAGCAGCTTCCTCGACGCAGAGTCGCCGACCACGACCCACCAGTTCGCCATCTTCTGCGACGGGTAGAACGGCGCGATCACCGCGCCAGCGCCGTCATCCGCGTCGTCCTCGTCGACATCTCGCTGCAGAGCTACTTGCAGAATGATGGGTGCACCCGCGGTGTACTCGCCCTTGACGAGCTCATGCGAGACCTCGAGCGTGGGATATGAGTTGACGAAGACGGCCACGTCTTTAGTCTGTGCCGGTGTCATCTGCAGCAGTTTCGTGCGGTCGTCGTCTTCCATCTCCATCACGTCATACACAGACTCAATCCCAGCTTCTTTGAAGCGCGCGAGGACCTGCTCATCCTTGTCAGCTCACTGCCTTACAGTCAAAAGCAACAGACTCACATCAGGCTCAAAGTGCGGAATCTGCTTCAGAGGCGAGTCGGACTCCCACACGGCCTGCACGCACATCTGCGACAGATCCATCGCGCCGAGTGCATTGAGCCAGGCATTCGAGGACATCACATCCACACATGCAGAGAGCAGGTTCAGCACCTTCTCGAGCACCATGGCCTGGTCCGCCGCCAGATCTGGCGGGAGGTGCAACCGGGAAAAGTGCGCCTGCAGGAGCAGGAACGTCTTGAATTGGGGTGCTTCAAAGTCCGTCTGCGCGAGCTTGACCGGGACCCGATCGTAGATACGACGGAGGAGCGCCTCTTCGTGACGGCGGATCGGTATCGACTCGAATTCGGTGGACGAGGCGACCACGTCCAGGATGCCCTTGAGCTTCGTGTTATCCTTGAGCGACAGAGTGTAGATCTCGACCGTCACGTAGGAGATGTTGTAGTAAGCAGCGATCATGCCCAAGTTGAGGGCAGACACATCCATCTCGTCCTCAATCGAAATCGACTTGGCGTTGACGAGGTCCGTGAGCGTGCTTTCGACCAGCTCGGAAAGGTGATCCGAAAGGTGCTGGTGAGAGACATTGTGCAAGTTGTAGTAGTTCGGATTTTGGGTCATGCGACGGTAGAAATACGTCCAAGTCAGAATGTCCTGCAAAGCTGTTATTGAACAAAATGCAAAAAGGGTCGACGACATCTACGCACCATCGCGTCCTGCTTGTTTTCGATGGTCTTGACCGCAATCTCAGCCAGGAAATAGTCGTGCAGATAATGCGTCGACAGATGCGACTCGATGGGCAGACCCTCCGCAAGGAACTTTTTGTAGAACTCCTTCCGAGTCTGCTGGCACATCAACACGCACCGACTGCGGTCGTCCTCCCTCGGCCGACACGCCCGGCCCATCATCTGAAGCACGTCCATCACTGGGTAGTCGACGTATCGGTGCTCCCTGCCCTCGTACGACTGCACACCCATGATGATGACCATGTAGCTCGCCACCGGAAGACTCCAAGCCGTGTCCCGCGATGCGACCAAGACCTGGACGGCACCCGACTCGAACAGCCGCTGCACGATGCGCTTGTCTTGCTTGCTTAGCGCTTCGTGGTAGAAGCCGATGCCGTGTTTCAGGCACTCGACCAGGTCCTGATCGCTGATGTTGGCGAGATGGGGCGCGATCACCTCGACGTCGTCCACGTTGAGGAATCGATCAGGCTTGTCGTCCGCCGCGCAGTGGATGAGCAGATCGTCTACTGTCAATCGGCACTGTCGACGAGAGGGAACGAAGACAATCACAGGCTTGAACGGCGAGTGCTCGACGATGGCGAGGTACGCAGGTTTTGACATCGCAATCATGAGAGATGGGAAGTGGGGAATGGTGAAAGATTGGAGATGGATGTCCATGTCCAGCGGCCGTGCGCTGGGAGAGAAATTGAAGATCGCATGGGACGGTGCGCCAATCCATTCGCCCAGATCTCGCGCATTGGCAAGTGACACACCACATGCAACAATCCGCGTCTTCTTTTCTGTCTGCGCCGACACGTACCGAGTGCGGGAAACAACCACCTCGTATGTTGGGCCGACCTCACCTCCGACAAGCTGGATCTCGTCCGCGATCAAAAGCCCGATGTTCTGGACATTTTTGCGCTGGCGCCATCGTCGGGAGATCACATCCCACTAACAACGCGGTGAGATGAGATGAGATACTAGAAAACGAAACATACTTGAGTAGGCGTGCAGACAATCACATCACCCTTCTCCAACAGCCGTAAGTCTGCACTTGTCTCGCCCGTGAGACTGACAATCTCCTTGCCGCCTTGCAGAGTGCCAAACTTGGCGCGCCATTCTTGCACACGCTGATCGACCATCTCTTGGTAGGGCTCGATGCAGACCGCTCGTGGCTGCTCCCGGTTACTCCACAACCTCAGCAGCGCAAATTCAGCGCAGATGGTCTTGCCGCTGCCGGTCGGGGCACCGATGAACACGTTCTCGTCCGAGGTGTACAAGGCCTGGAACACCTGTGTCTGGATCTTGTTGAACGATTGGATCGAGTCACTGTAGATGGATTCGAACTCCTTGTTGTGCAGCGCCGAGAGCGGCAGCGACTGCAAGTCCAACAGCGGTGTCGGCGGAGGGAACTTCTCAGGCAGAATGAGATGCTTGAATGACATGGCAATGCGAGTGTAAGAATGGAGCCACCGGTCCGAGATGACTGAGAGGTAGTAGTTGGGAGGAATGGGTTCGAACATCGGCACAGTGAACGTGACATGGTGCTCGTCTTCGGCATAGCGCTTTCGCAGCACGAATGTGTCGTGGAACAGAATGATTTCACCGTCCACGTCTTCGATCAAGACGAGGAATGTCTCAGAACCGCCGTGGATCTTGTCGTCCCAACGGAAATCGGGCATGATGGATAGATCGATGCGCAGCAGTGAACGTGTGATTGGTTGGACCTGAGCTTGAAGTCTGTACGGGCAATCAGGATGTGAGACTCAAAGAATCGAGGCACATACTGTAGCTTGGGGAAGCTGTGGACCAAACGATGCACCAGTCGACCAGCGTTCGGGATTCCGATCAGTTCCCCAATTTCAGGAGGCGACAGATCAAAGTAGCGATACCAAGGCTGAAGTAGCTTGATTCAGACATTGATCGAAGAAAGTCGAGAAATGGCTCACGAATTGCTTGCCCTCTGCCTTGCGGACAATATCAGCCTGAATTCCTTTAAATTGTCGCAAGGGTGTCATCGAGCCCCACATCCGTTTCTCGACCATCTTGCACAAGTCGAGTGCGGCTTTGGCCGGCACGGCCCATCCACGTTTAAGGCAAATCTCGAACATGGCACGAAGAATCCTGGAACAGACCATCAGCTCGAATTCAACGGAAGCGACGGTGTCCTCACCGTCCTGCCGACTGCTGAATGAAGACCATGTCGGCCACAAGGACGAAGCCTGAGTTCTGTTCAGACAAAGCAAAGTGGGGAGAGCGAAGAGGACACACCATCCAGCTTGAGCTGAGAGATGTATGCCTGCAGCAAGACATTGATCTTGGCCGCGGGTTCTTCCACACTCTCCTTGACAGGAATGGGGACACGGTCGAGCAGCTTGGCAAGTTCAAGCTTCTCCTGTGAATCAAAATCAGCGATGGCATTAACTGACAGAAAGATCGAACAAACCTCTTGACGAACAGGGAGGAGCTTGAATTCGTTCGACAATGCGAAGACTCTGAACAACTCGAGAGTGGACATGGTTGGCCGCAGATGCTGGTTGTAGACCATCATCGAGTTGTACGTCACGTAGTAATGGGACGCAATCCTGCCCAGCTCCGTGCTCTGGAAGCGACCAGACGCCCGCTCATATTTGAGCAGTTGGGTCTTCTCGAGTAAGACAGCAGCGGAGTGGACAATGTCGGCACGTTTCTGCACCAGGCCGTTGTCGTCCTCCTGGTAATCAACACCAACCCCATACAGTGCTGGCGACTTGAGCATGCGCACGTACAGATAGGTGTAGCCCAGCCACTGAACAGCTTCATCTCGGTTCCGAATCGTTCCCAGCACGATCTCCGCATTCAGATTGTCGGCAAGTTTCGACACGAACTGAGACTCGATCGGAAGCTGCTGGTTCAGTAGACTGAGGTAATACTGGAGCTCCGAGTGGTTGGTGATGATGATGCCCTCGCCGAAGGTGTCATACTGCGGTCGACCAGCACGTCCAAGCATCTGCAGAACATCCTGCGAAGACAACTCCACCCAGCGCCCCTTCTCCGGGTTGTAGATCTGCGTGCCTTTGATGATCACCGTGTGCGCGGGTAGATTCACTCCCCAGGCAAGAGTGGCCGTGCAGACCAGCACCTGCAGGGAGCCGTCCGCAAACAACTCTTCCACCAGTCCACGATCTTCTCGCGACATTCCGGCATGATGGATGCCGAAACCAAAGGGCAGGAGATCACGAAGATTGGCGTCCTTGACATTGTTCGCTTCTTCAGTCAGGATCTCGCGCACGGCGCCATCTGGCTTGACGAATTGAGTGATGGTCTCCTTCTCAATAGCCATGTCACGAAGGAATTTCGCCGTCTTCGCCGTCTCCTTACGAGAATGGACAAAGACGAGCGTCTGGTTCTTGCCAGCCTGATCTAGTACTTTCTCGTAGCAGACCTCGTTCGTCACCTGGTAGCGTTTAATGGCCTTTTTCTCCGTGATGCCGATGAATTGCTGTTGCAGACCGCAGGGCCGGTACGCCGAGTCGAAATAGAACAGGCCCTTGCTCTCGTCGACACGCAGGAACGTTGCCACATCCTGGTAGTTGGGAAGCGTCGCAGAAAGTCCCACAAGGCGCACGTACTCGTTGGTCTGCTCCATCCGCCGTATTGTCCGAGCAATGACACTCTCCAGAACAGGCCCACGCTCGTCATGCAGCAGGTGGATCTCGTCGATGATGATCAGACGCACGAGGTTGGTGTAGCTGGTGTCCGTGCTCTTGCGAGTGATCACGTCCCACTTCTCTGGCGTGGTGACGATAATCTGGGTCTCAGCAATTTGCTGCTTCGTCATTTGAGAGTCACCCGTCAGCTCGCCGACTTTAATCCCGAAGACTTGGAGACGGGCAGTGAAGTTGCCGACCATTTCTTGCACGAGCGCTTTCATCGGTGCGATGTAGACAATCTTGAACGAGTCGAGATCGAAAGCGCCAGTTTCTGCGTCGCGATGTTTTCCCAGTTCATTCAGGACAGTCAGCATCGCAACGTTAGTCTGCACATATGTAAGAACAGTGCCTGCGAGTCGGAAACGACAACATACCTTGCCAGCTCCAGTTGGAGCACAAAGGAGAACTGGCTCGTCGGTGCCAAAGGCGATCGGATACAACTTGCTCTGCACAGGGTTCAACTTGTTCACCGTGAAAGCCGGGCGAGCCCATTCAGGAAGATCGGCGATGGCGACCAAGTCGGTGTCAGGGATCGTCTTCTTCTTGGGTGCAGGCACGTGAATCTCTTCGTAACCTTTCCGAGCACGTTTGAACGAGCCCTCCGGAAGCTTGCACTTTTTGTTCGACATGAGATGGCCGCCTTGACTGAAAGCCATACTTTCCAAATCGACAGTACGCTTCGGCTGGAGAGTGGAACCAGGCGCCAACGTCGCCGTCTTGGGAACGGCACGTTTCTCGTCGTCGACATCCATTGCGTCCAAGGCTCGGGTCTTCGTTGACGTCCGATCCCCCGCTAGCTCCCGCAATATCCAACCAACACCCTTCTCTCTCATGGCCACCTCAACGTTGACGCGTTCGTCTGCATCACTTCGAATAAGTTTCGTGCACCAGACGATAACGTCGCGGTTTTTGAGGAACTTGGTGGTCACGTGGAAAGATTGGTACTCGAACAGCTCCATGAGTTGATTTTCGCAATCACGAAGACTCGATTCAGACCCAAGGATTGAGATGACGGAGGCGGACTTGTCGGCAGCGGTGACAGGGTCAGGGTAGATTTCAGATATTTGCCGCTGGACCCAAAAGGCGTCGATGGCATGAGGCTTCACAATATCCTTGTCAGCCTTGGTTTCTTTGGCCTGAGAGCGTTCGCCTCCAATTACGAGCTCGTCTCCGTCCTCAGCATCCTCAGGGGGTGCATCTTCCGGCTCCCTCTCTTCATCATCCGACTCGTCCCTGATTTCAAACTGATCCTCGTCCTCGTCCTCCTGCTCATCTTCGTCGAAGACAACAGCGACACCCAGGTCCTCGTCAATCTGCGCGTCCTTTTGCTCCATGTCTGGATCCAACTTGGTCTCGTCTTCAGCCCCGTAGTCGGTGATTTTTTTGGCCAAGCTGACAAGCTGAGAGAATTGCTCGTTCCCGAGGGTGCCGGTCACATCCTCGATCTCCTTCTTCTTGTCGAAGTCCTTCATGTTCTCGTTTTTCAAAACCTCCAACACGATGTCGGTCGCGCTGCGAACGATGTCCTGGGCTTGGTCCCCAATAGTCGAGTGAACGGCAGAGAGGATAAGTTCATAGACCTCGCGTGTCTCTGTTGTTCTGGGACGGTAGTTGAGCCCTTCGACATCCTGCGTCGCCTCGATGATATCCGTGTACGAGAATCCCGACGCCTCTGCCTTCCGTCGCGTAGCCTGCTTGTCAGGGTCCTGTCGGTCGGCGGCCTTCTTCTTTTTCTTGTCGAGGTCTTTGGGGGCCTCGCGAAGCGCACGAGAACCCATTTCGCTGGGGTCTATTCGGCCAGCGAGTGAAGTAGGCGCGCCATCGGGTTCCCTGTCTCGACGCGGAAGAGCAGAACGGTCGGCCGTCAAGACCAAAGACGAAATGGCCCCATAGTTGTAACCAGAAAGATCCGGCTTCTTCCCTGGTTCAGCCATAGTTCGTGTTGAAGGAAAAGGGAGAACGGACTCGTGATGTTGTGGCATCTTTGTCACACTGATTCGCACCGACTCCTCAACGCGTTCAAGACTCCACACAAGCCTTTCTTCATGGCAGACCTCACGCAACTCGTGCCTCCTAAAGATCTGGACGACTCTATCAAGGAGACTGTCTTCCGCCATATCTTCTGTCGATTGGCTTCATTCCGGAACACAGCTCTACTCCACAGCGAGCTCGAGCAGAATCTGACTGAGCTAGACGCGAAAGTGAAGAGTCAACGCAAGGACGACTTCGACAGAGAAATACAAAATTGGGCCCAGAATCTGGTTGAGAACGCTTGGATGGCGTGCGGTGAAATTGGCGGAGGTATGCCGCGCAACCCCGGTATTGAGTCAAGTTGACAATTCCGTCAGGCGAATGCCCGCAACTGGACCCTTACACCGATACGTCTACTGGACATCTCGATCAACTACCCCCGCAAGAGACTCTTACAAAGATTCTGAACACAGTCCTGTTCCTCAACATCGCTGGCTCCAAGGAATTCTCTGCCCGCACACGAAGCTTCCTGACTACCATCGGCAAATGCGACGAAGATATCATCGTATCTGCACTCAAGAATCCAAGCAAGGCGATAGAAGAGACACAGAAGCTGGCCGAGTCCTCTCGATTAGAACATGCGAAGATGGGACGAACACTGCGGATGGTGGGTGTTGGCCTGGGGGCTGTTGCTGGAGGTGTCGTGAGTATGCCCTCGTCTTTCGGAATGTGCTATAGTGCTCCCAGCTTGTGGGGGTGACCGGCGGCCTAGCCGCGCCGCTAGTTGGTGCCGGTGTTGCAACTGTTCTCGGGTTCTTCGGGATAGGTGGAACTGCGGTGGGGATACTGGCCAGTGCCCTTGCGAGTACGGCTCTTCATGCTCGGAGGGCACGCTCCTCATTGTCTCCAGGCTCTAGCGTTATCTGTGGTGCTTTGTTCGGTGCTTACGGCGCACGATCCACGTCGAAAATGGTCGAAAGGCATACTCGTGAAATCCGAGATCTGGACATCTTGGCTCTGCACAATATCAGCAAAGAGCACGAAACACTGGCTGTGCGTATGTGTGTCAGCGGCTGGCTTTCTAGCAAAGATGATGTCACTGCTCCGTGGAAAGTGTTCTCCGGTGACGATACTTATGCTTTGCAATGGGTAAAGCGCCGCAATGCCTCAACTCAACGATCTCATCAGCGCGCAGGAAGTCGAGCTGCTGCAATCGTTGTCAAACTCGTTGGTTACACTGGTCAAAACGAATGCTTTGCGGTATATCAAGGCTGAAGTCATCAAGCGTACTGTGTTTGCCACTCTGATGAGCTCATTGGCGCCAATGGCAATTCTGAAAGTCGGTCAAATCATCGGTCAGCTGCCTCGACTCATGGACTCTTGTGAGGCACTGAACTGCTTGATGCAGACAACGACTGGATGAACAGTCAAGCGTTAGCAATTAAAGCCGGTCGTGTGCTAGGTGATCTGCTCCATAAACGGGTTTTCGGGAATCGACCTGTCACATTGACAGGCTATTCTCTCGGTAAATGGACCAACATTTGCGCGGTTATAGGTCGCTCAATGTCTCTAGGAGCACTGGTGATCTTTCAAGCGCTCGAATGTCTGGCCGCTCTGCCACCATCGGAGACAGTGCATCTCATCGAAGATGTGTATCTTTTCGGCGCACCTGTGACCACAGACTTGGCCAGATGGGCCAGCATCAGACGTCTGGTCAGCGGCCGTCTGGTCAATGGCTACGCGCGGGATGACTATGTGCTGGCGGTGCTCTCGCGAATATCCAATGCAAGCTGGGAAGTGGCTGGTCTCCGTTCAGTCGATGTCGTCGGAGTTGACAATGTACTTTGCGAGGAGGTCGAGGGACACACACAGTGGAGAGTGATGGTCGGCAAATCCCTGCAGCTTGCCGGTGCTCCGCAGATTGAAGATCAGAGGGTGCTGGAACAAACAGAAAACGGTCACGCCGATCCTACCTACGCTGCAGAACTGCCGGACGATGCTTGAATCTAATCATTTTATGTCTTCAAGACCATCACGAGAAATTGACAGAGAATCACGTCCTTCATGCCATATGCCAAGAAGCCATCAGATGCAAATTACCGCAGGCGAGTAGGCCGAGCAGACTCAGCGGACGCCCCGATCGCTCCAACCGGGTGAGGAGAGCGCACTTCTTGTTCCTGCCGCGCATGACATTGACAAAGACGTGCACGTGCTTACACGTGAGTGTCCGCAGCCGCAAATTAGTAAATGCGGCGAGGCATATTCCACCGCGCGTGAGCTCAGTGGGCTCTAGCAGGCTCGTCTGGAACGAATTCGCGGAGTAAAGCAAGCAGCTCAGCCCTCTCTTTTCTCGGACGCGACATAGGCCCGTGAGTCCATCCCTGTTTGTACAGTAGAAAGGCTAAATTGAAACCACTTTGCCCATCAATCGCCATCACATGACAAAGCTTCTTACCATTGAGTCACATGACCGCGATAGACGATATTACTCAAATAGCCGGATCCTCGATGCGGTGATTAAGACAGCCAAGCTGTAGCGAAACGCCCTTAATGTCGGCCGTCCAACCGCTCCACTCATTTATAGGCGGTCTCGGTCTCTCCCTCCCCGTGCACTCGCTCCTCCTTCTAAATGGACGGATATTCGGCATCAGCGGGTTCCTCCATCGCAGTGTTCGCGGTAGCAAGGAGTCCATCGCGTCCGCTGCAGGGCTTTTAATTGGCGGGGTTCTTATTGGGCTGATAGAAAAGTCTGTTCCCCAGCCATGCCCGGTTTCATTCCCGTCCCTGGTGCTCTCAGGTCTGCTGGTCGGAGCCGGAACCAAGGTTTGTCCCGAGAGCGAGGTGCCAGCAGCGCCTTGAATTGACTGGATTTTCAGCTGTCCAACGGATGTACCTCTGGGTAAAGAAAACACGCCCTTCATTTTCCGGCCTCCTGATAACATGGCGCTGGTAGACATATGCTTGCTGGGATTTCCAGACTTTCTGTCCGGTGCGTCACGACACAATATCTTGGTAATGGCTGCCGTCTCATTGATAATTTATAGTTCCGTGGTCTCCACTGCTGTGTTTTTCTCGATTGGAGCCATAACTGCTCAATATTTGCATTGGAACTTGCCTCCGACCCCTGACTTATTAGATTGGACTTTAAGGGCACCAGGGAGAACTCTCTTGGTAGCTCAGGTTTTTCCCTTGCTCGTTTCCACTGTGCTCTTCCTCGCGGTAAGTCTTGTCTCGGAACATCTGCTCCGTGCTCATCACCGATGGCATGTAGACGCCACCCGCAACGACGGAACTGGCGGATAACGACACCACTCTTTCGCGCCTTGCTGCTTCAGTAGCCACAGGACTGGAATTCGCGCTAGCGTTGAAGCTGTCCAACCTTACTGAGCCGCTCCGAGTACTCGCGTTTCTCTTGCTCCCCTATCACCAGTCTTTTGATCCTTCCCTCGCTTTCCTCGCTGCTGGCGCGCTTCCATCTGGTATCGCTCTCTATCAGCTCTGTCGGGGACCGGAACGCCCAAAGCTTGGAGGGAAATGGGCTGTGCCGAGTGTTGGGCGAGTGGATATGAGACTGATCATGGGAAGCGTCATCTTCGGTCTGGGCTGGGGGCTTGCCGGGATCTGTCGTGCGTCCTGTTGTTTGAATTTCCAAGTGCTCGCCCTCATACTTGCTTGTGCCGCGTTAATCAGCTGGTCCGGCGGTTGTCAATCTGGGACGCTCACTCGCCGTAGGAGCCGACCCAGTGCCCATGCTTGTCTGGTTATTCGCGATGGTCTTCGGAGGTATAAGCCTTTAAGCCGATTACACTGCCCGTTATAATGAGATACATACAATACAAACACTACGCTGTAATCGGAGTCGTTTCTGTCTTCTTCGCTCTCCCTCTACCCCACTTCACTGCGACACGCTGTCCGTCAATATCCAGTCCGTTGGCCCATGCATGTGCTGCCGTCTCTGCAATCGATCGAGCCTTGAAGTTGACGAACGCGCATCTTCAATGTGTATCAGCATATATCCAATCCCCTTGGATGCACTCTCTGGGCTCACCGCGTTTTTTCAACATGCACGATGGATTTGAGCTCTGAGGATTCGACAGAAGGCAAAGCCTGTAGCACACTGGTTCGGACGCTTGCTTCTGTTGAGATAGCTGGTAGAGACGATAAGAAGAGAGACGTCTGATCACAATGTCAGTTGGAAGGCGGTCAACACTCATCAGCTGAACGTACGATTGTCTCGTCTTCGGGAGGTTTCAATCCCTGGCTTTCGGCATACGTCGACATTATCTTGTTCGCAACAGGGTCATTCTTGCCGTGATACCTGTCTTGTATGTTCTGGTGAGATAGTGCGTTGTTCGCCGGCATTTCGTGTCGAAATGGGCATTCGCTGCCCCGATTGCATTCTCCTTTGACGAAGAAAGAGCAGATATGTGGCCTGTTTCGTTTGTAGTAAGGGTCTGTGCGAGCAAGCTCCTTCAGCATCTCCTTCCCAGCAGACTGCGTGCGACCTGAACTGAGTCCAGATTTGGTGCCACCCTCCAACTTCGAGTCATGTAAGCGCTCTGGTTGAGCAGCAGAGTTGGCATCACGCACCTTGGCCTCCATGTTTTGTGCATAGTACTCCCTATTGATGTCACTTGTAGGCGCATCGTTCTGGATGGCTAACGCGGTGTCGCGCACTTGCGTCGGCAGGCCGTATTCGAGATCCAACAAACACGTCTGACAGACATTTTTGATTTTCGCACACGTCTGACAGATCACCGTAGTCTTATAGCGCATTCCTGTTCCAGGATTCCATCGGAAGACTGTGAATGGCCGAGCGCACGTTCCACAAGAACGGCCGTGGTCTTGTTTCGACTGCATCTCGTGAGAAGCGTTCGCGCAAAGAGACAAGAAGGTCTCACCATGCGAATAAATGGGTTGTCTCCCAGACCTGAATTCGATTAGAGCTAGTTTTGAGTAGGTAAACGGGTTCACGCACAAGTTTCGCAAAGGATTGGAAAATCACTATTCTCCCAGCCCGCTTTGTTGATATCCGATTTTGGCGGCATGATAATTCGTGGGAATGGGTCGCTGGATGTAAGTTATGGAGGAGAGTGAGAGGAGAAGAGTGCCTCAGTTTACAGGTTCGGGTACAAGAACGGTTGATCACAAATGTGATCACGATGCGTGACAAAGCCTGTCCAACAAAGCTGGAGTCGACTTCTACTGCCTAAGCTTCGTCCATGTCCTCTGCCAGTTCATCTACAACAAGCCTTTCGCTCCAACCCACCCCGCCGGTCCCGCATAACCTGGGCGGGGGCTCTTTCCTGATTGCCTGGCAGCTCAAAGACAAACAAGTTCTCATTGTTGGCGGAGGCGAAGTCGCGTCTCAGCGCATCGAATCCATTCTCGCCGCAGATGCATTCATCACAGTTCTCTCACCCGCCAAGGGCGTGCATGTGCGGACTAGACAATTCATCGACGCGTATCCTGCTCGCATCACCTACTATGACAGACGTTTCTCTGGGCCCGCCGAAATACACAAGATGGACATGGTCCTCACCGCTCTGGACGACGTCAATCGGTCTCGCGATATCTGTGAAATGTGTCGTGAAGCCAAAGTTCCCGTCAATGCTGCGGACATCCCAGATCTCTGCGACTTCTACTTTGGTGCTCAGATCCGCGACGGGCCGCTTCAAATCATGATCTCAACCAATGGAAACGGGCCCCGGATGGCTGCGCTCATGAAGAAGAAGATTGGAGAAGCCTTGTCGGGCAAGGAAGGCGAGGCAATCGAGAAAGTTGGAATACTCCGCGCGAGACTCAAAGATCGTGCTCCTGGAGTGGGCGGTCTCCTAGGCCGCAAGCGCATGAAATGGATGTCGGAAGTTTGCAACACCTGGGACATTGATGATCTGACTGAGCTTGACGATGCACTGATCGCCCGACTGTTGGACCAAGGATGGGACAAGAGCGTAGTCCCAACGTTGGCACAGTTGAAGGGAGTCCATAAATCTAAGGCATGGTCTCTTGGATCTAACCAAGATTGGGCCATGTTACTGCCACTCGTTGGATCTTTTGCCCTAGGTGCCGTCTGTTCTTTCGCTCTAGTCCGCAGAAGATAGGTGGGTCTGTTTGCTCGTAGCTGGCGTTGATGAGGGCCTGATGATCGTTGCAGAGGGACTATTGGAGTGATACAAACTACTGCGAGAGACGATGTACAAAGATTGTATAAATCACGCTACTGTCCGATTGGCATTCACGTAGCCGGTCCCATAACATGAATACAGCAGATGCGGACATTCCTTGTCTAATGGATCGGCAGTCACAATTTTGAAGGAGGTTCCGAAGAAGCTCCTGATATCTCTGAGGAATTGGATTCTATAAAGTTTGTTGATGAGTTATTCTGACGATGAACTGGTCTAGCTCACGTTCTAGGTGTCGGTTCGCTCATTCTGCAACGGCCGACATCCTCACTGCCAAGCACCATCATGAGAAGTACCAGAGGCTGATGCTGTCGGTCAACGCATCCACCCCTGTTTATTTCGGTGAGAAGTGCGCGCGTCGCGCGCAATGCGATGTCCTCTGGGGCTACACCCGCTTCAGAAATGGCTTCGGAGCAGTGCAGGGCACCTGTTGTCGATTCGGAGAGCAGACTGAGGGCATATCCAGGTGATCTGACGCTCTGTCAGATGACAGTGATAGTTGGAAAGATCCACCCACTTCCCACTCTCCTCTCCTTTATAGACATCCGAATATAAATAGATGTCGGGAATATAACGGTTGAGGATGGACCGAGAGGACTCGATCATCCGATTTGAGAACTGAGGGCTGACGCGAACGGCGTGTCTGTGTCTGGTCAGCTGCAGCGCGGAAGGACGTCGAGGAAGGTTTACGCTATGCCCCGGATTCGTTTGATCTTCCCTGGGTCCACGAAATTGAGGGTCTTCACCTGTTTGACGACAGGACACAAGAATTGAACCTCTCCTCCGCCTCCGGGTGCGGCACCACGCTTTTTTATCTTTCATCGAGCTGTCAGTGAGTGGAGGCAAGATTGGAAAGCAGCACATACACGAAGCTCTAGTCCATCAGAGATACCGAACAGCTGCAGGTGCGGTAGGGTAACCGTCCGTATTAGGTCAGCCTGCAGATGATAATGAATGCAGCAAGAACGGCCAGATGAACGACCTACGGAGAGATCTTGGTCGTCGGTTGTGATTCCCCGTAGCGTCAATTGGAGGGGCTTCTTCGCAAACGGCGCCAACATGAGAATAGGCTCCAGGAAGTATCCCACAGACTTTGAGAGAGGACATTCGTGTGTTAGGGGACCCCCTGACAGAACGCCCGGTTTGACGAGGATGGCGGTACCTTGAGATTTGTGCGTTTGGAATCTAGTTGACACAGGTGGGCTGCCACCACACACCAGTAACAGAGATCTCAATGACCGTTCCATTTGTGATTTTCTCGAGCAAGCGAAGGAGGCTGACTTCGTAGTCTTGGAGGGGATGTTACACAGCGAAAGCGTGCTAAGCTCGGATCGCACCTCTCAGACCCGGATTATTGTCCTCCGACCGGATTTTATCAATTCTAACCGCCTTCCCGCTTATAATTGACAGAACCAAGCGAAGTCGGAGGTGCTGGTGGCCGCTGAACTGGATAAGACTTGCCGACATGACCAAAATTTCCAAGACGCGATCGCGTCCAAATGAGGAAACTGTCGAACTCGGTGGCAGTGTTATGCACACGCCTGTCGCCGGCTGATCAATCACACTCCGAATACACGGGGTGACCCAGTACTATCATGGCCGCAACTTCCACTGAGGACTGGCAGGCATGATGAACGCTGATCGACATATATGACCAGCTGAAACTTTCTCATAGGATCGCTACTATGACATCGACCAAATCTTAAATCAACCTGGTCCTCGAACGGATCCTGATTTCCTTGCAGGAGACGGCGTACGTAGACGCGTCTTCTGGCTTCTGAAAGCATGCTGAGAGTTATTTTGTGAAGGTCAAAGACTTCCTTAGGAACAAGGTCAAAATCCTCGTTATTGGCGCCGGCGGTCTGGGATGCGAGATCCTCGCGAATCTTGCTCTTACTGGGTTCAAGGACATCCATGTCATCGACATGGACACAATCGACATCAGCAATCTCAATCGGCAGTTCCTCTTCCGGTGCGCTCTCCACTTGCGACTGTATTTAGTCGTCTGACTCGTCCTTGTCTTAGACCGAAGGACGTGGGCAAGTCTAAAGCCAATGTAGCGGCCGAGTTCATCATGAAACGCGTACCTGGCGCCAAAGTAACCCCGTGAGTCGCTCATTTTCCCTTACAACAATGCTCTGACGTGGTAGGTCAGCTATTTCGGCAAGATTCAAGACAAGGACGACGATTATTACATGCAGTTCAACCTCGTCATCTGTGGTCTAGATTCGGTGGAAGCCCGTCGCTGGATGAGTGCCACTCTCGTCAATTTGGTGGATCCAGAAAACCCAGAAAGTCTGAAGCCGTTGATTGATGGTGGAACGGAAGGTGCGTCTCCCATGCTCACTTGTGATGCCACAATTCGAGTCCTATCCCTGCAGGCTTCAAAGGCCAAGCCCGGGTTATCCTTCCGACGGTCACCTCATGTTACGAATGTTCGCTAGACATGCTCAATAAACCGACTGCGTTCCCTATTTGCACGATCGCCAACACGCCTCGACTGCCAGAACACTGTATAGAGTGGGCGTCCGTTCTGGAGTGGCCGCGCGTGCAGGGTGGTAAGTGCTGGAACATCTCCTGGGACTCGAAGAATCTGACGGACTTTCAGACAAGAAACTGGACAACGATGATCCCGAACATATCACTTGGTTGTATACCATCGCATCTGCTCGTGCAAAAGAGTTCAATATCGAAGGGGTCACATGGTCTTTGACCCAGGGCGTGGTGAAGAACATCATTCCAGCTATCGCTTCGACAAATGCCATCATCGCTGGTGAGTGCCTGCCACTGGATTGGGTTCGGTAGGTAACTCTCGGATAGCGTCGTGCTGCAATGAAGCTTTCAAGATAGCTACAAGTTCGGCGGCCTATCTCAACAACTACTTCATGTTGATCGGCACAGATGGTGTCTACTCCTACACGTTTGAGCACGAGAAAAGAGACGATTGTCCTGTCTGTGGAGGAGAGTCACTCGAGTTGACCATCAATTCGGACTTTACGGTCGAGCAGCTGATTGAGCTGCTGGTGGAGAGACAAGACGTGTATGTTATTTTCACGGCACCTTTCTGGCGAGTTGGAATTGACGGTTGCTATAGGCAAATTAAGAAGCCTTCACTTTCTACACCGACCTCGCAGATCTACTTCCAGGCGCCGCCGCAATTAGAGGAGGCCACACGCCCCAATCTAACCAAGAAAGTGAGCGAGATCGTGGCACCAGGAGGGGAGGTCACGGTGACTTCGACCAGTTTGCCATTCAGCCTCTCTCTGCGTATGAACTACAGCTAGATGTACAGCACAATAATATTCTCTCAGCGATAGATGATGACGACGCGTCCAAAGTCTCCGGGACCAGTGCCTCCTCCTACTGCCGCCAGCCACTGCTCCAGCAGCGGCCAGCCTGCTTCGTACTTGACACCCAGCTCATCCGTGTGGTGATCGCCATCAAGCAACAAAGGCAGGTCTTTGGGGCATTCCGCGCCACTTTCGCGGTCACGTGTTGGTATCGTGAGTTTGCCCAAAATGGGGGACGGCGGCGGGTTCGCTGGCAGAGCGCTGACCGACGGGCGCCGCGATTCAGATCTCCCTGCCGTGGGCGTTTTACCAGGGCTAGGAGGCGTTTTCGGCTCGATCTCGCTTGGGAGTTGGGCCCACGCCAGCTTGGGACTGGATCCCACCTTGTGCAAGTCCCGCGTGCGCACTTGCTCCAAGGACTTTTCGGCAGCGCTGGCTCGTCGGCTGCGGCCAGTTTGGGTCGCGATCGGCGGGGGAGGGCGGGGCGTGAGAGTGGACGGAATGTTCGAGTCTGGGCTAAGAGATTGATGCTGGCTGACCAAGAGACTTTGCGCAGGCGAAAGTTCGGTGGAAGTTGCCGTGTCCTCGTTTGCGGCCTGAGACACATCCGATGGTCGTGTGTCCGGCAGAAGGACTGGCCAGCGATGAACCCGACGAAGGAATCCCTGCAGGTCAGAGCTCAGAGATGAAGACATATCTTGGTCGACAATGCGCACTTTGATCACACCAAAACTAGTGAAGCGTCGGGCATCAATCCCAAGCTTATGTATCTCGTAGATTTGCATCCACTGTGTGACGGTTTTTCCGGGTTTCAATCTTGAGTAGAGATGCAGTAACTTGGGCCATTCAGGAATGGAACTACCTGCAAGCACCATTAGACGTGTAACATATTGGCGCTGTCCTGTGCACCACCTGGCCTGGTAACATATGGACCACACTCGTCTTGGACATCTTTCTCGACCGCCAGTGCTTCAATGTTCTTACTAAGCGTATACATATTCGAGTACTGGAATATGTCGATCATCATGATCACTTGATAGTATCTGCGAAGATTCAGCTACTACACTCAGACGGTGGGGTTGTCCTCACAGAAGATGCGAGATCGCCAATCGAGTGAGGGAAATGTCACAGTCCGCAAGATAGGCGATGCGACTGACGTGGTTAACACCATCTATCCATTGACACACCTGTAGGCGATCGATAAGTCATTAGAAGTAATGGTACAGGCGACTTGCCTTGATCATGGTCAGATCCCAATTATCCTCAATCTTCTTGTTCAGATTCAGAAGAGCCAAAGGAACCATCCAGTCCTCAACAGGCGGTGGATTTGGATAGAAAGGAAAGATCTTCAGTTCGATGGAATTGAAGCGGTCTATCGGTATCGACGTCTCGGCATACGAATTGAGGTCTTCATACAATTGCTCTAGGATGGCATGCATGGCTGGTGCGGTGACGGGAGATGACAAGAATTCTGATTCTTCCTGGAATCATTCAGTCGCGTTTGTGGAGGGTGGCTCAGCGAAGCTCACCTCGCATGCAGTGAGCACCCGGCTGATTTTCCGGACAACTGGAGGAAAGGTCACATCGAACAAGATAGCGACGATACTAGCGTCATACTGGGCTCGTAGCAGCTAAGATCCTTTCCTCGTTCGAATACGAAACAGAGGTTATATCGAAAGTAGTTGCGCTGTTGGAATGGGTCTCGTCACGTATATTCGAAACGCCAGCACGAACCCACCTTGTATTTTGCTCCGGAAAGTTGAACTGGGAATCCAATGATACTATGCTTGCGGGTCGAACAAGTGATCAGTCTACCGTGCAGCTGGTTCTTGGGAATAACAAATTTCGATATGTCGTCGAAGTGGAATAGCGGGCGGATGGAAGATATCGGTCGCTTGGAGGGAGAGTAGACACTGAGACTGTTCGGTGAGACTATAGAGCTCGAAGCTCGGGAAGGCAAGTGCTGGCTTGCATTGAACTGGTCCGTGACTGGCGTAGTGGGAGAGGATGGGAGATTGGCTGCTGCAGTAGCTGAAGCAGGAGAGGACACAGTGATGAGCCCTTCCGGAACTTGATAGACTATCTTCGGTCCATGAACGACATCAAAAATGGCGTAGAAAACAGACTGAATGCTTGAGCGGCTCGAAAAGCTAATTACATGCGAAATTGGATGGGCGCATACCGAGGGAGAAATGAGTCTCCGTCCGGCATCTGATGATAGCCTAGATTTGCTGATTTGTGACTTTACAAAGTAGTCAAGGTCGCGATGAAATCTCAGGGTGGGTTGTGTTATCAAAGTAAGCACCGTGAACCCAATCGTCCGCGCAACTGAGCGCCAATCGCGGCACGTGGTAGATTACCACCAAGCGCGACCACACATAATAACACTCTTGAGTCTTTGGACATTGACCCACGCGTCAAAATGCGCTCCGAGTCGGAGGATGAATACGAAGTCGGTGGGTTGTCGGAGGCCTCGCGGCACTTACTTTCCATCTCATTGGGCCTCTAGAGTCAGTCACTCAAGCAAGACTTGCGAAGAAGGGAAGGAAAACGTTTTGGGTCTGTTTCTGTCTCACTCGCTCTTGGCTCGCACAACTTATTCATTGTTTTCTGCGCAGGAGTATCGTGTCAAGGTGGGCAGTACTCAAAACTGGAGTCGAACTTCCGCTCAAGCTTCTCTCGCAGTGGAAAGGCTTCCCTCCAGAGGATAACACGCATGTTGAAAGTCACTTCTGCGCGTCGCATACACTGACTTGTTCTCAGATGGGAACCTATCGGGTCCTTTGATTTCAACTCGGACATAATTGCGAGCTTCTGGGCGCGTATCGATCTCGGAGGTCGCGACATGAACGACCTCACCTTGTTTAAAGTCGGAGATGAGTTCCTCCCCATGGGTCCCCCACGTGAGCCTTCTCTGTATTGGCAACTGTCCAAGGCACTTATTCTATGCTGGAGGTCGGAAGCTCAAATCACGAGCTTCCACGACTACTGTTCCCGTCGTGACCGAGTCGAGCACTCCCCGCTCCGCCAAACGTCGACTTGAATCACCTCCGCCCGATCTTGAGTTGAAACCTCCCAAACGCACGCGAGGGCGCGCACCAGTAACCTCTTCCCGACCTGTCGAGACATCCGAAGCTGTGCTCGAAACACCTCGCCGTCCCCATCCATTACCAGCCGTTTCGTCGACACGATCCATCCGTCGTAGTACAAGGAAACGCACCCCATCTCCGCAAATCATCCCCGATTCAGAAGACGAAGCGGATTTGCTATCCATGCCCGCAGATTCCTCTACAACGCTATTCAGCCCTTCGTCGGGGAATCACGGAGTTACAGACGAGATTTTTGGGGAGAGCTCCAAGGTGCCTGCTCATCGAGTCAGGGCCGCCAATCCGCTCGTCAAATTGGTGGACGACTTCGCCCCATTGGCCGGTGCCATCTCAGCCAAGGCACGATTGGATGCCAGGGACCCCACATCGAGCAATCCGCTTGAAGCTGGCCCTTCGAAGAAGAAACCGCGTAAATCTGGCTCCGGACGGCCCTCTGAAGATTTGATCATCAAGAAAACGAGGAGTTCCCTGCTAACCTTTGACAAGGGTTCTCTGAAGACAATCAAAGGAAAATACATTCCTCCTGCACAACCAGAAAGTGAAGAGACTGTGGAAGATGCTATCGAGACTACTGTGCCACCTAGTGGTGAGGAATTGCTGAAACTCGGTGGCTTCGACGCCGAGGCCGCAGATGAATTAGAGAACTTCGAAGACGCTGCGCTGGATGGCCAGGATGATTTATATCAAACAAGGTGTGTTGTCTTCCCTGCAGGCAGTCGCCATTTGATAATCTTGTCAAAGTTTGAGTATCGCCAAAAATAATCTGTTTCCTCCAACACCAACAGAATCAACCGCACCATCCGTGCCAACGCCCACAGGTTGGCTCAGGTCAACGATTTTTGGTCCGCTGTATGCCCGATTATTCTTTCCTGACAAAGATCATACTGACACTGTTTTCTAGGGGAATTGGATATGGTACAACATCACCGTCTTTGGGCGTGTCAGTCTTTCCCTGGTATCAGTTGTATCCGCGAGCTAACGGTCAACAGGAAACAACTGCATCTCAAACTAGACACCAATGTGTCCATTCCATTAGATCTGGTGGATGTACACAAGTCTTTAGACGCATTGGTGTGCGGTCTCGGGCAGACGGGACCATCGGGTCTTTTCTTCGACTCAGCAAACGCGTCCGCAGTTCTTGATTGTGTTCGCTCAACTGGGTCAGCCGCAGCCCGATTGGTCTTGAATGCGAATGCTACAACATCAGAGACTGAGCACTTTACCACCTTCCGTGATCGTTTGGCGCGAGGTGAACTGGTGCGCCCTGCAGTTGTTTAGCGATTCCTCCTAGGACTCAACCTCTTGGTCCAGTTCACTGTGATGATTGGGAGTTGTTTCCTGGCCTGCTTCTCTTCCGACTTTCCGTTGAAGCACCGTATGAATTTGCCCTCTTCTCTAGTTTCATGTGGGCAAGACAGTATCCTTGCCGCGCAAATCGCCATCGAAAACGAGAACGCTTATCTGACTGCGTCAGAAATTGCCAGTCGGTGGTGAAATACGAGTCACTGATGGCAATATTGTACAAAGTAGTCTGTACCGTTTCTTGGAATACAAATGTACATCACGTTACGCCCCAATCTCGGTCGCCGCAGCGGGTTCGGAGGCTATGATCGGAGCGGGTACCACTGACTTGGCGGTGACATCCACCGCAGAGTGCGTCAATTTTGCCTTCTTCTTCTTCTTCAAGAGGGCTGTGAAACGTTAGAGTTATCTGGCCGAACATGTGGTGTAGCGGACGTACCCATTGAAACCGCACTCTTCACTCCGTCCACAAGGTCTCTGCTTTGTTCTAGATATTCTGTGTCGTCGAACCGATGCTTCTTTCCAGCCAAAACGGCAGGTTCAGAGGAAGGGCCTGCCTCTGAAGATGAGCTCTTGGTAGATATGCCAAGCTTGCGCTCCAAGGCTTCCAGTTTTGCCTTAGACGCTTCAGCCTTGGCTTTCTGGCGCTCCGGCTCTGATTCCAGGTATTCAACCAATCTAAAAAAAGTAAGCAGATGCCATATAATTAGGACAGACACGCACTTCTTGGCCTCCTTGATAGTGTTCAAACGCCTCCCGCTGAGATCTCGGCACGAGTCATTGTTGCTGGTCTTCTGGCTGCTCATACGGCCGCCCGCAGCACGAAGCTGGGAGCCAAACCCTCCCTTACCGCCGAGCAGGCGAGGGGTAAGACGAAGTGTGACGAGAGTCGAATCATCGGATTGCAGGTCGGAAACGAGCGAATCTGGGGCCAGCAACCCATGGTGCGAGGAGAGTGCGACGGAAGCGGGAAGAGCTGGGTACCGGTCGTGCAAGAGAGAGATGAGAGAGTCGACCGACGCGGTCAATGGAACCGTCAGTGACAGTGTCGGAAATGGAGCAAAGGCAGAAACGAGCAAGGAAGTCATGGTCAACGTAGACAAGCAGTGCACAGCCGCATCATGATTGACCGAGTTCGCGATCACGTGGGCACCAGCCTGAGCAGCGCGTTGTTGATCGTGAGTCAGTGTGACAGGTGACCACCTCATGCTCCGTCGTGCGCCCACCACCAGTGATGGGAAAGTTGTCAACCCACTACAGAGCTCTCGGGTCAACAAACCTTTCCGGCCACCGACTCCCCTCGTGCCTGTTGCTCGTAACCAGCCCGTACGGAAGCGAAAACGAGTGTCGTACAAGGGGCAGGAAGAGGAGGATTCTGACGAGGATGAGAATGGGCGAAAGAAGAAGAAGAAGACAGATAACCGGGACAAGGATGGGAACTATCACAACGAGGAGGAACTGCTCGCCATGGTGAAGCAGTATCCTGTTTACACGCCCAAGCCCTTTGGACAAGTCGGGTCCCGCCGTTTCTCCATGCCCTCCATGACAAATCGCGAAGGGAAATTAGTGAATCACTTTCCGACGAATGTGTCTCTCGGCCTGCGTCCTCAGGTCAAATTGATTCCACGTCCTCTCCACGATCCTATGGATGGGCATGCCATTGTTTTGTACGACCCGACGATTGACGACCGAGAGACCGAAGAGGAGAAGCGGGATCGATTAGCGGAAGAAGCAAAAGCGAAAGCCGCTGATGAGGCGAGAGAGAAGACGGCGGGAATGTTCAATCCTCACAAGAGCTTGAAGGCCATGCTGGGTGAGGGTAAGGAAAAGACGAAGTTAGATAAAGTTCCAGTCGTCATCGATCCACGGTTGTCCAAAGTCTTGCGTCCACATCAGGTTGAGGGTGTTAAAGTTCGTCTCCGCCTTCGTTTGGTATCCGTCGCTCACATACACTCAGTTCTTATACAAATGCACGACGGGAATGTTGGTGGACAATCAGTACGGTTGCATCATGGCCGATGAGATGGGGCTCGGAAAGACTCTGCAATGCATTGCTTTACTGTGGACTTTGGTCAAGCAATCGCCCCATCCAGGGAAGCCTTCAATAGATAAATGCATCATCGCCTGCCCTGCTAGTCTCGTCAAGAACTGGGCGAACGAGTTGGGTTAGGGCTTCACCTCTGCATTCTCTTGCGTCCTTTGACTCGTCCATGCAGTCAAGTGGCTCGGTAAAGACGCGATTTCCGCCTTGGCAATAGATGGGAAGAGTGGTCAGGCTGAAAAGGTTCAACAGTGGGTGGCAGCGAGTGGCAGGAACGTCACGCAGCCAGGTATGAACCACTCCAGCTGGGAACCATTGGCTTAGCGATTCCAGTCATGATCGTTTCGTACGAATCACTGCGAAATCTGACGGTCCACCTTACAAATTGTAACATCGGGCTCTTGCTTTGCGATGAAGGGCACAGACTGAAGAATGCCGGTCAGGGACATTCTATTCTTGCTCTGCCTTTTCTGACCGAGATTTGACAGATTCTCTGACATACCAGGCGCTGAATGCTATGAATGTGAAACGGAGAGTGATCCTCACTGGAACACCCATCCAGGTTCGTTTTCCATCTCCGCCACGTACCTCAACTGAGATGTATTCCAGAACGATCTCACCGAATACTTCTCTCTCCTTGACTTCGCCAACCCCAACTATCTGGGCTCAAAAGCTGACTTCCGGAAGAACTTTGAGAATCATATTGTCCGAGGGCGTGATTCTGAGGCCACCGATGCTGCGAGGGCCACCAGTGAAGAGAAGTTGAAACAATTGGGCGGCCTTGTCACCAAATTCATCATCAGGCGCACAAACGATCTGCTTTCGAAATACTGTAAGTTGTCGACATACTTCGAATAGGGTACTCGGAAGCTGATTCTGTTCTCCAGTGCCTGTCAAGTATGAACAAGTTGTCTTCTGCAAGCCATCTGCCCTGCAACTCAATCTGTATCGCTTGTTTATCAAGTCTCCCGAAATCCAAGCTCTTCTCCGGGGGAAAGATTCACAGCCGCTGAAAGCGATCAACTTGCTCAAGAAGTTGTGCAATCACCCCGAGCTTTTAAATCTACCAGAAGATCTGCATGGATCTGGAGAGTTTCTCCCCGATGACTTTCCTCAGGACGAGAGGAGCAGAAGTCGAAACCAAATTGTCAAGTGTGACTTGAGCGGCAAGTTTCTTGTGCTGGAGCGGTAGGCATATGAGTTCAGGTCTTTGCAGCGATGTGATTGATTTCAGATTCTTGCGCAACCTGCGGGCCAACACGGACGACAAGATCGTGCTCATTAGCAATTATACCCAAACAATGGACATGTTCGAGAAGTTGTGCAGAAACAACAAGTGAGTGACTCAGCGCTCTCGGGAATTTGGGCTGTGGCTTACCGTTTCCGAGGTACGGGTACTTCCGACTAGATGGCTCGATGAGCATTATCAAGCGCCAGAAGATGGTAGATCAATTCAATGATCCAGAGGGCAAAGAACGCGTTTTTCTTCTGAGTAGCAAGGCCGGAGGCTGCGGTATCAACCTGATTGGCGCCAATCGACTTATCCTCTTCGATCCGGGTAAGTTGGGGATCGCAAATAGATTTAATGCACCAGCTCATAGATCTAGATTGGAATCCCGCTTCAGATCAGCAAGCGCTTGCCCGAGTCTGGCGTGACGGCCAGAAGAAAGAATGTACGGGAGGCGTCGTGTCCTTCATTTTCTTGCTCTGATGTCAAATGTGCAGGTTTCGTCTACCGCTTCATCACTACTGGAACGATCGAAGAGAAGATCTTCCAGCGGCAAGCGAGCAAGCAAGCATTGTCGTCTGCAGTCGTCGACGAGCTGCAAGATGTGGAGCGGCACTTCTCGACTGATGCTCTGCGGAAGCTCTTTCTCTTCAACGAGACAACGCTCTCAGAAACACACGAGACGTTCAAATGCAAACGATGTAAAGAAGGAAAGCAGATTCTCAAAGCCCAGGCGCTACTTTACGGCGATGCAAGCACGTGAGTCGTTGCATTCAATCATCTGGGCGCGATTCCAACCTTCCTCAGATGGAACCACTTCACAAACTTTGAGCTCAAGAACAATCACGACGACTTGCTCAGGGCTGAAGTTGGACTGCCCGAAGTTTCGTTCGTTTTTCAGTACATATCACACTTCAACTAGTAGTCGTACATTTGTAACATATCACTCATCCTAGTCCAAGACGCTGTCCCAGTCGTCCCAGCCACCACCACCCGTCTCTCGAACTTCGACTTTTTCTCCAAGCGCGCCAAAATAGGCAGCCTTGTGCCAGGCAAGCATATCTTCCTTGCTGAACGGTCCAAACACGGTGCCAGGATCACTGCCGTCTGTTCCTCGCCATTTGTATTCGTACGTTTTGTCGTTCGATGGTGGAGTCCACGATTCGTCCACGAATCCAGAGGAGCGTACAGATCGAACCAGTTCTTCGTACGTTCGTGAATAGATGTCCGCATCGCCCAGAGTCATAAGCGTAGACGCCAAATGAGTTACTCGTTCAATGGCGGAGGGCGCCTTGAGAGTATCGTCGACGTTCATAGGATCCTTCCCTGCTCTGGAGTTGGTCAATGGCTGGTGAGTTAAAGTGCAGGCATAGTCGCACTTGTTCTTCTTCGCGGACTTCTTAGCTTCGACACCCAAGCGCTGCAATGCTTCAAGAATGGTTTCCCCCTTCTTTAGCAATCCGAGTAGCTCCATCTCCATTGCGGGTTTCCCCCCACTTTCCTGCAGCTCTTTCTCTTCAGCACGAACGCGCTCCTTCTGTTTTCTGTCCTGCTCCTTCTTCCTCCTCCGCGCGAGCTTGATCTCTCGGTCGTCTAGTCCTTCCATCCACCGATCGTGCACACCATGGGGATCAAAAGTCTTCACATATGAACCGTCCTCGGTGAACTTTCCCTCTTCCATCTCCTCCCGCATATTGAAAGAGGACATCTCGAAGCCCATCCCAGCCTTCTTGCGCCGTTCAGCGTCATCTTCGTCCTCCGGCTCATCTTCATCCAGACTATCCTTCTCATTGTCGGAATCCTCAAACTCTTGCCCTTCTATGTCCCCGAGACGTAGATACTCTTCCTTCTTCTTCGCAGTCTCGCCGTCTTTTTTGTCCGTGTCCTCTGCCATGGCGAACATATCATCGTCTTCCTCCTCCCCGTCCTTTCGGCGACTCAGGACAACGCCTTCTCCATCATCACTTGAGTCTGAGTCGTAGCCCTCTGTCTTGACCCTGCCCTTTCGTGTGGTTTGCTCCAGTGCCGCGTCGACTTCTTCAGCGAAGTTGGTAGGGTCATCAGAAGGGTCTACGAAACGCGTCTTCTTGGACGGCGGAGGCTTGGATTTAGACGAAGATGCCTGGGCCTCGGATCCTGCAGCGCGTTTTCGACCTCCAGACATGGTGGGAATGAGAGCAACTGAGCAAGATGAAGATGCGAATCTGTGCGTCACCTGACGACGGCATCATAAAGTATACATTGGAGATTGCAGCAACAGTTCTAAGTTGAAGCAGCTACTACCGTGCTTGTACATAGTCATCAATTTTCAACAGTAGACAAACCGTCTCGGTTGCCAATTCGATAGCACTGGTGCTGACGAGGAGAGGCTGGACAACGTCTTCCTCCAAGATGTTCGATATCAATCCCTGTGGACGCTATCGATATCCTCGACACAGAACGGAGCAAGTATTCGTACCTTGCGAACATTGATACCGGCTGTACGTTCTCCCAACGCGTGTCGATTCCTTAGCTCAGTGACGATGGCGATGGGGTTCAGCCCAGCATTCTCGGCAAGGGTGGTTGGGATGACTTCCAGTGCATCCGCATAAGCCTGGAAGCAGTATGCCTCCATGCCTTTCAGCGATTGAGCGTACTGTGACAACAGCCTAGACACGTGGATCTCTGGAGCACCTCCTCCCCCGATGAGAGCGCTACAAACCGTCAGACTCGTTGACGAGATCCACACAATCTACTCACCGTTTCTTCACCAAACACCGCACAACGCACAACGCATCGTGCAGACTACGTTCGCACTCCTCCACGACCAGGTTGTTACTGCCCATCGCCAAGATACTGACAGTACGGCCCCGGTTTTTGATCCCAGTGATCTTGACGACTTTGGGGCCCAACTCCGATGACTCTTCCACCAGATCAGCGTAGCCCAGCTTGTCTTCAGTGAATGCCTCGATATCAGCAATGGGTTTGCAACCCAAACTCTTCGACAAGAATTCAATCTCATCCCGCTCCACATCCTTCACAGCCATGATGTTCAAACGCTTGAGGAAGTTCAGAGACGTGTCATCGACGGCGTCCCGTAATATCGACTTCTGAATCAAAAGCACATTGCAGTTGGCTTTCTTGATCTTTTTGCAGATGTTCAAAAGGTACTGCCGGCCCTCTTTGATGACCTTATCCATTTGACGGTAGTCGTTGATGACCACAGTGTTGTCCATCTAGGTAAATGAGAATCTGTGAGAATGCACACAAAGACGCTCACATCAGGTTTGGGTGCGCTCAGCTGGAACTGAATGATGGCAATCTTCGCCTTCTCCATCCGAGTCGGGCCACCAGCGGACACGATGACATTTTGGTTTAGAACGACGCCTTCCACGAGCTCGGTATCCTCAATCGTTCCACCGACTTTCTTCACCACCCTGATATCCCGCAGATCGACATTAGAAGACGTAGGCGTAACAAGACGAGTCACTGCAGCGACGGCGATGGGCGCAAGTGTAGACGAGTATTGAGACACAATCTACGCGTACGATTGACTGGTAGGCCCAAGGATCAAACGAACATCACACACCTTCGAGTTCAACGACGTGCTTGCGGCTCGCAAAAGACTAGTTTTATCACTGAGATCGATCGGCGTCGACATTTCAGTTAGATATTCGACCGCTTTGGTGGACGCCTTGAGGAATGCCTCCGCGATGATGGTTGGGTGCATGCCCTTCTGCAGCATTTTCTCCGCAGCTCCCAAAAAACTTCCTGCGAGAACGACCACAGACGTCGTCCCATCTCCGGCTTCAACATCCTGCGCTGCAGACAGATCGACCAACTGATAATTTTTCGTCAGTGATAGAATAAGAGGGAATCGAGTGCACTCGCCATCTTGGCAGCGGGATGTAAGGCCTGGATGCTCTTGAGGATCGTTGCCCCATCGTTGGTGATGACAACCTCGCCCTTGGATGTTTGGATCTGGGAGTAATTTATAGATACCCGTCGGGAGCACTGATTGGGTTCCAATTCACCATCTTGTCCATTCCCCTCGGTCCAAGCGATGTCCGGACTGCATCGCTGATAGCTGTTCGAATCGTTGACATTTGGGCGCGTCAGGAGGTGCAGGGTACGTGCCTTTTGCAGCGACCATGTTCGACAAGCGAAGTTCCATGGGCTTGCCCTATCGTTCGACGCGTCAAAAAAGGTGAATCCGGGACTGGATGGAACGGGCCTTGTCATTGAAAGAGGCATTGGCGCCGGATGCGAGCTTCGCTGGCCCTGGCTTGGTCTGTGAGGCCATGGAAATGTCGAGAAATAAAGTGGACGCGTATGTAAACAACTACAAAGCATTGCGTACGCTTTCGATTAATTGCTCCTTATTCATTACCACAAACATGGCTTTCGTGCGTTGTTGGCTAAGCGTACACCGGGTCATTCTCACCCATATGTAGTTTGGAGGAGGCGGACCTGCGGGCTTATTCTCTCAACTAACAGCCGGGTAGGAGCGCGTTCCGCTTGCACTTCGCTTCGAGCACTCACAGTCTACATCAGTGGATATGGACCCCACATGGGCCGTGTACCTCCTCGAGCATACGACGAGTATTTCAAAGCGTATAGTGTGGCGATGCTACCAGGGAAGGAGCGTGTCAATGTATCTTACGGTGGAAAGAGTACGCGACCTTGACCCTTGATCTTGAACTCTTCGCTCATGCTATAGACAGTCATCATGCCGCCTTCTGCACTTGCCCACATCACACAGCTAGATCTTCCATCGCCCTGGATGTTCCAGCTCCGCAATCCAGCTAATTCGGCAGCTTCAACGCATGCGGGTGTTCTTGAATTCATTGCGGAGGAGGGATGCGTTCACCTTCCGTATTGGATGATGAAGACCCTACGGTTGAATGAAGGAGATCCTATTCGTATCACCGGCACTGAGCTTTCCAAGGGCAAGCTTGTCAAATTCCAGGCTCAGAGTGTCCATTTCCTGGAAATTACAGATCACAAAGCCGTGTATGACGCCTCTCATCCGAGCCAATACCTCCATCCTCATGATCTTATAGTCTTGAGCAAGCACTCCGGAACTTCTCGGCGTTGACCCAAGGCGATATCATCGAAATCAACTACAACTCGATTGTGTTCGGTATCCTCGTAATGGAAGCCAATCCCGGGGGCGGGGGGATTAGTATCTTGGACACCGATCTTGAAGTCGATTTCGCTGCACCCGTAGGCTGGGTCGAACCTGAGAGGCCGAAAGCAGCACCCCCATCGACCATGGCTTCTAAGCTCAAGATCGATCTGAACTCGTCGTCTCCCGGCTCATCCCGGCCCGGCTCGTCTTTGAGTGGCTTTGGTGGTCCCTCGGCGCAGAACACAGTGAGCAAGGATGGCGATGACTGGGAAAGTTTCAAGGGAAAGGGCGAAACTCTTGGCGGCCGAAGGACGAAAGGAAAGGGAATCTCCATGAGGCAAGCCGAAGCGGTACCGGAAGGAAGCAAGATATTCAGGACTGAGTAGGTTCTTCGTCTGTTCTGAGGTTTTCTCACTCAGCGTTTCACAGTACCGCCCGTATCGTTTCAAACGACTCACTGGAAAGCAATATCACGGTCCCGGCAGCTCTTAACTTGCCGTTCGGGCAACTCTTCTTCGGCTTCAACATTTCTCCTTACGAACCACCGCCAGCCCCGGAAGCATCAGCTCCGTCTCCCAGAGTATGCTATCTTTTTCTCGCTCGCTCAAGTCTTCACTGACACACATCCAGGACGCGGCTTTTGGCGGGATGGGAAACACGCTCACCGGCCGGTCAACAGGCACGTCTTCAGCGAAAGGAAAGGGAAAAGCCCGCGAGGAGAAAGCAGAAACAGCGTCGTGGGGTGGAACGGGGCAAACCTTGGGCGCCAGTACTCCGCGAGAGGTCGGTCCTGTCGGTGCCGGCGGAGCACGGGTGCCCAGATTGTCCCAACGTCAGCCGCCGAACCAGAAGCCTGCGAAGGAACGCAGTCCCTCTCCGGACTGGGGTGTGGACGACGACGATGTGATCATGATAGACTCGGACTAGACACGCAATGTAATACTATCATTCGAAGAATTTACAAGTACGACGAGGCGTGGATTCAAAGAGCATCGATCCGGTTAATTCTCCCGCGCAAGGCGACACCAAGAAGATCAAGCCTGGTTCAGCCTGCGCTGGCGTCCGAGTTTTCGTGGGTTGACGCGTCTGACTGAGAGGGCGCGCAGCAGAGACTCGTTTCCACAGCTGCATATGTTCGCTCGATTCCAGTCGTTCCCGGATCCATTCTGGGCCGAGCGTTCCTCCTTTGACAGGTTTCGTAGCCGGCTCTGTAGGAAGAGAAACTGGGGGATTCGAATCGGCGATGGGGTGAGATAGGACGGGAGGCTCTTCGATGGCCATAGCGGACAAGTCCTTCGCGATCTCCGAGTCTGCTTCGGGTATTGGCAACGATGTCGTCTTTGTGCGCCGCGCGTCGGATCCGACCTGGGTGGATTCAGACAGTTTGCACAGCGGGAAACCATAAATAACGCACCTGCACTTCCTCAGGCGACATGTTGAGCTTGACTTCGGGATCGGCGCGCAGAGAAGATGTACATTCGGAGCTCTGCTCCAGGACCTCAAGCGGGGCCGGGGAACTCCGCTTCCGCTGAGACGGTGTGTGTGCACGAGACGGCGCAGAGGCCACCCTGAGCACAGGCTCTGTCTCGCTCTGTCTCTGTTGGGGATGGGGAACCGGCGGCGAAGGCGAGTCGCGTGAGAGATCCACCGTTTCGAGGTGAGGACTCAGTGTCAAGTCGACGATTCCCGCTGTTTCAGCGACGGTTCCGATGCTGGCATCCTGATCCTCCTCGTCATCATCAGCGATCTCGATGACTTCCAGACCCGATCCGCAGTAGAGGCACTGCTAGCAGTCTTGCGAGCCGACTTGTTGGAGGTGCGTCGTCGAATCGGACCGGGCGGGAGGATACCTGACTCGCTAATGGTCGAGGATGACATAGACACCGGGTCTTCAGGAATGAAAATCGTCTGGCGAGAGACTGCTTTTGTCTTGGAGGATCACCGGGAGTCAGAGAGGACGAACTACACGCCCACAGAAACTTACTTTGCCAGCGCGCCGCTCACATCTGGAGCACATCCACGGTATTTCAAGGAGCGCTGGGTCGGTCATCACTGCCTGCTGCATCCGCACAATTTGCTGAGGGGTTATTCGCGGCACGTAGCACTCTGCTGTTGCTCAGGCGCGCGGGGTGTCGGAACAAGCGACTGACTTACGGTGATGCCAACTTCGCCGGCATGCAGCAGTCCCCGTGTTGCATGTGAGAAGCACATTATTTGGGGAGGAAATGGAACTATCGCAAGCCTGGCATCGAGGATTCTGTCCAATAGGCATTTGCGAGTCAAAGTACACGGTCAAGGGAATCTTGTTAATGATGAGATCAAAGTTGATCTGAATCAAGGCGATTTCGCATTCGTTTGGCCTCTGCGATAGGTAGCTCCACCGTTCGTAGCACAAGAGCAGTCGCGATGGGCCCTCTATGCAAAGAATCCCGGAAGATGAGCGCTGTTAAATCAGCGAGCACGTGACCGTGTAACTCGATTGGCAAAGATCAGATAAGATTTCTGTTGTGATCACATCTAGCATGTGTCGAGCATAGAGTTGACTGGATAACGTCCGTTAAACAGAGTGGGACCAATCTGCTGGTCCTAATCACTGTCTTCTCGGCCCCGTTAGAACCGTACTGACGTGAATACCCTCTAGCTCTCCTTCCCGCCTCCATAACGGCGACTGTGACCGCAAATGACACTTCGGAATGTACTATGGGGGGAGCGCCCGGCGACTGCTGAGGAGCGGCGGCTTCTGTTCAAGATAGACTGGTTCGTTCTGTCGTTCATATGTCTGCAGTGAGTGTGTATTGGCGCTGTGGGAAGCACTCTCCTCATCCGGACAGATATTTCGCGAATTGCAAGTCTTGGTTTTCCATGCGCTGCCTCGTGATTTTCTGATTTGCAGCGCTTCGGTAGACCTCGATCGAGCCAACCGTGCGCTGAGACGTTTTTGTTCTCGTCATGCCGCTGCCTGATCGTCTGATTCGCAGTTGCCAATGCCTAGTATGTGGATCCCGGCGGAACTCGTGACCTCGTTCTGAAGGTTCGCAGCGTGTCAGGAATGAAACAAGCCTTGAATATGAAAGGCCACGATTTCAACAAGTGGGTTTCTACGTTGACATACCGACTCGGTCTCAATGATTGCAGTGTCAATTCGATGTTCACTGTTGGGTACACCATCGCCCAAATTCCGCAAAATCTTCTTCTGCATGTCGTGCCTGCCCGGATCCTGTTCCCAGCCAATACACGTGACCTTGTCCGCTCTTGGCTATGATATTTCTCTCTGACACTGGAATACACCAGTGATCTGGGGGTGCCTGACGATGCTCACCGCTGCGGCGAAAAACGTCAGGCATCTATACGTAATCCGGTTCTTCCAGGGGATGGCAGAAGCCTCGACGTTTGTTGGAGCAGTGAGCGTCGTTGCTTACCAAGCTGGACTTGTGTTCTCTGACGCCGTAATATCCAGCATTATATTATGGTCTGGCTCTGTGACAGGAGAGTCACTGAATGTCGCTGAATCAGTACGAACAGGGCTCGTGGTACAAGGACTCGGAGCTCGGCAAGCGCGGAGCCATTTTCTCTAGCTCAGCGCAGGTGGCCACCATATTCTCCGGGGTCCTTCAGGGTGACTCCGGTGCTTCAAAGTACTGCGAATTGTTCCAACTGACCTGTCCCCAGCTTCCATCTATCGCAACCTCAATGGCCTGCACGGTCTGCCTGGATTCAGATGGCTGTTCATCATCTGTACGACGCCTGCCACACCCTTTCAGCTCTCCGGTGACACTCTCCAGGCGGCCTAATCACGGTTCCCATCGCGTTGTACGGGTTCTTCTTCTTCCCGGACACGCCAGAGACGACTTCTGCGCGGTATCTGACTCCCCAGGTTGGCCAAATCCACGTGGTCTCGGATGATGCTCATTCTCTCTGCCAGGAACGAGCGCTTGCGGTGTCACGTCTCCCGGTCAAGCCCAAGACGCGGCTGGATTGGTCTCTGATCCGCCGGGTACTGGGGCGGTGGAGAATCTATGCGATGTGTCTTATCTGGGTGAGCACTTGTAATGTTATCACTGATGTATTCTAGGTCTCAATCCCTCTCAGATTGTCGGCGGAGAGCTCGAGTCCATCGGGAGCAACTCGCTCATGGCACTCTGGATGTCTGCCAGCGTCCATCCAAAGTACACAATCCCAAATATCAACTACTATCCCGCCGGCGCAACAGCTGTGGCCATTATCGCGCTTCTGGGCACGGTACGCACCGCTTTCTGCCCGAGTCAAGGAGAATGTAGATTGACGGCTGGAACAGGCTGTGTGGACTGACTACACACAGAAGCGATACCAAGTGAATATCCTGATTGCAGTGTGTATGCTGATATCGTCCTCGGTCCTCCTTGCCTACCCCTCCACGGGCAGCATATTCTTCGCCTTCTATCTGGCCGGGTGCGTCACCCGAATTGGCTCGTGAGCCTGGTTTGAGTTTGACGGATGCCCCGCAGTGTTTCATACGCAGGCCAGGCATCCAACTTTGGCTGGTGCAACGACCTTGCGCGCGGCGACGACCAAGAGCGTTCCGTGATTCTGGCCGCGATGAACATGTGGAGCAACGCCTTCAACGCCTGGTGGTCTATCGTCTTCTTCCCGGCCAACGATGCGCCGAGGTGGCGGCGAGGGATGGTCTCCATCATCGTGCTATGCCCCCTCATCGTGCTTCTCACGGCGTACACGAGATGGCGGCAGATTTCGGAGCAGAGACATGAGCAGCGGGAAACCGTGGCAGACACAGAAGAGAAAACATAGAGACCGTGTATTTGCCAATGTCAGGTTTCTTCGTTGGCTGCCCAGCACCAGTGGCCGCAGCCAGAAACACAGGGATGCCCGAAGCGCTTTTCGTTCGCGGCTGCTTCGCCAGGGCCATTCAAGGCCTGGTCGCGGGCGCGCCGTCGACCCCGGGTCTCGTCTGTCAGCACCGAGCCTGGCATGGGCACCATCGAGTTCTCCATGTAGTACCGCCGATAGCACGATTGGTGGCCACCGTGATGACAGATCGAGCATTGGAAAAGCAAAGTCCGCACAGGCAGCCGGCTGCGCGTCCATCAGCGTCCGGATGCATCGCGACTGACAAAATAACGAGACCGCACCAGATTGCACACGTGACACAGTGTGCTTTGCACGTGGAGCAGAAGGCGTATGCTCCCCGCACGAGCTGTCCCGCTGACGATACGACGATCGCCTTCCTGCATTTCCCGCACAACGTGTGGATCACGGTCTCCACCTGCGCACGTGAGTGATGCGCGCGGGTTTTGCAAGTAAGCGCTCACCAAGGTTCGGTTCCGCACTTCTTCCGTCTGGCAGAATTTCCGGATGTAGGCAGCCGTCGTGTACAATTGCAAGCGGGACAACAGCTCTGAGGTGGATAAGTCTCAGGCAGCACTGCTCAGCGGCCGACACTCACCGATGTATGACTCGAGGTAACGCAGGATCTGCCTCGGCTGCAATCGCAGTTCCTCAGGCGCCACTAGAGCCAGCATAGCACATGTCTGGACATCGCCCTCATCCGCAAACTGGCGCAACGTGTCTCGCAGAATCTCCCATGTGATCTGGTGCAGGTTATACTCGTCCTGGTGGACGAAATCGGCCCTGCGGTCCGATAACTTGTGCAAGTCAGCGCTGTCCTGCTGCTCTTGGTCGGCTTGTTGCATCTCTGCAGATTTCTGCGCCCGAAGGTCTCTGATCGTTTCCTCCGCTTTCAGCCCGTGCGGGTCATGGAACGAGACCTCTCCCGTCGCAGTCACAGTTTGGATGCTGCTGTGCGACGACTCCCGCCTCAGCGACGCCAGTGTAGTGGAGCTCCTGCTGCTCGCCTTGAGTCGAGACGCGTAGCTCGTCGATCGGGACTTGGATTTGGGGGACTGATACCGGCTGCCCTCGACGTCAGTGGAATTGGGGGAAACCGACGAGTCGTCCCCGGCTGATTCCTGCTCCATTTCTCTTGACAAGGGCTCGGCGCTGGGGGTATGGACAGCGAGCGGCTTTTCATGCGGACTGGGGTGACAGCAACCACGGGGCCGCCAGCCTCGTCGTCATCATCATCGTCGGTCCGCTCGTCGCCCGTGCCTCCGTCCGAAGAGTCGTCCTCGTCCGAGTCGAGTGCGCCCTCACCGACGTGCTTGGCGGAATCAAGCAAGGTCGGAGACAGAAGCGAACTGCTCGTCATGGAGAGCTTTCGCAAGTGCGATGGTCGCCGCCCTCCAGATAGGCTCGAGTCGCCGGACTTGCGACGACCCATAGGCGGGCGCGAACTCGTCGGCGGCAGTGATCCCACGTGCAGCCGTGGAGACGACGACGCGGAGGAAACGGGCGTGCGCTTCCTGGATGTCGACGTACTGGTGTCTCGTGACGAGGAGACTGGCGGGAAGGCGTAATTGCTTGTGATCGCGGCGGTGGCAGTCGGTGAGACGAGCGGATCTGACACGACATTTTTCAGAGCGGTAGCCATCAGTGACCACACTTGAGCGACCTTGATGCTCCCCACATCGAAAGCGGTCTGTGACGAAATGAGTCCTGCCCAGACGCGTGAAAGACGGTACATGCCTGGGCATTCATCTCGCACAATGCGAGACGGGAAAAACCCTCAATGGTATACGCGCGAGCGAATTTGGTGATTGTCTCAATCCCCGTGAAAGAGTCGAGATCGGAGAAGTTGGCTAACGTTTGATGCTGAGGCTGATACTTGGGATCTCCCAATGCCTTGATTAGAGTATTCTTGCGCTTGTCGCTCATTGCAGCGCGATAGTCAGGACGTCTAGAGATTTCAGTCAACAACAAATCGATACAGCTGAGGGCGGAGAAACAGACAGATCATCGTAAGGAACCTCCCATTGGTCACGGGATCCAACGGCAAACGCCAACGAGCCTGAAGCTTCCCAAGCAACGGCAGAGCGAGGGATCGCGTCAATAGGTCGAATAGACTCGCGAAGATCGAGCTGCGAGAACATTCCAGACGAATGACTAGCCCATAACGCGTGAGAGTCGCGAAATGCAATGTCTAGAAACCTGAGTATAGAGCTTGTTCCATAGGGCATCAAACATACCAGTGACACCACCGTCGATAGCAGACCCGCGGATCGACCATTTGGCAATCCATCCACGCCTGGCATCCCATATCTCAACAGCGTCGCCGATTCCCGCAGTCGACTTGTGCCTGTCAGCGGTTGCAGATGCACGGTTGACTCTCTCGCTCTGAGGGCTGAGAACCGACGCATAAGTTCCCCGGGAATTGGAACCGGCCAGTTCGGAGAAATTGCCGCTGCCAAATTCAGCATTGGAGTTGGAGATCACAGCCACCTCGCAAACATAGCCAGGTCGCCACAACACTCTCCGAACGGGAAACGATGGATGCAGTGTGTATGAAGGTTTCCGCGATCCACGGGCATCACCGCTTGCTGGAGGATCGAGAGCAACTTTGGTCAGATCCCAGATCTATGGCACCGATATCAGCATCGCGCCGAATTCAACGATTGGTCGACACTGACCTTCACGGTTTTATCGAGCCCCGATGTGACCAACCAGCCCAACCCAGAGCTGGTGTCCGCAGCCATCTCCCCGTCGCGCAGACACCAATCCATCGATGTCACACTAGAGGAATGGGCGACAGGTAGGCGGTCTATTGTACCGCGCTGACCCAATCGCAAGTCAAGACTAGGATCCGTCAAGGGCGTGACAAATCGAGGCGCAGATAAATTACCGAAGCAAACTGCCGTTCTCGAAACCAGCGATGACTTGCAGGGCCGAAGACGGATTCGGAGAAAAGGCCATCGCGCGGATTGCACTGGCATTCCGAATGCGCATAATGGACCGTTGCATATCCCGGATGTCCTGCAGTCCGTTCAACACCCGAAGATAAGATTCGATGCTGGTTTACCCATGCGCGTAGATCTCCGTCAGCAGAGCCGGTCACACAGTAGTGCTGAGCGAGGGGAGAAACGGCCAACTTGTGTACAGAGCGGACGTGGTCCTTGGCTTTGCGTTCTGATCCGAAATGAACGAGGTAGCCGACCACAGTCTGTTCGTGACCCACCAAACTTGGAGGATCTGGTCAAGTCCCACATTATCAACTCTCCGCTCTTAGCGCCGGTCAGTATCTTGTGATTGAACACTTGTTCGGCATGAGAATAGCTTTCAGAGGATGAAGCGGTTGAGAACGCACGCCCATGGCACCAGGCCACATCTGTTATGGTGCTTTCAACCTTGAGACCGCTCCCATCCCACATGTTTCTCGATGCATCCAGACGATACCCGCCAGGTCCCAGACTCCATCTGTGCTCTGAGGAAGGATGCACTTCGTCCGGACTTGTGGCCCGAATGATTCGCAGGTCTACAGGCCGAGCGTAAGTTTCGCAGCTGTTCCGTGATAGGAACAGACAGACATTCTCTGCCGCCCACTACACAGCGCAATCCATCCTCGCTCTTGCTGATGATGCCGCCGCTTTGCGTGGCACGAGGCAAGCGCACGTTGCGGGTCGCAGACGGATCCCCGGGCTGTTGAATGTTGCCCCCCTGCGGAAGATGCGTACGCGAATCGGAATAGAGACTGGGAAGGTCAGCGTTGGCTCGGATGGTGAGACGCGCCGCCGACATGGTGGAACAAGGTAGGGGTTCGGCCGAAGTCTCCGACGTTCAACGCGGTCACGGGACTTCGCATTGATCTCTCATCACCTTTCCTGTCCCTCACCACGTAGCTGAGCCGTCGGCTCTCAACATGTTTCCCCAGTGCTCGTGAGGGATGAAGTTTTGTCCTTCAAACCAAGGCGGCTGTAGGCGATATCCGGTGCCTGGCGAAAAGCAGTCGCAAGTATGTGCTCGTGCTCTAACGTCATCGATGGGGGAGTCGTCACAGCCCGTCACTGGCTCAAGTCTGGACCGAAGATAAGAAAGCACTGATCGAGTCTCCCGCCGGCCAGAACTCTTCCTCTCGCCCTTCAAAAGTGTGCGTTTTTCGATAGCAGGATCCCGTCTTCAGCATGAAATACGTTCGCCTTGGAAACAGCGGCCTGAAGGTCTCTCGTATCATTCTTGGTTGCATGAGCTATGGATCCCCGGAGTGGCAGAAATGGGTGCTTGAAGAAGAAGAGTCTCTCAAGCACATAAAGGTGCGTTATCTTTCCAGGGTATCGTCATCTTGTAAATTTCGCAGACTGCATACGATGCGGGTATCAACACTTTCGACACTGCCAACACTTACAGCAACGGTGCATCCGAGGTGATCTTGGGCAAAGCGATTAAGCAGTTCAATCTCCCGAGAGACGAAATTGTGGTCATGACCAAGGAAAGTGAAATCTTCGCATCACAGGGCGCGTTCATAATTCTACGCCTTGCTCTCCTGCAGGTCTTCTTCCCCTGTGGCCGTCAGCCCAGCGATCTGGCGGCTTATCTCCCGAACTTCGATGAGGGTGGATACGTCAACCAGCACGGTCTCAGTCGCAAGGTCAGCTTGTCGTTCATCGGGGTATTAAGTCTCACACTACGCGTGCAGCACATCTTCGATTCTGTCAAGCACAGTCTTGAGCGCCTTCAGCTCGATTATATCGACGTTTTGCAATGTGCGACGCAATCACTGCTTAAAGAAGCCGACTCAACTCCGGAATAGGTCATCGTTTCGATAAAGACACCCCGATTGAAGAGACTGTGAGAGCTTTGGAATGCTCGATTCTTGCTCCTAACCAGATACAGATGCAAGCTCTGCACGATGTTGTCAAAGCGGGATACGTGCGGTACATCGGGATGTCCTCTTGCTGGGCTTGGCAATGTAGGTCATTTGAACTGTGAAATCTCATTCTTGTGCTGACTCATTGCATCACAGTCAGTATCATGCAGAGTGAGTCTCCAGGTGTGGTCTTTCTCTCCGTGGCTCACGCGGTCTGCAGATTATGCGATCCAGAACAATCTTACCCCTTTCATTTCGATGCAAAACCACTACAGCATGGTGTATCGCGAGGAAGAGCGCGAGATGATGCCCACTCTGAAAGTATGTCGCGCGTACACCGTTGATGTTGAATTTCAGCTCATCTGATCAAAAAGCACTTAAAGTCGGATGTATCCCCTGGTCACCACTTGCACGTGGGCTTCTGACTCGTCCTATCTCTGAGCAGAGCAAGCGAGGATCACTGGACATGTCAGAGAGAATCCCACTTTCAGACGACATCCGATCCTGACGTTTCTGCGTAAGGACAATCAGCAGTTATCACAGCGAACCGACGACTAAAATTGTGAACAGAGTAGAAGAAATCGCAAAGAAGAAAGGTAAATGCGATGATTGCTCGGTGTCTTCTGCAATGTAACGTCTCACAGGGAAGACGATGGCTCAGATTGCCTTGGCTTGGGTGCTGGCAAAGGATGGTTCGTGATGTTCTCACTCGGCCGAATCAGTGGGCTTACCAAGGTCATAGCTGTCACGGCACCCATCGTCGGTTCGACTTCATTGAACAATCTCGGCGAGCTGTTTGGTGTGTACCGCATCTTCACTTGCCCGATAGTTCATCTCATGCATTACGACGAAAGCTGCCACCGAGATCGAATTGAGCAAGGAAGAAGTCGAGTACCTCGACGAGCCTTACCAGCCAGGAAAAGTAATCGGACACTCATGAGTATTGTTCAAATACGTCTCCGTGTCAAAATGTATAATCTAAATTCGTATATGTACACAATTCATGTGCCAACGTCAATCTGGATATGTCTAAGAATGGTTTCCTCGATTTCGAATAGAGGAAGCTTGCCTCAAGACCACAGTTGGAATTGGAACGAACAGCTGTCCCAAATATACGGGCAGCCGAAATCTTCCCTGCTGGGGGCAGCCCCGCCAGGATTGAAATCGCCCGTGCACGTACAATCATGGCCTGTTTCCGCTAGATCGAAGTCAATGAGACGGACATCGCCTCCGTACACCAAGACGTTCCTCTCCGCAAACTGAACTTGGTTGAGTAATGTCCATTGCATATATGAATAAACAGCTTACGTCGTTATGTAACAGTCCTTTTCGATGAACAGCGCGCAGACACTCCAATATACGAATCCTGGAGAGTCAGATGTGAGAGCAGTTTGTGACCAACAAATAAGAACTCGACTTGAGATCAACATGTAGAGTCCCGAATGTCTGATCTAAACACTCGCCCCAGTACTCTAAAACAAGGCAGGCAACAGGTCGATCCCCATCGGCAAGACCTGTCCACAGACCAAAGGCACGAGGGACCACGCTTCCCTGCAGTGTCTTGGGCCCAATGAGACCACAGAGAATCGAAAATGAGGATCGAGAAGGGGTCACACCTGCAGCAGCCCACCATATAGCTTGTTCTCTTTCTCAAGTGCAGGTATGAGATCCTCTCGCATGGCAAATTTCAAGACGCAAACGGGTGCACTTGCCGCATTGGTGCTCTCCCAGAATGCTCGGAAGATGGGGGTATCGGAGTTGTAATCAGCATCAGAATTGGAGGGATCGACTCGTATGATGATAGAGTCGCCAGCAGTAGTGGTCGGAGGGCCAGTGGGCGAGAGAGTGAGTGAGTTCAGAGTCCAGCCTGGCCATGCAGGGAACTTGATACAAAGAGACGCCATATGAGCGTGTGGAATGAGCAGCTGAATGCGCTCAATCCGGTGGTGCAGAACGAAGATATGATAGGAAGGCCGACTCAATTTCAAGTGGTGGACAGGAAGTCGTGGAAACGGTAAGGCAAGCCTTGCGTCCGGAAGTTGCCGCCATGCATCAAGAGTGACAACTTCGTGCAGATAAGATAGGATATCAACTGATGATCGTGACATCATCCCATCGCTGGGAGTTGACTACGGCGCTCAAATCTCCGATCCAACATCTTCTAAGCCCAATAACCCGCAGATGATGCCACCGAGACCACTGCAAAGCACCCAATCTGTCGTGCGCGCCCTTTTGGTCCTTCAGCCATGAGTTATAGGAAAGATCGAGGACCTCTAGTGATGGACAAATTGCGGGCAGCCTGTGCAGCGGAACGGGGTTTGGAATGTTTATGAGCCCGATATGGGTCAAGGAGAACGGTAGATTTTGCAATATTGACATAGAAACCGGCGCCGTCAACACAACGAATGTGTGCAGAGGCATCGGATTCATGGACAAATCCCCGCCATCGTCAGCGTCCCATTCATCGGCGGGCGCATCGTCCTGCAAAGCAGGGAGTCCGATAGCTGTCGGATCTGCTTTGGGTCCGACCACGATCAACTCGCCGTCCGCACTACAGGATGGCCCGCACAACACTTTCAATTCCGAGGTCGTGAGGGGTAGATGGACAGCGGCCCAGCGCAGTATTTCGCGACCGAGGTGTGGGGGAATGTGTTGTACGATGAACTCGTCAAGCCCGACTTTGGACACGAGCAGCTTAATGCACATGGTCGTAAGACTTGACACTCGCTGAGAGCTCGGAATGATCTCGGGAATGACGACAGAAAGCGCGTCCGCGCGCTGGCCCGGGGTTGCTGAGAAGTCGAGCGGGTCTTCAGTCACCCGTTTGGCGATGAAGAGGGCTTCCCTATAATCCAGTTGCTTCTCAGGTTTCGGAGCGTCGTCCCATTGCAAGAGATCTGGAGGAAGGGTGCGTGAGCGGTGATTAGTCGAGCCGGCCTGCGACAGATCGCGAGGCAGTCCCTTCTTGTTTTGAGTGTGTCGATAGTATTCTCCTCTGAGATGCATGTATGAGAGTTGAACTTACAGCATCGAAGCGAAATTACCTGAGAGTATGAATGCGAGACTTGATTTTGGCGGAGCCTGACAAAAGGCTACTACTCATCGTGGTAGACGGACATGCTCGTTGCTGAGTCAGATCGTGTTGGTGATCGCCGAATCTAGGGTGATGTTATCAACGATATGGATGTGACAGAGCAGAGACACGTCCCTCGTGACCCCTTTCCCTTGTTCCTCTGCCTTGGTTCCACCACTTCAATTGACTTCGATGGCTCGCGAAGTCATCGAAATACCCTCCTCACCTGAGGCCTCGCCAGAAGTTCGCGCAAGAAAGCCAGCTCCACCAGGGAGAGCTATTCGGCGCGTCGACACTATCATCATTATTGATTCAGACGAAGAAGACCGCGCTCAACGCCAGACGCGTGATCGCAATGCTGTCGCTGGGTCTTCAAAGAAGAAAGAGAATCTTGCTCCTTTGACGCGTAGGGCCGGATCTTCCTCCCGGTCTGCCGATAACATACCCGGCAAACGGGGAGGAAAGAACAAGCCGGAGCCTTTGTTTCTTCCAAGCGACGAGGAGAACGAACCGCCGCCACCAACGACCCAAACACAAGCTGACGAGGAGGAGCATGAGGCTGTCGGCGGAACGAGATTTCCGGCGCCGCCCCCTGATCCGGTGCATATTTATGTGGCCCGCGTTCTCGAAATCGTACCGGACGTACTCGAAGAACACGCGTTATCTCTCGTCCGGAAGCATCTCAAGACCGCTGGAAATGGTTTGATAGAAACTGTGATCCATGCACTTTTCGAGAATCCGACTTATCCGCGAGCGGACAGCAAAGGCAAACGTCGTGCACAGCCCAATGAATGTGACACGCAAGGGAAACGAGTGAAACTTGACTACTCTAGCACTGAGAGGGGCTATAAGGGTGGGGTTGACTACGAGCAACTTGCCATGGATCAACTCTCGCTGGATTTCCCGCTCATTCCCAGAATGCATATCCGACTTTCCTTACTTGACCACCGTTCACTTTACGCGCCGACCTATCTATTTCTGGAGAAAGAACAGTCCTCCGAAGCTCTTCCTTATACACAGAAGCGCATCCCGACTAGACCTGCGGCGAAAGGCAAGCGGAGGGCCACTCATGATGAAGAATTCGAGAAGGAGAGAGAGTGGATCTTATCCCGTGGAGGAGCTGCGATGACTCCGGTGCTAACTGAAGCTTCGGGTGAAGCTGAGATTGAATGCGGATGCTGTTTCACCGACTCTCCCTTTGTGAGTATCTCAACCTTCCAGTTCAACACTTCTTCTGACCAATACTCAGGACAAGATGATCCAATGTCCAGATGCACATCTGTTCTGTACGGAATGTATGACTAGCTACGCCGAAAACCTGCTCGGCTCGCATGACCACAAAATCATCTGCATCGATCAATCTGGCTGTAAATTGGCTTTCACGGTCGCGGAACTACGACGCTTCTTGGTCAATCTTTCGATAATAGAGCTAAAATTCTCACTCATGCATTACCCACAGACGCCTCAGCTGTTTTCTCTGTACGAGAGAGTCAAACAAAGCAAGGAAGTTGAGGCGGCAGGACTGGACGGGATCGAAGAGTGTCCATTCTGTGAGTTCAAATGCATCATTGAAAACGAAGAGGCGCGTCCCTTTCACTCTCCGCTTGATCGGGTCTCATTTTCTTCGTTCTCTCCAGGAAAAGCTCTTCACTTGTCGTAACGAGGATTGCGCCGCGGTCAGGTGACCACCTACTTGGCTTTGTCGTTTCTTCTCATGCTGATCTCCATCAAGTTGTAGACAGTGCAAGCAGCTGGTGCGTTCAAATCTCATAACATCTGGATCGTTCACATATCAAAGACCAGGACCACCTTCCCAAGAGCTGTAAAGGTACAAAAGCGCGACGGATCTGGCTATGTTTGCTTATAAGATGACAGAGGTTCAAGACGATAAAAAGTTAGATGCACGTCATGAAATCGAGGAAGCAATGAGTTCGTCGCATGTTCTCTTCTCAAACGTTTACCTATGGGCTTTGCAGCACGCGCGTTGATGCGCAATTGTCCACGGTGCAATAAAGGTGCGCAATAACCCGGGAGCTCAGCTGGATTGAGCCTGATTCGATGCAGCGTTTGTCAAAGACCACGGAGTAAGCATCTTTCTCGCTACTTGCTCAAAAGGCTTGACCTTCTCCAGTGCAACAAAATGACTTGTCCATTTTGTCACACCAAGTCATGTTACCTGTGCCGCAAAGTTATCACCGGCTATGATCATTTCTTGCCACAGGTGCGACGACATCTGTCTCGATCAGTCCATGCAGACTTACGAATTTAGTTTCCGATGCAACCTGGTGGCGTTGGTCCAAGTAGAGTAGACGGCAAATGTGTTCTTTGGGATCCGGTAGATCAGCGCCACGCTGAAGAGGTCGGTCGTGGCTTTTCCTCCACTGAATGCCTATTCAATTATTCCTTGAAGGTCAAGCAAGCAAGAGATAGAGCTTTGAAAGATTTCCGACGACATAATCCTGACACTGATGACGAACATCTGCAAGTGGATTTGCCCGTCGCTCCGCGGGCAATAGATCCTGTAGCCCATCCAGCCCATCCTGTTGCCCCCGGTTTCGGAGGAGCTCATCGCGGGATGGGTCAACATGGTTTTCCCCATCACATGGTGGCACCACAGCCAATGGTTCACAACAATCAAATGGCCCAAATCCAGGCTCAAATCCATGCGAATATGGCACAGTTGCGCGCTCAAATGTTGGCAATGCAGCCGCCATTGCCACCGGTCCGCAGAGCGCCCAGGAGACGAACTTAAAAGTCTGCGGTTTGCCTGATGCTCGTGTCTTTCTCCGTTTTCGGGTGTATTATTACGAGATATATACATGCTACACTCTACTCTTGGGGGATGAATGGACTCCTGCGGTACGCCGGGGATTCAACAATCGTAGGCAGCGTTTTGGCAAGCTTGGCCGTGCCAGCGGGAAACGGCAAGTCGTCGACACCGGTGGGCAAAACCTTCTCGAACAGCCCCTTG